CAGAATAGCCTTTTTTTTGAAAAATTATTAATAAAAGCCACATAAATATTATCTTTTTTAAATTTTTATTTTACAATCATTCAAATTAAGACTAAAATTACAACACTTATATTTTGTTTTCTCCATTAAGTTCTTTTATTGTTAAGTTGTAAAGTTAACAATTATTTAATACTTGTTTAAAATGAAACTAAAGAAACTTTGATAATTGTTAACATGTATTTGACAGAATGGTATAAAGTTATTACAAGAAAAGGGTTAATTTTGAAAGTTGAAATAAGATAAAAAATATTAAATTATTTGTAATATTAGCTAAAGCGTCAACAGAGCTTAACTTTTTTTTAGGGGAAAACCAATCAAAAGAAAGTAATTGAAATCAATTACTAACAATTTCTTTTTTAAATAAATAGTAAGTTAGAGCAAACAAGAATATTACTAAAATAAAATTTTGTAGATCAAATAATAATTGCTTTGTTTGTTTGTTTGTGCTGTTTGATACACTATTTTGATTAATACTTTAATTTCATTTCATTTCTTATGTGATAATGATAATAATTTTTATCTTTAATTCTAATTAATTAAATTTTAATTTTCCTGCCATGCAAATTGATGCAATTTATTTACAACTATTTCATTTTATTTAATTCAATAAATAAATAAATGAATTAATCACAAATTCAACTTTATTAAAGAATCAATGAATTAATATTTATAGGGTGGAATATTTTTTAAATTTCTCTAAATATCATCTACTCTATTATTTCCCTTGTAAGATTTTGTGTGTGCAGAAATCGATTAAATTAATTTAATTTTTAAGCGCATATTTTTAGCGCTTAAAAAATCCATGTAAAATAAATTATTAGGGTACATGAATTAATCAATACTATCATAAATTTCTTTTATGTTGATTGAATGACATGCCATTAAATCTTTGTACTTTCCCTCCAATTTCAATTTTATTTATAATCTTTTATCTGAGCTCAGCAATGATTGATCGATTGATTGACTGGTGTACGTTTTAGAATATAATTGGATGGATTTTGTATCATTCTATTTCTTTTCAATTAAAATCCTCTATTTTTATTTCTTTGATAAATAAACGACTCACTCACTTTTTTAAGCGCTTGATTTTTGTTTGAAAGGAAAATTGAGTAAATTTAAAAAATATTTGGCTCCATAAATATTTAGAAGTGCTCAAAAGATTAAAAGCTCTGCAAGATATTATTTACATACGTATGTGTTTAAAATACTACACTGCAAATTTCTTAGTGATCCTGCATCAGATGTATTTTAGTTATTCACAATGATATTTTCTAAAACATTCTAGTGATTTTTTTCAGATTATTAAAAATATTTTAAAGCAATATTTTGTTGAATTTGATTGATACCTTTAAAAGTTATTTGAATTTAAAAGTGGAATAAAAGATTTCACCTTTTTTAAGAATTTATTTGGAAATTAATTTGTTGAACAACTTTTAGAAAATACCTGCTGATAATGATTGATTGATTGATTGATTGATTGAAATTAAGATATATCTTAAACAATTTGTATTAAAAGGGTGAATGAATATTTTTCAAAAAGAAAAAAAAATTATTAAATAGAAAATATAGCATTAAATAACTGATTGATGCTATAACAAAGAAAGACCGTCATAAACAAACCACAACTTTGATTGATTAAAATATTACTATTTCAAGATATACTTTAATTTGATTCAAAGAAAACATCTAAGTATCTATCTATCAATCTAACTAAATAACTAACTACATATTTACTGAGACTAAGATCTTTTTGGGGTAGGGATTAATTTACTAAAAAAATATCTTCAAGTAAAAATTTTCTATTTTTGTGAAGTAAATATTTAATATAAACGGAAAAATTAGAGTGTTTTTAACTCAACTAAGAATTCATCAAAAACAATTAAGTGAGTTTGTGGGAAACTAAAAATTTAAAAAGTATTCGAGTGTTCAACATTGATAATTTTGCTCAAGCATAGATTGATTGTTATGCGGTAGGAGTATAAAATACAAAAAAAATCTAAGAAAGCAAATTGATCAACAAACGACGCGATTTTATCAGTTTAGGGTAAGATGGAATAAATATCTTGCAAAATAGATGTAGAATTTATTTAGGCAATACAGAATTGTGTTAGAAATCACACGTTTTTGAAATAGTTTACACATTAAAAAAGATTATTCTGTTAAAAAAAGAACTTTCATGAACATTTGCATAGTCCAATAAATTTAATTTAACTTTAATTTAGAGAATCGCTTTGATTGTTTTTTTTGAATTTTGAATTTTTTTTTAAAAGAAAAAAAGAGGCTTGAATCTATCTATTTTGATTTTAATTCTCCTTGTCTTAATAAATTCAAAATTTTAGGAAAGATAAAGTTTTACTGGCTTTGGCGAAAAACTTACTATAATAATACTATAAAATTTGATAGGATTATTGTGAACTGATCTCTGTATTAATCTATAATTTGGCAAAATGGAACAGACCAGCATAGAAGCGCTTTTTTATCAGGCTATCAAATAAGCTAAATCATGAATTTATTAGTAAAAAGAGCATAAAAATCCTTACTAACTTGATTAATTCTGTAACAACTTATAGCCAAAGCACCCAGCCAAACCTTATTAAATTATTTATATACATTCATTTAAACACTCTCTTTTGACTATTATTACATTTATTAATAGTTTTAAATGTTACTCAATCTGGTCAAGTGATCAAAAAATATGGCTGAACTATTTAAGATGTATGAGTATAAAAACGACAATTAGGCTAGAAAGAGAGCTCAAAATTAAACATTTTGCCTAAGAGGTAAAGAAAATGAAGCGGTTTAGATTAAAGCCTTATTAATAATAAAATAAAAAGAATCTGTCTAATAGAAAAAATTAAATACTTATTATAATTAAATTTTCGGGAAATCCTATATTAATCAATATAAAATACAATTCAAAATATCATTTATATTTTCTATCAAGCAAAAAAGATATATAGATATATAGCTAATTAGCTCTCTCGCCAAATATGTTTTTAATTTATAGAATATTTTTAAGTAAACTTAATTTATTTCAAATCTCTTTTTTAAAATGATTACTTGCTTTAAATGAAAAAATATTAATAAAAACTAGCAAATACACAAAATACTTTTTAATGATTTAAGCCTTTATAACTCTTCCTTCTATATTAATAAAACAAAGTCACATAAGCGTATAAAGAAAAAACATAGAGTTTATTTTAATTTACTATCAATATTTCTTTCTTTCTTTCTTAATTTATTTATTTACTTATTGTTTTTTTTTGTTTTGAATGTGAATTACATTCAAGTCTAGTCTATAATTTTCGTATAAATTAAGGAATGTCACCTACTTAGGAATATTACCTTTTTTATATCATAAATTTAACAATCAAATTAAGCGCTAAACATTAGGTTTTGAATTTTATATATATTAATTTTTAGAGGGCAAATTATTTTCTAAATACTTTTTACACATAATACTTATTGCAACTAGTTGTTCGGGGAATTAAATTTTAATAAGCACAATCAATTAATTAATTCATTTCTATTATTAATTTTTATTTTTTTTACAGGGATTTCTTATGCAATCTTGCTAATAATCAAGCACAAAGATATCTATTTGAAATTCCCTTATGCAATTAGCATTTCATTAATAGTGCTGATTACCTATTTATTATTTTTTAAAGATACACAAAGCTTTGCTTCAAATTTATTTGAATGTTTATCTTTAACATTAATTTATGTTCGAAGTGAGAAGCTGTGATCATTATTTTCAGATATTTTTCTAGGAAAACACTTAATAATTAAGTGGAATGTATCCAGTTCCTCCATATCAAGTAGTTAAAAGCAGAATAGGTGGGAAAACTTAAGATTTTAAATGTATTCAATTTCTCAAATAAAGTAGAAGAAAATTTACATATTATATTTATTCTAGAAACTTGTCACTTTAAGGCTAAGTACTCGCAATTATTACAGCTCAAAAAAATATTAAGTTTTGATAATGTGATTGATTCAAAAAAATTTTATTTTAATTATTAGATATTAGCATCCAATTTATTTATTGTTTTGGCTAAATAATATTTAATTATCAGATATTATTTTTAGTAATATAACAAACGCATTAATTATTGTATTCAAAAATACAAAATTTTCAAAAAAATTATCACTGCATATTTTATTATTTGATAATTAATGAAAGAATCAAGCATGTCGATGATAGACAGAATAATTCCAAGAGTTTATGAAAACTTAAATCTTGAAATTTAATAATGATTAATGAGAACTAATTCAAAATTATATGTATTAACTAATTTAATTAAAGCTTAATAAGATTTTTAAAAATCACAAATTGTCTTAGAAGTTATAAAATTTGTAAGAGCCAAATTTATAATTAAATTAGATTTTTGGTATATATTTAATTAATCATTTATTTAGACTTCTCCAAAAAAAGTAACTTCAAAATAAGCAAATCTAAAGCGTTTATGAAGCAAGATACTCTAATTTCCCCATCCAGCACATAGAGTTTTTAAAAGTTGGATGGAGATATGAATTGATTGCTTTGCTCATAAAAAGGAAGTGGGAGAGAGAGAGAGAGACAGAGATTGAATTAATAACAAAGTAACTAAAAGATAATTTACATTATCATTTAAAATGAATGACTTGATTATTAAAATTAAAAATTTGCATGTACTAAAAATGTGTAAATGACTTGAATTAGAACAAAAACTTGCTTATTCTTTTATTTGAGGTAGAAAGATTATTTGATATAGTTTTAAGAAGGATTGACACTCTAAGAAAAGAAAAAAAAACTAACTAATTTTCTAAAAGTATTAATGAGTGAATATACGATTTGCGAAAATAGTAAAAATATGAAAAACAAATTAATAGGTTGAAGTTCATCAAGAAAAATAATCTGAAAAAGTTAAAGAAATACTTGATTTTTTATATGAATTAAAGAAAAAAAGTTTGGTACTAATTATATGCTAATATGTAAGAGCTTCTTTCATAAAAATAAATAAATAAAAAAGAAGGAAGGAAGGTGTATTCTAAATAAAATAAATGAAAAAAGTGTTTATATGGAATAGAATTAATCTAAAAATTACAAAGAAATATTATTGAATTATAAATTAATAGCGCTAATCTACTGTTGGAGTTATGAATAAATAATATTAATATAAGGACATATGAAAAAATGTGGACATTAAAGAGCTAAAAATTTAGATATTTTTAATTTTATATTATTATATTTTGTACACTAAATATAAGACAAAGTTTTATTACAAAAATATTAAAGATTTTTTAGGATTAAGAAATTTTAAATATTCACAATTTATTTATTTATATATGTATTTATTTATTTATGTGTGAATGAATGTTATATATGTCATATAGTATCATTGTTCAGATTAATAAGTATTTATTATTTTATTTTCCAATCAATCGCTTCTTTGTTTTTTATTTATTTATTTGATTGCTTGTTTTTTTGTTTGTTATTTTATCTTCATTCAAAATCAATCAATCAATCAAATATTATTATTAATAATATCAAGGATAGTCTTTTTCTCCTTTTGATTAATAATATCAAATGAAAAGGCATAGAAATATTTTTATTAAGATAGTAGTAAATTAGTGACTAATCAATTGATATTTGATAATAATTGGCGGTATAAATATACTGGAGAGCCGTTGGTATTATTTGATTAATATTAGATTAGTACCTTGCAGTTTTTTTTAGCGCGAAGAGAAGGAGACAATACTTTAGGATCAAAAGTCGCAATATCAGAAGATGCAGGAATAGCTTTGATTGAATGATTGATTATATAGCGCAGGAGGCTTGGTTTTTCTTCATATTTTGAGTGTAGTGCTCAAATAATCAATCAATCAATAATCATGATTATTTCGTAAATATGCATTGGTGGAGTAAATTTTTAGCTTCCATTTATAGAAATGAGAGAGAGAGGACATTATTTTGGTTGAAAATTGTGTGATTAAGGTTTTTATATAAAGTTAGTTTATTAGAGAAATTAGGGAAAATGGGTTAGTTAGGAAATTAAGTTAGGAAAATTCATATTTGCGAAGAAAGATTAAGCTTTGAGTTTCAAGGCTTTATTTTCTCACAGAGGATTAGTTGAGATATATATAAATATGTAGGTAGGTAGGTGGGTAGGTCTCTAATTGTTATTATTTGATTTAAAGAGAAAATATTTTTATATTAGTTTATTATTAGAAAAAGGGAAAAAAGCACACTCATCTGGCAGCTGAGTCTAAGAATTTTATAATAGAAGGATTTAAGAAGAAAAAGCGCTATTTTTATTATTTTTGAGTGCGTTTTGTTGGGGAGTTAGAATTTTTGTGTTGGTTATAATCTAGTGTTTGTTTGATTGATTGATAAATATCTTTCTTATTCACTTTATTAAGTAAAAAAAAAGCTTTGTGTTGAGGAAATCATTAGATTATTTAAAGGCGAGGTTAGTCAACTCATGCTGTTTCATTGTCAGAATTGTTAGAACTTGAGAAAAAGTCGAGGGAATTTAGGGATTCACTATAATTTATAGAAAGAATATTTAATATATTGTTTATTTAGTTTGTTTTTTAATTGATTTATTGTTTGTTTGTTTGTTTGTTTGTTTTAGGTGGGGAGCATCACCGCATATGCCAATTGAGTAATAATTTGGAAAGATCAAGAAAAGAAGTGTTTTTGTTGGGATTATAATATTTTTTGTTTAAAACTTCAACAAATCTTGTTAATTAAAAAAATCAGATTTTGAATGTAGATTTTCAACAATTTTTTTATGTGATAGTAAGAGGTTGTGTATTAGCTTGTTATGTTGGCATGTAGTTTGCATAAAACCACAAATTTAAAATGTAAAAATATCAAAGCGAAGTGATTTTTCAAATAAAATTATTTAATTACAATTATGAGAAAGCAGTTGAGTCTAATTCATTGAAATAGGTGGTGTTGAGATTGTTTTGGAGAGAATCGCCTTCCTTGACATAAATCTCAAGGTACTGCTATTTTTTCATTTAGAGGTTTTTCTTTTTTCTTTGTTATTCCTTGATCTTGAAGATGTTTTTTCTTCTGATCATCTTTGTTTCTTCAATTTGTTCATTTTAATCCTTCTTTAAGTGCAACAACTTAAAGTGATATTATAAGCCCCATCTATCAGGAGTTGAAGGAGGGGATATGGTTATACCATTAACAGAGCAGGGTAGTTCTTCAAGATCCATTTTTAAGTATGAATGAATGAATGTATTTATATACTATTAAGAATGTATGTGTGTATTTAACCAATGGATTTTTTGGATGTTTTTTTATGTCTCCAAAATAATTATTTATTTATTTATTTAAGTAATAGTTTGTTTTGTTTGAGTATTTTAGTTAGGAGATGTACTTATTTATTTTAATCTCTTTTCTTTAAATTATTACTGATTTTGTTTTTTTAATTTTTTTTTTTTATTTTTAATTATTATTAATTATTCAATGAATCTTTAATTAATATACCTCTTCGACATTCACTTATTCTTTAAACAAACAAACAAACAAAAAAACTAATTAATTATTTTCTTATAATAATCAAATAGATAAGTTCTAATTATTAAATAAATTCTTATTAGTTTATCAATCAAAATTAATTAAGTAAATTATTAAAAAAATCTGATTATTTCTTCCATCCTACCCTATACAAAATTAAGACCACTAAGGTATTTATCGTTTTGTACATTGTGCAAATTTTTACTATTAAATTCTAATCTCTCTTTTATCTAAGTACTATCTCTCTCTCTTTCTATCTATCTATCTATTTACAAATACTAATACATACACAAACATATCACTTTTTTTAATCTCTTTTAAATGGTAGCCTTTTCAAAAAATGATAGCTATCAATTAATCTTTCAGTAACCTATAAATAATCCATTTGCCCCAATATCATTGTTATTATTCTCATAATCTCCACTCTTAGTACTAAATATAAAAGCACTGAAAAATTATTGGTTATAAATATCAATATAATTTTTTTTTTGCTTCGTTAAATGAAATGTTTATTGCCAGTCATCAAATTTATTAATTCAGTTAAAATTTTTTCTATTTAGAATCATTTATACATTCTAATTGACAAATATACCATTAATAGTGCGCCTTGCAGCTAGGTTTTGTAATGCTTATTTTACTTATTTAATTTAAAATATAATTTTTATCAATTAAGATGTAAAGTATTAATCCTTTACCTCAACTATAAAAGATTTTCGCTCATATTTCATTACAGTTAATTACTTTTCTTATTACAATCAAATTTGAAAAATGGCTTATCAAAAAATATTTTAGTTAAATTCAAAAATACAATTCTATTTAAGGCAGATTACATTGAAGATAAAATATCCAAAAATTTTTATGACTCACTATTAAGTTAATTTGATCACTTCTTGGAAGATATTTCAATATTTTCTATCACACAAAAATTTTTGAAAAAGCAAATTATGTTATATTTTATATTTTAGTTTTTAAAAGCTTGTTGATTTTTGGTTATTTCTATGCATGTCACAGATTTGTTTTAGAAGGTATTATTTAAGAACATGAAATTATTTTATGTATTTAATAACAAGATTAGTAGATTGTTTACTAAATATTACATTTCATTATTTTAAAACAATAGATTTTGAGCAAAAAATATTTTCAAATCAATGTAATAGCCACAAATATCTAGCAGGTTCATGTGAAAGTAAAGTTATTTATTAAATAAAAGTATATTTTTGAATATTTTATCTTTTATTTTTAATATATTTTAATACATTTTAATAAGTTATAATATGAAATAAACCGAATGTGTGTTATTTTAATTTAAACAAGTAAAAAAACACCGCTAAATTAATTTATTGAAATAATCTTCAGTAAATTTTAATATTTTTGTTTTTGGTTTTTTTAGAAGATAATCGAAATATTTATTGATATCGACTTAATTCCCTTCTTAAATAGTTAGAATATTTAATTTTTGAAAATATATAGTAGATAAAATTGTAAAGGTTAAGAACAGCTTTATATTTTGTGCTATAATAAATCTTAACTACTTAGAAAATAGATTTTTCAAGAGCAAAATATCTGAGCTTTAAGTTTCTTTTAAAACACCATTAAATTATATTCTAACCACTTAAATTTGATCTATGATATTTACCGCTTTCACCTGTATCACATTTGTTTTGACTGTTTTTGAATTTTATTGTTACAAATTAATAGAGAAGCAAGAAAATAATTAAATATTCAATAAGAAAAAACAGCTAATAAAAAAAACTCTTCTTAAAAATTATAAAGAGGTTCTATATTATTAAAAAATAGAAGAAAAAAAAAAAATAATTTATGAAGCATTCATCGCAGTTCTTAATTTTGCTATGTAATCTTAAATTAAATTATTCATAAACCCATACATTCTTTGTAATTTTTAGATTCATTAAAACTATCATTGAATGGGTAGGTAGGTAAGTAAATCGGTAGTTAGTTAAGTATCTATCTATCTGTGAGCTTTTAGGAAATTTATTTTGTATAATAAAGTGTAATGTTTTCTAAAAATTCTTATTTCAAATGAGATTTCACTTAGGTATTTATTTTATGAATTCAAGTATTGCTTTTGGTATAATTAAGAATTATAAAAGAAAGCATAATTAAATTTATTAAGCTTACCTTTTAAAAAGATGATACTATCAAATATCTCCTTTTTGCTTTATTTATATTTTAATTAAAAAAACTATTTTATGTCTGTTCTATCTCTTTTTAATCAAGTATTCCTCAATTTATTTACTATCCTAAGTTTTATACCACTCAATGCTCTCCAAATAGAAGAAATCCATGCAAATTAGTCTTAGAAAATACACACTTTAAATAATATGTGATTTCTCTTCAACCTTCTGCATATATTCATTCAAAAAAACATTTCTTCTACTGTTTAAAAATAAAAATAAAAAAATAAAACTGAAAATAGAATCTGCTTTCACTAAAATATTTAAAATCAAGAGTAGAAAGGAAGAAGGAAAATTTAAATAAACATTGCATCTAATAATGGTAAATAAGTAAAGGTAATTAGATTGATTGATATGCTTACAAATATTATTAAGTAAGATCAAAATCCGCAAAATAATAAATAAATAAATATTTATTATTACTGCATTACTTTTATAAAATTAATTAATTTTTTTTGCAAATTTTAATCTCGAACACTTTTACTAGCAAACAAACAAACTAACTAAATACCAGTTAAAATTCTATTTTTTTATTACTAGAAATTAGATTTTTAAGCAATTAAATTAGTAGATTTATTTCTATTATTAGTTAAATCCAATAGCACAAATATTATTTTATCAGTTACAAATTAATTATGATAAAAAAATAAAAATAAAATTTATCTGCATAAATTTTTTAGATTTCTTTAGTTCGTTCATTCATCAAAGAATAAGTAATGTCAAATAAAATTAAATGTTTTTCACCTTTTAGTCAATACTTAAATTAATATTATTTAATTAACCTACGAGATATCTTCACTTTTTTATTTTTAGCAGCTAAAATAAAAAAGATTACTTCAAAATTATTCTTTTTACATACAACTTTCTTATTTTTTACTTGTAAAAATTTGTTCTATTCAAAAAGATAAGTATTGGTGTTTAATTATTATTGATGTTTTTCAAATAAGTATTATAACTTTTACTTTCTTATACAATAGAAAACGGGTAGGTAGGTAGGTCATTCATTAACTATTCCATTAATTGATTCATTCATTTGTATTTAGATAAGTCAAAAAATAAATTTTATATAAGTGTAAAATTTAAGAATAGAATTTATAATCTAATAAATATTGATTATTTCAAACGAAGAACAATATTAGAAAGACACTTACAAGATAATACACTTCAATATATTTTTTTCAATGAGAAACATAATGTTGTCTTGGATTATTGAAAAATAATTACTGTTTTTCATGAGAATTATAAATGATTTATGGATTGCCTCAAAGGAGGATCAAAAGAATGAATAAAAAATCTCTTTAGAAATTTAAATGATAATGATAAATAGACTAACTAAATAAATAAATAAATTCTTTATTTTATATAATCATTTAGGATTACTTTACTTTCTATAATAAAAAGGCAAATAATTTGATGATTTTTACACATATTATATTTACGATATTAGCGATTGATAAGAGATAATTCAATATAATTAATTTTTTATAGCTTCTCAGTGAGTGGAAGGGTTACTCTACTACTTTATATGTAGACTCTATTATTAATTTATTGATAATATTTGATAACTCACAGAGTTAATTTAATTTATTTAAGAAAAGGGGAAATAAACTTTAACAGAATATTAGTAAATATGTAAAAATCACTCTATTTTTAACTTTAAAAAAAATATAAGGATACAGTTTTCCTCTTATGTTAATGACTGCCTATTAAAATTAAAAATAGGATTTGACTTTTAGAGCGGATATAGAGAAATGGAAATTATACCATGATGAGATAGATAGAATAAAAGAAAGAAATAAGAAAATTTTCATATTTAGTTTGAAATTTAATTAGGGTAATTATGAAATTAGAAATGCGCAAATATTAAGTAAGAATAAGTTGGATAATATTAAACAAAAGTAAGTAGTCGATATTAATATTTGATAGAAAAAGAGTGAAATTCTATCTTTCTTCTTCCCTTAAAAAGGAAAAGAAACAAATTAAACTTAATTGGGGATTGATAAATAGGATGGGAAGAAATTACGAATGAAAATACCTGTGAAAATTATTTGATATTTTTAAATTGTCGCGTAAAGAGAAATATTTGAAATTTATTAATTTTAAGAAGAGGAGGAAACCAAGCAAGCAAGTATTTGACTAACTAAATATTTTCAAGTTAATAAGAGAAACCCATATACATAATTTATTAGTTATTAAACATACTCTGAAAAAAAATAAATCATAAAAATGTTAACTATTGCAATAATTATTTGCTTTTATTCTGACTTAATTGATATTTAATTATTATTAAAACAATATCAATTTATCTATCTCTTTTTCTATATAGAAAAGAAAGATAACACTCCCATTTAATGTTGTTATTATCATATTTATAAAACATTTCGCTTCTCAATCAAAATATATCTTATCAGATATCACCGTATTTATACCAAAAATAAATCTAAATTTATTTCAATCAATAAATTTGTTTTCTATTTCAAATTATTTTAGGCCCCTCCTTGTCTCTCTCTCTCTCTTATTTAGAGTGTCAAATATCATAGCTACCTACGTATATGATTTGTAAAATTTGTAAATTTCAGAAATAATTTCTTTGGATGATTTCCTTTATATATTTTAATTTCATTTGATTTCACTAATTTCTTTCACTCTATCCATTGCATCAAATGTGTAAAAGGAATCCTTAAAGCATGTTAATTACATTTTAATATATATTTTTAGGCTATTGCTTTTAGAGTAAGAAGATTAACATCTTTATTTAATATTTAATTTTTTTGAATTTGATGTACAAAATTATGTTTTTCAAATCCAAATAAAATTTCAAATAAATTTTTAAGTTTTCATTAAGTTAATCAAACAAGCAAACAGATGTAAAAACATACCCGGATTTCGCTTAAAAAAAGTAAAATCTGCTAAAAGAATTATTGATACTTAAATTTGAAATTAAGTGTAAAAAAATATCTGAATTATTAATTTTAGTAACCTAAACCAAACAATTACAAAAAAAAACAATCAACTAAGTTAATCTGAATTATTAATTTAATATTATAATTATTGTACTAAAGTGAAATAGCACTATGATTTGAAATTAATACAAAGTATTTAAATACATATTTTAGAGCTATTTTTTATTTTCTTTCATTAAAAAAAACAATTAATAAAAGTTTGTATTATTTTAAATGTAAATGACGGCATTTTAAGTTGATTGAAATTCCTTTAAATATTTATTATTGGTTTTATCTTCTCTTATTTACTATTGCTATATTTAATTTAGAATGGCCTTTATTTCTTTACTTTTATTTTTAATTATTTATTTACTATTGATTTAATTTATTTACTTTAAATTACTTTTACAAATAAATAAATGTGTATTTGTTTATTAATATATTTGCTTTTCATAATTTATCAAAAATCACCCTATTTAATTTATTTAATTCTTCGTAATTTTCTTGAAATATTAAAATTGCTAAAATTTTTACTATATATTTCCTTAAACAAAGATATTTAATTCTTTTAAAACAGTTGCTAAGAAATATTTTATTTAAATCGTTTACGGTTTTTTATTAGAATTTTATATGATAATTATTTTTTCTCTCTTTTGATAGTTTGGATATAAATAAATATGTGGGAAAACTGTATAAAAATAGAGCGATGGTTGTTATTTTCAAATATTTATTTACTTTGCTTTTATAATAAAATATCGAGAAAGCTATCAAGCAAGTAAAGTATTTGAAAAAGTTTTAGATTATTAATTAACAAAAATTTAGATGTCTTTTTTATTATTATTTAGGAATAGTTTATTTCAACCAACTTGTTAAAATAGTAGAAAAATATTTGGTTGCAAAAAACTCTTATTAATAAGATTAAATTTAATTCATTAAAAGAGAATAAATTTTAAGTTTTTTTTAAATTGAGAAGCACTGAGGTATTAAAATAGCTTATGCATTTGAAAATACCTACGTTCTATTGAAAAAGCTTTTTGAAATAAACATATTTTTAGTAGACTCTAATTTAAGCCCAAAAATACCTCTTAATTTTTAAATTTTACCTCCTTCGCTCTAAAATTTTAATTTCATAATTAAATGAATACAATTCATTATAAAAGCTATGCAAATTATTTATTTAAACGATAATCTAACCCTTTTCCTTGTTAGTTTATGCTCTCTCCTCTAAAAAATTAGCACAACAAGTTGTGATATAAAAGTTTTTTTGGATAAAAAATAAAAACCAATTGCAATTAAAACATGCAATCAATGTTTGAATTTTACTTAGTTTTACACTTAGATGCTTTATTATGGAAAAAAGAAATAGTATAAATAGTATTCCTTAATGTTCTATTTGATTGGTTTATTGTCACCGAATAATATTGGAATAAATAAATTAAAAGTAAAGCAGCAGTGTTTATCTAATTTAGCGGGTAAAATCGCCTCCAAAGAATAATTTAATACAAAGCGAGTCATATTTTAGAAATTTGTTGATAGTGCGAAAATTTTTTGTATTAAAATAGACCCTAATTTTTTTAACCTTCCATAAATATTAAAAGTCTTAGAATCCATTAAATCAATTTTATTTAAGTAAAGCTTACATACATTTGAATATTTTTTTAGATTTAGCGCCTTTTCTCAAAGTAGTGGGAATTTAAAGTTAAAATAATATCTTCCTATCAATATATCTATCTATTTATAAATCTATCAATATATCTATCTATCTAACTAACTACGTAAGTAAAATAAAATCCAAATGCAATTTAAAAAATTTAAATTTCCTTAAAATGCCCCCGCTCAAATATTAAGAAAAAGATGTAAGCTTGCTATTATGCTAATTTTTATCATTTCTGATTTATATTATTAAATTTTAACATAAATTTCTTTAAACTTTATAGAACATCTAACTAGGTGGTAGGGAAGCTAGATAGAATTTTAAATTAAATGCTCAAGAATTAAATTTAACTAAGCTAATGGATAAAGAGACTCTTTGAATTTATGCAAAAAAATCAGAATCAAAAAAACACTGTTTATTTTAGTTAAAAAATATTTAATTAACAAATAATATTTTCTGTTTTAAGCTAAATTATAATATCAATCAAGATATATTTGAAGGTAATTTAAAAAATTTATGGCAATTGTACAATAAAAAATATGATGAATGATAGATGATAAATTCATATTAATTGCATCGATAATTTATCAAAATACTTAACCATAATTTTCAAAATTTACTTTTTAAACTTTACATTTTCCCATTAATAATCCAAAAAAATGATTGTTCTTTTAAGTATTTTGTTAAGCCTTGAATAATGATGTAGATGATGCTGTTCTTAAAATTTTTTGATTCAGTAAATAAATTAATTCCTAATGAGAAAATAATCTGAACCTTTTACAGTAAAATCTTTTTTTAGAATATGACAAAACCTAAAAATAAATACCTGTAAATACTTTATTCTTTTAATTTTGATTTTACTTATAATAGCATTAAATTATTAAACTGGATTTATTTAAATATTTAATTTATATTTACAAAAAATACCTAATAGTTTTTTCATAAAAATAACAAATTTCTAATTTTAAAAAATATATTTTTGCTCTTAATTAATATTTTTATTTAAAAATCAAATAGACTCTATTTAAAAATTAAGTCATATTAGTGTTAAATTTATAGTTATTAAGCTTTTTATATGCAATAAATTGTATTTATAATAAGAGTAACTCAAATAAAATTAAGTTTTTTATCAAATTAAAATGTTTTTGTTTGAAGTTTTAAAGAAAATATCAATTCTTAGTAGAATTTTAATTAAATTAAGGTGTATATTTTTCTTTGAATTATAATTTAAATATAAAAAAATATAAATTTTACTCAGTAAATTATATTTCCTATTAGAGATATAAAGGATACAATTTGAAAATATTATTTTAATTTTTTAAACTAATAAAATTATGATAGACAAATAATTATTTATTTACTTACTTAGTTATTTAGTAAATTAATTTGTTGGATAGCTTCATTTATGAGTTTACTTACTTTTGCTTATTTAAAAATTATCAAGGTGGTTTTATAGTTTAGTTAGTTGCCATGAATTTTACTTTGGTAAATGAAAATTAATAAAATTATTCCTATCTTATTATCCTTTTCAATAGTCTTTGTTTTAAAAAATATTAAATTAAAGTTTTATAATAGTTAGTTAGTTATCAGCTTATAGATTAACGAGACACATAGTTTATTTGCTGTTAAATATTTTATCAGGAAAAGAATAGTAATTTTTAAATTATTATTTATTTGTCTAGCAATTAGATTATGCCATGAGATAATTATTTATACTCTACAGAAATTTATTTTTTGAACAATATTTTGTTAAAGTGTCTAAATGCCTCCATTTTACAGAGTGAGTTTGAAGTCCTTTTTCTGAACTCAAAAATAAATCATCAAAAATTTAATATTATTAAGGAAATTAGTGAGAAAAAACTAATATGTTAAAAATTTTTGAAAAATTACATGTTATTTCTAATTTTTTTGTGTTAAAATTTTATGAGTGAGTGATGGAGAAAAGAAAAGAAGGAAAATTAATTAATTAATTAAAAATATTCAACAGAGACTAGGAGAATAATTGAAATAATAAAAATTTTTTAAGTTGATTAATATAGCAAAATAATTAATATCAAATATAGGGATAAATAAAAATAAATATAGATGGAAAGTAATTAAGACATAACTGGGTATTATATTTAACCTAGTTTCAGTAAAATGATTGTTACCCATGCAGGTAATCTTTGCGACTTTGCAGGCGCCAACAACATAGGTTTATGGGATCCTAAAAGTATGAAAAACTTGAATTTGATCACAGGAATTCCTGCTTAAGATAGTCAAATTTACGCAAAAGCAATGATAGGAGGAAATGGTAACAGAATTATCATGTATTCAGCTGATAAGTTCTAAATTATGGATTTAGATAACAAGAAGGACCCCTTAATTTGGGAGAGTAATTTTATTTTTTCTTTTTATTCTTAAATTTTGTATTTTTCATTTTGTCTGAATCACTCTGTTCTTAAATCTATTTTTTTCTATCTTCGATTAAATTTTCCAAATATACAAAAAGACTCCCTAAAAATAGCTCAAAATATTTTTTTTTATATTCATAAAAATGGCAACAAATATCAAAAATGCGTTTAAGGTTTTGAATTGCATAAATTGCCTTTAAATTATTGCTTTTTACTTTTCTTTTACTTGATTAATGTAAAATAATAATAAAAATTAACAAACAAAAAAAATATGATATTTGATTTTTTAGTAATTGTGAAAATACATGTGAATATAACTTGTTCAAAACGAAATATTCTACATAAAAAATTGAAATTGTAGAGATAAAACATGGAAGTAAAAAAGAATATTTTAATAAATTATTTTTAATCGATTGATAGTGGAAATAAATAAATAAATTAATAAATCAATATATTTATTTATTTATTCATTCAAATAAAATAAAAAATAAATACATAGAATTTTATTAATTAGAATTAGAAGCATGAAAATTATATTGAAATTTATTAATGCAAAATATTTTTGCTTCAAAATTGTTAATTATTGATAAAAAAATGAATAAAATATTTTTTAATGCAATTTTTTTTACAGGCATGCTATTTAATGTATTATTTTAGATGTTAATTTAATTTTTAACTATATTTAGAGATTTCTACAACTGATGACATTTAACAAATCGCTATTAACCCTAGTAACACTAAGGAAATCTGTGTTTTGATGGTTAGTGGTTATATTAATATCTGGGACATTGAGGAAAAAAAAATTATTTAATCCTTCTAAACCATTAGAAAGATGTACAGACGTATTCAAATATTCCCAGGTGGTAAATACTTAGCCTTGCAAGATAAAGGGGGATTTGAAATCAACATTCTTGAGCGTTCTACTGGTATTGAGCAAAAGATAACTTTTAAGAGTCCTGCTTCACGCTTTTTGGTCTTAAACGAAAACGAAATAGCTATAGTTTTGAAAAACTATGTTTAAATTCGTAACATTGCTTGGGGAATACATAATATTCAAGCCTAATTAATCTGTGATGATCCTTCAGAAAACTTTGAAAGTGTTTTGCTTTTAAACAATAATAAATGGTTAATTGCTGCTGGTGAAAAGGGAATACTGAGAGTTTGGGATATTGAATAACAGAAAATTAAGTTCCAACTTGATACCAACTCATTCAATGATGCTCATAAATTAGCCAGGTTAAACCATATTCACTCCATTTTTATCTTGCAAAAGTCCTAAAAATTATGTGTGCTAAATAGTGAAGAGCGTCGTCTAAGGGTTTTCAAAATAGATGAAAACTTTGAAAATCCTGAATTTTAGAAGAGCTTCTAGTATGACTCTGATTACAGCACCAGCATAAACAGCTTCGAGATGGCATTTTCTTTAAATGGTAAGAATTTAATAGGTCTTTTTAGCTAAAAAGGTAACTTCATTGAAGATGAAGTAGTATTTACTAAAGAAATTGAAATTTTGGACCTTGATACCTCCACAATCATAGCCAGCAAGGATTTGAGCTAACCTGGATATATTCTCGAATAAGAAACCATGCGTAGTAATGGCTAAAATAAGTTGTATTACAGAGTTAAATCTGAGAGTAACTCCCAAAGATTCTATTTAGAATTTGATGTTGAAAAGTTCCTTTCACTTCCTTAAGATAAACGTTCAGACCCAAAAAACAATTCCCTCTACGAAAATTGGAGTAACTTTAGCGTTTAGAATGAAGGTTAATTTGTTACTTTTACTCCAATTGAATCTCATATTGATAGCATCATAGTTGCTTACGGAGTCACAGTACCTGATTTGGCTAAAGGAGACTTAGTTGTAAAGTACGGTATTTCTGTCTACGATTATAAAATAAATTAGAGATGGTAGCATTTATTTGAAACTGATTTTATAGTTAAATTCTCTTGCATGATTGACAGAAACACAATTGCATTCGTTAATCCTAAAAATTGTATTGAATTCTGGAATATTGAATCCAACGATATGATTAAATAATTTGATCTTTCTGAATATAAGTTTGTGATTAGTAAGTTCCTCATTAGCTAAGATCTCTTAATAATAGTTGACCCATAAAATAAATTGCATGTTATTGATTTAGAAACAGAAGATGAGTTGGATTAGATACAACTCTGCATTGGTGAAACTATTAAGTCAATATAAATGGTTGGTCACAATAAATGTATTGTATTGTATCAAAACGAAACAATTTAGAAGGTTGACTTAGAAGAATTTAAGATAGAAAAACACAATAGAAATTAACCAATTACAAACATCCTTGTTTTACCTAAAGAAAGCAAGCAAGAAGAACCTCTTGTCCTCCTTCTCATAGAAGAATATGTGGAAATTAGAAATTTCAAAAATATTTGAGCAAGAAAGCAAGCAAGCAAGCAACAATTTAATTATTATCAAATTTCAATCAATATAAAAACTATTATACTAAACAAAATTCATAGACAAACAGTATTATTCTCTTTATTGGTTATTATTTGATTTTAAATATCAATCAATTATTCTATCTATTTCAATAAAATTAATCTGTTTATTAATAAAATCATTTTTTTATTTTATCTTTTAATATATTTTTCCAAAATAAAAATATTTCAAATTTATTTATTTATTTTTAAATTTTTTCCAATTTTTTTATAAATAAAGACAAATGAAATTTTAGATATTTCTTAAAAATTTAAATATTTTATTGAAAATTTAGAGTAATCTTTAAAATTCAAATTAAAATAAATTTTTAAGTTTTGGTTTTTTATTATTTTTTATATTTATATAATAAAAATATTATTTTTAAAAATTAAAACAATTTAATTAAATCAAATGATTTTTAATTTGAATTAAATTAGAAAATTTTTAGATTTTAACTAAAGATGAGAATTTATTTTGATATGAGATTATTAGAAATAAAAATGTAGGAATTTGTAAAATTAATTCTCATATTAGCATAAATAGTACTGAATTTTTTATTAAAAATAATGAAAAGGAGAAAAAGTTTATTGAAATAACACAAAAAATGCAAATGCACCAAAAACATAAAAAATATAATAGAAAATTTTAATGAAGAAGTAATAAAAAATTATTGAAAATACAAAAATGGAGTGTAAATTAAATAAAAATGAGTATTTTATTTATCGTTTTAAATTAAAAAAAAATTTAATGTTTAAGAATTATTTTTTTGTGTTTATCATTTGAAATAAATAAATGAAAAAATAATAGTAATCTATGCATTTGAAATAGAGTAAGAAGATGGTGATTAAATTATATGATAGCAGAAATGTGAAATTTGAGACTTAATTTTCGTATTAAAGAATGAAAAAATATACAAACACAATACAAATATGATTAAATACTTTTGAAGAAAAGTATATGTAATCTATGAATAAAGTATAAGTAAAATTTTTTAGTAGGCAAATTATCTTTGTATTATATATTATTTTAGATAAATTTGTTGGTTTTTTTGACTAATAACTGAGCTATCAAAAGAAGGTCTACTGAGCAATTGATGGAGTTGTTTTTTTTTGTTTGTTTGTTTTTAATTTTTTAGTTATATATATATATATATTATAGGAGTAAATAATTCAAATGTTTCATGTTTAAATTAAATAGAGGCTGTGAAGCATCGGATAAATTAATCCTGGCTTGTGCATACCTACCTTATTCAGGCAACCTTCAGTGACTCTCAGTTATCAGTAGAAGTAAGATTGTTTAAAACAATCTAACTTACCCTTCATTGGGGTTGCATAATTTGCTTGCATTTCTTGAGGTTGTTAATGTTGATCTTGTGGGCGTTTTTGCCACAACTATAGGAATTTTTACGTTAACTATCTGGATATGAAATGCGTCTTTGTTTGGTAACTGAGTTGGATTTATCTCTAATGGCAATTTCAATATTTTTATTCATTTTCTTAGAGTTGTCTTCTGAGTATGTATGTATTTACTTGGTTTTGGTTTATTTATTTGTTTGTATTGCTTTTTTGCTTTTATTTAAATTATTATTATTATTAAAAATTTTGGATGATGATTTCGTTATTTTTATAAAAAATTTTTATAATGTAGAAATCATCGATTTTTTTTCTTATCATTATTAATTTTTAGGCTTAATACATACGAACAAAATAGACAGACCAGAGAGAAATTTTATGTACTAAAGAATTTTTTATCAGTTTATAAATTGGTTGATAATACATGAATAAAACTACCTCTAACTGGTTCATCGTATGGGTAACTGATTGGTTTGATATTATTGCCGACAATTAAAAAATGAATAACACATCCACTTTTGATAAAGATTTTGTAGGAATCAGAACCAATTTTACAACATTTTTTTTGCTGTTGCTACTATTCCTAGTGAATGTAAATAAATAATCTTCTGCTCAGAACATAGCTAGCTATTCTAATAAAAAATTCTTTTTCTTGATAACTAGTTGAGCTTGGGAGATTTATGATAATCGACTAAATTGATTGGATTTGCTGTTTGAATTTTATTCAATTTTAATACCTTTATAAACAATCCACCCCAAAGAAGAATTATTTACTGCATATTCATCAATCTATATGTAATAATAATAGTTATTATTATTTATAATAATTATAATTATGACTATAATTCAACACTCAAATCAATTGGCGTCATATCTAGAAGCAAAAAAATGTTTAGTATGAATTTGTAATACTATCTTTCTTTATCTTCAAAAATTGGTGGTAGCATTCTATTACTTGACCTATAAATTCTTTGTTAATAATTCTTAGCCAAAATAAAAACACGACACTACTAACAAACTTATAAATGAATAAATAAATAAAGAGCATGAAACAAATAACTTATAAAAAATAAAGTAGTTAGTGATCATGATCTGCAAGCAAATAATATCTTTGTTTTCTCTTTTATTTAGAGGAAAATAAAATTTTATAACGTGTTACTTTTAGAATTTTTCTTCTTAATTTCTCTTTAATTACTTAGTTCAATTTTTTGATCTTTTTCATGTTTCCTTAAATAGAGAGAATTTAATAAATGATTTGTGTATGTTTATATGTCTTTCATGTGTTTGTATTTGCTACATACACTTGCTGGACTGATTTTAAATTTAAAAAGGCATATCAATAAAATTTTCGTACTCTTTCTTGCCTCTACTTGCTTTTGCTTTATTTGATGAAAAATAGATGATGTCATATTTATATAAAGTAGAAAGTAGATTATATAAATAAAGTATGTTTGTTAAACATGAATCTTATTTATGTTATCTATTAGGTTTTATTTTGTTTGAAAGAGAGGGCTCACCTTATTTTTGCTCTAAAAATTAAAAAGTTAAGCAAAATGTAAGAGTATTTTTGATCTTAAATGTTGATTCCTGATGAGATGTCTGATGGAAAAACCAATCATAGCATGTAAAAATGAATTGCTAGAAAAAGAGAAACATAAAAAGAGTTTAGAAAGATCAAGATAGTTAAAAATAAATCATTTAAAGATACATTTTTTTCTAAATCTTTTTGATGTTTGTCTATTATCTCTGTTAAAATTTTATTTCTTTTATATTAAATATGCACATTTGTAAGAAAATCAACCAATTTTCAAGTAGAATGGATACTTATTGCTATAAATCAAAATGGTAACATTTAGACACACATAAATATAGTCTAGACTTAAATAAATTAAAAAAAACAGTTAAATACATTTCTTTTTGAAAGAAATGTATGTATCTTAGACAAAATTTAGCAGTCATTATGAAGCATTATTAATTTTATGTAAATAATGATAAGAAAATAAGTGAATTCTAAGTGCATAAGTTTAAAAATAGGACTTATATTTTTTTATAATCTTACTAAATTATCTATTCCTTATTATTTAACTATGAAATATTTACTACTGAGTTATTTTTTTAGAATATTTCTCCAAAAGTCTTTGAAATAAGCACATTTTTTGTATTTTTAATACAGAAAATTTACTATTTTTAGTAGAATAAATAGGGAAAATTATTAGATAGCATTTAAAATATTTAGATAATATTTTTCAGATTTTTAAACTAAACAAAAACAGATAAAATAATTTTTTTAATTTTAATTGACTACTTATAAACATAAATGAATAGATAGATTTTTATATTAATGAATGTAGATAAAAGCTGTTTAATTTCTTAATATTTTTACATTAATCACCGTTTTTTAATTCTTGTAAAAAGAAAATATTAAAGCAAAATATATGAAAATAATAAAGAAGAAACACACTTTTCATTCATGATTATAAAATGATAAATAATTAATAAAAATAAATGAAGTCTTACAGATATTAATTTTAAAATTAATTTTTTTGTATTCATAAAATAAACAAACATACAGCTAAAAAACTAAAAAGTAAAAATACTTAATCAAATTTTTAATAGAAAAATATTCAATTAATTTCCTAAAATAATTAATCTATTTAAATCATTAATAAATATTATTAATAATTAATTATTTTCAAAAGATTAAAAGAATTTTAGAAAATTATTTAATTTTATAAAGTATGCTCCTCAAATCAATATATTTCATTCTCATTTCGAAATATTTAAAATCAATTAATTATAATTCTTCAATTTATATATTTAATTTTTTGTATTTTTAAATTACATTTTTGATCTTTTGGGTTTTTTATTATAGTTTTTCAATATTATGTTGTTTTAATTTTTTTTCACCAGTTTATGGTGTTTATTTATTTATTTTCTATTATTTATAATCAAAGATTAATTTCTATAAATTTAAATTAAAATATTTCTCTTAAATATTCAAATGTAAAATAACTTTTGTTAGTAAATCATTTAAAATATGATAGTATAATTTTTTGTAGATTTATAAATTTTTAAAAAAGGTATTTAAAATAGGTAATAGAATTTGCTATTTATTTCAAAGCTTTAATATTTTTTTCTTAAAAATATTAAATAAAAATGATAAAATCTAAGATATTTTAATATAAACAACAATTTTAAAGAAAATAGTTTAAAAAGAAATGACTTAATAGAGTAATAAGCTTATTTATTTATTTATTTTTTAAAGGAAAGGAATAAAATTTAATAAAGTAGAAATTGTAGGTAGAGAAATAATATCTATTTTGGTAATAATTAATTTATTCATTCTCTTTGTAACCTTTTTGCAAGGTTGTCCAATCCATTTGCAAACACTTATTCTTATATGCCAGATATTTGGTTTTCTATAAGTATTGAAAATGTTTATTAAAAATTCAAAAAGTAATTTAATTTTAAAATTACAAACAAAGGATATGATTTAGCTGAGACTCTTTTAGCTGTTAACTTAACCGTTTTTCATTTCCTCATTTAACATATTCATTTAGCTATAATAAAGAAGCAGCTTCTTCTTTTCTTCGTCAGTAAGATGATCTAAATCTGCAAATTAAATATTTTCAAAATTAATAAAGTCTTATTCTTGCTACTCGAATAGTTCATTGACCTCATTTACTTATCTTTTCAAGATACTTTACTCTGCTACATTTTTAAGTTTTTTGCCAAACATAGTTGCTTTAAGCATTCCTCCAAATTAAGCTTGAGCTTTTTGCTTTTCTTTATTCATATGTTCATTAATTTCTTTTCCATCAGGAATGCCCATATCTTAAATATTCATTGCATAATCTTAAGGATTTTTTGTAATGTCAGATTCAACACTAACATTGTCTCTGATGTCATCTTAGTTTTTATTTTTCTTTCTCCTTTCATCAATTTCATTTTCCCAATCTTTTTTATTACCATCTTTTTGCTATTTAATTGACTCCATATATTATTTTTATTAAATCTAATGCATATTTTCTCTCTCTTCTATCAATTATTTGTTGTAATAATAATCAGCAGGTTGTGTTCCAAATAATCCAGTATTCGAAACACAATAATGGCACTAGTCTCTTGGTAGTTCGCTGTAAATATCCATCATTTATTACTTTCCAGGATCTATAAAATTTTGCTGCTGATTATGAAGAGCGCTATGATTTAGCAAGTTAGGATTTACATATGTTTAACAGCTAACAAGCTAAGAATGTGAAGGTAACTATTAAAATTAACTCATAAGTGGAGGAGGAACAGCATCTCCTGCACGATAGTAGTAAAGCGATTATTCATCTATATTTCTTGGCATTTAAGGTGATTAATTACTTTAATATTGAGGTAAACTACCTGAATAAATTGGAGATTAATGGTGAGTTGGACTGCTAAGTCTTTAAGTATACTATTTGAATGGAGAGGATAAATCATTTTATTCAACTAATTCTCTTGTACGATTTAATAAAGTTTTTTTGTAGCTTCCATTAATCTACAGAGTAGGTACTTTTGTAAGAATATTATCATTTTCGTATGCTCTGTGAATATTTAAATTGGATGCAGCTTATAAATAATCTAAAGTTCTAACATTTGAAGCATAACCACTTTATTGATTTAAGGGAACATTCTAAATTGGAACAGTCCTATCTAATCTATAATAATTACTTGGTGGTACAACTTGCTTAACTCCCAATTAATCTATTGTTTCAAATTAATACTTGCTGCTTGCCTAATTCATTTATTTGCTTTTATTCTGTTTATAGAATTTGTTTTAATTCTAAAAATGACTGAAAAAAATATTGATAAAAATAAATTTCATAAATATGTTTTATAAGCTAAGAAAGAAAATTTTAGAAAAATCAATCTAATACCTAAGACTAAATAAGAAGAACTTGGATTTAATTTAAAGTTGAATTCTTAAAATGCTAATAATTGGTTATAATTATGGTTTATCTTTACAAGTTTAATAGCTGAAAGTTAAAGATATAAAGATACAATAAATAAATAAGATGTAATTATTAATTAATATTTTTTATTTCCAGTCATAAATTAATTGATAACTAACTAACTAATTAATCTATCAAATAATTTAAAAATTTTGAGTCAGTTTAAATAAATAAATTAAAAATATTCACTCAATTAGTACTTTTTAATTAACTTTTAGTGATATAAATAATTAATTCTTTCATTTAGGAAAAAAAAGAGTTAATTTAAAGTTAAGTTAATAAATATATTTATTTTATTTTAATTATTTGAGTGATGAAAAATAAGCAATAAGTTTTATGCAAAATATTTTATCATAATATTCTCTTTAAAAGTTTCATATTCTAATAGTTTAAAAATGATTTTATTATTTGTCTTTCTAACAAAATTGTTTCTTTGTGGAATTAAAATTACTTTAGATTTTAAATTCTTTTTTTTAAATAAAAATAAATTATCAATTTGTTCAAGATTTTCTTAAGAATAAAAATTTATATTAAGCATAAATATGATAGCATTAAAATCCTATAAAATATAATTATTTTCCATTACTTTTAATTATTATTCATTTTTAATTTTTACCAGAGCTCCTTATTCAAATTAATTTGACTCATAAAAAGTAAAAATCGTAATATAATAGAAACTTAATAAATTAATGAGAATTTATAGCATCATAACTTTTAATAGAAAAATAATAATATATATTTACATATTTTTACAATTCTTTCCTTTCAGAAAAATAAGAATTTATTTAAAATGGCTCATATACAATACATTTATTTATTTATTATTTTATTTAGAGTTATTTTTTATGAATAAAAACAAACAAAGTTTATTTCCTCATCGAAATATAAAAATAAAAAATTTTATTGATTGATTGATTAATTCATGAGAATAACATTAAAATTTTATTTTTATATTTTTATGTTTTTATAAAATTTACTTTAAATTTGAAACATATTTTATTTATATTAAATACTAAGCTTTTTTACTAAAATTTTGTTATTTTGTACATTTAATTGTTTTATTTGTTTATTTATTTATTAAATATTTATAATTATTCCTAAAAAAATTCTATTTTTAAAATCTTTATCTCATATTTAAATGCAGATAATATTTATTGCTTCATTAGCTTGCTTAAAAGTATTCATTCACTTAAAAATTATCATTTACATAATTTTTATAATATTGTTAATATGCTGGGTTATTTTATACTATTGCTGATTATCTGGTGAAATATTACTTTTTATCTTCGTATAATCTAGGATATCCAAAAGAAACGTTAGGAATAACCTTTGTTTAACTATTTAGATTTAGCTTAGGTATTTTAGGAGTTTGGTTTCCAGATTACTACTATGAACTATGAATCTTTAATGAAGCAAATAATACTTGATGATCTATATTAGGATTATTTTATGAATTATATAATGGTTGTGCATTTATATCTATTTCATCTTTGTTGCATTTGTAGTATTTTGCAGTAGAAGATAATTTAATCATCTATTCATAAGTATGGTTTTGACTATGCTTTTAAAACTAATTACTGTGCTACTAAATATTCTTACTTTTTTATTAGCTTTAATGGTAAACATTATGTTTATTACTCATTTTAAACTGAAAAATTTTTTAATTATTTAGCTTCTTTAAAGTAAATCAATTAATTAATTATTAAACTTTTGTTTCAAAATTGATTAATTTTTTATTTGTTATATTTTTCTAAAAATGCTTTTGTTTGGTTTTATATAGTGAATTTCTGACCAAATACTATTTGAGATGTTATCACAAATCAATTTTAAATTAAAAGTTCTATCTATATTTTTTAAAATCTTAAATTAGCTTTTGGATATTTCTAATAAATAAATTATTGTTAAATGTTTTCTCGTGCTTCAAAAGATTCTAATACCTAGAATAAACCCTCTACTGTAAAAGCAGGTACTGTAAGACAGTAATCTGCCAATGGCCTAAGGGATTTGCAATAAGATTAACCAAATGATTAGCAGTAAAGTGTAAAAAAATCAACACAAAGTAGTTTAAGCAGCAATATTTCTAAGCCACCATAAATTAAACCTAATATTGCTAAATCACAGTAAAGCTATGAAAAGAACAAAGCCTAAACAGAATTTTACATGTGTCTCATAAAAGATAGATAATCTACAAATAATAATGAGAGTAGTAATACTAGTAGTAGTTCCAAGCCTCCAAGCTAGAAAGTGATTAGTTCTTCAATTAAAAAAAAAGATACTCCTTAATAGGTAGATTATAGAAAAGAAGATTAAGAAGATCAAAGCTTAAATCAAAGCAGCAGAACTGAAGAATTTGTAGGTGATTAAAAATAAGCTAAGAAAAAATAAGGAGATAACTAAAAGACAAAACAAAATTAAGCTAGTTTGAGTGAATTAGAGTAGCTGAAAGACGAGCTAAATTAACTTAATCGCAATAATTATGAATAAAATATAAAACTAAAAGAAGAAAAGATGGAACAAAAGAGACTAAAAGCAAAAATATCTCAATTAGAAACAGATAAAAATAATTTGGTTTAGTAGATTAAAGAGAAAGATTAAATTATTTAATAAGGACTTTAAAAAATGAAGAATTAATTCACAGAAAAAAGAAATTTTTTAATTCAAAGTTAAATGATCAAGCAAAGGAGATACATTTAGCATTTAACTAAGCTATCCAAGAGTAATAAGACAATTTCTGCCGAACTTGAGTATTAATTGGACTATTTAAAAGATTTGATTGAAAAAGTTTCTAATGACTGTAAGTAATCCAGTATTTCCTAGCAAAGCGAGTAGAAGCTTGAGATGGCAAAATAAAATGTGATCAATTTAAGAAAAAAATTAGAAGATCTGAAAAATTAGACTGCCTTCAATTTTAGTTCAAATTTGTTAAAAGAGTTTGATGTTAATTCAGATAAAGATATTTCAAAGTAAACCTTCTTGATATAATTAGAGCAATCAGCAAACAAGCTATTTAATTCATCATTAACTTTAGTTAACTCAAATGAGCAGAAAAATAAGGTAGATAGATTAATAAATAAATAATTTAATTAAAAATAAAAATTTTTATATTTTAAAAGGAGATGGCCTAAGTTACGATGGATATAAAAGAATTCGTAGAAGGATGCTTGAGGTATGGAATGGACATCTAGATGGGAGAAAATGAATATGAAGTAATTAAGAGTAACGAAGAAATTCGCAATGACGTTCTAAGGAGTGTTAGAGAAAAAGTTGGAGGTTTTGAGCAACCAATGATCGATAACATATTATTTAATGGGTAATTATTTGAATTCCTTCATAAAATATAGCTTGATAGAAACCAATTAATCCATAAATATAAAAACACTTCTGCAGTAGAAACATACGTGAACTCCTTAATAACCAACGAGTAAAACAAAAAGATTTTAAAGTAAATTGGAGTATTGCATAGAATTAAGGATTGTATAGGAATGGATTTGAATCTATTAAATAAAATGAATAACATAATCAGAACTCTGTTTTTCTAATCACAGATAAGCCTTTAATATTTAAATGAATTTGTTGTGTAACAACTTCAAACATTAAACTAAATAATTTCTGAATGTATTTTTAAACCCTTCACAGACATGTATGAAATCTACTAAAAATATTATAAACAAGAAAAAAACAATAACTATCCAATCCACTTAGCTCAAATATTTAACATGAACTGTGAACAAATGAAAATAAATATAGAGTCAATCATTAATCTATAAAATCAAGAGGTATTCTAAACTAACAGAAATATGAACTTGCCTCTTATAACCTAAATTTAAAAAGTTTACTAAGAATTATATGGAAAACTTGAATAGTGAGTGACAATCTTCAAATTATTAAATTATTGAACAAAAATAAATAAATAAATATATTTTAAATATTTCTAACTAAATCCTATTTATTTGTACATACATATTTTCTTACTTCTTTACATGCATATAAAAATGCACTCTCTGTCATTGAATTTCATATTATTTATTTAATATATTTACTCATAAAAAATAAAAATATCAAATCTATATTTTTAGATTGCGTCTAAAAAGAAATTATAGATTTTATTATATAAAATTATAGATAGGTTGAATCAATTGATGTATTCAATGTTTGTATAAATTCAAAATACCTAGTTTCTATGTTTCATATAATTTAATTAAAAGTTAACATTTAGTTGAATATTTATATTAAAATTATCTGCTATTATTTTTTCTAATTTTGATTAACAAATGAAAAGTTGAATCAATTAAATTATAGTTTAATAAATATGTTTAAATTTATTTTATTTTTGAAACGAAATCAGAAATTTATTTGTTTTTTTATGAACAAAAGAAATAGATAATAGATATATCTAAAATATATAAAACAATTTTTATAAATAATTTAAATCAAAAACATTAACAATTTTTAATACTTAAGTATTTTAAATTATTTGCTTTTGAGTTTTTGATTATTTATGACGTTTTAAGAAAGAAAATTTACTTTTGAAAGGAATATTATTGAATATGTAAATATTTTATTTAGCAAGAAAAATAGGAGAAAATAAATTAAAAAGGGTGTTTAAGCTATTAATTTGTAAAAGTAAAAAGTAATATTATTATTAGTTAATTAATTAATTATATAAAATATGTATATAAAGTTATTTAAAGTCCGTATGAGATTTATAGTCAATTATATGAATGGATTTATCAATAATTTTGAAAACATTTATTATATCTTAAGTTTATTTTGTTTGTAATTTATCATTTCTTAAATTTAAATTTATTTTACAACTTTGTTAATTTGAGAGATAGATTTATAATTTATTTATTTATTTACTTATTTGGTAGTTAGTTAGTGGTATTTAATTTTCTTTTGTATGTATTTACTTAATTATTAATTATCTTGTTTTAAATTTCATGATTTGAAATAGTATGTAACATCGAGACTAAAATTATACTTTTAAGTGGTAATAGTTGAAAGCTATTAAAGTGTATTATTCAATTAGAAGATTGTTATTATTTAGATTTTATCTTCTTTTTCTAAGCTTGGAGAAATCAGTAATTAAATTAATTAATTAAATAATTAATTTTTTATTTATGTATTTAAAGAAACATTTATTTGATATTTATAAACTTTTAATTAGTGATTTCAAATATTCTATTTCTGATTAAAAGATGCTAGAATTCTCAATCTTAAGATTACAATTATTATTTAGTTTCTTATTAATTTTACTCTATTGGTATTTATTCAGGTTATTAATCTGAATTTGATCTGGAAGAAGCTGATGAAGAGTCATCTGAAGAAGAATCACTGACATTATCGTTTTAGCTTACAACTGAATTTGCATCTATTTCTGTTTATGAATTGGATTTAACAAATTTGTTATGTTTATGGTCAGATGCAACTCTTGTAGAGCGGTCGTCTTATTAAAGATCTTCTTCAGTAATTCTTAAATCACTGCTTTATGAAGAGTTTGTATTAAGAGTTCTTGCACTTTTGTTGCCATTATTTTAGCTAGGATCTCCTGTTAAGCTATCATTTTTTAACCTTATATTATTAATGAGTTTTTCACTTTGTTGTATTAAATTTTTCTCCTTTCTTAATCTTAGTCTTTCGTTTATGTCCTTCTACTGAGAAGAAATAACATTTTGTTTATGCTATTCTTTGGCTTAAACTTACAATTCCTAAGCTTTAATGAAATTTGCTTTCTCTATATCTGTCTATTTCTATAATTTTATGTGCTCTATATTGTAATGCGCTTTCATCCTATCATGCTTTTTCTATTCAGACAATGTACGGGGTCTGTGGGTTCCCTTATCAAGAGAGGTAATGTGGGTTATTTAACTTTTTTAAGCATTTTCTTTGATTTTACCTTATTCGTATTAATTATCTTTTGCTGTAGACGAACGTTAGACTTAGCTTTATTAAGAGTCTTATTGCTTTTAAGAGTTCATCAAGACACTTAATATGCTGTTTGAAGAAAGTGTGGAGGAAATTTTATCTTCAAAGTAGCATTTTATTGGATCTTAAACAGAATCAAAATATTCAATGCATTTTGTGTACATTTCTATTAACAATGTAATGTCCTATTAAAAAAAATTTCCTTTCTAAATTTTTTTTTCAGTCTCCATTAACTTTAAATAAAATTCACGCGGATGAGGCTTGTTGACAAGTAAGTCATCTTCATTGCTTAATTATGAATTATTTAAATTTTTCTATATGCTGTGATATCCTTCTCTTTCGTTATGAACGAAACTTTTGGATTTGGCATTTTATGCTTGAGAATGAACTATATCATTATTTTTATTGCCATTGAACAATGTTTTGACTCCACGCATAGCGTCAATTTCTTCAGCTAAACTTTATGCCTTTTAAATTTTGTATGAGAAATCCCTTGAGCTATCTGCGTTTTATTGATATTGTCCGTCTTCTCTATATAATTAACTCTAATGAGAATTAGCTACTATTTTATTAAGTAATTATTTTTTTGGGTATTATTATCTTTAATTAGCTGTTTCTAAATACTCTTCTTGCTCTTATTTCGTAGCTCTATCTTAAACACAAAACATTATTTATTAATCTATTAATTATTAAATTAGCAAGCAATCAAATCAGTTTGTATGTATCTACAAATTAATATATATACTTCTTTTTTGTAATTCTTTCTATTTTCGTTAGTCTAATAAAAATCTAATCTATGATCTTAGATGTATCTATATATTTTTATAATATTTTGCTTGCTGTCTCTTTTTGTGGTTATAGTTAATTAAAAATGAAACCTATTTATATATATTTTTAAAGTTCAGATGTATAATAGAAGCACGATTTTCTTAGTGTAAACTCTGAAGTATGTCTTTTACCTTATTGCAATCAAAGCAATATTTTTATTTTTCGATGTTTTATATGGATGAAATTCAAATTTAAACAAATATTAGATGGATTATTTGTAATCTCTATTTATCTTTAACAAAAGATTAAATTTTGTTTTTTTTTATTTTTTTAACTTTTTTTTGATAATTTTTTATCTTAATAATAAAATCTAAACATTCTATTACTTTTTCTTGTACCTCTCTCTGTATCTTTAAATTTCACTTTCTCTGTTTATTTCTATTTTCCATTATTCTAAATATAATTGAGATAGATAGCGTCAATACTAATTTCATAATTTTGTTTATGTTCATTAAATTGTCAAATTTATGATTTAAAAGTAACTCAATCACTCACTCTATTCCTCATTCTTATAAAATGTAACAGCTTAATAGAGTATTTTTTTGCTATTAATTTATTTAAAATTCTTAAAAATATTTAATTTTAAATTATTCGAAAACAAAAATGCAAGTAAACTTTTTATTTACTCATTATTTTGTCTTAAAAATTTTTTACATTCCTCTTACGACGAAATAAATAAAATCAAGCAAAAAAGAATATTTACAACTCTGTGATAATTAAATTAATATAAGGTTTGAGAATTCTCAGTAAATTAGCTCATAGTTGATGAAAATAATTTATTAGAACAAACTACTGTAAGTAATTTATAGCTACTAACACAGTAAAAAGATAGAGCTAATTAATTGAAAGAAATTTTAATTTTATATCAATATCTTTTACTGCTTAAGCCTCAATTGGAAAAAAGGAAAAAATTAAGTCTAAAGATTTCTTAAATAAATTTAATTAATTAATAGAATGAATGAATTGTACTTCCTTTTCTCCTAATTTAAAAAAAATTACATCACAGATTTATGATCATTTTAAGATTCAAATAAAAAATACACTTATTCTTTTACTAAAGGCTTCACCCAATAATTGCTTTAAATAGAACTAATTCTTGTAGACTCTAAATATTAAATAAAAGAGCTAAATTAGCATGTAAACTAAAAAAATACACGTGCTAATTAAATTAAATTAATTTACAAGATAAAAATATTTGTTTACCTCTCATTTTAATAATTTCTATGAACCAGCAAGATAAATCTATTTACATAAAATTCATGGTAATCAAGCAAGCAAATATCTCACTAAATTGTACATACTTGAATCATTAAATAAATGCTATATTTTTAGCTTTATCAGCCTAAATTAATAAATATTCTCTAATGATTTCTTAATATCAACAAAATACATTTCTATATTTTCAATTAATTTTTAATTAAATATTCTAATTTATTTTATTTTTATTGTAGAAACTAAATTAAATGATATTAAAGTTAAACAAAATATTAATTTTATTCTATTAATAAAACATTTATTTACATTTTTATATATTTATATAAATTAAAGTAGTTTTTTCAGTATTAATTAAATTTATGAATCCTCATAAATTAAATAAGACTTAAAATTTTTATTTAAAAAGGTTATTCATTTATTTTTTTTTTATATTTTTTTTGTATTTACATTTAAATTTTTTTTGGATTTAATTGGATTATTTATTTCAAAATATTTTAGTTTTGACACTTTTTAAAAAGATTAATTATATGATAATTAATTTAATTGAATCATTTTTAAATTATGAGTTAAATATTTATTTATTATTTTAAATGTTAGATCAATCTCCTAAAAAAATACTTTTATTTTAACTTTTTACATAAAATATTATTGAGTATAAGAGTCTACTAATTTATTAATATGGAGTGAAAGAATAAATATTTCATTCCTGATCTACCGATCTATTTTATTTTAGAAGGTATATTATAAAATCTGATTAAAGAAAGTCTAATAGAAACTCAATTATTTACGCGGAAAAATTAAATAATTTATATGTTTTTATGAGAAAGTTAGAATTTTTGCTAATTAAAAATAATAAATTTAAATATTATGTCTTGAAAGTAAAAGATAAAGTTTATATCTAAATAATATTTTAAAAATCTTTTCAGATTAATTTCTTCAATTAATTGTAATATATTATTAGTTAATAGCACGCTCTTTCTACTAAAAAGCATTCATTATTTTAATTAAAACAAAAATAATTCATATCTTCAAAATTAATTCAAAGTTGGCTAATAATATTTACAATAAATTTATAGCAAATAGATAACTAAAAAGCAAGCAAGCAAGCGAGAACTATACACCTCACACAATTCACTCATTTAATTTAAAAATAAAAACAAAAAGCAATATAGATTCAAAGCTAGCTTTTAGTATATCAAAAGGAAGAATTTAATTAAGAAACAGCTAACTATCATTAATTAATTCGCAAGTATGGATATTGGATAAGACGAGGCACAACTGGTATTGTAGCATAAAAAAGATTAGTTTAGAGTAGAGATTCGTAAGAAAAAGACAGATAGTTTAATATAGTAGAAAAGATTAAAGCTATTTAATAAGAATTTAACAAATTTAGATAGCTTTTCTGATGCTGACAACAGTAAAAGCGATCAGAATACTACTCAAGATCCTTAGAACAACATTTTAAGTTAACAACAAATTTAACAATAATAAGTGTCTACTTTAGATGTTTAAGTCATTCGTGATATAGAAAGTAGGCTTTTGCAATGTTAGAAAGATAATAATATAGAATAAATGAGATCTATTTTAATTCAGCTCGTTAAAATTGTTGGAACTTACCCATCACCAATAAATTAAATGTTTATGACAAGCTTACCTAAATTTGTAATTTCTATTGTTAATAAGCATGGCCCAGTAAATGATCCTAAATGTAAAAATTATGCTGCTCACATCTTGGCAAATCTCACTGCAGGTACTCCTATGTAGTTGTAAGAACTTTTTTAGCTAGATTTGATTCACATCTTAATAGAGTAAATCCAATCCAAGGATGTAGAGTTAGCAGATCATGTCATTTGGGCTTTTAATAATGTCTTGATTGATAATCATTAACCAGAGAACCTTGTAAGAATATTCTAAGAGCGCCCTTTGATAATTGAAGATTTGTGCTATTATTTCACCACTTCTTGTAATAATCCAAATATCTAGTTTTAGCTTATTAGCTCAGTAATTCTTTCGATTTACTGTCTTTCTAGAATCCATAAAACTACTTAATCATATTATAATTAATTGAGGATTGCTATCCCATATCTAGCAAAATTATTAGATGTCCATCATCCAAAAGAACCAAACACAGTAATAAATAGCATGTCTTCGCTCCCTAATAAAAATAAATCAATGATTTTGAGCAATAATAGCAATTAGAATTAAATGAATTCCGAAAATTGTAAACCAACTAATTTATAAAGCACAAATAGTAATATCTAAAAAAGTGACTAGCAAGTTAAGTAAAAATTTCTCTGTTCTGTAGATTTAAAAATGTGCGCTCTTATAATAACGGATTTAAGTGAAGGTGATCCAAGAGTTATTAGCGATATGCTTAAAATTTAAGTTGATAGAATTATGCTTAGATATTTAGAGTAGGGAATTGATGTTAATGAGCATTTCCTCACCTTTGTAATAAGAACTCTAGCCAACATGTCTAGTGGAAACGAGTTTCAAACTGACTAACTTCTCTAAAAGGATATTTATTCATATCTGAACAGATTTTTGGAACATCCAAAAGAATAGATCAGAAAAGATGTTTGTTGGCTAATAAGCAATTTGTCAGCAGGAAATGCTTCTCAAATAGATGTATTTTTAAATAAGAATATGCTTTAAACTTTGATTCAAAGACTTAACGTAGAGTAGAGCATACATGTAAAAAAAGAGATACTGTTTGCTCTGAGTAACGCAACTGCACAAGCAACAAAAGAACAAATAAATAAAATGGTTTCTAATGGTTTATTGAGAGTTTTTTCAGATAACCTCGACCCCTAGTATGAAACTGAATTGCTTATTGAAATTTTAGAAGGAATAGAAAATGTAATGATGTTAGGTCGTTCTGATGACCTCAATAATAATTAAAATGCATATAGCCATGAATTTGAAGGATCTGGATGTTAAAGAAAAATCCAATATTTATATTACTAAAAATCAGACCAAACAGTAGTTGAAATTTCTGATAGAATACTCCGTTCATATGGAACTAATTGAAAGTTAAAAATCATTTACAATAAAATAAAATAAAAATAATATATAGTGTACAGTCTATTTAGTTTAATTATTTTGTCCACAAATTTTATAAAATCTAATAAGCTTAAGATAAAACAATTAAATTTATTTTTTTTTATCATGATCCTTTATAAATTTTAACATAATAGTTTATTAATTAATACTTGAAGTATTTTTTCTCAAAGTAACAACAAAGCTTTTAATCATATATCAAAAATTTTAATTTGAAAATAAATTTTAATATGTAATTGATGATTTTGCTTCATTATAATTATAAATTTTTCTTAAATTGGAAAAAGAAAAAATAATATTTAAGAAAATTGTCTTTTTAAATAGTTTAAATGAGGTAAAATAAAATTTTTTAATTAAATTAAGTTAAAAAAATATTGCAATTATTTTTATATTAAAAAAATTTAATTATTATTATTGTGGTAAAAATATAATTTACAAATTTGCTAATTAATTTAAGTAAAAAATTTATTTTTATTAAAAAAAATAAAACGCACTTATTATTTATTATTAAACATTGAAAATATAATTTTATCTCATATTATAATTTATTAATATTTTTTTGTTAAATATTTCAATAATAAATTAAAACTTTAAATGTTAATTGAATTTATAAGCCTATTTAAATTTCTTAAAATCTTTATTATTTGAAATATTATCCTTTAAAATACACTAATATAATAAATATTAATCAAGATATTGGTGTTTTATTAAATAATTTATAAGCCCTTATTGCAGTAGAATTTTATTCTGAAGGATAAATTTATTGGTGGTATTCAATTAAATCTTTAGATAAACCATAAATTGCTCCTGCCAACATTCCTGAAATACAACCTACTGTATCAGAATCACCTCCTAAATTAGCAGCTCTACAGACAACTTAACTAAATCTTTCACTATGATAATTTATATGCAAGCTCATAGCTAAGGCATCCATAGAGTAACCTCCTATTCCAGTTGGCGATTTTTCTGATCTTGTAGGAGAATATTTAAAATTGATATCTTTCCAGTTCCAATTTCTGTCTGCTTCACACTAATTGTAATTATTTTTTTAAAGAGAATTTTCTTACATGCTTTTTGCTATAAACAAAACAGATGTTTCTAGCATAAGGTCTTTACATGCTTCCTCACAAGTCAAATCCAAAATTTATTTAGGAGATAGTGCTTTATTTTCTCTAATATTATTTTTTATAAAATAAATATGAATTAGGTCTTAGTAAAATAGTTTACATATTAATTATTTTTGCTATTATATAAGATAATAATTAGCAACACTCGGCAGCTTCTTATCCATCATTAGTAAGCAAACTTTGTTAAAATGCAATTTCAGCAGCTTCTTTGATATTATCATGATATAAAATAGGTATTGGGGAAAGTCTCATTAAAGAACCATTTGAATTTTGATCTCCATAAAATTCTTTAATTCTAGTTTTACTTGGATTTTATACAAAATCTATGAAATTGTTAAAAGTAGTTATGCCTATGCCAAATGAAAACTAATTCCATAATTCATTTTTTACATTTTCTTTTAACTCACTTAACATATATTCTTACTTTCCTTTATTATCTTCTATAAAATACTAACTTTTTCCATTATTATAGCTCTCAAACCACCACAAAACAAATCTGTAACATTTAAATAAAAAATAGTTTGAATTTTATACTTTATTATTTATTCTATAAATTATTTATTTATTATTTACTTACCTATGTCTTATATCTGAGGGTGAGTATTTCAATTAATTGCATAAAAAACTATCAGCTATGCACAAAGCAAGCGAAGTATCGTCAGTATAAAGAGCTCTAGGACTCCTTAAATTGTCGAGGCAATTAAATCCTTTGATAATATCTCTCTTATAGTCTATCGGAAATTAATCTGTTTGGTTGCCTAAAGCATCACCAATTGCAGACCCAACAAATACAGAAATAGCTCTACTTAGTTTTACATCAATGCAGTATGAATTATCACCTTTCATTATCTTATTTACTATTTGTCTATCCTGATCTTCTTTAGGAATTATATCATAATGAAGCAAACTATCAAACTAAGTTTCGAATGTATTATCATCCTTCAATTTTCTAATAGTTTCCGGTATTGTTGGAAATTTTATTTACTCCATTTGTTTGAAACTTTTATTTAAAATTATTAATGTTTTTTTTGTTTGATTAAATAGCAAAGATATTTTTTTGATAAGACTCATTCGATTGATTTAGTATTATTTTTACTTTCTGATAAATTATAAAAATTATATAATAATTCTTATCAATTAAATAAATAAATACATACTATTTTTCTTTCTCTTAAAATTAAATATAAAACAAACTTAATAATAAGAAATAAAAAAAATTATTTTAATTTTGTGGAAAAATTAATTTAATATTTAAAAATGGATATTTTAAAAAGATAAAAAGTATTACTGATTATTTATTTATATATTGATTAATTATTTATTTAGAATTTTATAATTACAAATATATAAGTGAGAGATAGTTATCTAAAATAAATAATATTAGGTTTAAAAAATGAGAAATAATTATATTTTGTTGGTTATAATTTGCCTTAATTATGTTTATACATAAAACTAGGTTCCAACTTATAGCTAGTTTAAAGATTGTCTTTTGTAATGTTAGCATCCTTGCATAGGTTAAGAATGCATTTAAAATTAAGATCATCAATTCATCAGCTGCTACAGCTAATCTGATGAATGTCATAATTGGAATAGCGATTATTTCAATTCTTTAAATACTAAAACACTTGATACATAACTATTTAAATTATGCTTCGATAAATGTTAACCTTAACGTAGCGATTCTATATTCTCTAAGATGTACAATTGCTGGAGAAAATGTGCTTTAGGAGATGAAAAAAAATGAATTAATAAATTTATAATAAAGTTAATAAAGATCAAAATGTAAATTTAAAAATTATTTTTTAGAATTATTTGAGTGATAATAAAATATTATGTATTAAATAAATACTGAATATATTTATTGTTGAATTAATATATATAATTATTTTAAATTTTGTTAACTCATATATCCATATATAATAATTATGAAATATAAGCTCATATAGAAATAAATTAACCTTCTGACTATTGTCTATAATATTACTAACAAGTTAAATAATATCTTGATTCTACTTTATTTATTTTCAATTTTGAAATTTTTCATGTTGAATCAAATATTTCTTCACTTAATAATATTGAAATAAATAAAAGAATTTATTTCATCGAATTTAAAGTATTTTAAAATATTAATATTGTTTAAATTATAATAAATAAAATTTCTTAGAATTTAAATATTTCAATTTATATTTTCTTTTTTGTTATTGATTGATTGAGAATAAGTTTTGGTTTGAATAATAAATACAATTTAATAAATTGATAAGAATCTTTTTTCAAAAAAATAAAATCTAAAAAAAAAAAGATTCCTTTTATAATTAAACCATACAATCTATAATTTTCTATTAGAGGATTATTAAAAAATTAATAAAATTAAGATCTAATTTTAAACCTACTTATCTCCTTTTATATTTGTTCTACCTTTGCTAAGTTCTATTATTCCTCTAACAAATGGCAGTTATAATAATCCAAATCCATAATCATAAGTAATATATATAATTTTATTTAAATATCATGATGATGAAGTTGGAATCATATAACAATTTGTTCTATTCTACTTACCATTTTTCGTTACAATAGTACTAGAAATTCTTAGAATAATTATTAATTTTAAAATAAGGAATAACCAATAAATATAAATAAAATAAAGTATTTATTGTTTATATCGACTATTTATATCACTATCTTAAGTATGGATGTTTTATCAAAAGATTCTATGAAATATTAACATATGGAAATCAAATTTATTGGCTCTAAGCTTTTGATTTGCAGAAGGTTTAAATAAATTAATTTACCCTTCCATATGCAGTTAATCATTAAGAACACCTTTTAAAAAATAACTGAAAATTTTTATTAGAAAAAAGTTATGAAGAGTAAAATAACTTAACAGTGATTAAAGTATCTCTATTCAAGGTAGCATTATTAAATGTAGAAATAAAATTTATCTATCAAAATAATAGTGATTTTTTTAAATTATTGAAATTCGTTAATTAAAAAATAAAAATTCTTGCCTAACGAAATTATTTGAAAAGAATGTTAAATCATTAAAATAAATCAAGGTAATAAAATTCTTTTTGCTTAAGTACTTGAGAAATATTTTTTAAAATTGTTAAAATAAATATATATAAATTTATAATTCTTATTGCAACTAACTAGTAATTCAATAAATATCATAGTTTGTAATAAATTTTTCAATAAATTTATAATTGCGAAAATATTTTTTGATTGTTTTAAATTCACCATAATTTATTTAAATAAAATTTAGTATTAGAGTCAACAATTAACTTTTTGGTTAAAACAAATTTGAAAAACATCTAAATTAGTTTTCTAAATCAAAATAATAAAATGAGTAAAAGAATTGTATTTTGCTTGATTTTTAACAATTATTTTATTTAAAATGAAAACATTTTGCATATAAATAAAATATTAAAAATAAACCATAAATTTATTTATCACTATTTTCTGCACAAACTATATTTATTCATATTTTATATATCTTATAACTGATAATAATTTAAAAATTTTTATGAAAATCAAAAAAATTCTTATTTGTATTGTGTAATAATAAAAAATTTTTTAAAAAGGAAAAATCAATTTTTATTGTTTGTTTATTCTTAAAAATGAATTATTTTATTTTAAAATTTCAGTATTTAATTTTTCTTTTGAAAAATAACAAAAGAATCTAAGTAATATTTCAAAAAATCCTAGAATTTATCTTATAAGAATATCAATTTTTACTTTTTAGAAGATAGAATGTATGCATTGATACTTTATCGTTAGTATTTTTAAAAATAGAATATTTTATCTTCATAATGTAAGCAAAAATATTAATTTTTTTAAATTTCGAGCTTCATATTGTTGTATCGTATATTTACTTAGACAAATAAATAATTAGCTAGCTTTGATGACTTTTATTTAAATATTATTTTAAGTTAGGAATTACTAAGTTTATTTATTAAATTTGCTTCATATTTTATTTGGGAAATTGTAAAGAGTAATAATTAGTTTTTTTGATTTTTAGATAGTAAATAATAATGATGCTTAGAAATTATATATTTTTGAATTAGTTTTTCTACTTAGTTTACATATATATAGATAGTTTAAAAGTTAATCATTTTTAATTTTTCATTTATATATTCAAATTCTTTTTGTTTAAGTATTATTTTCAATTCACATTCAATTAACCAACTCATTGAATCAATTTATCTGTCTGAAAAAAACTTTATAGATAATAGAAAATTTGTTTAAAAATTATTAACTAGCCAAGAGTTTTTTATTATACTAGCTATCTTAAAAATTTTGTAGTCCTTATCGTATTTCAATTGTATATATAAATAGTAAAAATACAAATGATCTTTCATATTCTCAAATCCAAAAATTTATGAAAAATGTTATTTTATTTTTTAATGGCAGGAAAAAGATCTAATTTTTTACAAATACTTCCAAAATATTCAAGAAAATGCTATTTATGGGCTTTTTGTGCGATAGAAATTAACGATTTTATTGATGGTTCAAATCTGAGAGTAAATGAAGCTCTCGTGTTTAAAAAAAATTATCATTTTTATTTTTTTTCATTTACCATCATCATCTTGAAAAAAATATCAATCATTAAAAAATATGTCATAAAATGTAAATTTTAAGAATCACAATCAACAAATTTATTTTTTTTTGAACCAAGCAGCAGATTAAAACATTGTTATAATGATTTTATTGTTTTTATAAAAGTGATTTCCTAACAATATTTAAGTTTGTTAGCGCTTAAACTTGAAGAGTAGGTTTGTTAAAATCGAAAATTAATTGACTATCTATTTTGATTATTGCTAGAAGCTAGCTGAAATTTAAACGAATAAACTGTATTCCTTATTATGAAAGAACTAAATAAATTTTAATGGCATTTAAAGTATTATTTGGTTTTATAAATTACAAGATTTTAAATGTTAACTAGCATAAAGTTAAAATTATATTTTAATTGCATGAATATAAAAAATATAAACTTAAAATATTGATCAGTTAAAGTTAGTTATTTATTTAGATAGTTGGTAAAAAATATACCATATATAGTGAATAAAGTGAGTAAATTTAAAGTAAATTTTATTCTTAGTTCCAATAGTCTTGTAGTTAAGTATGGGGTAGTTAAAGTAAAAGTAGAAAATAAAATATTTTCTATGTCTTTCAATTGGAGTAAGTAAACAAGTATTTATTAATGTATGTAAATTGGTAAGTTGTGTTTAACTAGTGAATGAATGAATAAGTAAGTAAGTGAGCTAGTGAGTGAGTGAGTGAATGAGTTTTTCTTTGTTTTGTTGTTTTAAGAGTAAAAAATTATTGTGAATTTGTTATTTTAGTTAATTTTTAAGAATTTTATTTTGTTATCAATTAATCACTTTATTTAATATTTTTCTTATATAATCAAGTGAGATTAGCATGATTAGTTAGTTGATTTTCGTTCAAAAATTTTTTCATTATTTTATTTATTGAATTACTACGAGTCTTTGGTTTTAAGGATTATAAGCTCTTTCACTTGGAAGTAGAGATCTAAAGTAGCATTGTTAATTATTAATGAGCATTTATTGAAAATCATTAGTTGTAGGAATTAGGCACGCAATTTAGCTTGCAGTATTTGGATTAGAATAATAATTATTTTGATATAAATTATTCATATTTGATCCTTAAAAGATAGTTCCTTAGACTATTCTATTATTATTATTATTATTGAATATTTGATCATTCAATAAAATATTAGATTGATATTGTGGATTCATAAATTAGTTCTTCATAAATAGTTGTTATTACATGCTTTCATATTGTGCTTACTAACAATTATATATATATTATTGGTATTACTATTACTAGTATAATTGTTATTTATTTATTTAATCATCTAACATTATTTGTGGCATATTTATCACCTTTATTTGATTATCGCAAGTAATTTGCCTTATAGGATTGTTGATTGTATTAATTTAGTTCAGATCTATGTTTCCATATACTTATTATTCAAACTTGCTGGCTGAATTATTTTAGCTGATTGTCATTTACTGGGTACGATTAAATTATTAGTTCTAAACTTAAAGAGATGAAATTTAGGGATATTTTTAGTTAAAAGAATGTTATTATTTAAATGGCAACTCATTTGTTAATTTGTTACCACCAGTAGATTAGTAAACTTAGTCAGAATAGTTTTAAGAATTGACTAGTGAAGGGCCTAACTTAAATTCACTGGCTTTTTGAGCTTCTTCTTTAATGTTGCTTTCTAAGAAACTAAAAACCTATCCATTTGTTTAAGGCGAATTCATAAAAGTGGATTCTTCGCTTAGTTTAGAATTCATCATGTTTTTAAATCTTTATTGTGTGCTATATTTTGAATTCTAGGCAGTCAGCTAGTTTTATATATCTGCTATCTACTCTTCTGACTTGAGTATAGTAGTCTAAGATCTTGCTTATTTTTCACCCTTATCATCAAAGTGCTCTGTGTTATACTTATCTCTATTGTTTTACATCTTAGTTTTGAGGTTTAAGTTTTTTATTTAGATAATGTTATTTTGATGATTGTCAAAAGCCTAAAAGTCATTTTTTATTTCGTTTTTAAATGGCGTGAGCAATGAGCCATCATAATAAGAGCGATTTTTGTATATGTCTTCTTCCTATCCCATATTTTGAGAGTAATCACTGCTCTCTAGTTTTAATTTGGGTTGTATTTATTTTTAAATTGATATTTTCACATTTTTCTGATAATCATTATTTTGATAATGTTAGTCATCTGCGGTTGTTTTCGGGTTTTTTAGGAATGAATCAGAAGTAGGTATTAATGAGGAAGATGATAAACTTGGTGATTATTTAATTTTCTTATTAGACTCTCCCTAGTTTTCTTGATTTTCATTAGATAATAGGCTATCTCCTTAAATACCAGCTTCAATACTGCATCTGGGTTTTGATCTCTTCGCTAATTTTTCAAGTGAAAAAGTCTTGTCTTTATTGTGAAAATAAAAAAAATTTAAATAAAATAGAGAATTCATTCAAAAATATGAGTTAATTTTTAATAAATATATATTTTTTTAATGTTTACTGGCTGCGCTTTAACTTTCTAAGGCTTTTGAATTTTCATCTATGGCTTATTACATGTTAATTTCATGTGACTTTAACTGCTAATCTAAATAGCTGATTTTATTTTGATTTTCCTCATTGAATTGATAAATATTTGAATTTTGCTTGTTACCAGATAAATGAGATTCGCCTGAATTTAAATTTTTATCCTTTGTTAATTCCTATTACTTCAAGTTTTTTTATTTGAATTTAGAGCTTGAGTCGCTTACTTCTTTTACAAATTGATTCTAAATTTTACAATCAATATTTTTTTACGCACTATTGGTGATAATTTATTTAATGAAAGCATTATCATTATCATCATCATTGAATTAATAATTTGATTAATCTTGAGTTTTATTTACTTTTTATCGTTTTCTTTATATTTTTTCTTAATTTTCTAAGCAAGTTTATTGCAATTTTTTAGATTATCTTTAATTGTTCATTCTTGCTTTAAAAATTTTTTCATCACTCTGATTTTCATTATTCAAAGTGTGTAATTTTGAGCTTTTCTGACACTTTAACTTTTCACCCATTTATTAGCATGAATTACCACTGCCTTTTTCTTCAATATTATTTTTGTTTGTTTACTTTTTGTGCATATAATTTCTTAATGAAGGAACTGCTTAAACTCTTATTCCTGTATTCATACGCAATTTCTTTCTAAGCTATTTATCCTCCATGATATACTATAATATGGGGAATTAATCTTCAAATAGCTTATGCCAAAAGCAATAGAAATTTTAATATTATGTTTCTCTCTAAATTGTATAATAATGCTAAAGAAGTATCAAAGCACATAAGCGCTGTCTATAAAAAGTGCAGTATTCTAATTAAGGAACATTAGGATTTGGAGAAGGTTTTGAAATAGCTTCAAACAAAATGTTGACGTATTCCTTAGTTTACTAGCTTTATTCTATTTTTTAGCAAAATAAATTCATCAGAACAATATATTTTTTTTGCTTTTCCACCATCTGCTTCTCAGCTAATTCCTTCATTTTACGAAAAACTTCACGTTTATACAAGAGACCCATATGTTAAATTAACAATGGCGATATATAACTCTCTAAATAATAATTCATGAGAGTGGCTTGGAATTATTTGTTAATCTCTTTATGGTCTTTATGCTAGATATCTAGCGTAATTTTCAATGTTTCACGTCCAGTCTCTTCTAATATATCATTAAATACTTAATCATCCCGGAGCAATTAACCCTAGCATTCATAATATGAGCTAGGGAGAGAGCGGTTTTCGCAGAATTCTGTGAAAAGTTGTTATTTAGAAATTAAAGGTGAATTAGTTTTGTGAATAGAATCACATGAAGCATTTTAGGTGTCTTCTCCAAAAATCATCTCTTAAAAATTGTTTTTTAAGAATTTTAATTATATTAGATATCAGAATAGTATGATGCTTTTCAGACAATCTTTGATAAAAAAAGCAACTTAGATTTACCTGCTTGAATTGATTTAATCTGTCAAACAATTGATATCGAATTTAGAAAGTATTTATCGCTTTTCAAAGTTTTTTGTTCTTAAAGACAGAGTTATTTCCAAGTAATTTTAAGTTTAGGTTCTGATATAGCAAGATATAGTTTTCTTCAAGTTTTATTACAAAACCTCTTTTTTTGTTTATTTTGATGTTTATTTACAAATTTCGACAATATAATTTTGCTTTTCAATTCATTTAATTCCTTTCAAAACAGATGTATATGTTTTTATAAACAAATATTCAACTGCTTAGACTTTTAAAATTCTAACCATATCAAACACATAAAATTACTTTTTATTGATTGCTTTCTATATTTAAGTTTAGTTGAGTTTGTAAGTTCTGAATTTTCCTTAAAAAGTAATTCAAATATAAGAAGTTTCCTTTCCAAAAAAAGTAATATAATCTATTTCAAGTAAAAGTTGACTCATAATTTTACATCTATACAGATTACATTAATTTAGGTAACTAAATACATTAATTATTCTGATTAGTCTACCCATCTAATTTATTATTAAATTTTTTATAAACAGTGATGCAAACATGTTTTATAATTATCTTACTTCCCTTCAATAAAGAAGCACTCAATAGAGAATAACATTAACAACGATTTGGCAAATAATTTATAGCTATTACTTTTTGTGACATACTTAATTTATTGATATAAATCGATACAAGAAAATAAATTTGATAGATTTGAATTTTTCTTCATTAAAAAGAATATTAAAAATGTATTCTTATAATCAAGTTTACTTTCTTTATTTGATGTATTTTTGAATATGAATTCTCAATTTCCCTCAGGTTTGATGAATTTCATAATGTGAAAAAAAAAAATTAACCTTCTACTAACTTTTTAATTTATTGATAAAATCAAAAATAAAGTAAAGTAATAAAATATTGTAAGATATTTTCTAAGCTTTTATCTGCCTGATTAAAAAAGATAAAACACACAATACAAGACAATACAAAAAAAATCGTAAGAAATCAAAATAAAATCATTCATCTCATAAGTTAATTAAATATTTTTAATCATTGCTTACTTCCAAATATTTATTTTATGGTGAAATATTATGAAATGAACATTACTACTTAATTATTGCAACATTATGATAGAATATAGAGTTTGTTAATTAAAAAAAATGCGTTAAGCGAATAGCTAACTACTTTTAACCTTTTAATTTGATTTGGGAACTACTCAAGCTAAAAAATTAGTATCAAAACTTACTATTTATTTATTAATTTATTTTCATTAAAGTATTTTTTAATTGTTTCCTGCTTGTTAATTAAAGAAAAAGTGTGTATATATATATCTATTTTTAAGATACAGTAATCTGAGTAACAAAAACTCAAAAAATTTTTTTTCAAAACCATCCCTATATTCTGTAATCTCGAATAAACTCTATTTAAATTAATTTTTACTCAAATTTTTCCTATCCTTGATTATTGAAATTATTGTTAAATAACTTCTCTTTTTGTTTAAGAAATTAAAATTTTTTTTCCTTCTTTGATAAAATCAAAAAATTAGCTTCTTGGAATGAATCATAATTAATAAATAATCCATAGTCTAAATAGGTTAATTAGATTCTATTTAAAACTCACATAAATGTCATTAAAAAGGTATTCAATTTTTAAAAAATATCGCATTTTAAATGTCAGCAAATTAATAATTTGGCAATTTTTCAAGTATTGGAAAATTGATAATAATATTTATATTTATTTTCTGTAACTTCCAATCATATTGCTTGTATTCATTACAAAATATTTGGTTGGTGCTCTTAAACTTAATCATAGACTATTATTTTTGTATAAATTATAATTACTAGGTATTCTTAAGAGAAAATAATAAATTTATTCAACAGTAAGAATCTAACATTTCTCAAATTTGTAAAAATAATGGTAAAATATTTTGAAGTTAGTTGCTCCTTATATTACCCTTATGAAAATTTGGTAAAGTGTAAAGTAGAGGGGGAATTTTAATTAAATCATTAGAACTAGTTATAAAAACTTAATTCAGCATTATATATGCATATGAATTATTTGTGTGGAAAGCAACTATACTTCTGAATAAATTTTGTGGTTTTTACCAAATAATTTAATTCTTTCTTTGAAAATTAAATTCTAAGGCTTTTATTTTTTTTATTGATTTATTTTTTCTTACTCGAATTGGGATGTGTATTTTTATTCCTAATTTATTTATTTTTCTAAGTGTGGCTAAAATAATTAGCAACATAAGTCAAAAATAATATTAAAAAAAATCCTTTCTTGATGAGTTACTGATTTAACTAAAAATACCATTGTAGAGAAGATCACTTAAATGTTGAATAGACCCTCTAAGTTTAATTTAATTGAAAATCAATTTTTTAAAATCAAAGAACATTTAATCTTCATTAAAACTATAAATTAATTCAGTAAAGAAAGTTTCTATTTGTTATTTAAAAAGCGCTAGCATTATTGTGGAGATAGTATTATGCTTTTTTTTTTTTAATTAAAACACAAGCATTTATTTTCTTCCAAATAAATGTATATTTGTGCATGAATAAAATCTGAAATATTTTAGTTTCTTTAAATGGCTACTAAAATAAATCATTTCCAAATAAACTATTGTGATACAAGTAGTATTATTTCATAGAAATTTTGCAAAATAATTTAAACAACATAGAATAGAGAAAACGCTGTAGACTTTGTTTATTCAAAAAATTTAATTTAAAAATTTTGAAAACACATGAATTGATCATTTATAACAAATTTTTCTAGCTTTTGAATTTATGAGTCATTTATTATTATTTTTGATTTTTTTTCTTTTTCTATTATTAAAGATTAACATAATTTAAAGTCTAAATTTCTATTCTCGCAAAAATAAGTTCTTTATGAAGTAAATCATCAATAATTGAATTTCATTTTTTAATTGTAAAAATACTTAACAAAAAATTTTAATATAAGCAATCCTAATGGATAATATATACTATATATTATGAAACAATTTTTTTTTTTAGTTTATTACCATTTATTTAATTATTACCTATATAAATTTTGCCTATCTTCAAAATATTAAAAAGCTAGTTTTTTAAAATGACTAAGTAGGTTAAAGAGTAAATTATATAATTAATTATCAAAATACAAAATTAATCGATTTTGAGCAAAACAATAATAAAATTTATGGGTAATATCTATTTTTTAAATAATTTTTTAAGTTTTTTAATGAAAAGTTTAAAAAATTATATTTTTTTAATAGCTTCTTCTATCAGTTATAAGTAGAATTATTTATTGAATATAAAGAAAAGATTCTATATAGTTTTTTTAAATTTAATTTTATAAGTTTAGACATGAATGTGTGTTTAAATATTAAATTATTATCGTTAAACATAAATATTACTAAAAATAAATAGAGTTTTTACTTACTTTTTACCATAAATAGACAATTTTAGTATTACTTTAGATTTTTTGATGAGTTTTATTCTTAAAATAATAAATAAGTAAATATTTTGTTCAAAAATAAAGTAAAAAAATCTTTAGATTAATAATTATTGTTTGCTTTCTAGCATATCAATTAATTTAATTCAAAAATTTAGTTTATTATATATATTAAGTTGTTTGATATAATATTATAAATTAATTTTAATGAATAAATTATCAAAATTTTTGTATACTTAATATTTATTGTTGATGCAAATTAATATTCTAATTCAAAAATTATTAAAATTATATTATTTTCTACTGATAGAATATTTTAAATCAATTTGTATTGATATTTTCAAATTACAATTGGCTCTTTGGATTTTCATTTTGCTGAACCCCTACTTATTGTTCTTCATAAAAAGAAAAATCTTATAAAATTTTTTTATTATTATTGCTATATCCTGCACCGTCTGCATAATAATTTAAAGGAGATAAATTAATATTTTAATTAGAATTAAAGCTTTCATTTGAATTTCTTACTTATAATTCAAAATTTTAATGCTACTATTAAAGATGCTTGTAAAATTAATCATCATCGCTTCCAAAAGAATTCACTCTTAAGTGAGTAGAACTCTTCTCTTGCTATGATTTATTTTTTCCTAATGATGGAGGTTCCACTATTCTGAAAGGAGCTCTTCTTTATTGTTAAACTAATTGTTATTATTATTGCTGCTATTATTAATTCTATGATTATTACTATTATTCTTGTTGTTGCTAATATTATTATTATTATTGTTACTGGTTATTTGGTTAAAAAAATATTTGTTAATTCTACTACTATGAGTTATACTAATATTATAAAGAATTTGATAAAACATCATCATTTTAAGGATATCTGAGAGAATCGGAAATTTATAGCTGATTGTTCGGATTCTAAATAACAATATAATTATCTGATTATTGGATTCTTTGTATTTCAGGAGAATAGCTACTAATTTATGCCTAAGCCTAAACATACTGAATCTATAGAGGATTTTGGTTATGATTCTCGTTCCTTTCCATCATTGGATGACTCTAAATATTTTAAAATATGGGATTTGCAATTCTCCCTCCAGCAACGTTATTAATTTAATTTTGGTTATTTTCACCAATTTATTAATTTTGATTAATATCTTAAATTTATTATAGTAGCTAAATATTTTAAAGGTTTTACTCTTAATTTCGGAGATCGTTTTCTTCTATGAATTCTTCTAGTTAAAAAGAAGGTTCAGCTTAATCAACTATTTTATCAAGAATCGAATGACCTGCATGTTGCAGCTAGTGCTTTTCTCGCTTTAGTTTTTAAAGTGCTTTTCTAACATCGTTCCTACAATAAGGGCATAGCACACTGTTTTTAAACCAAACTTTTATACATTCTGAGTGGAATAAATGCTTGCATTAAACTATTTCAATCATAACTTCATTCTCTTCGAAAGTTTGCAAACAAATAGCACAATCATTAAGCTAAGGATTATGAAAACCTGACTCAAAAGAAAGTTTCATATCCTTAGACTCTTTAGCATTAACTACATGGCTAGGTAGAGATTCGAATTCTTGTGAGGTTAAACCTTCACGATTTACAATTGAATCAGAAGAGCGCCAAATTTATATTAAACTTATTAATGCTACAACCAATAAACAAACAGCAATTATTGTATAATAAACTAAGTTAACTAATAGGATGCTGTAAAAAAAGATAAAACTGTATTAAATAAATGCTATTTGAGATGTGAGATGAAAATCTATTGAAAAAACAGACTGGTCTTAGATTTCTGAACAATTTATCAAATGAATTATAAGGTACATAATTGTGATTTAAAAATCGTATCTTCTCGAGTTAGACAGAATCGTACGAAACAAGATTAGTGATTACTGAAAACCTAGTAAAAGGGTAATAAATATACAGACCATAACTCTATTTTCTGATTGAGTACTATGCATCCACTACTATATCGCAAGATATAAGTAAATTCCTGATAAAATTATGTTCAAACAAGATTCAAAAATCTTGAAATCTATGCCCATCATTTTTATTTCAAAAGAATATATCTATTTTAAAATGATGATAGTAACTCCTATCTATATTCTAAAATACTCCTAAGTTATTTATCAATCTATTCAATTTATTCTTTGATTTCCTTAAAATACTTTGCTTTGTCTACCTTTTAATAATATAATTATTTGCTTCTTATTTTTTCACTCTAAAATCTTACAAGATAGTATTAAAAATGCAAAATAAGTTTTTAAAAATAATGAATCAATTAAATTTCTGAAAAATCCTTCAATTTATTGATCAATCTCAAAAGAATATTCAAATAAAACAAAAATCTCTTTCTATTTTTAAGATCCATAATCAATCAATACAATTCTATTGTATTTAATTATAAAAGCTTGAAATAAATTGAAATTTTATATTATATTTTTACCAAAAAAAGAATTTCTATTATAAAATTCTATATTCTATCTCAAACTAAATTATGTAAATAACTTGTATGTCCTATATTAATTTAATTAATTTTTTTAAATTTTAAACAAATTATTATTCAAAACTTAAATTTAAATTGAATTAGTTATGTAATAAAATTAAATTAAAGATCAAATAATGGTTTTGAGAAAGAAAGATATTAATTTATTTTTATATCTATTATTTGTTGTATATTTATATAAATGATTGATAAAATCATTTAAATTCCTTCATTTAATTAAAATAACTTTATTTAAAAAACTTAAACTATTTTTGGTTTAATAAAATACATCAATTTAATAAAATTAAAACATTATAGCAATTTTAAACTCTGTTATTATGGTATTAGTTTAATAGCAAAATTTTTTAGTTAAAATAATTAATATTTTAAATGGAGGATGAGATGTATTAATTGTTTTTTTATAGTAAATTTTAAATAAAATGCACTCAAATTAGCAATAATTTAAAATTTAATTAACTTTTTTAACATTAAAAAAATTTTGTTAGTTTATTCAAACTGCATTTTATAATAAAATAAATAATAAGTTCTTATAAGCTAAAATAAGTATTTTTATAAGGATTTTAAGATGGGAGGGAGGCATGAATTAAAAAGTTTTATATCATTTTCTTTTTTTAAAATTCTTCGATTATTCTAAATTTTTTTAAAATAAAAATTTGAATAAGTGCCACAGATATTAAAATATATCTATTTTATTTATTTTCAAGTATATAAATTAATCAATTAATTTATCTTTAAAATATAATTTTTAGCTTAAACTATTTTATTGTTTAATAAAAACTAATTAAGAAATTTAAAGTATAAATATTTTAATTTGATATTTTACCTTAAAATCTTTAAATAACTAAAAAACAATAAAAAATAAATCCATTTTAATAGAAATATTACAATGAAATAAATTATTTAAAAATAAATTAAAATATTTAATATTCATTAACCTAAGTAAATTTATCTTATCAAAGTGAAATTAAGTATAATTCATAAACAGATTGATATTTAATAAATTGAAAATCTGGATATATTAAAATTTAAATTTCGTTATTATTGCTTTAAATATGTTTTAAATAATGTAAATAATTTATGTATTAAATAAATTTGTTATATTTAGGTAAATTAATTTTATTATTTTCAAATAAAATAAAGAAAAAAATCTTTACAAGAAATGACTAAAATTATTGAATAATTTTTATAACTTAACAAATAAGCAAAAATCCAAAAATAACCTCATAATTTTTCGAATTAATATTTTATATCAAAATAAAATAGGTATTCGATTTTTAAAATTTGCAAAATAATTTTTCTATTTGGAGAGTATATACCCTAGGCTAAATAAGAGGTAGAAAGGAGATATCTGGAACTCTTTATTTGATTTTGAATGACTGTTGCAGATAATTACATGTGATATATACTCAAAATCCTGGATTTCTACTCCCCTCCCTTCCCCGAATTTATTAAAAGTGTGTTATATTTAAGCAAATTTAGTTTTAATTTTTTCAGATTTAATAAAAAATAAATATACAAGAAATGATTAAAATTATTGAATTACTTTCATCAATAAATTCATAGGGAAAAACAGAAATATAAATATTTTATATCAAAAGAAAGTTTAATTATTAAACATTAATTATATTTTAAGGAATTCATTTTTTAAATTTGCAAATTAAATATGTGTTTAAAATAAAATATAAATATTTAGTGTGATTTATAAAACTACCATTAAAATTTTTGGCTATCTAAAATAAATATTTAATTAAGTTCTTTATATAATATTATATTCTAATATGTATTTATAAGTTTTAAATTGTACTTTCGTCTACTAATATAAAAAAATAAATGTAACTGCTGAAATTATTATAAAAAAATGTATCTATTGCAGTCTTATAAATATTAGAATAGATCAAATAACACTTGATGTAATAGCCTAATCAATCATATAAATTATTGCAGCAAAAGTTACACTTTTTAAAATTTATGTTTAGAAATTCTCGACAGATTTTTGTCAATTGAATTTATTCATAATTTTATCTAAGTGTAATTAGATTAAGCTAATAAAAGAAATATATATAAGTTAGATAAATGTATTTAAATCATCTTTTACAAATATTATTTTAGGTTAATATTTATCAAATATGCATCATATGCTAGTTCACTTCCTTTTATTAAATCTTGTGTAGATGTATTTAGGAAGTTAATTTTAATATAGATTGTAAAAATATTTAAGCATTCACTATCAATATCTTTCGAATAGAAAGTCTATAGTTAGTCTATTCTAACTATCTTAAAATAGAGTTAAACTTATTTTATATAAATTAATATATTTATAACTCATATTTTCATTTTTGTAACTTTTAATTGATATATATATTTTTTATAAATATTTGATTGATTAAAGTATTAAGCTCTTTACCACTAGATTAGTTTTAGATCTTAGTTTCTCTGTATGGCTGTCAAAATTTTCATCATTTTAAAATCCCAATTTATTTAAGACAAAAAAATTGATATTTTGGAATTTATTATTTCCTTCTATAATATATTTTTTACTTTAAGTTGAAATATTCACTTTTTTAAATGGTTATTTTAAAATATTTTTTTAATTTTTAGTATTTCATATGCCTTTTAATATTTGAGTGAAATAAGTAACTAATGATTAATTGCTCTTCTTGTTTAAAATGCAAATTTAACTTAATTTAAAAGTACAACTATAGTTTTTATTTTTTTTAAAGCAAGAAAATAAAATATTATTGAAGGAATATTTTTCTCTATTGGTTAAATAGCTGAAAAGATTGAAGGAATAGAATTTTTTTTTTATAATCTAGTATCCAAAATTAGAAAAAAATTAAAATAGACATAAAAAAATAATAGACAATCTTAATAAATCAGTTTGAAAAAGCATAAGCAGCTCCTTACTTTATTTATTGCAGTTAAATTAGTAATATATATAACAACGCAAATTTTATAGAAACTGTTTCATTAGCTTTTAAAATTTATTATATAATGACTCTATAATCACTAAGGATGATCTCTATTCTTACTTTAATTTGAATTTATATTATATTTTAACTCAAATATAACCATTTTGTTATTTGAATAATATTTGCTAAACAAAAGGTAAGATTTATAAAATTTTAGAAACTCATACACCATTAAATATTTTCTCCTTTATATTTATAAGTATTTAGGTTACAAATTGCTTTGAAAAGATTACAGTTTGAGTTTGGTTTGATTTCAATCTAATTAACTCTAATCTATTTCAAAAGAATACTTTTGCACTTCTATAAATACTTTTTGTATTTTTTTAAGATACAAACACAATAAATATTCAATAAAATTACTTTTTTTTCATTATGACATATTGGAATAGTAACAAACTTTAATTACTGGAGTCATTATTTTGATAAATTTAGCATATATCACTTTTTTTATACAATTTAGATATATTACAATTATTAAAATTAGACTAGTGCAAAAATATAGTTTCATGATAATTTATTTATTAATCTAGCAAAATTTTTAAATTGTATGTAGACTCAAATGGAAAATTATAATAAATTATTAAAGGAACATTATCCTTTTTTCAGTTTCATTTATCTATTTACTACTCACTAATTTAATACTCTGTCAAAAGTTTTTTTTTCTTTTACTAAAGTAAAATTTAAAAAAGCAATCAAACCAATATATTTTTCTATCCATATACATAATTATTTCAATTTTCCCTTCCATGTTTTGATTAAAAATAATATCATTGGAAATTTTTTTGATAAATATACGCAAAAATTTTTTTACAACTGTATGAGATTAGAAATGTAGTTTGGTTGTATTTAGGAGCAAAAATATTTTAATAATTTAAAAATTTGTGTTTTAACTTTGAAATTGAATTAATAAATATCTAATTTTGCTTTACTTTGATGATACAGCTTCGAAAGATAATTTTTTCATAGTTTTTTATAATTTAATTCTTTTGAATCCTGCTAATATTAAAAAAGGACTAAAATAAAGTAAAAAAGAATAAATTATCCAGCAAAATACTTAAATAATTTGAGATTAATTAAGCAATTATTTAATTAAGAAAAAGGGAAGAGGAACCATTTAATTTCTATTATTGAGAATTACATAACCGTTGTATAAATTATTTAAATTCAGGTTAAAAAAGATTAGAGAGCAGGATAAAGTCGCTGAATTATCAATTTAAAGGTAGTAAGTAAATCTTCAAGTAAATTTAAATTTACAATGTTAAGCATGTTGAAAATATAACTTAGAGAGTCTTAATTTTAAATTTTATAATTAATTTTCCTGTCTGTTTAGAAACAAAAATATAAATAAATAAAAATGCTGAATAGAATTTAAAAGTTATATTTCATGAAATCTTTGCTATTTTTGTTTATTTGAAATGTGTGAGTTGCTCGATATTCGAAATGAGTAAATTTTTGTAATTTTAGCTTGTGGGTTGCAAATTCAAAACAATTATAATGTATTTTACTAAAGTAGAAAAGAGTTATAGTTGCATTTTTTAACCTTAAAACTGCTTCAATATTTTATCAGTACTGTTTTTCTTTTTCAAAAAACAATATATGATAAATGAATGATACATAACATTTTGTTTTTTGATTTAATGAATACACAGAAATAAAAAATGCATTATAAAAATAGTAAATTAAAATAAAACGAAGAAAATAAGCATTAAATATTGATAGTAAATTAAGATTAATGAAAAGAAAAATTTGAAGGTATGTAAAATAAATTGAAAAAAACATAGTTGAAATCAATGATTAATTACCAATATAATGAAAAAAGCAAAAAATAAATATCAAAAAATTAATTAAAAAAATAGATCGAACAAACTACTTAATAAACAAAGAGATTAATAAATAAACAAGTAAACTACTTAACTAACACTAAGAAAGAACTCATCGTAAGAATTAAATCGCTTCGTACTATCTAAAAATTTTCACATTGAGAATATTGAGAGTGATTAAAAATACGCAAACAAAAAAAGATTTATAAAAACTAAACTAGAAAAATATTTGAAAATCTTTATTTTATTATATTAATTTGGTCTCAATATAATTTGAAATAAAGCATTTTTGATTGATATATTTATTTAATTAATTGCTTTTTGCTTGCCTTGTTAATTAATATTTATTTGCTAATAATACAAAAGTAGTAATAATAATTATTAATTTATTGATATTCATTAATTTGATAAATACATACATATATTCATTCAACCTTCTTCACTCTTAATAAATACAAATACTAAAAATAATTCCAAATAAATTAATTAATAAAAAAATAAATAAATAAATCCATACTAAAATCCTTCACTCCCAGCAGCTATTTTCATTCAATAGTTTTCCGGTGCAGTGCACTTTGATAATAAATTTTTTTAAGAACGAAGATCAGCAACAATATTAAATTTATAAAACAAACAAAAGAATAAAGAGAAAAATAATTAAACAAAATCTCCTTGAATTCCAGTGTGTTTATCAAGTAAAAAAAGAGAAGATAAATAAGTAAGTTTAAAAGTCACCGACTTATGGATAAAATTAAGAGCGAGCATTTAAGCTCCCAGAATAGCACTCCTAATAAAAAAACTCCTATGAAATCTTAAAATGAAAATGATGACTAGCAAGGAAATTAGCAAAATTATTAGCAGTAATAGCAGCCCAAATAACGTAGAAGCCGCAGCGATAATCATAATAGGGAATTTTTGTGTGGATGTGGAAAATCGTATTTGAGCGGTGCTGCCCTTTATACACATGTTAAGCAAAAGCATGGAGGTATCGCTTAAAATGGTTCTTAGTAGCCCTCAGCTTCTGCAGGTAATGCAAAAGGCAAGTCTAAGGTAATTTTTTTAATTTTTAGTTTAGTTTAAAGCTTTTGAATTGTATCTTAATGCTTTTAGGTCTATGAATAATTTTTACTTTTTTTTGTAATTCAATTGCCTATCAAATAGCACAAGATTATTTACTGTTGCGCCGATTTATCTTTTAAACATAGAAAAATTAATTAAGATTTTCTCTTTGTTCCTAAATTTAATTATCTGCTTCACTACTTTTATTGATTGATTGATTAATTAATTGATTTTTTTGATTTCAAAAAAATTTAAGTTCTAAGCAAAGGAGAGTTTTGATACTTTTTACTGAATTAAATGTCAGACTCAAGGAAATTAAAAAAAAGATATTATCTTTTTATGATATTTTTTTTTAGCTTAGATTTATATTTTCAAATAGAAAAACTTTTTCTATAACCACATTTATATGAAGACAAATAAAGCATTTTAGGAATATAAAACATTATTGGTGAATTAATTCCCAATTATTTTATTTAAAATAATGCTTTCCATGATAAATTAGTTTAAATATTTCATATTTTTTAAAAATTTAGAAAAACGAATAATCTAATAATGAAAAGAGTACATAAAAATAAGAAGATAAGCAAAAGTCTGATTAGAAACTAGATGCTAGCACTGTATATGATGATATCCTCTCGTTCTTTTCATAAAAATTTGAAAATAACTCTATTTAGGTAATGAAAACATTTTTAAATTAAGTTTAAATTATTTAACCAACCATTAAAATGAGAGAAAGAGTAATAGAATGATATTTTTAAAAATGAGAGAATTGGTTTCTTAAAACAAAATAAAATTCCAAACAATTATTTGCATTATAGTAATATAAAAATAAACTTACTAGCTCATTTTTCTTAAATCCAATTGCAACTCCAATTATAAAATTAGGTGAGATTTAGTACAAGGGCTTTATAGAAATTAAGCCTATTTGTGGTATTATTATCATAAATAAATTATAACTTGCTAATAAATATAAAAATAAATGCTTTTTCATCAACTTATCTATACAAAAGAGTAAAAGTTAAGCATAGCATAATAGTTTGGCATATTAACCAATAAAAAATGAATGAAAAGCAACTTTCATAATACCATAAAACCCAATTTATTTATTGAATATTCATTTAATAGTTATAAAACAAGGAAATCTTTTTGAAAATACAGGCGTCTTAATTTTGTTATAAATGAATATATTATCAAATTTTATTCATAATAAATATATTGTCTATGGTTATTGAGTAATTCACAATGAGCAAAATACAAACTCGAATTTATATTTTAAGTTTTAAACATACATTTCATTATTCCGAAAATAATTAATAGCAAAAATATGATAAATACATCACTGCGAATTAAGTAAAATGAAAAATAAAAATTGTGGACTATATTTAATTTTAGCAAAATAATCTTTTGAATTTACAAGTGAATGAAATTTTTCATATTTATAAAATTAATTGAATGGGCGCTTTATATGCTGCTCTAATTAATAATTTAAAAGTAAAGGAGTTAAGGAAGTTGGAAAAGAAAAAAGAAAAATGAAAATAAGTCAGTGATTTTTAATAATCAATTTGATTTGCTTCAATCTAATTATTTGCAATAGAGTCTATTAACTATAAATAAATGATAAAAAAAACTTTTTAATTATATTCTAACTTTTTGATAAAAGATATTCAAATATTTCCTTGATTGATTTTTTGCTTGCAATTTAATAAAAAAACAAATCAAATTTTATTTTAAATAAAATTTTTAATTTTTATTTATTTGTTTGGAATAAACAAATTTATTTTTCAAAATCTTTCTCATCTCCCTCTTTCTTTTTTGCTTTTAAGTTTTTTATTTACTTCCTATCTCTATCTTTTTTAATTAATTTGATTAATGCTCCTTCATTCAGTTTTCCCCTCTTCTTTCAAAGTCATTCATTTAAAATTAACCAAAAGCAATAACCAGAACTTTCAATGATTGTTTTCCTTTTTTCTACTATTCATTAAAAACAGTTTGATGATTTTCACCTTACTCACTTTATCCAACATATTTTTAGATGTTTTATCTTAAATAGAAAAGCAACTCTTGAGAGCTTATTAAAGCCATCTTTTTTTCGATTTCAATTTTTATTAATGCAAATTAATCTAACAGCATTCAAAAAATTTTATCTTCCTCATCAAATAAAAGTTTTAAATTTATTATTTTATCCCATTTTTTCCTTTTAAGTAAATCCCTTTTACTTATGATTTTGTTCTGATTAAATTTTCTTTAGTAAAAATATTTCGAGGATAAATAAAATTGAGCTCTATAAAATAAAAGGTTGATAATTTTTACAAAGAACTATTTATCACCTGAATTTTAAATATTATAACTATTTTAAAATCATCAATTAAATATCATTTAAGAATAAATACTAATTAATTTAAATAAAATTATGTCACAATTAACAATCTTTTAAATGATTATAAATTTTACAGCTTTTACAAAATCTACTTTGTTTATATATTATCGGTTTTAAATATCCTCTTTAAATAATTTTACTTAAAAAAAATAACTTTACAAATTTAAGACATGATATTTAATCATGTCATTTTATTTTTGATAAGGCTAAATTGAGATTGTTTCCTTTTTCAAAATTTAAAAAAACACAGACCTTTTTGTCTATCATAAATTTAAATTTTTTGTCAATTTTATATCTTAAAATCTTATTTTAATGACAATTAGAAAATTGAAAACAATGAAGGATACGACTGGATTTTAGAAGTTTTCCCTCGTCACTACTTCACTAAAGGAACAGACTACTTCAAAATATTAAAAAACTTAGAAGATCTCATTAAATAAATTAATCTTTGTAATAACTAAATGAATAACAGCCATGATAATTATGCCCATTTAAATGGGAAATAAACAAATCAATAGTAAGTAAATAAATCTGAAACATAGTTGAATACAAAAAAAGCTGGTGGAGAAGAAAATTTCGGCGAAGAAAATACATACATCAATGAACAAGAAGGAGAGAGCGTTGTTGGATCACCAAATAATTTAAAGAAAATAAAGAAAAATTTGAGTGGATCAACTGTAAATTGTATAGCTAAAAACTCAACTGCGACAGCAAGTTTTGATGACCGTCATCTTGATGCTCATGATAATCATCAAAGCTTGCATGATATTAATAATAATAATAAAGAACATTCTGAATAGTATCATAATGCTTAACTTTCACATGAATTCGACTATTAAAATTTAGACATTTTTGATATGTAAAGAGATCTCCGCGTTGCTAGCTTGAATAAAATATTCTCAATTTTTATTTTAAATATCAGCTCAAGAGTGAGTTAATAAGCCTTTATAGAACTACTTGTTTTTATTACTCTTTTAAGAAAAGCTTTGAATGAAAAGGGTTGGGAGACATGCTCTAGCCCTCTGCCATACGAATAATTAAGACACTACATGCGCTCTCCTTATGGATATTTAATTCCTATACCTGGTCACCATATTGCTGCTCTTGGAACTCAAAATCATTCTTCCTAAAATGAAATAAATCATGAATAATAAGATAAAAAGAAATAATCAAGAAAGAGAAAGCAAACTGACAATATGACTACAGCTGAAACTTATACTGGCGTCTAGAGTAAGAAAGGGTGCAATGATTAAGAAATCAACTGTGTGCTTTAGGAAGAGGAAGAAGAATATGATAATGAAGACATGAATGAAGAATAAGTTGAAAACTAAAAAGATTAAAATGAAAATCAAAACGAATAATAAGCTAAGAACGAAAATAAAAACAATTTGATTAAGAATAAAAACTATTCTGGTGATAAATAAAATTAAAATACACCTTATATTAACCAATTGGAATTTTGCGAAACAAATTGCGGCCAACGCATTACTGAAATATCAAACTCTTTTATAATAGAATGTTTACCCACATATTTCAAGTCTGCTATCAGTAATGCAAATGAGTTGCATGTTATCGGACCTTCAGAAGAAGGTATGAAAAATGCCTGTTACATTTTGTAACTTTTTATTAATTGGATGTATGTCTTTAAATTTTCTGAGTCTAGACTAGTGTTTTCAGATTCTTCTTCTGCAGACGATGAGACTGATGAAAAGGATTTTGGAGAAGAATAAGATTTGTAAGATAAGAACAAGGGAACCTTTAGTGAAAAGAAAAGTAAAAAAACTGATGAAAATATACAATCTCATCAAGATATTGAGTAAGAACTAGATAATAATAATGATATCAGCCAAGATCACTTAGAGGGAAGAAATTCAAATAAATTTAAAAATAATTTAAGCGGCAGCAATCGCAAAAGTAATAAATTCAACTCTCTTTACGATGATTTAGAAGATGAATCAAAAGAAAACAGACACCATGGCAATCAATATAACAATGATATTGAAATGATTGGAGGTCGCAAATAGAGAAAATTAGATGTAGAAGATAACTAAAATATGATGCTTCAGGGTGATATCAACAATTACTTTATGCAAGGAAATATGAATTTTAGTTAATTTTAAGGTTTGTAAGATTCTATGAAATTAAACAATTTATTTAATGCCTAAATGTATCATGGAACACCCAACTATTTCCGCCAACAAAGCGCAGCTAATTCAACTACTTATATGAATTATTCTAACAGATTCCACGGAGGTGACCACTCTACCTCGTTCTACAACAGTAATAACTCTACTACTTTCTATCATCATCCTACTCCTGTAGCATATTAATATTGCAATAATTATAATGCTTCTTATCCCAGATCAAACAAGTATGGTGATCAAGAAACTCCAAAAATCAACGGATACACCAATGGAAATTTAAGTGTTAAAGCTGGTTAAATCCCTATGATGTATGGTTTCCCTATACCTCCTCAAGCATATAATGGTTACACAATAATAAACCCAATAATGTATCCTCAAATGTAGCCTCTCTATTATTAGCAACAGCTATTCCTTTCTCCTCAAAGTATCATGGCTTAAAACTCTATGGGAGATCTCTATATGGGAACTAACGCTGGTCAAAATGAGTTAAATTGAGATCGTTCTTTTAAAATCAAGGAATAAAAGAATGCTTAGTCTTACATAAAATAAAAGTCTGGCTAATCAGGCAGACATATTTATATTTACAGATTAAAAAAACTATTTATAAACTAAAAATTAAATCTAAATAAAAATACATACAAAATGACCTAAAGCATTTTAAAAAAGACAAAACTTACTTTCCTTTTTTTTCAAAAACGATCAAAAATTAATTTATGATTAACTAACTGACTGACTGATTGGCTGATATAAAATAAAATAAAAAAATAACAAACATGCAAAACATCTGTTTTTTTTTGAAAATTTTCAATTTAGACAACAAAATATATATTAAATTAGTATATAATTAATTAGATAACATATAAATAAATAAACCCATTTTTCATTTTTCTTCCTATCTCACCTTACACTCGCGGAGTTAATAACTCCATTTCTATTTTTTTTGTTGCATATAACACTACTATAAAACTAAAATAGCTGATTAAGCCTAATACAATTTAAAGTAGTAGTAATTAATAACTGAAAATAGAAACATCTATTGAAAAAGAAAAATACTTACATTTTAACAATTATCAATTTTTAATAACCAAAATACATAATTAAAAATAAATAAATAAATAAATCCTAAATGCTGATAGATAAAAAAAACTGCAAAATCATTGTCATTTAATAATTCACTTTAAGAAATAATAAGAATATAATAAATATCGAAAACTTAACTTCTTGTTAATCATTGACTTAATAATCATAAAGCTTAAATTCAACTAAATTGATTAAGAATTTTATGTTTCAACCAATTAATTATTTATAACTAACTGATGTATCTTTTTAACTTTATGACTTTTTATATGTATCATGTATTCATTATTAAAGCACCTTTAAATTTTCGAAACCTTTTAAAAATACCATATTACTTTGCATAGTATCAAATTATTACATATAACCACACATAAACCAATTAAAATGTTTTATATAAAGATTAATCTAACCTAATAAATATATAAACAGTTTGAAGAGAGTAGAAACACTCGGTTTCTAAGAAATAAATATAATAAAAATAATTATAGTAATCATTTTTAAAGATCAATATCGCCAAACTATTTTAGAGATAAAACCAACAAATAATGAATTGATTGTTAAAATTTGTATTTTATTTAAATTAAGAGCCAAAATAAAGTGCGGATAATTATTTTTATAAGATAAAATAAAATTTTTTAGCTATACTATTTCTAAAATCTTTCTTCTTAAGATTTTATATAAAAGAAATATTTTTAACTTATTAAATTTCTAAAATCTAATAGTAATGATGTTAAAATTAAAAATAAATTCAATACAAAAATATTTGTTGCTTTATAAAATATTATTTTTTAAGATGAAGTAGTACAAATTTATATGAGTTTAAAAATAGTTAGAGTGATTTACTTTTTTTATTAAGCATTAATAAATTAAGTGTAATTTTTTATTACATTTAGATTAAATAGATTATTTTATTTATTACTCTATTAATTTCTATTAAATAAATTTAATTTATTTTTCATTGATTTACTTATTTAATATGCTTAATTTGCTTTTACACCACTAATTTATTTTTTTCTCTCAATTTGGTCATTCAATTAATTTTATTTATTTATTCTGTTTTAATTTTTTCTATCTAATTAGGAAAATGTTCTACAAGTTAAATAAAGCTTGTATAACCATATTATTATAATTAATTTTGAAATAAGACTTTACTTTTGTTAATTTATTAATTAATGATAAAATTATTTTTTTAAATCGATAAAAAACATAAAAATAGGTGAATAGTCGTTATTAAATTTAATTAAAAATTTTAGGATTTTTGATATTAAAAAGAATATTGCTATTTTATTTTTAAAAAAACTCTACACTACCAAAAATATTTACTAACTCTTATTTTAATTTTTTAATTGTTTGTCAAGCATATAGATATTATTATTTTTCATGAAAATAATTGATGATTATAAAACATCCTCTTCTTTGAAAACAAATTTAATTTTTGTAAATGTAATTGAATAATTCTTGTTTGGTTACTTAACTTTAATTTATCATAAATTAAAAATAACCAACTAAATTTTCTATCATCATAAAGTGAAAATTAAATATATTTACATTTATTTACATACATATATCTCAAATAAATAAAATTTTTTTTTTCATAATTAAAATTTTTGTTCTGGAAATACTTCATAAAAATTATTGAGATTGATTTATAATTTTAGTTTTGTTTTTTATTTTTAACTTTTATATTAGACTATCCTTTTTCGCTAATTATTGAGAGAGGTATATGACAACATTCTTCAAATACGAAGAATGATTATATTTAGATATTATCATTATTACATTTGGATAAAATATTTATCTTTAGATTATTTATAAAAGAATTCAATTAATAAAATTGAATAGTGAGAATTAAAAACATGATGTAAATTAAATTTTTCAATTATGGGTAAATGATGACTCACTAAATTTGTTTACGAAATTTTTCTTGTAATTAATTGAGTGATTAGAAGATACTTTAATACATAATCAAAAACTTTATATCCAAAATATAAGTAAATTATTTAAGGTGCAAATAAAAGAAATTAAATACTCAAACAATAACTATAGGTAAAGTTATCTGATAAGTAAAAAATTAAATCATAAAAGTTAATAATTTGCTTATATAAAAAAAAAGCCAAATTCTTATCTATCTATCGATTTATCTTTCATCTGTTGGATTGTAATTGTATAGACATAAAAAAACAGTAAGAGTAAAGCAGATTCTAAATAAATGTTTGGAGTAATCTTTTTAATTGTAGTTGTGCTAATCTTGTTCTATTTGATTGGAGGTGGGCTCCTTGAGCACTATAAGGTAATTGATTTTAATTCTCCATATATTTACATCTAAGACGAATTGGATAAAACCAGATAAATTTGAATTAATTGTTTACTAATTTAATTTTATAATATATTATAGATACACGTTATTCATGAAACAGGATTAGGTATCATTATGGGTATGATTGTAGGATTTATTTTCTATCAAGCCGATTACGAATTCTACTCAAGTAGTGTAAACAATAATAAAATTGATTAAAAATGATTAAATTAGCAATTTAAAAAGAGTAACAACACCAAATTAACTAAAATTATTTTTAATTTAAATTAGATGATATTTGAAGGTGAGCTCTTCTTTTACTTTATCCTTCCACCCATTATTTTTGCAGGCGGTTACAACTTGAAAAAGCGTCGTTTTTTCCAAAATTTCTTCTACATTAATATATATGGATTACTTGGTACTATAGTCAATTTCATAGTAGTATGGCTCTTAACTTATGCTGTTAACGAAGCAGGTAAAAAATAATTATTATTTAGTAGCATTTTACAGTAGAAAATCTTAAATAAATTGCACTTAGCAATAAAATTCAATTGAATTATAAATAGCTAGTGGATGTTTATTACATTTAAGCATACTTTAAGTACAGAGTAAACAACCTTCAGCAAAGAAAATACAGGCTCAAAAATAAAAATAAAATTTCTATGAATTAAATTTATATTATATTATCAAAAACTCAAAAAATGAATTTACAAATTTAATTAACACTATTTTTGTAATAAAAAGGTTTGATTCGTAGATATAGTGATTTTTCTCAGTCTGTAACATTATCAACAAGAGATATCCTTCTGTTTTCTGCTACTATATGCGCTACAGATAGTGTAGCTGCCTTAGCTATGATTAAATCAGAGAAATATCCAAAATTATTTAGTGTTATTTTTGGTGAAGGCATGGTAAATGATTCTGTATCAATTATTCTATATAAGGCTGTCTTGGATTTAGTTGGCGACTCATCTGAACCTCAGCCTATAACTTTCACTTTCCTTAACTTCTTAAAGATGATTGGTGAATTCCTTAAAAACTCAGTATGCAGTTTAGCTATTGGTCTTGGTTGGGGTAAATAAAATTAAATTTAAATGGTTTAATTTACTAACTATTTTTTATAATTAAAAATAAATAGGTCTCTTAGCTACTTTAGTCATGAAAAAATTTAGGTTTTTGACACATAATCCAGTAGTTGAAACAGTTGTTGTTTTACTATTTGGTTTTGGTGCTTTCGCTTCTTCAGAAAACCTAGATATGTCTGGTGTCATTTCAATTTTAGTATGTGGTATTATCATGTCTCATTACCTTTTCTATAACATATCATCAACTGGTAAAGTAACAACAGGGTAATTTTTAGAAATTTTATAAAATATTAAGCTTAATTTTTTTGTTACTCTCTAAATTATTTGGTTATATTCTTTAAAATAAACATAAATTTCTTTATATAAATTAATAGTGTCACTTTTTCAAGTATCTCTATTATTGCAGAATCAGCTCTTTATATCTATTTGGGTATCGTCTTCTGGTAAACAAAGGGAGATCCTCACAATCCAAGCTCTTATGCATGGTCATGGACTTTCTTACTCATTGAATTGGCTATTGCCTTTTTCGCTCGTTTTGTGAGTGTTTTTGTAGTTTCTTGGATTTTCATGCTGTAAAAAATTTTAATATGAATAAAAAAAAATATTTAAAAATTATATATTTTAATAGAATTAAGGGCAAATAAAAATGGAGATTAAATAGATATGAAATGGGTATTATTTGGTTTGCAGGTATTATTAGAGGAGCTATTGCTTTTGCATTGATTTAGAATGTACCTTAAGATGATTCAAATCCTTAGGCAACACAAGTTATTTAGAGTACAACTCTCTTTATTGTTATAATCACAACTATTGTCTTAGGAGGTCTAATGCCTTTTTATATAAATGTCATGCTGAAACAAATTTCAAAGAATCCTAAGTATCATGAAAATCATCCTTCTATTCGTGATAGTTTGGTTGGAGAATCAAAAGAAAGTAGAGAATTCAAAAGCAAGAGTCAGACAAAGTGGAAATTATTTGATGAAAACTTTATCAAACCTTTGTTCATTTTCGACTATGAAAATAGAAAAGAGCAAATTAAGATGGAAAAACAAAAGCTTAAAATGAACAGCTCACAGTTTGATGCTGGATATATAAAAGAATAGGAATAGGAAATGGGTCACCAAGAAAACGAAAATGAAGAAAATCATCAAGATTAACAAGATCAACAGCAACAAGAATTGCAAATTGGAAATGATAATGGCTAAGAAGAAAATTTCAAATAAATATCCAGAGCAAACATGAATAAGCAAGCAGTTTAATCAATCAATTAAGATCCAGAAAATCATAGTAGTAATGAACATATTTGAAGTTGAATGTGAATTTAAAAATCTGTCTGAGATAAAAATATTAATATTAACAATAATAAATATCAAATTATAAAAACTTAAAACCTAATTTTAAATTTAAATATCGTAAAAAATTTATTTTAAAATTATACATACACAATTGTTAGTGTATTTATAAATTAATTTCATTAACTTAGTTCTAAATTATTTTCATTTCTCAATATTTTTCTTCAAACATGATTTTTTTTTCTTTTTTAATAATTATTTTATAAGATTTTTAAAAATTTATTCAAAAAAAGCTCAAATAAATGAATTAAATGTTTTAATAATTATTCAAAAATTTTATAGAGCTATTATTTTTATTATTTACTAAGGTAATACTTAGATTGATTTTTTAGGGTTAAAAGTTAATTTTTGAATTTATGATTTTAATAAAATCCATAACAAAATAACAAAAGCTTTTCTACAAAAAAATGTCATTTCATAAAAAAATCAAAAAAATCAGTTTATTTATTTTATTAGTTATACAAAAATACTATTTAAAAATTTTATTTATATTTGTTTATTCTTTTAAAGTATAAATTTTAAATTAAAACACTTTTTAAATATTTTTTATCTCAAAATTTAATTCAAAGTTTTACTAAAAAATGAACTATTTAGAGGAGAAAACTAATAGTAACATAATTTATTAATGTTTTATGAGGAATTAGAATATCTTTACCTTTCTGATAACTTATATTGAAGAAAATTAATTTGATTTATTTTCTTTTAATAGCAATTCGAAGTCTTTGATTTGATATAAGATCCTCCTTATATTTAGATAGAAATACAAGACTATATTTTGAATTAAATATATTAAAACAATTAGATTAATAGAATAAGTTAATAAAAATACATTTTGGTTAGAAAAAATCATTTAAAAGCATTAAATTAGGTGACTTTAAAATGAATCAACACAATCCAAAGAAAAATGAAGATTTGCCAGAGTTTTAAGAGAAGCTATTTAATCAAACAGTAGCAAAGCCTTAAATAGCTAACAAAGATAAGCCTAAGAATATAGTTTAATAATCTAATTAATAAAATTGTTAGAGAGGGACCAAAATAATGCAATTCAATAAAAACCAGCAAAACTAAAGCTATCTCACCTCTCTGATTTTTAAAAGTGCAAAAATTGATAGTTTCTCTGTAGAGTTACCTTCTTACGACCAACAATACTCATAATTAATGGGCATCTTAGATGAAAGAACAATAGGAACAAATGAATCTGTGCTTAAAAGGACTAGAAATAGTAAGGAAGAATTATGCACTAAATTTATTTAACAAATAAGCTATATGTTTGATTATAAGAATGAAATAATCTAAAAAAAGAATTTTTTAGAAGAAAAGTCGCTAAGATTATTTTAGAAACTTTTCAAAGTTCTTGAAAGTAAGATTAACGAAATAGCAGATACAAAAAAGGAAAATGAGCAGAAGGAAAAATTAGAAGAAAAATTTGAGAATTAACTAAAACAAAAAAATCTCAAATTTTATGATGAAGTGTATTAGCTTTTTAAGTAGACTAAATAAAATGATTCATAGTTGGGTGAATAATATTAGTAAGTTTCTTCATATCCTTAAGAAAATAACTAAATATAGATGCGATATGCAGATGCATAACCAAACTCATAGGGTATTAATTTAATGCTGGGATAGAGAAATAATCAGTAAATAAATGCGGCAGTGAATCAATATCATGATATGAGAATGCATGAAGAACAAGTTTCATATAATTAAATGAGCACAGCTGCATAATTACACTCATAAGATTCTGCTTTTATGAAAGGCCATAGTTAAAACCAGCAAAGAGGAATGATGAATCAACATAATCAGATGAGAATGGAAGAAGAGCATAACTTCTAGAATTAGATGGAATTAAACAGAGGTTAGAATATTGACAGTTAAATTAAGGAAAATATTCATATACAATAAGAAGAAGAAATTTAAAATAAGGTTGCTAGTAACTTTTCTAAGGATTAAATAAAATTTTTTTATGAAAATGTGGATGTAGAAAAAGCTTTACAAGTTTATTTTATGTATCAAGAGTTGCAAGAAAACTTAGACTAATTAAATAAAGATTTGAAGCAAAATGTTGAAGAAAAAATATATTCTAAAAAGGGTAGTATCAACAAATTGTTTGAAGAACTTAAGTAGAGAATAAACAGGTAAATTTGTTAATTACCAATCAACTACTTTGTATTAAAGTAGAAGGAAGTCTTTGAATACTACTAGTTACCTTAATATAATGAAACAAACTGCAATATTTAAGCTTTCGAAAAGTATCTAGCAGAGCAAAATAAAAATATCATAGCATATCAAATTAAGTTTTCCTTAGAAGACCTAAGAAGACTTACAAAAGATTAGCTTATAAATGATAACCTATTAGATTGCTATGCTTCTTACTTGAGAGAAAGTCACAGAAATATGAAGTAGCAAAACTAATATGTAAACAAAAATGACATGAGTGAAATTATTATTTTTTCCCATCTATTCTTTGAGACCTAGTATGAGAGTATGAGAATCAAAAAAGATGAGGCAAAGGCTTTTATGGACTAAATTTATCCAACATCTTAATTATTCTAGCCTGAATTCATTGATAGATTTGGTTTTATTGTGAATGTTGATCTGCATGGAATAAAACATTGGATCTTTTTAGGGGTTTATAACAAAACGAGAGAAATTATTTACTATGATAGTGCTTCAAGCAACAACGCTTACTACAAGAATATTTCAACAGCCTTAGTCACATATTTCTAATAAATTTCTGGTTTGTAATATACAAATAAAAAGGCAGATAAATGTCCTCGCTAAACCAATGGTACTGATTGTGGTATGTTTGTCTTGAAGTATATGCAAAACTTCGCTTACGATACACCTCAAGAATTTGACTAAGCCCATATTACAGAGCTTCGTGAAAAAATGTACACATTTTTCCCAATGCTTTCTTACTAAAAAGAATTAAAAAAGATTGACTATGAAACCTTACAATACTTTGAAGGAAGAGTTAAAACGAGGTATGATGAAATTCAGCCTATTATTTCTAATAACATAAAGATTTGCTGAATATTCAATTAATATTAATTTACTATATTTAATATATTGTTATTTATTATTAATTAATTTTTACACAAATTTAAATATTATTAATTCATTTGTTTTTTTATTTCATTCAACTTTTAATTCTAAGAAATGAAATCCAAACTAGCCAAATTTTATTTATATATTCATAATGTAAATAAATAAATAAAAATTTTCTTCTTATCTAATGCTTAATGCTGAATTTTTGTCAACAAAATGAGTAATATAAATAAAATGAATTGCAAAAATTATATTGAAAGTTTTTAATTATAATAATTTTTAATCTTTTAAATATTGTTTTTTTTTTACCTCTCAAATAGAAATTTTAATTTATTTTAAATAGTTTATGAAAATAAATTATTTAATTTTACTAATTTAAGAGGTGATATAAAAAAATAATTTAATATATTGAATATAAAAAATATAAATTTAAATGCTTTGATTATTTATTGATTCATACTAATACATAAAAATAAAATTTGATAAATTTGATTTCAAATTTTGCAAGTACTTTTAAATAATGGAGTGGGTGATTTAGATCTGACATATAGATTTGTTTTTGGTACTTTTGTAGGAGTTATTTTAGGGGTTCTTGAAGGAGATTTTGTTGGGGTTTTTGTAGGAGTTTTTGTTTTATTTTATTAATTAAATAAATTTGTTGTTTTAGTTAAATTGTTTTATAATAAATTTTAATTAAGCTTAGAAATTAATTTAAAGTTAGAATCATAAACATCAGGATTGTTTACATCCATTAAGAAATTCTTATTTTCTTTTAAGAATTGATTCATTAAACTTTCGAATTTTTCTTCTTTTTATTCTAACACTTTTCTCTCTATACTTTCAAGTTTTCTGTCAAGATTTTATGTATATTCCTCAATTTGCTGTTATATTATCTTCTAGCATTTTTTAATTTGATTTATGGTTGGAAGGATATTAGCTTTTTTACAGAATTAGTGTGCAATATCAAATGATGATTCGTTTTCAAGTACATCAATATAAATTTATTAATCTTAAAACTACAAACAAAGACTCATCAAATATTTTGTGTTTTTTTTCTTTTAAAAGCTATTTGGTTCATTTTTTTTATCTTATTTTTTGCTAAAATTTTCTTTTTCTGATTTATTTGAAGAACTTTCTTAATCTTTTTTTGTTATTGATTTTTTTACACTTTTGATACTTTTATTATTGTAATTTTAAATTTCTTAAAAAACAATTTTATCATTTTTAGAGCTCTTTTCTAAATTTATTTTAACTTAGTAAATTTATGATTTATTAAGTTCTGTTTAATTTCTCTGCTTTTGAAAAATGTTTTCAAATGAGTTTTCTTTTTCTGAATACAAAGACTATGTTACTTTGTGTTATTTATGAGAATGGATTTGATGAAAATGGATCTGGTTGATCTGACATGAACTCATTTCTGAAAATAAATTATTTTTTTAATCATCGATTTGTAAAGATTCGTCTTATGAATCTTTTTCGATTTCTGATTAATTTATCTAATAAAAATTGGATCGTTCTCTGTTTGTAAGATTATTTAGTGGATTGGCATATATCTTTTCATTTTTTTTATCATAACTAGTTTACCTATTCAAGGTTAAAATATATTAAAATTGTAAATTAAATAAACTAATTAATTACTACAAATTACGGCCTGTTTCTGACATCACAGATGATTATTATACTTTTTTAGGATAGAGGTGATTTTATTATTTAATTTTATCCTCAAGAATCTAATTATTTTATTATGATTTATTTTAACAGCTTTCGTCTATTTGCTCTAATACACCAATTTCCCACTTTTCACTGTTTTGAAGTTTTAAAAACCTACTTAAAAATGTTTTGAGTAATAAAAATAAACTACCTATTGCATGAAGAATCATGGTTATCAACCAATTAAGTCTGTTAGCTTCTATGACTATTTTATATATTATTTTTTTTATTATTATCATATATTCTACTATAAGAAGAGGAAATGGAGCTATTTGAGTTGATCGTATTGAATTTGTTTACGCTTTAAGCCTTTCTTCCTATTTATTCAAAATATCTATCCAAATCTGTTTGCTACTTCTATATTAATTCATGTTTTAATTCGCAAACAATTTATTATTTACTTTAATTTACTGTTCTAGGACTACAATTTTAATGTTAAGAATCAACATCCTCATAAATTTGTTTGCTAACATTTATCATTTATTGTTTTTCAAGCGGATTTTAGCAAATTTATTTTATCGTATTATCCTAGATTTCTTCTTATTCTAAATCATTAACTTACTAGTATTCCTCCTTTTTGTTCATTAGATCATAGAAATTTTCCTACTATTCTTCTAATTCTTATTTGCATTCTATTCCATATTGTGAAACCTTAGAATTTATGTGCTCATTATGCAACTTCTCAGATTATGAACTCTGTGTTTCAGTATACTCCTCATATTAACTGCTTAATGATTGTTCTTCATGTTAATAACTGCTATCTAACTAATTGTCGAAATAATTATTTTTGTAGGAATTAAGAATATTCATAACCTCCTCTATTTAAGGTATTTCTTTTGATCTCCTATCAGCTATTTTTACATGTCTATTTTAACTATTATAGCTCTAATTTGAAGTCCAGTAGCTTTCATCAAGCTTTTCATCCATAGACTACCACTTAGCTTTAAATTAAAATTAATAACTATTAATATTTATATAAAATTATTTTTAAAATAAAGATATTTATACATCCAGTTGAAGTATTTGGGATTATTTATGCTATTTACTATTTAGCTAAATTAAAAAGAGACTATTTAAGTTCCTTTATTCCTTTATTATTTTTAGCTGATACACATTAGTATGAAAGATTGTATTATTACGAACTTAAGAAGTGTGAAATTTCTTAATCTTAAACTTCATTTTTAAGATCATGCTTTGCTCCTAAGAGGATAAATCTTCCTTAAGATACTCCAATTGTCTTAAGCATTTACATAATGCAATAATTGTTTACAATCTCATCAAAGCTGGAAGGATCGTTTATATCAAAAGTCAATATGACTATTATTGGATAGTCTGATTATGAAATCTCCAAGATGAATCTTTCATCAATTTCTTCTGTAACAAATTCTTGAAACTATAAATCAATATTTGATACTCCAAATTCTTTGGAACTCCAGTATTAAGAAAGACCTTTGTTTAGATGACCAGAAAGCGTCTCAATTAAAGTTGTTTTTCCACATGATTACTTTCCGATAAGTATTGTTTAGATACTATACTAATTAAGATAATTACAATCAAGCATTCCAATATTTTTTGTATTTGCAAATTAAATAAATATATCAGTTAAAAATTTATAGCAATCTAAAATCAATAAATATCTAAGATTAATTCTTCATAAAACTTAACAATATTAAGGCCAATTTATCATGACTAAATTGTTAAATCTATTTTATAATTTACAAAATATAAATTAATCACAAAAAATATTAAATTAACATCATTATTAATTTTAAATATCTTTTAAATTGACTAAATTATTAATCATACATCGTGAGTTATTTTTTGACATAATTTAGTAAAATAAAATATAATCAATATTCTTTAAAAAATAATTATTAAATATGTAGACCTTTAAATATTTTAGATTATCAATTTTTCTGATAATTTATTTAAAATTCTAGAAATATATCAAAACTTAATTAACAATTATTATCACTAACTACTTACAATTATAAAATTTAAAAGAATAAAGTCTAAAAAGTATATTAACATAAGAATAATTACTAACAAATAAGTATCAAACAATTTATCCAAAAAATTAAAAAGGTTGATGGGGTTATCAATGCCTTAAAGATTGTTTACTTTATTTCTAAAATATTTTAAAATGAATAGTCATAATTGAATTCGAAGAAAAAAGTGTTTTGTAATCTGAAGAATAATTATTTTTAAAATAATAAATAGATGTTGGTATATTTTATTTCTAGGTTAAATATAAATTTTAATTGTATATCTCAATATAGTTATAAGTAAGTTAATAAATAGTATTGAATTCAATTTTGAAATAAATAAATATGATCTAATTTAATATCATTAATATAACTAAATAGATAAAAATATTCTTAATCACTTTCAAAGTGTTTAAATTTATGAAAATTTAATAGATTATAGTCATTTATTTTTTGGCTATTTTTTGAGATAGTAACTCATCATTTAAAATTAAATTAAGGTAATTTATTTTATTTGTATATCTTTGTTATATTGATTAATTGTTCTAAGATAGTCTATAAATTTTTATTTATTTTTACTCTCTTTCAGTATTTCTAAAAATCAATATTTTATTATCTAGTGGCTATTTCATAAGTGTCACTGGTCAGATATCAAAAATAATATGTGATCTATTAATAATAGTAATATTAGTTAAATACATCGTGTTCAGTAATATAATCCTTCATTTTCACTCAATTTTAATTTTAAGGTAAACTAAAACAAAAATAAACGTTAGTTTTTTATGAAAAATATTGATGTTAAATCATACTTTTCTAAATTTAGTGTTAAAATTTATAAAAATTGTAAACTAAAGATAAATTAAAATAGTATTCATTTTTGTTTTAAATTTTTGAATTTTAAAAATAATGTTTTCTATTTCTTTCTACCATCAAATACGATAGAAAGACAGATAGAATAGATAGATAAAAACAAACAAATATTCAAATTTTGCTTTTAAAAGAAGAAAAACTCTTGATTTAGTAAAAGAGATTAAATAAATTTATTAATTAATATGCAAAAGCTTGAATTATCAAATATAAGAAATCTGCTTAATATTATGATAGCTATCTTACTTGCTTGCTTTTTGATAGGAAATTTAGATTTGAAGTTTTATCAAAATTAATTATATTGTTTATATGCATGTTTCTATCTATCTATCTTTTACAACTATTTTTATATTTGTCGTCTGTCTTTTAATTTTAGTGATGTGACTAATTTAGATAATATAAATACGAAATAATAATTAATTTGTAAACAAAAAAAATTTAATACTATTTAATTATTTCTTAAGAAACAAAGCAATTGATAACAAAAATTCAAAAAACTCTTTATCAATCAATAACTCACTCTCAAGCATTTATCTTATAAAAAAGGTACAATAAAAGCATAAAACTAACTGATAATAAACAAATTTGATTAAAAATGCAACCATACGGAGCCCCTTAATAACCATAATATGGAGCTTATCCACCTGCTCCTACTGGCTATCCTCCAGCTGGTGGTTATCCTCCTTAAGGATATCCCCCTTAATAAGGTTATCCTCCTTAAGGATATCCTGTTATGCAGCCAGTGTACGGAGCACCTCCACCTGCTCAAGATATGCCATAACCTGTGTACATTCAATAATAACCTCCTGTAATGGTGGTTGAATAAGAGCTAATTATGGTTCCTAATTAAAACTAATCTGGATACCCCGTCAGTGCTAATGGAGTCCCTCATCCAGCTCAAATTTACTGCTCAATTTGTTAAAGAAACGTTACAACTGTTGTTGAAGATAAGGCAGGTACAGGCACATGGACATGGTGTTTCATTTTGGCTTTGTTTACACCTGGATGCTGCTGTTTCCCATTCTGTATTTCAAGTTGTCAAGATAAATTGCATACTTGCCCTGGTTGCTAAAACCAAGTAGGTTACTATGAATACAAAGTCTGTTGAAAATCATAAAATCTGCAAAGAAATATAAATTATTTAAAAAGTTTATTTTTAGAAAGAGTAAAAGGGATGGAATAATTTATTTAAAAGGCAATAATGAATATTTTAAGTTATTAATTATATAAAAAAATACATCGTTCAATATTTCCTTGTTGAAGCTTTATTCCAATTTCGAAATGAATAAGTAACAAGCAAAAAATACCATATTTACAACTATACTCTCTAAAATTTTAAATAAAAATCTTATATGTTAAAGTTTCATTAAAAACTTTTGATAAAATTTATAAAATTAATAATAATTAAATTATGAGAAATCATTTATAAAGTTAACTTTTTTCTTTTGTTTGTACTCTTTTAATGTTTGTTTATAATAAATGTTTTATAAATTATAATTAGTCTTATTTAATTTGCTTTTCTCCTGAATTTCTCTAACTAAAACTCGTTAATTAAATTACATATAATCTTGATTACAATTCACTAGAGCTTAAATTTAAATTTTTAATTCAATTCAAAACTATTTTAAAAATTTTTAGCTATTATAATTTCTTTAAATTTAACAGATATTTGTTAATTTTTAATTTAATTTGTTTCAAAGTTAAATAGAAATGAAAGCAAGTTGATTTAATTCTTAAAAAAATTGACAAAAATGTATTATAAAATTTTTAATATTTTTGTAGTATTTATTAATTATGAATTATTGATTTTAGTATTTTTAATGGTTTAGATGTATGAGATTAGTTTCTTAAAAAATATTTAAATTGCTTCATTAGAAATATTAGAAATGAAAAATTATTTTTAAAAATAATATTTTAGGATAGAAACTTTTTATTAAATTATAATGTTTAAAATAAACTAAAAAAACAGGTTTCAAGAATATTTTATCTATAAAAAAAAATTAAACTGCAATAATGAAGGTATTCAATTTTTATCCTTAAAGGATTCTAGAAATATTAAGATATTATTCCTATTTAAAGTCTTATTTGAGACTTTTTAAAAATCAATAAATTCATTTAAAAATATTCTACTAAAATTTCTTAATTTATTTGAAGCTAAAATATTTAATTTTAATAATTTGTATGAACGAAGATTTAAAATTGTTATATTAAAAGAATAAATTTTATTTACCAAAATATTAAATGGATTAAAAATTTAATGATTGATTAGGAGCTAATAATTTTTACTTTTAAGAAATAAGAAGTAAAGGTTAATGTACTTTTGAGCCAACATAAAAGCAAAAAAAAAAAAGATATGATGATTTTATTTGTTTAATTTATTTATGAGATATTTTTTGAGCTGACTTATTTATATTGCTTAGATTTTGTATTTTGATAAAGAAAATTTTCAAATATTTTATTTGTTTACTTAATTTCTAATTTAATGAGATTATCAATAAAGATTATAAATAACAAAAGTAAATTATCTTTGATCATGCATGGATATATAGTTGTTTGGTATAGGTGATTGAATGCAAAAATATATAGTTTCAAACAACAATAACAACAACTGCAAAATGAAAATATAAGAAAGAAGAATTATTTAATATTATCAATCTTTTTTAGATAGTAATAAAAGGAACAAAATAAATTAAATAAACTTAATTCTATTAATTATTACATATAAATATTAATAAAAGAATCTTAGAAGAAGAAGCAAAGCGAACAACAATTAAGTAATTTATAAATTAACGAAAGAAAATAGGTTAAAATATTATAATTAAAAACAAAGCAAGCCATCTTAACGCTAAAGTCAAGAGAAAGAAGCAATTATTTTAGTTATAAATCATACAAAGAAAAGAAAAATGTAAGGTACACACTAAGTATCTGGCAATTAAAATATTGCTGTTTCTTAATAAAATTATACTCTAGAAACAAATATGAGCATAAATAATCCTCCTTCAGTCATTTAACCTGATAATTTAGAAAGGAAATTACCTGAAAGAGGTGTGACCAGTAATTATTAATAGTAATAAAATTTAGTTCAGTCAAATATGGCTCTATAATTAGTTGGATAAGATGACTAATATGAATACAATCGTAATCCAAATAGCGCCAATAAAGATTAGAGATTTTAATAATCCAGTACTTAATCTATACTGAATAAGTAGCCTTAATAAGGAGGAATAAACTAATCTAGAGCTGCTCCTATTCGAAATGATACCAATTTTAATAGTTAGGTCGGATTTTAAGGTGCAGATTTAAATAATAAACAGAAAAGCTCTGCTCTACCTTTATCTAATGTTAGCATGAATGATTATAAGAGTTAAGGAAATCAAAATCTTTTTCCTTTAAATTTGAATCAAAGACCTGAAACTAATCATGTGATAAAGACACATCCTAGTTATCGCTAAGAGCAAATATTTAGTCAGACTGAAAAGACTCAATATCTTGACAATGAGCCAGGTATCACAGCAATTGAGCCTGATAGACCCTCTCATGCTCCAATTTAAAATTAATACTACAACACTGTACCATCTCAACACTAGCAAATGAATAGAGTACCAGCGAATCCATAAGCAGATGCAAGATATGCAAACGATATTCTAGCAGCAAATATATCTCCAAGTGGCCAAAAGAAGTTCCCTCATAAAATTTTTGATAACCCTCCTATCAGCTATAGAGGTACTCATCAGAGAGTTTATGCTGGATAGTAAAGATAAGGAGAGGAATAGATGATTATGGGACCAAATGAAATGAATAGAACAATATAGAATGATGAAAACATTACAATTTACGATAATAATAATCATCCATTCGAATAAGGGTAAGAATTCAAATACTAAACACCTGGTTAGGGAAAGTCATTTCACTCTAACTATCCTGGTTATGCTCAAAACTAGTATAACTCAACTTAACAAGGAGTATTTGGACATCCAAGTTAAGCATTGGCTTAAACTAACCAATAAGGAATTGTTTAGACCTAGCATCCAGGGTATATTAAAAACATGAATTACCTATATTAAATGGTTCCTAACGGAAAATATCCACCTTTAATATATCCTTTCATGACAAGTGATTTAAACTTAGATAAAGAAACAGATCAACTCTATTTTAGACCTATAGAATAAAATATCCCTGGTAAAATATTACTTACATTCTTTCTTTATTTGATTATAACATAAAATATTCTTTTTTACTTTCTATTTCTAATTTATTTTAAATTTAAAATACAAAAATAAAAACGGCTAATTTTTATTTTCATTTAAAGTTAACTTTACAAAAATATTTATTTATTGCTTAAATTTTTAAAAGGGTAGTTTTTATTAATTTTTAGCAATATTTTTTTTTGAAATTTAATTAATATATGATATTCCCTATTTTAAATAATTCAATATCCAGTTAAAATTATAAAATGAATTAAATTTAATAAATTAGATAATTTAAATCTTAAAAGATTTATTTTAGATTTTAAATAATTATTAAAAGCAAACATTATTTTTACAATAATTAAAAGTTATTCTAGTAACACTGAAAGCAAGAGTTGAAGGAAAGTTAGATTTATGCAACGAAATTTTACATGTTATGGAATAAGAATCATAGTATTTAAGAAAAAATTGTGAAGAAGTCCAAAGAAAGTTTTTATAAACAGAGCACATTTGTAAGGTCGAGTATGTTAGCATTGAGGACGATTTTGAGTAAATGTAGATTGCTATACAAAATATAAATGAGCAGATGGGTACTATTGAGAGTTTATAGAACCATATTGCGAAACAGCTTATTTAAAGTGAACCTGAGTCTATCAGAATGCCAATTATTTAGGATCTAGTTCTAAATGAATATATTAAATAGACAAAACTCTCTTTGGAAGATTTTAAGTAGCCATTCACATCAAACTTTGACAATAATTACTTGAATATGATTGAAACAAAGAATTTACCATAAATTCTAACAGATCTGTCTAAATATAATAAAAAAGATAGAGTTGTTATGCTAAAAAGCAAAGCTTAGGAAGAAAATAACCAATAGTTAGAATATATTTATTCTTTTATCAAGCACTTGTATGATTGTGAAGCCTTACTCTTTAACATTTCCACAGAAGTTGAAAGTGCTCTTTTCAGATATGCTGAATTCCTTATGGATATACAAAAAAAATTAGTAGCTACATACACTTATTTAAATTGCTTTATAAATGTATTGAATTTAAATATCACTCAGTATTAAGATATTAATCAATACTAGCATAATTATGAAATGATTCTTAATAGTTCAAAAAATATAACCGATGCACTTCTTGGTGACGTGAAGTTCCGTTATAATGACTACTTTGAACAAAATGAGAAACTTTTGAATGAAATCGAATATGAAAAGCAATAGCTTTCAAAAAGTTTGATAGAGTATAACCTTTATATAAGAGACATGCTCTAAAAAGGTATTTAGATGTAGCAAAAAGAAAACACACCTTTCTTCATTTAGACACCTCTATCTAGATTAGTTGTATAGGAGTCTCACTAGGTAGACAAATATAAAAAAAGACTTGAATTAATGGATTCAGTGATAAAAGCCTTCAGATCTTTGCGATACACTACCTCCTAAGCAAAAGAATTCGAATAATAAGTAGATGTTTGGTATAAAGCTCAATAAACAAAATACCCAACAGAAGACCAAATGAAAGAAAAAATATAAGAATTGTAAGCTATAATTATTAAGCTTATTGATATGAGAGATAATCTTGGACTTCATCATCTTCAGAACTCACATGTTTATCTTTACAAAGAAGTGATGGAGGAGTATGAATACCTCTCAAAAATAATTGATAAAATACAAAATATCTAAATAGAAATTTCTAAATAGCTCAACCAATAAAATTTATTAAAAGGAGATAATAATGTTTTAGTCGTAGGTTAAAAATCTCAAAAGCAGATAATCTAGCTCAATAGCGTAGTTCAAGGAGGTTAGATCAATAATCTTCCCATCCTCCAAGAATAAGATGACAGAGTAAAAAGATCAAGATATTCACCTAAGAAGTATCATGACGATGTTGATAGATTCAACTACGAAGTAAATAAGACTAGACATCTTCTTCAACAAAATGCTCAAAGGTAGATGCAATTTTGAATTAATCTATTGCATCCAAAAACAATATATAAATATTATATTCTAAAAGCTAATCACTCTCTTTAATTGTCACCTCTTTCAAAAAAACTAACAAATAGATAGATCAATAAAATCATTCGAATAATCAATTTATCATTGATTAATAATTTCTTTCTTTAAACACTTATAAATATCTGATTTATCATAAAAATAAGAGGAAAATAAATAAACAAGCAATAAATACCACTAAATTTCTGAGATAATAATTACTTTGTTTGTTTGTTTATTGAAAGAGTGGACAATGAGTAAATGAATATAATTTGAAAATATATTAATAGAAGGGCTTAGATTAACATTTTTAGTATATTTTATCTTTTTTTTATTGTTTAAATCCTAACTATTCACCTCAAAAATTCAGTTTTTTCTTCCTCTCTCTCTAAACTTTAAGTGCATGAATTTATTTATTAAAATTTTATTTTTTAGAAAACAGAAAAAGTTTAAATGAATAATTAAATAACCAACAAAACTAAATTTGATACTATTCATATGAATAAATTAAGCAGTAAAGATAATTTATTTATTTTTGAAATTCTAAAATAGTCTTTTCTAATTTTTATTTTTTATTCTTATCAGAACATTTTATTTAGAATGTTTAAATAATAGTTAGAGAATAGTTATTTAATTAATTACATACTTAATTAGTTTCAAAATAATTTACTCAATATTTTATTCATATTGCTAAATGTTATTATCGTCACCTATCTGCTTCTTCTGTTTTTTGTTGAAATTCTGTAAGGGAGTTGAAGAATTAATTAAGAGGTCGAATTAAGTTTGGGTCATTCAAAATAATATTATTTTTTTTTATTCTAATTAAACAATTCAGTTTTAAAAATATTTTAATAAATAAAAAAACTATTGTTTTAATTAATTTTGTCTTATTTTTAATAAAGAATAGACTTGACTGTTATGGAGAGATCTAAATGCTTAGATATGCATGAGGAACTTACTAATGCTTAAACTCGCTTTTAGATATTTGTTGTTAAAACAAGAATTGAGTAGCTGATCAATCCTAATAAGATCAAACAAGTTATTAGCAGTTTGTTTCTTGTTGAAGAGTTGAAAAAGAAAAAAGAAAAGGATAGTGATATTTTTGAAATTAACAATGAGCTTGATAGCTTAAAGACTCAGCTTTAGAGTTTTTTGAGTCCTAATGAAAACTAAAACAACACTTATCAGAAGTTATTAATCATAAAAAATGTTATTTCTGACTTAGCTTAAAATTATCAAAAATTAACAGCAAGCTTCTTTGATGCATAAAATTGTAAAGAAATGATTGAATAAGGATTCACCCCTTTACACTAAACTATGCAAGTCTTCAGAGAAAGCTGCCAAAAACACCTTAAATCTAATAGCAAAAGCAAAGTCTTTAAGTAAGAGGAAATAGACTAAATAAGTGAGATTATTGATTAATATATTAAAAATAACACAAATCAGTTTATCAAAAAATCTCAAGAATTAGAAATTAATAAAGATGTTGATATTTCTTATTCTCACATGCTATTCCTATAATAGTAATTATCTCTGAACCTGGAGGATGTATTATGTAATTTTTAATTAAATCTATTTAAACTATTTTTGTTAGTTAAATAAATAAATTTTATTTAAATTATACTAAATTAGAATTGATTGATGAGAAATAAAGAGTAGGTGTGGAATTAAAGGTAAAAATTAGTGCAGAGGATTATTTGAAGTAAAATGGAATAAACTTGTAAAAGTAGAGAGACAATATAGAAAAAAGAAAGGAGAATTTAAAAACAATTACTTCGGTAAAGGGAATTAAGAATAAGGAAACCTTAGAGGAAGTTGCTCTGCACATAAAAGCAGATGAAAAACAGCTAGATGTTGTATTGCAGACAGTCTAAAATCTTATTATGATCAAGTTGGATGTTTAAGAAAAATTACTTGAGTAACTAACATTTCCTCCATCATTTAATATCCCTGAAGGCAAAGAAGTGTAGCATCTCATTAAATTTACAGAAAACTTGAAATTGCAAATCGAAAAGGCAATTGATGACTATGAAGATCCTCTAGATGTTCCTGTAACTACCATGATGACAACAGAAGGGGATGAGCCTAAAAGTGAGGAAAGGAACTTTAATTTTTCTGTCTTTGAGAAATTTCCTGAAGATAAACAAAACGAGAATGATAAAGTTTTAAAATCAAATAAAAATCCTCCTGAGTAGAGACTCTTGATAATCAAGTAATCAGTAACAAAAAGTATGAAAGCAATATGTAAATACTTAGATTATATGATCAAATAGTTAGAATAGTAACAACAATAGGAATAGAAGTACTTATAAACTTATAATAATGCAATCATTATTATGGATAAAGTAGGTCGCAAGTCCTTCTTAGAGCTATGTGATTTCATCAATAACTTAAAGACAAATTTTGATTCATTCTGTACAGGTTTAATAAAAGTTATTCCTTATCAGCTTAAGTTTTTAGTAAATTTAATTTAGGCTTCAAAAGAGAAATACCTTCATTTTGTTCATGAAGTGATTATAAGAAAGTATCAAAAAGAGAATATCCTGAATCTAGGAGTACTTATTTAAAAGATTGAAGATTCATTTGATTTAAACTATTTAGTAAATTTGATTTTGGAAAATGTATCCAGAAACTACACGAAGACTGAAGCCCAAGTAGTGGAACATGTTGAACTTATAAAGCAATGTTTCAACTATGCTGAAGAGTAAGTTTCGCAAATTGAGGATATTCTTGATGAAATTCACAAATTAATAGGTGGCGCTTAATCTAACCAAAATTTAAATATATTATTAAGCGAAATTGCTGATGAAGATTTGATGTATTTCTGGCAAAGGTACTTTAACTAGGTCAATGACTTTTATAAAACCTACTATGATATTAAAAAGAAGAAAATAATAACAGAAGATGAATCTGAAATCAAAATGATTTTCTAATAAAAAATAAATAATCTTTTAGTAAGTGTTTAAGGCTAAACGAGGAAAGTTGCATAAGAAATAAGTGATAAATATATTTAAATAATAGCAAATGATTATAACTTCTATATGCAATCTTTAAAGCTCGATATTCAACATTAAAGGTCAAAATCAAAGATAAAATGAGCTTTTTTTAGATATTCTTTAAAATTGGAATTTAAAAAATGAAAACCAAAATGAATATTTTTGCTCTGAAATCTTTACAAAATTTAAGCTAAAATGAATTTTTGAACTTCTTATTTTATTTATTTATTTAAAAAATTTTTTAATTTAATTTTTTAATCGTTTTCTATAATTTGTATATTCATTCATAGTATTTTGAACTTCAAAATTCAATAAATTATGATTTATGTATGTATTTATACGATTATTTAAATAATTTGTTAGCCAGCCTAATTCGTTATAATTATTATAATGATAAAACTAGGGGAAAAAATTATAAATAAAACTGTTATTTTATCATAGAAAATATTATTAAACAATAAAACTAGCTTTCAAAAATTAATATTTTAAAATATATTTTTAATTCTTTTTTTTTTCACAAAATGATTTAATTATTTGCAGTTATTTTGTTGATAAGATAATTTATATTATGGAATTGTACGAAGAAGAGTTTTTTTATCTTTCTAAAAATTCTCTATTGGCTTCTTTTTTGAAAGTTATTTTTATTTTTTCTTCAAAACATACACAAATAGTTGAATTTGCTGGCTCTAAAAAATAAATGGGAATTTTTAAAATTATGCATTAAAGACTTACACTGATTTCTTTCAAAATTGTCAGATTTTATTTAGAAAAATAGAAGTAAATAAAAGTAAGATTGAAATAGCTAGCTGGATGAACAAGGAAAAACATGTAGATTTAAAATATATGATGAAGTAGGCATTTTAATATTCATTTGGCTATTTATTTAGTTATTATGATTAGTTACGATGATAAAAAGAAGTAGTAGATGTTAACTTTAAATAATAAAAATTAAAAAATAAATAAAAATAAACTATTTAAAATTCTTTATACTTATTTATTAGTCTCCCTCCCATAAGCCTACACTAAATAAATAACTAAATAACTAACTAACTACTAAAAATTGAAATAACTGAGAATAAGTAGAAATAATAAATTTATAGATAGCCTTCATCTCCATTAATAATAGTTAATAAAAAATATTCAACTCTAGATTGCTAAATACTCTAAATATGAGAAAAAATACGGATAATATTAATGAGATGACATCCTCACAAGCAGGTAACTAATCTCCGATGTCTAAAAGCACTGGCTAGTTTAGAAATAAAACAGATAGCGGTCAACACTTTTATAGCACATCATAGTCAATGAATTAATCAAATTCTTCAAAACTTTTTGCATGCCCAAACATTGTTGGAATGTCTCAGTATGTAAGCGCTTCCTCTCTACGCCATGCTTCACCTTAAATTAGTTTTTCAAAGTAAGAAAGATTCCCAGAGCTTAAATCCAGTGAATCTACATTATCATAGAGAATTAATTTACCCAGCACAAACTCTCCTAAATCTTGCACTTTTGGGTTCGGGTAAAAACAATTCATTCCACAACACGTCTTGAGAAATGCTAAGGATAACCCTTCACCAAATCATTATTAATCCGCAAAGTCGAACTCCCCTTTAAACACAACTCATCACGGAAGATCATTTGGAATTCCTTTCCATTATTACTACAGAACTTATATTCCAGGATATAAAGTTCAATGCACAGAAGTAGCAAAAGAATTACCTGGAGTTGGCTAATATGAAATCACAAAAGAACCTGGAAAAGATAAATTGAAGTTTTCTTTATTCGGAAAGCCAAGAGATAGAAATTATAACTCAGACTTCCCTGCATGTAATCACTACAATCCAAATCCAGTCCTAGAACTAAATGCTCGCTATACCAAACTCACCTTTGGAAAAGGTAACAAATATGACTTCACAAAATAAAATAGAAATATTAACCCTGGTCCAGGCACATATAAATTACCTTCGCCTTTTGATAAATTCAGCCCTTTAAATAGAAACAAAAAAGATGTAAGAAGGACAGCCTTCATATGATAAAATTATTTATGAAAAATGTTAAGTTTTATATTATAATAAATTGTTCTACTTTACAATTAAAAAAATCAAATAAACTAACTAACTCTATATTTAATATAACTCTAAAAATTAATTGACTATTAGTATTATACAAATAATATTTTCAGCAAATGTATTTATCTATCTGTCTGTCTACTTATCTACATTTATTCCTTCCTTTCATCAGTCTATTTATCCTTCTTTCCATCTTATAAATGCTAGATTAACGATTGCTGTTAGAATGAAAAGTTGAAAAAAGAAATATTTCTAAATATATAAAATATTTTATTATTAAAAGAATAAAATATTAACAATTAATAGTTTATACTAATTAATTTTATATTATTAAATGATTGTTTTATCTTTTCATAACTACAAATAATTCTTTTTATTTTTGGTGTTGGCTGATTGTATTATTTCTTAACTTTAAATCGAATTTTTTAATTTAATTTTTTGTTTATTTGTTTTTCTGAAATATTTTTAAATGAACGATTCGAAAGTTTTTAAAATGCTCTCTTTTTTATTAATTACTAAACTTTTATGGTGTTAAATTAAAATTTTTAATTTTTGAAAGAATTTATTTTTTTATTTAATATTTTTAATGTATTTTTAGATAAATAAAAATCAAAAAATTAATCTTAAAATTTTAAATAAATTTAAATAATGATAAAAATATTTTTTTATCTAATTAAAAATTGAGTTAATTTTTAATAAAAATAATTTTTTTTTAAATATAAAAACTGAGTGATAAAAGATTTATCAAAATACTACTATATGTATATATAAAAGAAAATTAATAGTTTTATTATAGATATTTACATTATTAAGAAATTTAATTAAGGGTTTTTGACTTTTTATTTTTGAATATTTATTTTTTAAGCATTTTAATATTTTTTTAAGCTAAATTTCAAACTATAACATTATGCTTATTAATTTAAAAGAAATTTTATGACATCTTGATACAATCAGCTGCATTTTCTTCGCCATATATTTTTAGTGTAATTTTGCATTCTACAAAATCCTAATCATTTTTATTTATTAATTTATTTTTAAAATTTATTTAAAAAAAATATAATTTTTACTTAGTTTTTTGATTTGTCTGTGATGTGAGATATTAGCTTAGATTGGTTTCTGTTAACTATCAAATCATAAATAGTATCAAAATTAAAATTGCTAATCATACTAGTGTATTCAGGAATTAATTCATAATTTTTGTTTATTATTTGAGGAAGTTTAAAATAAAATGAATGCATTTGCTTATCATGCTTTTTAGATGTTATTTTTAATAAAGTTTTCATTAAGAAAAAGCTCTTTATTTTTAATTCTCCATTGAATATAATCTAAGTAGATAACTAATTATTTTATTGTGCTCCTAAAATATTTTCTTTTGATTTAATTTTTGCATTCTAACCCTATTAAATTAATTAAATTCAATCAATATACTTTTGTTATTTGAAAAAAGCTGAAATAAAATATTTACGAATACGTTTTATAATCCTGCTGAAACTGGTTTTTCTTATTTATTAGCAACTCCATCTTGTAGTAGTTATTTCATTATTCTTTATTGATCATCTTTTAAACTCTATATTTTTTGTTCTAAAGCAGGACTATGTTTCAAACTCATTACATATTCTTTTTATTAAGAAAAAATTTTTAGATAAATATTAATTTATATAAAAATACATACCTGTTGATACTACCAAAATGCTTTTTGATGTTTTAGGAGCTGTTCTATTGAATTCGTGCTTATTTTGAGTATAAATTTCTTAATTTTTATCACAGTCTTCTTCATTTTAGTCTTTTAGCCTATCACAAACATAAAAGCTAAACTTATTTCTTTCAAAAATTTCAAAGAATGCATTGTGTTATTGTAAAGGTAAAACGCATGATTTAAAAAGTCCGCTTTTCTTATATCTTTTAAGTAGAGAAGTTAAGTTCTCTTCTTTTTTGCTAAAATCTACATTTCCTCTTTTTTAATCTTCTTAAATTTTTATTTATTGCTCTTATCTATTAAATAATAAATTTATTGTAATAAAAAAATAATTTAATTCATATAAAAAAGTTTAATTTAAAATTTAAATCAGAATATTTATTTAAAGAAAATATAAAAAAGTTGAACGAATAAATAAAAACGTAAAAAAAATGAATAAAAATAAAATAAAATCTTAGTTACGTTTTGTTTGTAAGGTTTTGGTTAAGTTACAGGATATTTTTACTAAAATTTTAATTAGAAGAATTGGTTTACTGTGAACAAAAATGATTGTTTGGCATTTAAAGTGAGTCATTAGACCTTAGCTAATCTGAGAAAGCCTGGATGTTCTAATATTGTTAGCTCATTAATATATTTGTAAATTGCTGTGATGAATTTTGCTAATTTTAAATTTAAATACTTTGTTATGAAGAAACACTTCCAAATCTTTGATTTTAAGATGTGTTTGAAATATTTGGATTATAGCTAAATTGCTATGAAGTATTTGAATTTGTTTGAGAGTTTCTTTTTAAAGGAGTACTATTATTGCTGATTGGGATTGATGGACGCTAACCAGCAATAGTAAAATCATTAGATGAAAATAGTCCTTTACCATTGCTTACATTATTTTAAGGCTTAAATTAAACTTAAGATGCTTATTATTAAAGGTTTGCAACATTAGCTGCTGCTTATTATATAGAAGCATTCACAGACTGAGAGACAACTTATAATTTCTGTAAATCTGAAAGATTATTCACATTTTGAATGTTTGAAATATTTCCATTAATTTGGTTTTACAGTTATTGATTTATAATATTTTGTTGAATTGGTTAAATTTAACTAAAATTCATAGGATGTATTTATTAAGGAAGTGTTTAAATTGTATGAAAACTTTTATTGCTTTAGCGCACAAATTAATTTTACTGTTGTTGAGGTGGCTAATTTTAATATAATGGTTAATTGCTTTAAAGAGAGTTTTTTGCAATTTATTAAGGATTTTCTATTTTGTTATTTTCTTAATTAGAGAATCTCGTGTTAGAAGAAAGAGATTTTTGAGATACATTTTTCGAATTCTGTTGAGATTGTTTGGAATCTCTGTTAATCTAATCGCACTCGAAATCAGAAGTTGGTATACTATTCTGTTATGTGCATGAAACCATACTCTGCTTTGATTTGTTAGTGTTAGTTACATGACTGTTAATAGTTAACTGACTAGTTTAATTATCAACCATTACTCTGCTTTAAGGTGTACCAGTCAAAGAAACAAGTGCTATTCTTTTGCTTTATTAGTTTGATTATTCATACTAACTTAAATCTTATTTTTTAGATGGTGTCTTATCAGTCATATTAACTAATTGCGATTTATTTGAATTAGTACCACTGACCATTTAGTTATTTGGTTTATTGTTACTCTAGTGGGTTTAGCTACTGTAATTTACTCCACCTACTCTTGTTAATTAGTTAGTATTCTAATTACTTACTGATGTAAATGAAATACTCTCTTAATTAGCGTTAGTGCTTAATTACCCATTTAGTTAGCTGATTTAACTTCCATTAAATGGTGATTAAAGTGTAGAATTACTGTGTAAACCAGATGTATTGTTGCTTAGAGTATTATTAGTGTTTTAGTACTTAGTGAATACATTATTTCCTATTTATTAATTAAGTGATTTAGATTAATCATTCTACTTTGCTTTAATAGGAGTCGTCACTGCTTAGCTTGATTATGTAAACACAGTAACATTTTTTATATTATTAATATTAGAAAGTACATTTAAATTATTTTAATTTGTATTTTGTTGAGCTGCTGATGGTTATAATAATTAACTTGATTTTTACTATTGCTATTAATAATTCATTTAAAATGAATTAAATTGTTCTTTTAAATTGTTTAAAATTTTGTTATCATTATTATTATTGATGTTTTAGTTTCCATTAGACTATTTATTTTAAGGTGTAACAGCATTTGTTGTAAGAGGTTACTTACTCTATGAGTTATTTTATAACGATATCTATGACTTAGGAGTATTACTTGAAAATTAATGCAAGCTTTTGTGATTTTTTCTCTATACATTTTCTGCATTGAATTATGAAACAAATGTTGAATTGGTCTTATGTGCATTATTTGGTGAGCAAGATGGTTTATTTTTATTTGATAATGCACTTGTTTTACTCTTAACAGATGCTTCTCTTCTATCAGTCACATTATTTTGGCTATTTTCTCTCTAATTAATCTAATTTGATGAGAACTCTCTCTTTAACTATTATACATAGTTATTATTATATTAATAGAATTGCTGACTATGGTTAGGTAATCTTGAATTTGTGTTGTTATTAATTTAAGTAGAATTTACTGAATTTTCCTTTTATAATTGTTTTGGCTACTATGCTTAAATAGAGTTAAAAGTACTTTATTATACATTAATATTTTGAGTATTTCCATTAACTTTAACATTTTAGTTATTTTATTATATGTTGGTGTTTTAAATAGTTTAAAATTCAATAAAATTTTGTTATCCATTTAAATTTTGATTCATTTATAAACCATTTTAAAATCCAATGATAGAGCTCATATTCTGTTATGCATTTAAATTTAAGCAATTTTATTGAGGAATTTAAGAAGATGGGTTTGCTTGGTAAGTATTATTCATACCACCCTAACTTAAAACAGAGGTTCTTCCTACTAAATTATTTACTTGAGCTGAATTGATCGAATTTGAATTACTAGAATAACTGTTTCTTTAAGTAGTTGAATCAACAGTACAATTTAATTGCTTCTTAATTGAAGATTATGAAGCTATATTATGAATATTTAAACTATTATTTTATCCTATTTATGGTTAAGTTGCTCCTTTGTTGATAAAATTAGAATTCGGTATATTTGGGCTTTATGATAATTAGCTATTATTTGCATTACTTTGAAATGTGGTGTTTTATATTAATTACTGACTGTTTTAAGTTGGTCGAGGCGATACTTACTAAATGTTTTATGAAGTTTAAATAAAACTGTCTCCTAAAATAAAAAAAATTTTTGCTTTAATAAATAATTAGAAACATATAATAATTTACTTGCTTATTATTATTGTTAGTAGGTCTATTTGTGAGGAGTTGAGTGTTTTACTTAGAACGTTCCATGTTAAATATGTCTTTATGATTCATCATTTTCAACATCAACAAAATTGGAAAGAGTTTCTTACCTGTTAAAAAGTTAAGTTTGCATTTGAACTGGTTAATTATTGGTATTAGTTGTTGTAATTGTTGCAGAAGCTTATCTACAATCTATTTAGAATAACCCATTGCTTTATTGCTCCTTGAAATTTTATTGACTATTTTTTTGTTTCTGTTGTTAGGTCTCTTCTTCGTCATTGTTAAAAGCAAAAACATCTGCTATTCTTTCAAAGATATTTTTTGATTTGCTCTTTACTATTTTTTTTGGTGGTTGTTTGTTACAAAGGTGACAAATTTTAGAATTATGCTCTTGTATTTCTATTTTTTATATAAGCATCATAGTATGCAACATTTTGAAGCCACCTTCGATAACTCCTATATATGGAAATTTGAATTTGTTAAACGTTTATATAAACACTCTAGTAATATCATAATCCAAAGCCATTTCTTCGCTCAAGTCTTTATTTAATTATATAAACCATTAAGTAAATAATTTAGTTAATTTTATAAATTTGAACATCAAATAATTATTTTACTCATTTGTTCTTAAATATCACCGCCTTATTCCTCTTCATTTGAAGCTAATTAAGCAGATTTAACATCATTTATCAATAATAAAAAGTGTTTTTAATATTTGGAACTTTCATATTATTAACAAAATTATTCTGCTATTTGTTGATTTAAAGCTTAATTTGTAGTTGACAAAGAACTTACAAAATGAGAGTTAACTTTGCCTGTGCTTTTTGATCTTCTTAAATCTAAAATAAAGTAATTATTATATCTTCCTTGAATTTGGTTGGTATAAGGGTTCTTTTTAGATTTGTAATGATCTCTTTATATTTCTAAAAGATCATTTAGAATAGGATTATCCTTAAGAAAGCCTTTTATTTCATTTCTATTATCAATATCTTACCTGCAATATTCACATTCTTTTTAATACATACTTGTTTTCATTTCTATTCATTAATAAATTTTATTATTTATTTATATTAATGCTTATTTAAATTTTACATTCCTTAAGTTAAAAGTAATAATTTAATCCCATCTATTCTTATTATTCAAGGTTTTTTAATTCATTAAATATGTAGTCATTTCTCACACAGTAAATATTGCAACACTAAAATTTATCTTCATATTATTATTTGAGTATTTCTAATGGGTGAATAGGTAGTGTACTAACTCTTTCTATTTCTTACGAATACTCTTTCATTTCTTAGAAGAATTAATCTTGGTTTTAGCAACATTTTTATTTATCAAAGAGCTACATGCTGTGGATTTTTAATCCGAAAGAAATGGGAGTGCTTGATTTTAGTTAGAGAGCCCTTTTATTATAAAATTAATCAATCTTATTGCATTGAAATTTTTACTCTATAAAATAATTTTTACTTTTAATAAATAAATTTAATATCATCAAGAGACTCTATTTATATTTGGGTGAGCTTTTGAGGCAGCAAGGCAGGATCACATTTCAGAAAAGAGTCTTTTTTGTAGAGGAGAACTGCCAAAGAAATAAAAAATACAAAATTGCGATCATTTTCAACAATATATATTTCCCAAAAGTAATAAATTAATTCTAACGACATTTTACTTTAATATATTAAATTTTTGTTAAGTTAACAAATAAATTAATCAAAATAAATTTTAAATTCAATATCATATCAAACTAAATTTAATTAAATTAAATAATTATCCTACTTTGCAAAAAGTGTTAAGAACCAAGGTGTAGAATACAATTCAGGAGTGATAAAATTCTCTGATAGGTAATTGTATAGTTAAGGATCATGGTATTTTAAAAGCAGTTAAAACAAATTGAAATAGCATTGTAAGCCATTGAATTCCTGTTGAATTGATAATTAAAGTTACATTTTTAAATAAAAAATAAAATCGATAGAAAATAGTTAGAAACATTTAACGTCAGTTGTTAAAATTTAAAATAAAGCTTACAGCATCGTTGTAAATAGTAGGTATGAATCTATCCATAAAAATTTGAAAATAATTGTAAACTGTAGATATCGAAGTGTTGTTAGTTTTTAAGAAGAAAACAAAGGGACCAGCAACTTCGTTAAGTCCTTGCTTGTAAGTGATGTTTTTTTTCACACAATAGAAGGTAAGTATTAACTCCAATTTTTCCCTTAAATCATCATCAAACTGTTAAGGTCTTGTTCTCAAAGCATCAGTTTTAATTACTCTATTTTTATTAGAAATCACAATAAATTTGAATACTCTCCATTAAAACACAATCTTTTCATTGAAATTAATCGATTTCATTGCAAACTATTTCAATCATTCATTAAAATTATTTAACATTTTCTATTTCAACTTGATTGTGTATTATATATTTTTGATTCTATTAATTACCTCCAATTAGGCAATTCATTCTTTTCTTTGATACTGAGAATCTCTTGGTCGTTCTTCACAATAATATTTTATTGCTCATAAGTTTTCAGTAAAATCTAAATTATTTTTAATAAGCTTAATTAAAACGTTGTTTGATTTATTTAAAAAGCTATTTGGCTCATTCATTTTCAATTTTACTGTATTCAGCTTTTTGATTTTTGAATGAATCTTATAAATTAAAATATTGCCAAATCAAAACCATAAGAATATGCTTACATCCCAAAAAAACGATCTTTTTTGCAGAATATAAATACCTAAAGCATCTTGTTTACTGCTTACACTCTACATACCTAATTAAATATTTTAATTTATAAATTTTCTTTGTATTTTTTAAAGCTAATTTACTAGGATTTGTTTTAACATAATTCATATCACTTTCAGATGAGTTGTGAGTATTTCTAAAATTAACTTGCAAAGATTATTGCTATGAAATACTGCTGCTACCTCTATCTTACTTATACGTTTACTAAGACTACTACTGCTAATAATTAATAGGATTCTATTAGTGCTACGAATGCCCAAACTATCCTCTTTAATAAATTAACTCTTCCATATTCTTATTAATGAATACTTATCTCTTTTTATATTAAACTTTACTATGAATGAGCTTATTTATCTTTACTGTGTTTAAGAGAGTTAATATATAAAGCCAATAATATTAATTAAATTTTTTAATTTCTTTTTCTTCAAAATTTTACTAAACGTAAATTATTTGCGAAATATCATTTATTTTCTATACAAAATGAATGAAAAATTAAATTGAAAGTAAAAATCATCGTTATCAATCCAATTAAAATAAAAAGTTAGAAATACAAAAAAAATAATCATATTTCAACATAAATATATAATTAATAATATATATTGCAAGCAAACAATCAAAGCATGATTATTTTAAAAACAAATTTTGCTTGTGCTTATTTTTCAAATTTTCTTTAAAATAAGAAGAAAAATTGTAGAGCTTTTTTATTAATGAAAAGAAACACTTCTATTGTACATTTATTTTTTGCAAAATGTATTCGTTGTTAGATTAAAATTCATCAATTAAAAATCAGTTCTTTCTTTAATCAAATTATTACTTTTATATTTTTGAATGCAAGCTTATTTAACAACTATATTATTTTATAATTTTCTCATCAATTATTTTCGAGTTTTATTTTCTTTATTTTATTTTTCAGCAATCTATTAATAAAAAATATTTTAAGTATTAATTAAAAAAAGAAATTACTATCGTTTATAAACCTATTTTAAAATTTATAATATTTAACTGAATTAAAAATTTTGATTGATTAGAAACTAAAAATTTGCTTCATTTTGTGTATACTTAAACTCAAAATTAAAAAAAAAATTTATAGTTTTCATTAAAAATATTAATGCTTATTTATATTTTGATATATAATTAGTTTTACAGAATAAACCATAAAAATTCGTATTATATAAGCAAACAAATAAAACAGTATATATGAAATTTCTAACAAAAATGAAAATTTAATGAAGAAATTATATGAAAAACTTTTGAAATATAAAAAAATGAACAATTATAAAAAATAATTTGTTTGTGCAGATTTTAATTTAAAATATTTCAATAAAAAGGATTGATTGAATAAAACTAACACTTTTATTTTACTTTTAAAACTTATTGAAAAAACAAAAGTAAACATATATTTATTTAATAACCATTTAATAATTTAAATTTATAATTAATTATTGCAGAAAGTTGGTTTTATTTTTAGTTAATTGTGTTTTAATTATTAAATAAATTTTATATAAGATTTATTTTATCTATTTAAACCAAAAGTCTATTTCAGAAATCGTAATCATACTCCTCCATATCTAAGTAGTTTCCACTTTCTCTTTGATCATAATCATAGAATGCCTTAGCATCAATAAGCATAGAAACTATGATGTCACCCTATCCACAATTAATGAGATCTTAAAGGGTGATTGCATGAGGTACTGATGGCTTTGCCATATCAAATATTTCATCCTTTACATCTTCTACATTAAATCCATATTTATCCTTTTATTCTAACTTTTGGACTATTGGCCTAAAGAACATGTTTAAAACGAATGTATCTATAGCACCTTTATGATAAACATCTAAAATTTTGAAGAAATATTATAGAGATTGAGGAGTTTTTTTATTTTCCATAGCCAAAACAAAATCTAAGAAAGTCTTATAATCTATTTCACCTTCAAATGTTTAGCATTCTTCGAAAACTCTATCTATAAATATGTTCGTTAAACCCCAACTGTATTTTTACAATTCGCTTTTCTTCAACAAACCATTATGATCTGTGTCCAGTTTCAAGTATTTTTAATAAACTTTTTATGTGCTTTAAACAGAAAACCTTTTTTTATTTTAATAAAAAAATATTATCAATGCAAATTTTAGAATTAATCATTTTGAATAACTAAATAAAAATAAATTTTTTATTAAATAAATTAAAATAATTCCATTTTTTGAGTTTAATTAAGTTTTACTATGAAAATAAAACTTAATATTTTTAGAATAACTTTTTTAAGGAATTACCAATTTTATGAAAGCTCTTCAACTGTAAAACGGTCTTGACGTAATTCATAGAGCTCTGCAAGGATAGGAGATGTAAGCATATCTTTAATATAAATTCTACCTGTTCTTTTAGGATCTAAAAAGAAGAAGAACTTTCTTACAGCTGTAATAACATAAAAAGGAAAGAAATTTTCTTAGAGGTTTTGCAACTGAGCAAAAATAGGAATCAATTCAAAAATATAGTTTTCAAGATCCTTTTCTCTCAAATAGCCATTACTTTATTAGATGAATTAATATAAATAAATTTTAATTTGTTATTAAAGTTTGTAAATTACCCTATTGTGTCATATAGTGAAATTTATATTCTTGTTTAAAATAAGTTAACTTTTCTAACAATTGAATGGAAAAAGGCTATAATATCTATTCTTCCATACTCATCTCTATCAAATTTTAAGAATGTGCTAGCTGAAAAGAAGTGTCTGCATTTTATTGGTAGCATGCTTGCAATTGTTAAAAAACTATTGTAATTGATTCTTTCCTTTCCATCATTAGGAGGTGAGATGTTGTCCTTTAATAACATCCATAATTTTTCTAAATCTAATATTTATATTAATTAATTTTGATCAAATGACTTAATAAACCTTAAAATTCAATCTTACCTTCTTTATCAAGAATTTCGCTTGTTTTGTGATGTAAAAAACGAGTTCTTGCCTCTTGTCTCACTCTAAAGTTTAACTAATGCTCATTTAAGAGAGCTTTTTAAAAGAATTTTGGAATTTTTTTATAGCTATTATCATCTTATTCTTCTTTTTGCTTAGCATCATCAATATATTTCAAAAAGAGCTAATCGGTTTCATCATCTATTTCTTATGCTGTTCTTTGAGGTTTATTTTACACATAATTTCTTAAAACTTCAATCCAGTTAATAGGTTTTTTTTCAGCCATGATCTCTAACTAACTTAATTCTTAAAAATAACCAAAAATTAATAATTCAATTTTTTGTGAATAAATATTTGTAAAAATTTTCTTTGTTGTTTATTTTTTAAAAAAATCAAATTTCATAAAAAGTAAATCTATAAACAAACATTCTTTGTTAAATCTTAACACTCAAATATAATTAAAGCTGATTATTTTTTTTTTTCAAAAACAATTGCAGATATAATATTAAAGAATATCAAAATCCAATTAATTATTTTTATTTGTGTTTAATGTATTGAAATTAACTACTTAATAAAACAAACCCATTTAAACAAACATTTTGCTGCTAAAATAAATTCAAAAGTTAAAAAAAATTTTATTCTTTAATAAAAAACTTATCCTTGAGTTTATTGATTAAAACTGCAAGCATATGATTCTTATAAAATTAAGAAGCTTAATTATGATTTTATGAAAAAATAGTTTTATTTTATCATCTTAGAATTATTAAAACATAACTAAAAAGCAAAAATTATGAATAAACGATTATTTCATAAGTATAATATTATATTGTTTTTGTTAATTAATAAAAAAAATGAAATATTTGCCCGATGTAACACTCTAGATTTCTTTAAGGAATTCTGAGCTGACTCTGGGAAATTTTATTTAGCACTTGAGCTTCAAAAGAAGCACTAAAGTCTTTCATTATACGTGGGCTATAAGACATAGCTAAATTGCCATGAAAGGTTTTTGAAGTGCATTAATTTTTTTTTGTAATTTATAGTTATAAAAACCATAAGAAGAGCATTAAATATTAACTTACGCAAATAATTTAATTATGATAAATTAATTGTTTTTTACTTTTTATGGGTTTAATTGTTTATTATTAATTTTAATTTTTACTTATATTAATAAATTTTAAAATGTTATTGATCAATCAAAATAATTATGAAAAAATCTAAAAATAAAACTAAAAACAAAGTATTTTCATTAAAACAACTTATTTTTTTTTATATTTATTGTATAATTAAGGAATAAAATTAATTTTAAATCAAACTAAAATATTGCATTTTATCAAATTAAAATTAATTTTATTATTTATTTCAGATTAAAATGAAATCCTTTATGGTCAAAAAAAAGTTTTTTTTAATATAATAAATTCTCAAATTAAAATAAATTTAATGATTTTGAGCTTAATTAGTAATTAATTTTAACAAAAAAATAATCTTTCTTGTTAATAGAAAAATTTAACATTCAAAACTTAAATTACATAAATCAATTTTTAATATTAATTGGATATTTTTTTTAAAGCGATAGTTATTTCTAATAAAAAATAAATTATAATATAAGCAAAATTAGAGTAAATCTTAAAGATATTTAGACTATTACATTTTGAGTTATATGGCTCAACTATTAGCTGTAACATTTCTACCCCAAAAACTACGTTTTTAAGATGAGCTAATTTTTTCTTCTACTTATTTGTTTTTTTATTCTTTGTCATTTTAAACTTGAAAATATTAACTAGATTTCTATTATTTAGGTGTGCTTATTGCTTAGTTTGAGCTTGTTGTTTTTTAACCAATATTTAAAATAAATTTCTTCTTTTTTGGAGCCTTTTACCTATAGAAATATTCAAATTTAAAAAGGTAATTCATTAATAAATATATTTAACAAATGTTTATATTTTTATGTTGAAAATATATGAGGAATTAAAAAAAGTGTTTACCCATCTAACTGTGTAAATATATTTTGTAGTTCTTAGCCCATCAATTCGATCAATATATTATCAGTGCTTTTATTAGAGTAAGAATTAATAATAAAATAAATTTTTATTAAAAGTAAAATACTGGGTTTTATTAGGCTTGCTGGACACTTTTCTGTAAGCTTTGTAAATTTATTCATATTCATTAATGCCATAAGTTCTATCAAAATTATTAACAATATTTTCCATAGCTGACTAATCTATTATTGTTTTAATCTCACTATGGTTTTTATCATCTACTTTTTTTTTAAGTTTGTTTTTCGCTTTCACTAATGTTTTAATCACATTCACTTCTGTGTGAAGGTTTTGAGCATATTATTTGTGGACATTTTCAACGTGAGTGTCTACAATTTTGATTTAATCGTTGTTTTTAATTTGAACTAGAGGCTTTGGGAAGTAGCTGAATAAAATTCTCTACTCATAATCCAGGAGTAAGCATTTAATACGATCTATTTCCTGAATTTTATCAAGAATTTTAATAATATCAAGATTATTTGCTATTAGATCTTAAGCTTTATCTACCATTTAATTCTACTTAGTCTTGAATAATTTTTAGCAAGATAGCTTATAAACAATATATTTAAATGAGAAGGAGATTTTTTAACGACGTGAATTCATTTTTAGAAGCTCTTGTTAGATTAAACTTTTTTTTTAATCAGTTTAGTTTATTATTTTGTTTTGACTATCAACTCCTATGTTACTATCAGTATGATTATTGCTTGGAGAAGCAGTTGAATGATTTGATTGACGATTAATTTAATTTTAAATTTTTTGAATTTATGAAGGAGTTTACTTTAAAGAAGCTTTTTTAAATAAAGAGACATTTTTTGATCTATTAGAATTAAATTCTTAGTTTTTAGTTTGAGAATCTTCAATGTTTTGAGAAAATTGAGCTTTTTTACTTTGATAAATAGACACATTATCATTTTATTATGTCGTATGCTGATTAAAATGATCCTTTATATCAAAGTTAGTAAATTATGTTTAATTGTTAGATTATATACTTATTTCTTCTGGCTTTTTAGAATTTTCATCATTTTCTTCATTAAAAGGATTACAAAGGAGATCGCTGAAATTTGCCTCTTTCTCTTAATTATTATTTTTTATTTCATAACTAGTGAATTAATTGTCATTTTTGTTACTGTTATTAAGATTTTAGTCATCAAAAAATTGATTTAATCTAGCATCAGATGTAAAATTTTATGGAGAAGTGTAAAAAACTTAATTATCAGGTGGAAATTGCTAATTCTAATAATAGATATTCCGATTATTTTCTATTTACTCTTCATCTATACATTATAATAAAGAAAGATTTTTTTGTTTTGCTTAATTTTAATATTTTTTCTATTTTTATTAATCTGGCTCATAGCTATTTGTTATACTCTTGCAAACTGCTAGCATACTCTTTATTTACTAACTTTATCTAACTTAATTTAGTTATAGATTAGTATTTTCTTCATTTACATCACTCAAAACCAAATCTAAACTTTATTTGAGAGAGCTTTCATCATTATCATATGCTTTTTTTTCATCATTTTAGTCACATTTTTATTTATCCTAAAAACAGTTAGAGTTTTATTCTTTGTTATTAACTATTTCATCATTTTAATAGGCATCTTCAACTTTATTTTTGATAAATTCTATCTTTTAATTTATTAATGGAAGAGATTTAGATGGGATTATTTACTTATTCATCACGTCTTAATCCTCATAAATTTGCTATTACATAGGTAATTTTTATTCAAGCTGTTAATTTTTTACGTTTTATTATTAATTTACTTAGGAATCATTTATTTCTACTTTGATAATTGTTGCAATGCAGGTATCAGGGTTTTAATTTAAACCTTCTTTTATTTCATCTTAGAATTACTCATCAATTTTTTTATCTAAGCCTTTTTCCTTTGGTTTGAATGACAAATTTAAATTTTGTTAATCATAATTTTTTTAACTTTTTTGATAAACTTTTTCATTCAGACTTTATTAACTGATGTCTTTCTTTCCTCTTGAAAGTATTTCTAACTTTTAAACTGAGCTCTATTATTCATTTTCTTATTCTGTAATATGAGGAAGCTATAATTAAATATTTTGCTATTATTATACTCTCTTTAAATTAAAATCAAAGTATTAAGTTTGGTGATTTAAGTCAGAGTTGTTTTAATTTTATGCATGATTCTAATAAGTCTCATCATTAAGTAATTTATTATTTTCTGATTACTGCCTATTTGAAGAAAGCATTTCAATATGAATTTATTTTTCATCAGTAGAAAAGTAATTTTGCTGTGAATCTAATTATTTAGCTTAATTTAAGGAATTATAAATTATTTTATAACCATTAGGACTTTACTAATTTGATTAAATTTAAATTTATTCACTTAAGCTATGTTAGGTTTTATTATCCTTAGAATTTTCTGTTTATTCGTTTTAAATATAAGGATTAGGAGATATGCGATTTTTATCCTCTTGAATAATACACTAATCTTACTTTTACTTAACTTGAAGAGATATTTATTTGGTTTCAAACTTAGTGGCCATCTATTCGATTTATTCTTAGTTTCCTCCATCTCTGTTATATATTTATGAATTATTTTCCAAATTTTACTTTATTTAATTTGTTTCATTTTTTTATTAATCTTCTGAAATGTCATAATCATATAATTTATTTGCTAGCTCTATGACATAGTAGCTTCTATTATAAAATCCCACTATTTCATATTTATTTAAAATTTTTATATCAAAATGCCAAAATTAAAAAATTGTAAAATAAAATTTAGTAAAATTTCTAATATTCAATAAAAATATTATTACCTATTATAGCAGCCATAGCAATCATAGAGTTAACAAAACCTCCTAATTAAGATAACATATCTTATAACTTCATATAAGATCTATAGTAATACTATATAAACCTACTTCTATTAAAGTAGAAAGTAGCATATGGTTTAGTAGATCCCTTAGCAGATTATGTATATTGAGGTCTATAATCTCCATATTGCTGAACCGAGTAGAGTTATTATTAAATATCTTTGGTAAACAACAAAGAATTATCAGTTTAGATATTATATTGTGTGAAGTAAATGTCTGCTGTCACGTAGGTCTACATTTTATAATCATTTGAAAATTTGAAAATTTAAATTAATATATAAATAATTAATTAATTAATTAATTAGGTACTGCTTCTGGTTGTATTTAGAAAAATAGATCATTAGAAATTATGCTTTCAACCAAATTCTGTGGTTCTACTGGATTAAAAATATAGTTAGTCATTTAGAATTATACTCTAACTGTGGTTTAGGCAAATTATTAAGCACTTGCATATGATTAGCAAACAGGATTCCATGAGTAAAACTATGGATTAGTTACATTTATACATTTAGTAACTGAAAACTTTAAAAATTGATAAATAGGGCTTTCGTATTACCCACCAATATAAACTGTTTAATTTTTTCTAAATTAATTTAAAAAATATTTTTTATTTGAAATTAAATATCGTTTGTTTATTACAATTTAAATAATCAGTAATTTTATTAAATAAAAAGTTAATATTTTAGGAATCTAATTATTGATAAAGCTAACACATTTAAAAATATGATTATTTTATTTAAAAAATAAATAAGAAATTTCATCAATAAATTAAAAATTTCAGGTAAAAAATAAAGACAATAATTTTTTACAAAAAAATTGATTGACAGTGATAATTAAACTATAAAAAAATTAAAGTTACTTTGCACACAAATAATCACTAAGACCTAAAGTATCATAAGTACTATTTAGTCTGTCTTTACCTATCATTTACCAATGGCTTTTAGTGCAAGGCTCCATATCTAAAGGAATCTTATTATTTTTTAAGTGTTGATAGTTATTACTTAATTTATTTGAATATTAAGTAACATAAATCAACTAAAAACATTAAATAAATGAAATCATCAATCCATTAATCATTGAATCAAGTGAATTTGGAATTAATCATTTAATTAATTAATGAAATATAAATTATTCTATAAATTAATTTTAATATTTTAAAAGCTTTTAAATATTTACTGATTATGTAAGTCTTGTTCCATTCTGTAAAAGGGTGTAAGTCTTTTATTCTAAAGTAATATTGTAGTAAGGATTTTTCAAGAAATTAGGCTGCTAAATTTATACAGCAAACATAAAATCGTTTGTACTCAATTAAAGCAATGATGGGTTATTACTGAATGATTCAGACTAAAGAAGCGTAACTTAATCTATTTAGTTTAAGTATAAATAATATATTTTTAATATTTATATTTGGCTAATTATTTATTAATCATATGTTGTTATCTATATTTACTGAGACAATTAATTTAAAAATATAAAAGCGTAAAGCTTAAAATTTAAAAGGAAAGGGATAGCAATGAATGTACTTTTGTTGAGGAAGTCTAATAACTTTTTAAATATAAAATTAATGAGTAAAATAAATTTATTTTTTTGATAAATCAAAGTAAATAGTTTAATAAATTGTTTGTAATGATATTATAAATTAATGTACAGTATTCCAAAAGAATAAACAAATAATAGCAACAGTGCCTAAAGATATTAATCCACCTAAGCTAGTACGGATAGACCCATTATTCTTATAATTTAAAATAACCTGCTTACCAAAAATATCACAGTTATTTAATTAGTCAAAGATCATCATTATATTTTTCTTAAGCAATCTATTTAATTTATTATTTTAGTTCTATCTCTACTTTTTTTACTTATCTAAAAATCAATTAAAATTGTGACTTACTTTTCTTTCAATTTTTTTACATGTTATTTTTGTTTTTTTAGTAATTTGATAGTTAATTTAAAGTTAAAAATTTCTTTTTATTTTTTCTATTGATTTTCAAAAACAAAAGTAAATAAATGAATGATAAAAAAATTAATTTTTTGGTGAGAAGTTAGTTTTTATATTAAAAATGAGATCAAATAAATAAGATAGTTAAGCTTATTAGAATATATTTTATTAATTTAATTTACTTTACCATATTTATTAAATTTTATTTTTCATTATGATTGATAGAAATTATTAAGCTTTTTCAGTCAGAAAAGAAATAATTAAACAAAATATCTAAATATGATGATAATTCAACGAAAAGAAAGTTTATCCAATAAATATATAAAAATAATAGAATACAATATAATTTCTGCCAAGCAGTATTTTTTTTATTTAATTGAAGTATGTTTAATTTTATTTTTATGTTAAATTAATCTGTATTACTTATAAATATTTTTTAAAATGATTTTTAAAACCCCATCTAATTAATAATCAAAATATTATTTGTCAACAAAAATAATTTGATTTATCTTAAAATAAATTTTTAAAGTAAATTAACTATTTTTATGAACATTTAATAATTTTAATATTTATTATTTCCTAAAACCAAAAGTTTTCTTACATTCTCCATTTATTTAGAGATAAATATGAAAGACTCTTTACCCTATTTAATAAAACTAATTTCACTTTTATTAATTATACCTTTCATTTTCCAAATTTGTTTTTACTCTCCTTCCCCAAAAGGAACGCTTTTAAATTTGATTTGTTTTTTCTAGTAGCTTATTTGTTGATTCTTACTCATTTTAGGACTGTTAAATTGGCTTTTTCTTTTACTACTATTAATTAGCAATACTTTTAGAAACACTATGAGAAAGTAATTATTTTTTCTTTATTGACTTTTATCTAGCAAAATAATATATTTATATTTCAAATGTATTTGATATTAAAAAATTCTAAAAGTAAGTACAAAATAATAAATAAATAAATTAGTTAGTTAGTTAGTTTATTAAAAATTTACTCATCTAATTTTTAAAATATGTTTTGCAGTTCTTGTCCCATCAATTAGATTAAAACATTGTCAGTACTTGATTTTAAAATTAAGATAAAAATTAATAAATAAAATTCAATTCTTGCTAAAAAAATACTGTGTTTTGTTAGGCTTGGAGGATATTTTTCTGTAAGCTTTGTATATTTATTCATATTCACTAACTCCATATGTTCTATCAAAATTATTTAGTTCATTTTCCATCAATGATTAATTCATCATTGATTTTATTTGTTGCTGATTTCTGTCATTTACTTTTTTTTTAAGTATATTTTTTGCTTTTACAAGAGTTTTAATAACATTCACATTAGTATTTAAATCTTATGCATATTTTTAGTGAATATTTTCTGTTTGAGAATCTAGGATTTTTATTTTATTATCATTTATGATTTTGATTAATGGCTTTGGGAAGTAATTAAATAATATTCTCTGCTCAGAATCGAGTAGGATACACTTTATACGATCTATTTCTTGTATTTTATCAAGTATTTTTATGATATCAAGATTATTTGCAATTAAGTTTTAAGCTTTATCAACCATTTAATTTTGCTTTGTCTTAAATAGCTTTTAACATGATAATTTATAAAGAATATATTTAAATGAATAAGAAATCTTTTAACGACGAGAATTCATTTTTAAAAGTTCTTATTAAATTGTCTTAGTTTTTTTTTAGGTTGATCTAGCTATTTTACATAAATCTTCACCTATATATTATCTTTAAGAACTAATATTAGATTAAGAATTAATAATTTAATTGCTTTCATTACAAGCTTCGTTTTGCACATTCATAAACTATTAAGATTTTTAAAAAAATTAAGTTTTAAAAATGCTAGAAACTCTTTTTTTTAAAAACGGTTCTTATATTTTGCTATGGTTTTCTTGATTGATTTGAGAAATTTATGTTTCTCTAATTTAATTTTATTCATTTTATTGATTCACTTACACAGATTATTTTTTTTATATATCATATTTAGTGTTTTCAATGTTGCTGCTATTATAGTTATCTAATTAGCTGACATCTTCACTTTATTAACGATATAATACTAAATTATTATCTGAAAAAGGATTTTCAGCAGCAAAATTAAAAAAATTAGACTCTTAGTCTACGTTAACTGTTTGATGTTTATCAGACTCGTTAATTGATGATTAATTATCATTAATCAAATAACTTTTATTACTTTGATTTTCTAATTTGCTAACAACTTAAGTTTACTTTTGATATAATGCTAGAATATCTTCTGAATAAGGATTTTATACTGCAAGATTAAAAAAGTTAGATCCTTATTCTAAATTAGCTACTTATTGTTTAGCATTTTAAATAGTCGATGCATAATTATCATTTTAAAAATTACCATTATTTAATTAATCACCAAAATGTTAATTTAGTTTAGAAGTTGATTTAATATTTTGTGGAGAAGGATATAAAAATTAAGTGTCAGATAGAAATTGTTAGTTCATTATTTCTTAGTTCGAATTTACTTGATCAAAAGTTTCATCAAAACAATTTGTCTATCTTTATTATATCTTTGAGCACTCGAAAGAATTATTATCGTTTTCAATTGTTTTCCTTCTAGAAATACCTTATATGCTCTTAGGTAATTATGTTTATCTCACATAAACATGCTGTACATTTTCATTTTCCTCAACTGTATCGCTTAATATAATATCTGCATTTTAATTCATAAATTATTCATCATTTATCATGCTTTCTTTGTAATCAATTTGCTATTATTCATCTTAGTAAATTTTTTATATCTAACTATGTGTTATTTGATTATAATTATGATTTTCTTCAACTTTACTTTTTAAAATAATATTTTTATCATCAAATTTTATTATTTAATTTTAATAATTTTGAACTAATGGATTGTTAAAATAAAATTCATAATTATAAATTTTATTTTTTTCATTATCATTATTATATTTATTTTATTCTATTTGTTGTTTTAATTTTTATAATATGTTTTAATTTTAAATTTAATCTATTTATAGATTTAAATTTTATTAAGTTTTAGGTTCTAAATTAGGGCCATTCCAATTTTATTAATTCAAATTTTTTAGAAGTATTTTTTAGCTTAGATTTGACCAGGTTAAATCTTTTTTATCATTTAAATTATTGCTATGCTTTTAAGTTGTATTTTATAACTCTATTTCCTACTCAATTTTAGCAGGTAATTTGATTAATTAACCTGCAAATTGCTACTTTGCATCTTTAATTTATGAATTACTATTCTATTTTTGTTAATTTTACTGATTTACAGATAAATTGCAAATATTTAGATTATGATTTTCTGAAAAATTAGATTAAGCTTCTTCTTTTATTAAATTGCTTTTCTTCAAGTTTTTTTTTGAACATAAAGCTTCAAAATTAATTGATTTTTATTTTTCATCTACAGGGTAGATGCGATCAGTTGAGCTAAAATATTTATCATGATATACTAAATTATGTAATTTCATATTAGCATAATGAAAATCCTGTAAAGATAAGTTTTAATTTTATAATTATCGAAGCTCTAACTTATTATTGATTTCAACATTTTCCACTTAAAAAGGTGTTGAAAAGTATTTACCCTCTTGAATATCATGATTTTCTTATATTTAATGGGAAGTTTTCTCAAAATAAGATTTAGTTATCTGTTAATTTGCTTATGAGCTACTTATATCTACACATTTTAGCTAATTATTTTTTTCAAAATTTTACTATTACAAATGCTTGTAATTTGTATTATTTGTTTGATCGTACTCTTGAGTTTCAAAATCATACAATTTATTGGCTAACTCTAGGACGTAGATACTTCGATTATAAAATCCGACTGTTTAATTTAATAAAAGTTTGTTTTACAAATAAAGGTTTTTAATAATATATAAAATCAATCAAGCATAATTTTACAAAATATAATATAAAATAAAATTGTTACCTACAATAGCAGCTATCGCAATCATAGCATTAATGAATCCACCCAATTAAGATAGCACATCTGACAGCTTAACATATTACCTATGATAATAATTAGTAAATCTACTTCTGTTAAAGTAGAAATTTCCATAAGGCTTAGTATTATCTTTACTATATTAAGTGTATTGAGGTCTAAAATCTCCATATTATTGAACTGCATAATCTTATTCTTCAATGTCTTTGGTAAAAAACAAAGAATTATCAGTTTTTATATTATATTAAGTGAAAAAAATATCAGCTGTTATGTACATCTATATTTTTTTATTTAAAATAAATAGTGAAAAATATTAAAATATATAAAATTTTATACTGCTTCAGGCTATATTTAGAAAAATAGATCACTGGAAATAATGCTTTCTACTAGATTTTAAGGCTATATCGGATTAAAAATATAGTTAGATATTTAAAACTAGATTCTCACAGTTTAATACTAAGCAAATTATTAAGCATCTGAATAAGACTAGCAAACAGGTTTCCATGAGTAGAATTATGATTAAGTGACATTTATGCATTTACTTACAGAGTACTTTAAGAATTAATAAACAGGGCTTTCATACTATCCTCCAATGTAAATAATTTAATTTTTTCTAAATTTTTTTTAATTCAAAAATATTTTAAGTATTTCTAAATTTAAATAACATTTTTATTTAAAATTGAATTAAAATAAAGTTCTATAAAATGATTTTTCAGCAGGATTATTTTGTAATTTTAAAATTATTAGTTCATTTTTTTAATTTTATAAATCAAATAAAGAATTTTCAAAAATAATTTAATTTGTTTTTAATTGTTTGATTGCTATAATTTATAATAATAAATGTTTGTTTTTAGTTATTTAATTGCTATAATTTATAATAATAAACGTTTACAAATAATTGTTTTATATTGTGTTAATTTAATGTATTTAAAAGTATTTTCTAAATCAATAATTATACTTTGTACATAAGTAATCATTTAAATTTAAAGCATTAAAAGTATCGTTTAGTTTATCTTTTTATATCATACTCCAATGATTCTAAGTGCAAGGTTCCATGTCTATAGGTAACTTTTAATTATATAGAAAATATTAATTTTTTTTTTGATGAGTTTATCTAATCTTAAGTAAATCTATAAAGAAATAAATGATTAAATCTTTAAAGTAATAGGTAGAATTGCTATTTATGAATTACTACGTTCACTTATTATTAGAGAATAAATTTTTATTGTTGAAAAGTAAGTATTACTGACTGTGTAATTCTTGTTCCATTTGATAGAAGAGTGTAAGTCTTTTATTCTAGTGTAATATTGTAGTAAGGATTTTTCAAAAAATTATTCTGTTCTATTTAAACAGCAAACATAACATCGCTGGTATTCAACTTAAGCTATGAAGGATAGTTACTGAAAGATTGTGATTAAATAAGTATTACTTCATCTATTTCATTTAAAAATAGATAAATCTTAAATATTTATTCATTATTCAATTAATTATTTTTTAAATATATTCTTCAAACGATTTATTTTTTTATCAATTAAATGGTTTTAAATTTATTATAAAAAAATGAAAAATAAAAAGAAGAAAGAAAAAAGCAACTTTTATCAATGAAATCTACTAACTTTTTATACAAAAAAATAAGAATAAATATCGTTTAACATATGAATAAATATCAGCTTAAATAAACACATATTTTAATTTAGAGATAAATAAATAAACTTACACTATTCCAAAAAAAGAGGAAGATAACAGTGATTGTAGCTAAAGAAATTATGCCACCAAATCTTGTTTTAATGGAAGCACTATTATTATAATTTAATATCACTTGTCTGCCAAAAATATCAAATAGATTAAATTTTTAAGAAATCATATTTCTTTCTGTATCGAGTTGTTTGATATGATTAATTTTTTTTTTAGTTCTACTTAATTATTCTTATCAAACTATTTTTTATGATTTTAATAACCCTAGTTAAATAGTTATTTATTTTTTTAAATTATTAATTATTCATATTATTAATTAAGTTCATACTTTTACTATATTATTAACTAAATTATAATGTATTAAGAATTTTTTTTTGAATCTGTAAAAGTGATTTTAGATAATAAAAATTAATCAAGTTTAAAAGCTTTTATGTTATTTTGAAAAGTAGTTTTTAACATTTAATGCTTGTTTGTTTGTTTAACAAAAAAATAGATAATTATTATATTTATTAAATTAAAATAAATAAATGTTTTGATAAATTCTATGAATAAAATAGTTTATAATAGATAGATAGAGTACATACAGATAATAAATATAATAAAGCAAAATAAAAATAAGTTTAAGAGAATAAATTATTTATATAAAAATTATAATTTAGATTTAGATTTTTTTTTTTATTTCAAAATATTTTGTTGGAAAATTTAGTAAATAAAAATATATTTTCGTTTTAATTTATTCATTCAATTTTCGGTTGTAATATTTCTTGCCCTTTTACCGAATTATTTCTTTTTATCATTTTTATCAGGGCTTTTTGAGTCTGTATTGAATTTTATTAGTTATTAGTCTAATTTGATCATTTATGATTATTTTGTTTAAGATTGTAATTAACTGTTTTAATTTGAACTAGAATTCTTTTTCAAGCTTAGACTTTACTTTTTCATGGCTGATCTTTTAACTGACTATTTATTTCTTTACCTATTTTTAAAATAAAGTTTCAAATAAGTAATAAATAAATAAATAAATTTATTTACTCGTCTAGCTGCTAAAATATTTTTTGCAATTCTTGTCCCATCAATTCAATTAAAATTTTGTCAGTCCTTAAATAAAATAAAATAAAAAGTAAGTAAATGAATAAATGAAAAGAGATTAGTTTAATAAATTTTTACTAAGTTTTTTGAGGTTTTGTAGAAATCTTTTTGTAAGCTTGATATATTTACTCATATTCATTAACACTATAAGTTCTATCAAACTTATTTTCAAGGTTTTTGTATAATGATGAGTTTATGATGGTTTGGATTTGGTCTTTACTTTTTTTTTGAACAATTTGCTTAAATTTGTTTTTTGCTTTCACTACAGTTTTTATTGTTTTGTCATCAGTATGCAAATTTTGAGCATATTGTTGGTACATGCTTTCCAAAGGAGAATTCTAAATTTAAAGTTAATCATCGTTTTTTATTTCAACTAAAGGTTTTGGGAAGTAACTGAACAAAATTCTTTGTTCATAATCTAGAAGCAAGCATTTTATACGATCAATTTCTTATATTTTATCTAATATTTTCATGATATCTAAGTTGTTTGCAATTAAATCTTAAGCTTTATCAACCATTTAATTTTCTTTAGTCTTAAAAAACTTCTGGCAAGAAAGCTTGTAAATGATGTATTTAAATGAGTAATTTATTTTTTTACGACGAGAGTTCATTTTCATCAATTCTGTAGACATTATACTTCTTCTACTCTTTGATTCTATGTAGCTTGTATGCCTTTAAGACCTGCTAATTTTTACATTTTATTCTCCTTAAGTTGAATTTTAGTTAAAATCTTAACTGGCATTATCTCTTTTGATAAATGAGTTTTGGTTGCTAAAACTTTTATTCAGTTAATTACCCAAAATAATTTTAGCATTACCTCCTTAGTTATAGAGCTCATTGTGTGAATGGTAGCGAGGCTATTAAAATATGTTATGATCATTTAAGAAAGCTAAGCTTTCTCTTCTGTAAGTTTATTCATAGTTCTAATTGGGATTGTAATTAGTAGGAGGCTGTAAAAAAGATTCTTTTTTAATTACATTATTTTAATAACTTTCAAGATCATAATCTAAATTCTACCTATTAATTTAATCCTCTCCATGAAAATCAGGATAATACCTGCCACTTCGCATGCTATTATTTGATACCAAATCTGCCTAATCAGGATTTTTATAATTCAGTGATAGTCTAGGGGGACTCTTTAAACTTAAATTAATATTATTAGCATGAAGTAGTCTATTGTTCGCATTTTAATTGGTTTTGTTTTCATGACTATTAATTATAGGAGGAATCAAGTTTGATGAAAAATTTTTCTAAGAAGTGGCGTGAAGCTAATTTTTACTATTGTTTGAAAAAATGTTAATAGAGTTAGGTTCATCAAAATGGCATTCTAATTCACTGCTTATCGAGCGATTCTTACTTATGTTATTTTATTTTGGCTTTTTCAAATCAATTAAATCATAATTAGTGCTATAAGCTGTGATATTATTATTGTAACTTTAAATGTTTTGAATACTTTTAACTTCCTTGAAGCTTCTAATTTGATTTTTATCTAAATTTTTCTTTTCTTCATTGACATCAAAACTCTATGGATCTATTTATTCTTATTTTTCCTCATTTATTTCTTTCTTTAATTCCTGATTTTATTATGAAATTTAAGTATCTTCTACCTTTTTATGAGACTCATTTTCATCTTCAATATTATTATCTATATTTTCTATACTTGTATTACCTTGACACATTTAAATTTTGATAGGAATAAAATGATTGTTCATTTTTTGGGATTTAGAATCATTGAGTTTGTCTTAATTATGATTGCCATTATTTGCTAAGTTTGGCTCTTTTTTCTAATTATTTATTTTAACTCCATTTTATTTATCTTTGGATTTGAATGATTTTTCATCTTACAGAACAAAATTTTCACTTTAATTATCAGTCTATACATTAATAGATTAGTTATTTTTGTCTGCTTCGTTATTCTATTAATATGTCTACCAAGAGAAGTAATCTTCTTATTCAGAGCCGTTCTTCTTATGAGGTGAAAATTTGAACTTTCCAAAATTCGATTTAAAACTATTTTTTTTTTCTCCATATATTTCTAATTTTTATATGGAATGCTGTTCATTATCTTATTCTATGATTGAAGGTAATTGTATCTTTAATTCTATTGGAGGTTGTTGTTATCTAGGAGATTTTTAAGCATTATCTGATTACTGACTCAGTAAAGATGGATACTAAATTAAATTATTTGAATTACTTGGGCCCATTAATAGTTAAATATCATCTTCGTTTGTAGTTAATCTCCTTTCATACATTGATTAAGGTGAAACATAGTCAAAATTCTAAGTTTTCAAATTTTCGTCATTTTAAGCAAAGAAATTAGCTGGAGAATCGTTATCTTTGTTTGAATGAATAATGTTAATATTTTATTTATATTGAGCATCTGATTTAATTTATGATTAATTTTATTCGGTAGCTCCTTTGAAGCTTCCATTATTAATTTCATTACTAAATTTAAGTAATTCTATCTTGTATTATTGCTAATTGGATTTGTTGTCGATTTCTTCTTTCCCTTCTGTTTCTTTGTTCTAAGAAGGGCTTTTCATTTTTTAGAGGTATTGCATTGTTATTTATTCATTTTTACTTAATCTTCTCTCTTAATTATCATCAATATGAATGTTTTTTCTGAAACTGGGATTGATTTTCTTCTGCAATAAAATCATGTTATTATTCATTTTATCGTTTTCTTCTAGGATGTCAAAATCATATAATTAATTTGCAAGTTCCATTACATAATAATTACTATTGTAAAAACCAACTATTTTATTATTAAAATAAAAAATATTATTATGAATAATTAAATATTTATTTTTTGAATAATAAATCATTAACTAAAATTAAATGATTAAAAATCAATCAAAGCTAAATTATTAATAGACAATACCTATTATTGCCGAAATGGCTATCATCGAGTTTACGAAGCCACCTAATTAAGAAAGTACATCTTAAAGTTTCATATACTACCTTGTATATAATTTATCGAATCTACTTCTGTTAAAGAAAAAAGTTGCATAAGGCTTTGTAGGATCCTTACTGTACAAGGAGTACTGAGCTCTAAAATCACCATATTCCTAAACTTAATAATCTTATTCTTGAATATCTTAGGTAAAGAACAAAGAATTATCAGTTTTAATAACATATTCCGTAAAAAAAATATCTGCTGTGGTGAACATCTAAATTAATTCAATTAAAATAAATTTAAAATTATTAAATATTAATTTTTAATGCTTATACCGATTCTGGTTAAATTTAGAAAAATAGATCACTTGATACAATTTCTTTAACTAAATTTTATGGTTCATTAGCATTTATAATAAAATTAACCATTTAAAACTAAACCCTAACACTCTAATTCTAAGCATATTTAATTGCGCTATCATATGACTAACAGACTGGATTCCATGAGTAAAATTAAGGCTTAGTGACATTGTTGCATTTCGAAATAGAGAATTTTAAAAATTGATAAATCTCACTTTCGTATTAACCTCCTATATAAATGGTTGTGTTCTTTCTATTACATGTCATAAAAAATATTAATCTATGAAGTGTATATAAATTAGAATAAAACTAAATAAATAAATAAATCAACAAACCAACCAATAATCTTTTCCTATCTGATTTTATTATTTTACATAAATAATAATTAAAATAAAAATATTTGTTTGTTTGGTTGTTAATTGTCTGTTTCTAATAACTTTCTTATTTATTTATTTGATCTAAACTGATTTGTTTTGACATGAATTTCTGGAAGAATAAATTACGATATAGCCTGAAATCAATCAATTATATCAATTAGAGCAAAAATTTAAATAAATAAATTATATTTGTTATGTAAAGAAATAAACATAAAAAGATAAATTAGGTGATGAAAAATAGATCATTTTTAGTTGATTTTTTTGTATCAAAGATATAGATAAATAAATAAAAAAATTATATATAAATTAGAATTCTTACTTTACGCATAAATAATCTTTTAGATTTAACTGAGTAAAAGTATTGTTCAAACTACTTTCAGGCAACGTTTACCAGTGACTCAAAGTGCAGGGCTCCAAATCAATAGGCGCCTAAATAATAAATACAATAAGTTCAAAATACAATTTTTTAATACAAATTGAAATTGTGTTTTCCAATTTATAATTTAATTATTTTTTCAAATGGTTTGTTTATTTTTTATTATAAAATATTATCTCATCTATTCAAAAAAAAAAATTACTGTTTTTATGACTCTCGTTCCATTTTATAATAAAGTGTATGTTTTTTATTCAAGCGTTATATTATAATAAGGGTTTTATAAAAAACTTGTCTGTTGTTGTATCTGTACAGCAAACATAAACTAGCTAGTATTCAAAGTCAATAGAGAAGGATTATTACTGAATGTTTATTAAGAAACCACTGTAACTTCATCTAAATATAAAGATTATTAATATATATATGTCTTATTTGATTTAAATAACAAAGTCTTTTTGATTATTATCAAATCGCAAAGCTAAAAGCAAGCAAATTGAGAAAGATAATTAATTTTAATAAGTATTTAGCTGAGTATAAAATAAAAGAAATCATGAATCTAATCACAAAATGGCGAATTTACTTTTGTTGATGAAGTCCATGAACTTTTTATGTTAATAAAAACATATTAAACAATCAATTTTTAAAAAAAATTCTTTTTGACTATGATTAGTCAATGAATTAAAAGAAAGCAGAAAAAGTAATTACTTTGTTCCAAAAGAACAGACAGATTGCTATCAATGTTAAAATAGAAAAAATTCCTCCAAATCCAGTTTTTACATTGCTTCTTTGATTGTAATTTAATATAATTTATTTTCCGAAAATATCGCAATTGTTTAGCTATCCAAAAACCATTTTATATCTCTCTATCTATATATCTATCTTTGATTTATAATTGTTTGTTTGTTTGTTTTTCTTCTTTTTATATAAATTACTTAATATTTCTTTGGCTGTTTTAATTAATTAATTATTAAGAAATATGTTTTATCAGGTATTTTATTAATCAATTTGCTTCCAAATTTCGATAAATTCAACTATATTCATTGGCAGTAAAGTGTTTGTTTAAGCTTGGTAATCAGTATGATATGAGAGTGTATGTATCATTTTGTAATCTTGCACTCTCATTTAATTATTCCAAAAATATGCTCAAGCTATTTATTTTATTTATTTAGTTAGTCAAATTTCTTCACTCGTATTGTAAATTATCAAAAAGTAAAAAATATTTAGATTTAGTTTTCCTTTAATTTATAATTTTTTTTTATTGAAAATTTGTAAAAAAAGAACTAAAATTCATTAATCAAATCATTTATTTTTATTTTATTCTCATAGAAATTCTATTTTATATATAAAATACTTATTTGAAATAAAATGTTAACAAATTTAACAATTAAAAATGTATCTTTTTAACCTAAAATCTTTAAAATTCAGTTGATTTTAGGAAATATTATTTAAGCTTAACACCTCGCACCTAGCGAAGTTATTCAAATTTTCCAAAAAATTAATTAAAAGCTAATAATTTTTGTAATCAATAGATTAGCTTTTCTACTGGAGAAATAAATCAAATAAAGAGCAAAAATCAATCAAGTAAAATAACGCAAATATTATTTCATAATTAATAATATTTTTATGCTAGTCAGTAAGAAGCTCCAGTTTTTTCAGATCTAAAATTAACAATTAATTTGTCTTAAATTTACATATCCTAAATAAATATATGATGATTACATTTTTATTGTAATTAAATCACAATTTTTAATTTACTTTTGTGTATTTTTGTAAAACACAAATTTAATTTGGTCTTTCTATCTTTCAATAAGAAAAATAGATAATTCTTTTATCATTATATAAACTTGAAATTCGATATGTAATAGCCACTTTCGCAACCAATTATTTTTTAAAAAATTGATATTCTCATATCTAGAAAAAAAAATTAATTATAATTTTTTCAAATATTACAATTTTGAAAAAATATTACAATATTATGAAGGAAAAAACATTTTAAAATTATTATATTTTATATTTTTAACCAAAATGATACTTTCTATTTGCTATATACGAATGCAAATTTCTATAATGAAAATAGCTTACTTATATCAACTATTTGATGACTTTTATTTAATAATTTAAATTTGAAAAATAAAATTATTGTTTTAAATTTACATTTTTTATTTTTAAATTTTGTTTTATATTATTCATTTTTATAGGTGTTAAATGTTAATAAATTATTTTCTAAAATTTACTACAAAAATAGATCATATCCCATACTTAATTAAGAATACAATAAAAATTTGATTTTCTGAAAACACTTATCTATTATTGTATTAAAAATAGTTATGATTACAGTAATAAAATAATGATAATTAGTAATTAAATCCTTAATCTCAAATTTATTATTCTAAAAATATTGTTCTGACATTTAATAATAATTATTATAATTTCAATAAATTTGATTATTTGAAGATATAATGGATTAAAAAAATAATCAAAAAAAATTAATTAATATTAAAATAGATAAATGAGAATTTCTAAAATTTGGTTTAACAAATAAATATATAAATAAATATTTATCAACTAATTGTTATATTTTATGCATTTAATAATTAAAAAATTGATAAAAAATATAAAAAATGTTATCTAAATTCTTAAAGAGAAGAAATGCAGAATATATATTTACATATTTATTATAGGGTGAATAGGAAAAAATAGCATATTAACTTATTTATTATACTTAATTGCTTGCTTAATTACTAACTTACTTGCTATTAACTGCTTATTTATTCTACTTTAACTTTTATTATTTATATAAAGGATAAATTATTGCTTTTCTTTGATTGACAAGCAAAGAAAGTATTTTCTAAAATTGTTATTGAGTTCTATAAATAAAATTGATTTATTTATTTATTTATTAATTTTCTTAATTTTATTTATTTATTTCTTTTGTTTGTTTGTTTTTACATTATATAAAGAATAAATTAATTTTAGAGCAATTAAATTTCATAATAATTCTTCATCATCTGTATTTGTTTTTGAAGCTCTCAAAATCATATATTTTTTTAACTCCTTAAATTTCTCCCATCTTAACTGCTTGCTTAACTTAAGAAAGATTTAAGTTTTAAGATTATTGCACACTCATTGTTTTTTCAGGATAATATTTTTTAGGATTTTTTTAAGTTGATGACATTTGTTGTGAGTTTGAATGCATTTAATTCTGCTATATTTGTTGAGACTGGTTTTAGGTTTATTGTGATAATTATTATGTTGATTTTTATGAAGATCTTCTAACAGGAGTGCCACTTATATTTTCTTGCTATTAGATAGACTGGTTTCTATTAGTTAGAATTACAGATTCGTTGTTTTCTTCTTTTTATTGTTATATAACTGAGCTATTTAAGTTTACTTGATTATTAGGATTATTAGTATTTACATTGAGTTTATTTGTTATTTGTAAAGTACTACCCTTTACTGAGGAAACTGAATACATTACTTCTTTCATGTTAGGACTCTTGTTACGCTGTCCAAAGTACCCTTTTGAATTTTTTTCTTAAGTCTCTTTGTATTTTTCTTAGTAAGAAGTAGAATTTAAATAGGCCAAATAATTAAAATGAGATGGCTGGTTAGATTTAGGGTAGACATCAACCAATTTCTTATGTATGCGTTGTTATTACTATTGGTTTTAGACCTATCCGTTCTAATTTGTTTCAGCTTCCTAATTATGAGCAATAATACTTGATTGATTTAAATTTTGGTTTTAATTGGGATTGTTTGAAATATTATTTTTATTATTTGAGTTGCTTATTATATTGTTGATTGAGTTATTTGCTAAAATGGAATTATTCAGATTCACAGAATTATTGAGGGTTTCATTGTTACATTTGTTAGGAGTTTCTTAAAGCTAAGATTACTGTAGAAGGTACTTAACTGGACTAGGGGATTTTTAAAAGGCATATGTCTTTTTGCCATGTCTTGCTGAAATTGGTTGTTGGTTTGGATCAGAAGGATCAAACATAACAATTGGGTTACTCTTTTTTTAGTTTGTGTTTATTTTACACTTTATTCCTATGTTTTTTTCTGGTGAAAACTCATTTGTAGAATTGTAAATTGAGTCAAACAAGTTTTACTTTTTAGAAGAAGTGTTTACTATGCGAATGCCAATAGGTTTCTCTTTTTTCATATTATTTCCTGTCACTGGGTTTGGAAGACCTTTAGCTCCTTCTGATGGAGTTTGGAAAAAGGTTTTAATACCTTTTTTATGAAAGCTAGGAGTTATTTCACTTCCGACATTAAACACGCGAGCATTTGTTTGAGAATTTTCTCTAGATCTGTCTGCTATTTAGTAACTAATGTTATGGGTAAAGCCTGTAGCACTTGTTTTACCAGTCAAATGCAAAATATTTGTTTCTACTGGGAATTAGTCATGATAAGTTCTAATACCTCTTTCATTTGGCTGAGGTGAGGAATCACTTACTCCTAAAATAATATTTGTATTTTTATACCTCTGAGCGTAATTAGGGTTTATACTCATCTAAGATTAGCTAGTCCTGTTATACTCTTCTCTAGGAGAAATATCTTTGTCTTAGCAGAAAGAATCTACCATTATTGAGCTAGAGCGATTACGTAGATGAGAAGCACTGCGCATAGGTTTGTTCCAGAATTGAACACTCAAGTTCAAGTTGTTATTTTTTCCATTATTGTTATTTAGACTATTTTTCATGTTTTGGGAAGAGGAGGGAGCAAATATATTTTGACAGCTCTCATTAAGTCTATCCCTCACTATTTTCTTTTTAGGGAAATGGTGTATATCTCTATGACTGCGTTAAAAATCTCTATCAATAGGAGATACGAAGTCCGATAATTAGTTATCATATTATAGTTGTGATTTAGAGCGCTTCTAAGGAGAAAATTATCTGATGTATGATTCTTATCTGGCCTAAAACTAATTTCTTTTATCCTTCCACTTCAAATCCTATTAATCTAATCGAAAGAGAGGATCACCAATTTTATTTGTTTCTGCAGACTCTTAAATAAACATTTTTCTATGTGGTTTGTTAGCCATTCTTTCCATATTATAGGCCATTTAATCTGTAAACTATGCTCTTTTGCTTGGAGAAAACATTTTTCACAATAAAAAAGTTTCAAATTTAATAGCTTATGATGATAAAAGTGTATTTTATTTTTTTATTTTTGCACTTAAAATTTAATAAAATGAATTTCTTTAAGAGTCTTTTTGGATAATTAGTTAGTTCTCCTATTTATTTGTGAGGAAATTAAATCAAATTTAACTGTCAAAATTAGAGTATGTCACTCCTATGTTTCTTATTACAATGCTATGCTTTTTAAATCGCTTTGATTAATTGAAAAGCTTATATGTAATTTCTTGACTAAAATGGGCGTAAAAGCTTAAAAATCTAAGTTTTTTTGTATGTTTTTAAAATAGTTTGAATTGTTTTATCCTTTCGCTTTTGCTTTTGTTTTATTTGATAAAGCAATTAATTATTCCTTAAATAAATAAATATGTTGTTTGTTATCTTTAAAAATTATAATTAATTAATTAAATATTTATTAAGTTTGATTGATTTCAAGAAATAAAAATTAAATACTATTAAAAATCTTAATATTTTTTATTAGCAATTCTTATTATTTTTTATTGGCTATTTATTTAGTTTCCACCAGTTGACTGACTTCCGCAAAAAAAAATTTAACCATAGTAAACCCATAGACATTTACATATTTTTACATGCATATAATCTATCTATCTATTTATATACATTTACTTTTTAAACAACTAGTTTTTAAATGTTCGCGAAAAAGTATACTTTGAAAGTGAATCTTTTCAAATAAATAAGCATTCACTTATAGTATATACACATAAATACATTTGCATATATATTCGTTAATATTTTTAACAATCAATCATAAAGATTTCTTTGCTTTTAATTAATATTTAATCACATAGATTAATTAATATGAAATTTGTTATTTCATCTTCTTTTTTTTTCATAAATTTATAATGTAAGAATGAACTTGATTTTCTAGTGTAAGTTAAAATTTTTTTACCATTTCAATTAATTTTATATATTTTATAATTTTTATTCTAATTTAATTCATTTATTTATTCCTATTTCGTTAAAATCTTTAAAATATTTCTTTAAAAAAATCTGTAAATATTTCAAAACAATTTGCCAAATATTTTTTTATATTTTATAATTCTAATAAGGATTTCTACATTTTTATATTATTTTTTTTCGATAATAAGTTATAAAAACTCTGTGCATATAAAATTTCCTTTTTTAAAAGCAATAAAAATCTATTTGATATTTATTAGAGAATATGTTGTAAATATGTATATTTAATTTTCTTAAAACTTTTTAGAAAGTTAAGTTGGGTTTGTGAAAAGAACATTAATATTAATATGATCTTGATAAATATTTAACTTTAAAAATAAAATAATTAAGAATGAATTCTTTTAAAGCAAATTTAATTATTTTTACTATTAATATTAAAATAATTTAATTTCATTTTGGTTTTTTAATATTTTATTTTATTTTTAAAAAATTTTTTTAACTTAATTTAAAAATGTTAAAATTTAATTGAGATTTTGTTTTGATTGAAAAATATTTTTATAAAAAAGTGCATATTGTTTGTTTGTTTGTACTCATTGATTATATTAAATAAGATATTTATAGAATAACTTTAGAGGACCAAAAAGATAAGAATTAAATAATTATTTATTTATTTTAATTATAGAGGATATAGTTTTTAAGTATAAAGATTGTGTAAAATGGAATAGGAAAGCAATAACAAAAATAATAATAACCACATTGAAGATGAGGATAATGAAAAGCCTGACCATTCAGAGCTAGAATAATCATCAACAATTTAGAAAAAGTAAAGATTGATGCCAAAAAGAGGTGAATATAGAATGCGTGCACATATTAACCCTTTAAATGATACTCCATTCCCTTATCCTTTAAATCCTGATTATGTAAACTGGAAAATTCACTATCCTAAGTTCTTTGATGGAACAGATGAAGAAAATTAGAAAGTATTTTGCAACACAAATGAACATCCCTAAACTTATGATGAGGAAGTTAATTCTCTTTATAATGGCTTGTAAGGAGCTTAGCCAGTTTTTCTAGATATTGGATGTGGTTTTGGTGGATTAGTTTTCAATTTAGCCAAAAATTTCCCTGAAAAGCTCGTTTTGGGTCTTGAAATTAGAGACAAATTAGTCAATTACGTTTCTGAAAAAATCAAGGCTCTTCGTATTGAAAGTCCTGACCACAAATACAATAATGCTGCTTGTATCAGAACAAATGCTATGAGGTAAAAGATGAATTATTTTTGTTTAAAAATATTAAATAGAGTAAAATAAAATAGAACTAAAGCGTCTCGTTTGTTTTTTTGCTTGAATGATTAATTATTTTTTAATATTAGATTCCAAGCAAATTAATTCTTCCTTTAATAAATTCACATTTATATCTGCTTAAATTTATATGGATAATAAATCATTTTTTGAAAATAAATAGACATATTATATAGTATTTCAGAAAGGGCACTATTGAAAAAATGTTCTTCTGCTTCGCCGATCCCCATTTTAAGAAGTCTAACCACAGAAGAAGAATCATTAACACAGGTTTCCTTTCTGAATATGCTTTCTTACTCAAGCCCAAAGGTAGAATTTATTGTATCACTGATGTAGAAGATCTACATAATTGGTAAGAAGAGCATCTTGCTAAACACAGAATGTTTAGAAAGTTATCTGAAGAAGAGCTTGTAGGAGATATATGTGTATAATTAATTTAAGATTCCACTGAAGAAGGATAAAAAGTTACTCGTAATGGAGGCAAAAAGTGGACCTGTGTTTTTGAAAGAGTTTGAGATGCTATTAATTGATTTATTTTTAACTAATTAAGCTAATTGTATATAAATATCTAATTATATAATATAATAGAGTTTCAAAAATTGTTTTTTTTTAGTTTATTTTAGTTTTTAAATAAAAAAAATACACAATTATTCTTCAAAACTTTTATTTATTTTCAAAAAAACTTAATAAAATATTTTTCTTGATACTATGTTATTATATTCGTTAAATTTTATTAAAATTTATGTAATTTATTAGATTGTTTTATTTAAAATAGTTTTCTTCAAAACAGTAACTCTAGCAAATTTAAAAGTTACATTTGAGGAATTTGCCAAATATTAATTAATATAAATAGAAAAATGTTTTGAGTAAATTATTAAGTATAAAAGAAATTATTAAATTTATAGCATCAATAAATGTTGAATTACTATTTCAAACTTTATTTTTTTTTAAGTGAAAATGTTAATCAAACATAAAATTTTAAAATCATTTACTAATTTTTTATAAGTTATTTCTTTATTTCAATTAAACAAAATAAAATAAGATCTATCTCATTAATTTTATCATTTGTTCTCTTATCATTATTTTTAAAAAATGTTTAAGATTAAATGTCTTTCTTCTTTGTTAAACAATTTATTTATTTATTATTTTTTTTTTGATTGGTTTTATCAAAGCTTAAAATAAAAATTCTAATATGTCTTCAAAAAAAAATAAATAAATAAATTTTGATTTCATTGTTAAATTTGATATTAGCAAAAGAAAGAAAGATTCAAAACTTATCATATCAGAATAACGCAATTAATTGATCATCGAAACTACACAACTAATAAAAGCCTATCTATTATATCAAAAAAGATAGAAATATAAACTAAAAGTATACTGCTTGCAATTGATTGACACGATTATTTTATGAAGTGATCGATCAATCTATTTTTTAATATTATTAATATCTGATTTGGATAATTATAATTCACATCGATTAATTACTCTTTTTGAAATTAATATTTGCTTGTTTCTTTTAATTGAGAGTTAATTATTTTTTTATCTATATTTCTATTTAGATTAGAACTACTGATAACAAAAAGTTATTTATGATTATGACATAAATTATTAGTTAAAAATTAATAAAAGTTTATTATCACTAAAATTTCAATTACAGCAAATTACAAATCATCAAAAGAAAAAAAGAAAAATCAAATCAAATAACATATTAAATAGTAAAATGAATTAGAAATATGCAGCTGAAGCTTAAGAGCTAATGAAAAAGGGAGATAAGAAACTTAAGGGTATTTTATTTAGATTTTAAAGCATCTGATATGAGATTTTTAATTTATTTAAATGATATTTGATATAGGTGGTATTTTTTCTGGTATATTCTCAAGTAAAGGCGAAAGAGCTGAATAAGCATTAGATTGCTACAAGGCAGCTGCAGCTAAGTTTAAATTATCAGATATGTGTAAGCAATTAAGCATAATATTAGTACTTTAAGTAATTTCAACTCATTTTATTGTTTAGGGGATGAAGCCGCTGAAGCTTATATTAAATGTGCCAAATGCGAAGAAGCAAGTGACGGCACTAGTGTTGGTGAATATTATCAAGAAGCTGCAAATATGAAAAAGCGTACTGATAAGCATGGTAATTTAATTTGAGAAGTTCAAATAAAAAGTAATAATTGATATTATTTATAAATAGAATGCATAGTTTTATTGAAGTAAGCAGTTGAATTCTATCAGCATCAAGATAGATAGGGAACAGTAAATAATTCAACAATTTCGTATTTTAGGGATTTTTTTCAAATTATTTGAAAGAATTTACAATAAAGCAAATAAGCTCAAATAAAAAGAAGTTAGTTTTAAGATGTATTTTTTATAAAATTACTCTTTTTAAAAAAAAGGCAGGCAAAATTCAAAAATAAATTGCTGAAATTTATGAGCAAGAAGGTGAAATGGAAAATGCAATGGCTTCTTATTAAGAAGCATCAAAGATTTTCTCATTGGAAACCAATTCAACTTCAGATTTCTTAAACATGAAGATTAAAGTTGCAGATTTTTAGAGTGAAGAACCTACCACTTATAACTAAGCTATTATAGTAAAATATAATAAATCTTTAATATTTAACAATTAGTTTGCTTGCTTTTGTATGTTTATTTTTAATCTTGTTTCATCTTAAAATTAATAAAAAAAAGGCTTATGAAGAAATAGGTAAGAAGTATAGTGAAAATAAATTAACTCAAGGTATTGCTGGCAATATATTTTTCAAAAGTTTGCTTCTTTCTTTGGCAACTGGAGTAAGCTATTATTTATTTATTTATTAATTTGCTAAAATATTTTTAATAGTATTGTATCATTAATGTACAATCTATTTACTTAACAACGTATTCATATTTCTTTTTAATTGGATTAATAAAGGATTATATTGGAGCTTAGAATCACATTGAAGATTATATGAATGTTTGTCCACCTTTTACTAACACTAGATAAGCTAAGTTAATCAATAAATTAATTGAATGCTTTGAGACAAATAACATTGAAGAATTCTCTTAATAATGGTAAAATATTTGTTAAAATGTGTATTTACTAAATTTTTTTATTTATTTTTTTAATTTTTAAATTAGCTTTGAATATAATTAAATCATTCCTTTAGATAGATGGTAATTAAGAGTACTTAATTAAGCTAAGGAACACTTAAATAAAGGAGTTAATCCTTTAGGCCTTGGCAATGATAATCAAGAAAATAACTTGGATGCTGGTCTTTGAAACCAATTATAACAAATAATTTATATATATAAATATTACTATTAAATTATTATAGTCTAGATAGAATAAGTATGCATTCATTCAATATATAATGTAATTTAGTTAATTTATGGAATATCTCCTATCTATATATCATTTAAAACTTCATGCATTTTAAAAAGGTAAAGAAACAAACATTCATTATTGATACATAAACAATATGCTTGAAATATAGTACATATTTATTTTTTTAAAAGATATTGAATATATTTATTTATTTCAAAAATTGTAAATTCTTTTTGTAATTTAAATTAATTAGTTATGAGAGAAACAAATAATAAAATAATTTAAATAAATTATTTTAGAAAGAAAAATGTCTCAGAAGAGATTATTTTTTTACATCTAAAAAAAAAATATTAATAAACAAATGAATAAATTAAAATTAATATCTTTCTTAGGCAATTTCAATACAAATAAATAGTACTTACGTACATAAATCAATTAGACATAGGTATGTGTAATTGATTTTTGAGTTATTAATTATTTTATTTGTTTTTGGGCTAATCATTATTTAATATGTTTTTTAGCAATTTATTGTTTTCAAATTTATCTTGTTCTGATTCATTATCAGATTCACTACTTTCAACATAATATTATATTTCTTCTCTTTTACCAGATTCTTCTTCTTATTCTCTTAATAACTTTTAAAGTTAATATTGAGCTTCATTTTAATCTTAATAATTTTAGCGTATTTTTTCTTGGTTTTCTTAAAATTCCTTATATTCTTTTTCATCCAGCTTTTTCAAAAGAATACGATAGGGTCTAATGTTTTGTTAGGGTTAACCACTTTCTTCTATAATATAGTAATCTGGCTTTTCTTTAGGGCTTCTAACTACTTTAGGATTAACTCTGCACTAAAATACCATTTGGTAAGCTTTGCCTTTAATTTCAAAAGGAGTTGAATAGCGACCTGCTACGTTTGCATCATCTGTCAAATACACGCATTTACTACTCTTTTCAATAATTTTTCCAGTAATCCTGCATTTAGCTCCTGCATATTTATGATGTTGGCCTAATCTAAAACCTTCTTTTGTAATTCCTTCAACACCTTGGATAGATGTACCGTGATAAAGGACAATCCATTATTCTTTTGAATTATAAGTTGGTTTGCCATTAACATATCCTATCCATTCTTTATCTTTATACTTAGAAATATTTAAACCAAAGCCTTTCCAACCAGAAGGGAATATATAGTGTTACTTCTTAAATCCCTTATTTTTAATAGTAAGACCTCCTCTATAAGAAATTTTTCCTTCAGGTTCTTTAGACCAGTCAAAGTTAAAGCTAGGATCACAGTTTTCAGGTGTTAGAGTTGCATATTCTAATAGGTTATGTACTCTCAATTCAGCTCCTTTGTAATTGCATTTATTTTTGAAAAAATCTATAACTTAGTTACTATCATTTAGTTTGATATATAGTTCATCCCTTAATTTGAATTCAACATTTATAGATCCTTTGCTTAGACCGAATATAATAATATCTTCAGGTTTGCATCCATATGCTTTGGCAGCATTTTTTTTGAATTTTTTAATAAATTTCTCTTTTTATTGATCATCTAAAATGGTTTTATTAAAGCTAACGTTAGCGTCGTCTTATATTCTAATCTTCATAAATTTATTGTTTTCAGCTTGACCAATATTAAGCATACTTTATTTAAATTATTGACTCATATCTTACTCAACTTTTTCATTTGACACATATAAATCTATACCCTCTTGCTTTTTATAATATTCTTTCATAGCTACTAAAGGTATTAAAGCAAGACGAGCCTAAATAGCTTTCTATTCTGCAGTCTCTTATATTTATTGCTCTGGCTATTGTAAAGGTAACTACTCTTGTTTTTCATTTTTACTTTCTATTTAAATTTTTTCTTATTGTTGATTTCCAGCTTCTTCATTTTTTTGTTCTTCTTAAATTTATTATTAACCTATTTCCTATGGTGGTTATTTTATTTCTTTTTACTCTAATGGTTATTGATTTTTTTATACAGGTTATAATTAAATATTTTCAAAATCGTCAAGCATATCATCAATCTATTGTATAACTTCTAATGTTTTTTCTTCTTTTTAAATTTTTTCTTCCTCTTGAATTTCTACTTTACAGACAGCGTGCTTGAGCAAAAACTCTACATCTTAAGGTTTAATATTATCTTCTTACATATCTGGATTGAGATCATTTAGATCCTCTTTAAATTCCTCATATTAAGGCAGTTAAGTAACGTCAGGAATAGCAAATTATTATTCTTCTACCTATTATAACTATTGTCCTTATTCATCTAGACCAGGAACTTCTTATTTTGGTTGGACTTATTAAAAAATTAACATTTTCAAGTTTTCTTCAGCCTTTTTTTTAAATTATTCTTATTTTTCTAAATATTCATTAAATTATTTTTTAAAATTGCATTTCATTTCAAGGCTATTATAATTGAAATCAAATTCATAAACATCTTTATTACAACTAAACATAGATTCTTCTTCAGGTACATCCATGTTTAATTCATGATCTTCGTAGTATTAATTGAATTGATGTTTATCAGAAATAATACCAAATAATTTTGTTTCTCTTGAATTATCTAATCTATAGGCATAACCTGTGGCTTATCTGTCATTAAAATTACCAACAAAGCAGTTGTTTCTCAAGCGTGCCCACCAAATTACTATACCTTTTCCAAAATACATATTATTATAAAACTAGCCTGCGTATATAGTTCTTTTTGTATACAAGTAGCCTTATCCGCACTATTTACCATCTACGAATTCTCCTTCGTACCTAAGTAAATTAAAAATATATGTTTTATTATTTGTAGCTAACTTTATCATAAAAATTATCAAACAAAATTTATAAATAATTGATAATATTTTTATATTTATTTATTCAGCATATTAAAATTTTAAGTAAAATAAATTTTAAAAAAATATTTTCATTAAATTATCAAAAAGCAAGGAGAGAAATTTTAAAAATAAAATAGATTTTTATTACAAAAATTAAAGAGTAAAAATTATTTTGAAAATGGAATGTTCAAATTAATAATGATGAGCGAAATAAAATCTCCACAAAATATTAAGACAGATAAATAGATCGATCAATGATGGATCACTCTTAATTTTCTTATTCAATGAATTTTTATAAGCAAATCAATAAAATATAATTGATGATTATTTTGATTAATTGAATGGAAGATAAAAGATTTGTTTTTAAATTTGTAGACTTTAGTGATATCAGATACGCGTTGGCTGAAACGAATTTAAAAAAAGAAAAAAGCTTTTGAGATATTTATTTCTAAATTTTTTGGATTAAAGCTAATTGATTGTAAATATTTTGCTTGTTAATTTAATCTTTTTAAATACAAATAAAAGTTTTGTTTTATTTACCTGTCTCCATTTTTATAGATGGCTACTCCTATTCCGTTTTATTTATTGTTAAACCATTAACCTATATATTTTGATCCATCTTCATAAATTTAGAACCCATTGCAATTTCTTGTTAGATTATTTTCCTCATCTCCGCTTTGAAAATTGTAATCTTCTAAAACTGACTGCTGAGAAACATATGACTTCACTTCATTTTTAGCTTCAGAGATTTTATTTTCTTCAATTTTTGCATTTAGTAACTCAGTCTATTATTCTAATTCTTTTTACTTTTTTAAAAGCATTGGATCATGGATAAGCACGTCAGTTTTTTTGTTTTTAACTAAACCAAAGTAGTTAAATCCTTTGTAAATATTCTATTCTTGCTCAATTGAGATTTATTCCATTGGTAAGTTAAAATGGCTTCTCTTTATTCCATAAAAATTGATAGAGCTTTGTTGCTATATTCTATAGTAATTTATGTCCATATACCATCCAAAATCTAAATAGTTCTTCGCAGCAAAGCCAAAGAACCCAGGTTAGACTACATACTTATTTAAGTAGAACTCAATTCTGCTCTAATATAATTGTTCTATTCTTTTTGGTGGTGAATTTAGCAGATGCTCACACAGAGCAGCAGTAAATCCGGAGCAACCTGCATAATCTTCTATTCTCCAAACGTTATCCTATTTCAAAATGAAGTTTTATGGAGTTTTGTCCTCATCATTGACTCTTTATTTGATGACTTTTTGATATTCTTCATACTGCTTTAAGTAGCTGTTAATTTAAGAACGAGTTGTTCTCTTCTCTCTTTCACTAAATAAAAAGCTAACATTGTACTAATCGACCCTTTCTTTGCTTTAATGAATTTGATCTAAAAATTATGAGGAACAAGGGGACTCAATAATTAAAAACAAGTGCTTCTTTTCTCTGTATCCATTCAAGAATTTTCTCCATAATTCTAAAATTTAATGAACAGTTACGAAATGAACTTCATTTCTTATTTAAAAAGCCATGCAAGGAACTCCCTCAGTAATTTAGCCACTGAAATAAATAACAAATCCATCAATTTGGCTACCATCAGTAGCAATTTAGAAAAAATTATTGATCGCATCTTAAGGTCTTATTTAATTTCTTGAATCCATGCAATATTGATACTCAAAGAACTATCCTCTTTCTCTTTATTTAAAATCTTATTCTGAATATCTAAAGACTTTGCTTATTTTTTCAACATCTTACTTAACTATATTTGATAGTTAATTACGCTTATCAATCGCTTTTTTATATTTCTCAGATTAGGTATCTATTATCAATTATCCTGGACATTATTTGTTATTTATTTTTATAGGTTCATCTGCTATATAGTCTGAATTAAGAAACAAGTAATTAATCTTCCTAAGTCTGCGTCTTTCTCCAAGAGGCTGAAGCATAGAAATCATTCTCATCATTCTTCCATCTTAGAGAACTTCATTATAACTATTGTCATTATTTTGATACATAAGAAAGGTATTTTTTTTTTTTTTTATATTTACAAATAAACTACTTATATTAATAATTATATAAATTTGAGTTTGTTTGCTTCTCTTTTAAAACTATCGAATACTTAAAGTACTAAAACAAATATTATATGATTCTAAATAAAATTGAAGTATTCTGATGAATTTAATAATTGAATAGATAAGAATTTACATAAAATATGTAATAATTATTATTCATTTTGTTTTTTATATTATTTAGTAAATAAATTTACCACCTATTAAATATCATAATGAATAATGAATAAATGTATATACTAATATTCTATTAAAACAAGCAGTTGATGTATGATAGGTAGTCAGTAATTTATTAATATCAATTTTATTTTATAAAAAGATCTATTTGTGTTATGATGATAAAATAATATTAATTTTAAAAGCTTAAAAATAAAAAAAATATTTTACAAACAAAAAATTTTAGCCAAATATTATCTTTTCAATTTATGGAATAAATCCAACCAAATATTTTAAGATTATTTATGTTGATATCAAATTATTTCAGACTTCATTTAAAAAGCAAAAAGCAATTTCTTATACTTCAGAATTGAATTTATATTTATAAATCAAAGCCTTAAGAATTATCATATACAATACAAAAATGCAATTGATTTAGAGCAGTGAATTTAAAATTGTATTTTCATATATTTTACTTAAATATAATTTAATGATTATAGTTTGTTTTTAAAACTTGAGATTAATATTTATGAGAGAAAAAATTTATGGTTTTGTATAAAAGAAATGCTTTGAAAAACATCAAAGGAAAATTTGGAGAGAGAAGAAGAAAATATGTGAAATTAAAAATAATATAATTTCCCTTTTTTTAAAAAAAATCATCAAAATTTGAAAAGAGAATTATTTGATTAATTGATTGATGAATAAAATAACTAACAAAGAAATACTTAACATTTGAATAGGAAAATAATTATTTAAATTTTACCTCAAAATATTGTTTTTAAGATCAAAATTGTGATTGATAAAATTTTGATTGCCTTCAAATAAATTGAAAAATACTTTCCTATTTCATAAATTAATTTGTATTTTTAAAAAATTTTATAACAATTTATTTCAGAACTAAGCTCATATCTGTTATTTTGAATAATAAATTCTATTTAAATTATGAAAAAATCAATAAAAGCAAAATTATCTTTTTACTTGATGATTTATTTGGAAATTATTTTTTTAAAATGAATTATTTCTAGTTTTTATTTTAAATGAGGAGGATAAATTAGTGTAAATAATCAGTTATAGTTTTTTTTATTTAACTTTTCTCTCATTTAGATTAAAAAATGAGAAAATAAACATTTAATTTAAAAAAGAGAAATGTTATGTATGAAAATCTAATTTCAAATAGATTATTTACCAATAGTAATGACAATATTTTTTCAGTTTTTTATATTGTAAATAATCCAACTTTTATTATATAAAATAAACAAATCTAAAATATATTTATATTTTAAAGGCAATTTCAGATTAGTACAAAATAATTTTTTTGATTGTTTACAATATTTGAAGAAATCATTCAACTTGATTAATAAATAAACTATGAATGAAATGCCTGTCTTTTATGTTAGAGATGTTGCTTTCAGTTTAAAAAAAATAATATAGATAATTATTAGAAAAGAGTAATATTTCAAATAAGCTTTTTCATTTATGATATGAATGGATCTCTTCGATGAATTTGTTTTAAATAAATATAAATTCAAAAAAAGTAAATATAAAAAATTCAGGACAACAAAAAGACATCTGATAATTAATAGTAATCATTTTATTTTTATTATATAGCTATTTATTATTAGTAAATTTATAAAAAAAGCTATTTACTGATCTAAAATATGATTCAGGATCTTGAAAACAAGGCAAAATTATTTTTATCTAATAAAGGGTTTACTGTCAAGCGTAAACTTGGCCAAGGAAGCTTTGGATTAGTTTACAAAGCTTTTGATTAGAATAACAATTAAGATGTTGCTATTAAAGCTATATTACCAACAAAAGACAAAAATGTTGGTGAATAATTTTAAAAGACTATTTAAGAATTTAAGAATTGTGGGAAACCTAACTCTATACATGTTGTCTAAGTCAAAGATGCTTTAGTTGATTTAAATAATAAGCTAATTTTTATCGTATAGGAATACTGTTCTAAAGGCAGCTTAACAAATTACATAAAATCACTTGTAAAAACAGAAAATATTTTAAAATAAATTTTCATCTAAATATTGGAAGGAGTAATAGCAATCCATGAATAAAACATTATTCATTCAGATTTAAAACCAGATAATATATTGGTTGATAAAAACAATGTTGTTAAAATAGCTGACTTTGGTGAAGCTAAATAACTTAGATTAGAAAAAGGTCATACACATACATAAGGTCAAGGTTGGACTCCTTTATTTGCCGCCCCAGAGGTTAATATTCAACAATAAATCAGCAAAGAATCTGACTACTATTCAGTTGGTGCAGTATTCTGCCTTCTCTGTGACTTGTCTTTTTAAGATTTGTTAGAAATTTCAAATAGAAAATTTCCTAAAATAACCAACCATTAATACAAAAATCTTTTAATTTTAGCATTTAATATGATGGCATTTGAACCTAAAAAAAGAGATTCGTGCTTAAAAGTTCTAAATTTATTGAAAAATTTAGATGATCACAATAATGCTGAAATAAAAAAAAGAGTAAAATAATAAAATTCTTTCTGCAATAAAGTATAACTAATTTTTTTGTTGCTATGTTCAATAATCCCATTTATTTTTACTGGAATTTCAATTTACTACATTACTTAAAGTTGCTTTACTTATTTATTAATAGCTTAAATTGTAATGGGTGTCTTAGTGACTTACTTTTGTTTTATATCTTTTTAGATAGAATATTATAAATACGAATAATTAAAAATTCATTTACTATTTGAAATTTTGTTTAAATCATTTTATTCACTCCTTTTATGGATAACTTATGTAAAGTTAGTACTACCCTTTCCATGCGACGATTTGTATATTTGCACAAGCGATTTCGATATTAGACTCTGGAAATAATTTTTAAATGATACTAATAGTGACTTATTAAACAGTATTTGTTCATAGAAAGATCCCTAAAGAAGAGAAAATATGTAACAATATTTTCAGTCTAAATACAGCTAGAGTATGTCTATATAGTTTTATGAAGGCTCTTATGGTGTTCTTCCATACATTTATTTATCTGGTATTATAATTTTGTTTATCTGGTTTTTATTTAGATTTTTAAAATGGATTTGTTTTAAATGCTGTAAATGATTTAGGAAATGAAATCACTTACTTTAATTCCAATAAATAAATTAATTAACTAACAATATAATTTGTGTTATTAAGCTAATGAAGCATATTTACCTTTATATTATTTGTACCTAACAAATGACTTTTAAATACCTTCAATCCTCTTTAATCATGCCCAACTTCTTTCCTTCGTCAATTTTTGTGATTTTTAATTAAATGTAAACTTGACAAAATTGGTTAGTATGCTATTCTACTGGGTTCGCATTCTTATTATCCTTTATATATTAAAAGATTAAATTTCAAATTCATTTAAAAAGTAAATTATGTTTAGTTTTTATTTTAAAAGAGGATAAACTAGTTTAAAAAATCAGTTATTATTATTAATTTAAATTTTATCTCATTTAATTTAAAAAATGAGTTAATATAAACATAATTTAAAAAAAGCTGAAAAAATGTTTTATTTGAATGTTTATTTTATTTCAAATAAACATTTTCACCAATAATAATGAGCAATATTTTTGCATTTTTAATATTATAAATAATTTCATTATTTTATATAAAGAAATGCAAAATATATTTATGCTTAAATGATCATTTTGGATTAACATAAAATAATTTTATAGATTGTTTTCTCTATTTGAAAAATATGCTTAATATAATTATTATTATAATTCAAATTGAATTAACAAATAAACTATGGTTGTGTTGTCATATTTGTTGGAAATATTATATTAAGTTTAAAACAATATCTTTTAGATGTAGAATATTATTGAAAAAGAGAAATAATTTGGTCAACGGTTGGATGGATGGATGGGTTTATTCATTAAAAAAAATAAATTCAAACAAAGTAAATTAAAATACTAAGGAATGCATCTATTAATTAATAGTAATCACTTATATTTTTATTTCATCGCTAAAAATTGTTTGTATATTAATAAAAAAGCAATTTCTCTAACTAAAATATTATGGAGGCAATTGAAGAAAAGGCAAAATAATTTTTATTTAAGTAAGGGTTTACAGTTTAGTAATTACTTGGTCAAGGAGGTTTTGGAAGAGTTTACAAAGCTTTTGATTTTAATAATAATTAAGATGTTGCTATTAAAGCTATATTACCCTCCTAAACTTAAAATGTCGGTGAATAGTTTTAAAAGACTATTTAAGAATTTTAAAATTGTGGGAAACCTAACTCAAAACATGTTGTCTAAGTCTAAAAAGTTTTAGTTGATTTAGATTACAAGCTGATTTTTATCGTTTAGGAATACTGTTCTAAAGGCAGCTTAACAAATTACATATAATCACTTGTAAAAACAGAAAATATTTTAAAAGAAATTTTCATCTAAATATTGGAAGGAGCAATAGCAATCCATGAATAAAACATTATTCATTCAGATTTAAAACCAGATAATATATTGGTCGATAAAAACAATGTTGTTAAAATAGGTGATTTTGGTGAAGCTAAATAACTTAGATTCGAAAAAGGTCTTACACATACAAAAGGTCAAGGAATGACTCCTTTATTTGCCGCTCCAGAGGTTAATTTATTAGCATAAATCAGCAAAGAATCTGACTACTATTCAGTTGGTGCAATATTCTGCCTTCTATGTGACTTGTCTTTTTAAGATTTGAAAGAAATTTAAGCAAGAAAAATACCTAACGTAACCAATCACAAATACAAAAATCTTTTAATGTTAGCATTTAATATGATGACTTATGAACCTAAAAAAAGAGCTTCTTGCTAAACAGTGCTAAATTTATTGTAGAATTTAGGTGGTACCAATAATAATGATATAATAAATAAAATAGAATAAATGGGTACTGAATTTAACGAAGAGACTTTATAACTATTAAACAACAATAACAAATTACAAATTTTACCAACCTAAATTCAATTACAACTGCCTAAGAAATAAAAAAATTGCTGTGAATATCTTTTTCCATTAATTTAGGTTCTATCGCTAATAGTTCCATTAGGTTTGTCTGGAATTTCAATTTACTACATTAGTAAGCATTGCAATACTGATTTATTTTTATCTTAAATTGTGCTAGGTGTCTGTTCCTTTTACTTTTCTTTAATCTCATTTTGGAAGAAAGAAGATATAAAATTAATATAAGTTCATTCTATTTTTCAAATTTTTGTAAATTTATTTTATTAATACCTTTTATTGATGACTTGGGTTTATCTAGAAAAAGGCTTTCCCTGCCACAATTTGTATGTTTGCATAAGCAATTGCGATGTTGGATACTTTAATAAAGAATATAAAACAGGAGAATAAGAAAATAGTTTAAATTAATTAAATTGTTAATTGAATGAACCTTAAAGAAGAGAAAATATATAAAAGTATTTTTAATCTTAATGCAGCGATGTGTCTATAAAGTATTATGAAGACTCTTAAGGTATTTTTCCTTATTTATATTTATATTGTTGTGTTGCTTATTTAGCCTGGAATGCATTCATATTTACTAGATGGTTTGTTTATCTAGTTAATTGTTGTAAAAGAAGTAAGAAATGAAATAATTTTTTTAATTTTAATAAATAAATAAATTAACTAATAAAAAAACAAAGTAATTTGTTTTAATGGCTTATAAAAAATAAATATTTTTGTTTTATGTTATTCGTACCTAGCCAATCACATTTTAAATACCTTCAATAATCTTTTAACATACTCCAGCTATTTCTTTTGTCAACTGGGACTGGAGAAATAAAATATTTTTTTTACTTTTTTACTGAGACAGACTTCACTTTTTTCTATATATATAATCCCATTTATTTTTACTGGAATTTCAATTTACTACATTACTTAAAGTTGCTTTATTTATTTATTTATTTATTAATTAATTAATAGTTTAAATTGTAATGGGTGTCGTAGTCACTTACTTTTGTTTTATATCCTTTTAGATAGAATATTATAAATACGAATAATTAAAAATTCATATACTATTTGAAATTTTGTTTAAATCATTTTATTCACTCCTTTTATGGATAATTTATGTGAAGTTAGTACTTCCCTTTCTATGCGAAGATTTGTATATTTGCACGCAAACGATTTCGACGTTAGACTCTGGAAATAATTTTTAAATGATACTAGTAGTGAATTATTAAACAGTATTTGTTCATAGAAAGAGCCCTAAAGAAGAGAAAATATGAAACAATATTTTCAGTCTAAATACAGCTAGAGTATGTCTATATAGTTTTATGAAGGCTCTTATGGTGTTCTTCCATACATTAATTTATCTGGTATTATAATTTTGTTTATCTGGTTTTTAATTAGATTTTTAAAATGAATTTGTTTTAAATGATGTAAATGACGTAGGAAATGAAATCACTTTCTTTAATTCCAATAAATAAATTAATTAACTAACAATGTAATTTGTATTATTCAGCTAATAAAGCATATTTACCTTGATATTATTTGTACCTAACAAATGACTTTTAAATACCTTCAATCCTCTTTAATCATTCCCAACTTCTTTCCTTCGTCAATTTTATGTAATTTTTAAATGTAAATTTGACAAAATTGGTTGCTATTCTATTCTACTGGGTTCTCATTCATATTATCCTTTATATACTAGAAGATTAAATTTCAAATTCATTTTAAAAAGTGATTTATGTTTAGTTTTTATTTTAAAAGAGGATAAACTAGTTTAAAAAATCAGTTATTATTATTAATTTAAATTTTATCTCATTTAATTTAAAAAATGAGTTAATATAAACATAATTTAAAAAAAGCTGAAAAAATGTTTTATTTGAATGTTTGTTTGATTTCAAATAAACATTTTCACCAATAATAATAAGTAATATTTTTGCAGTTGTTTATATCGTAAATAATCCAGTTTTCATTATTTTATATAAAGAAATGTAAAATATATTTATGCTTTAATGATCATTTTAGATTAATATAAAATAATTTTATAGATTGTTTTCTCTATTTGAAAAATACGCTTAATATTATTATTATGAAAATTGAATTAACAAATAAACTATGGTTCTGTTTTCATATTTGTTGGAAATGTTATCACGTTTAAAACAATATCTTTTAGATGTAGATTATTATAGAAAAAGAGAATAAATTTTGATGGATGGGTGGATATATTCATTAAAAAAAAAATAAATTCAAAAAAGTAAATTAAAATACTAAGGAAGACAGGAATGCATCTATTAATTAATAGTAATCACTTTTATTTTTATTTCATCGCTAAATATTGTTGGTAATTAATAAAAAAGCAAATTATCGAACTTAATATTATGGAGGCAATTGAAGAAAAGGCAAAATAATTTTTATTTAATGAAGGGTTTACAGTCTAGTAATTACTTGGTCAAGGAGGTTTCGGAAGAGTTTACAAAGCTTTTGATTTTAATAATAAATAAGATGTTGCTATTAAAGCTATATTACCCTCCTAAACTTATAATGTCGGTGAATAGTTTTAAAAAACTATTAAAGAATTTTAGAATTGTGGGAAACCTAACTCAAAACATGTTGTCTAAGTCAAAGATGTTTTAGTTGATCTCGATAATAAGCTGATTTTTATTGTTTAAGCTTAGCAAAATACATAAAAAAACTTCAAAAAACAGAAAATGTTTTAAAAGAAATTTTCATTTAAATATTGAGAGGAGTAATAGCAATCCATGAATAAAACATTATTCATTCAGATTTAAAACCAGATAATATATTGGTCGATAAAAACGGAGTTGTTAAAATAGGTGATTTTGGTGAAGCTAAATAACTTAGATTCGAAAATGGTCATACACATACATAGGGTCAAGGATGGACTCCTTTTTTTGCCGCTCCAGAGGTTAATATTCAACAATAAATCAGCAAAGAATCTGACTACTATTCAGTTGGTGCAGTATTCTGCCTTCTCTGTGACTTGTCTTATGAGGATTTGTTAGGAATTTAAGCAAAAAAATACCTAACGTAACTAATCATAAATACAAAAATCTTTTAATGTTAGCATTTAATATGATGACTTATGAACCTAAAAAAAGAGCTTCTTGCTAAACAGTGCTAAATTTATTGTAGAATTTAGGTGGTTCCAAAAATCATGAAATAATAAATAAAATAGAATAAATGGGTACTGAATATAACGAAGAAACTTTATCACTATTAAAAAACAATAACAAATTACAAAGTTTACCAACCTAAAGTGAATTACAACTGCCTAAGAGAAAAAAAACTTTCTTTGAAAATATTATTCTATTATTTTAGGTTATATATTCAATTGTTCCAATTGGTTTGACTGGAATTTCAATTTACTATATTACTTAAAGCTGCTTTGTTTATTTATTAGTAGCTTAAATTGTGCTGGGTGTCTTTAGCTTTTACTTTTCTATTTTATCATTTTAGAAGGAATATGAAAAATTAAAAAAACTTCATTTTTCTTTTTAATTTTTACTAAATTAAATATATTCAGTCCTTTTATTGATAACTTATGTAAAGTTATTATTACCCTTTCCATGCGACGATTTGCATATTTGCACAAGCGATTTCGATGTTGGACTCTGGTCTCAATAATTAAATGATACTAGTAGTAGTAGCGAATTATTAAGCTTTTGTTATTAGAAAGAGCCCTAAAGAAGAGAAAATATATAAAAGTATTTTCAATCTAAATACAACTAGAGTATGTCTATAACGTATTATGAAGACTCTTAAGGTTTTCTTCCTTATTTTTATTTATCTGGTATTTGTGTTTTTTCCCTCTATTATTATTTAATAGTGTTAAGATGGGCTTGTTGTTGCTGTAAGAAATGAAATAATATTTTTAATTCCAATAAATAAATTAACAAACAAACAAAATAATTTCTATTACTGGTTTAAAAAATATATTTACATTTTATATAATTCGTACCTAACCAATCATATTTTAAATACCTTCAATACTCTTTTACCATACTCCAGCTTCTTTCCTTAGTCAATTTTATGTAATTTTTATTGAATCCAAAAAAATTTAATAAAGTATTTCTTCATATTTTGAACCAAAAAACTGATTTTATATATTGCATTTTATTCAATTTAAATATATTTTCTTTTTTCAAATAACATTGCCATTCGGTGATACTTTTTTGAGTATGAATTTAATACACATAAAGTAATATTTCTAAAATAAATTTATAATGGAGAAAAGTGAGAATAATTTTACAAGCTTTAGATTAAATCAAAGGTGTTTTGATGCATTATTTATTAAGTTTAAATTAAATTTTACTTATTTTTTAAATACTTGTAAATTTGACAAAATTGCTTACTATTCTATTCTATTGGGTTAGCATTCTTATTAGCCTTTGAAAACTAGAAGATTAAATTGCAAATTCTTTTTAAAAAGCGAGTTATTTTTAGTTTTTATTCTAAATGAGGACAAACTAGTTTAAAAAATCAGTTATTATTATTAATTTAAATTGCATTTCATTTAATTTAAAAAATGAGTTAATATAAACATAATTTAAAAAAACTGAAAAAATAAATGTTATGTTTGAATGTTTATTTGAATTTAAATAAACATTTTCACCAATAATAATGAGCAATTTTTTTTCCAGTTGTTTAAATTTTAAATAATACAGCTTTCATTTTTAATACAAAAAAATGTAAAATATATTTATGCTTTAATGATCATTTTAGATTAATATAAAATAATTTTTTTGATTGTTTTCTCTATTTGAAAAATACGCTTAATTTTATTATTGTAATTCAAATTGAATTAACAAATAAACTATGAATAAATTGTCATATTTGTTGGAAATATTACATTCAGTTTAAAAAATATATTGCTGGATGTAGAGTATTATTAAAAAAGAGAATAATTAATTAATTCAGTTTAATTATTTAAAATTATGAATGGATATACATACTCATTTAATTCAAAAAAATAAATTCAAAAAAAGTAAATTTAAATATATTAAGGAAGACAGAAAGACATCTATTAATTTATAGTGATCATTTTTATTTTTACTTTATCGCTAATATTGTTTTTAAATTAATAAAAAAGCAATTTATCGAGCTAAAATATTATGAAGAGTATTGAAGAATAGGCAAAATAATTTTTGGATAAGAAAGGGTTTACAGTCTAGTAATAACTAGGTCAAGGAAGTTTTGGAAGAGTTTACAAAGCTTTTAATTTTAATTAAAATTAAGTTGTTGCTATTAAAGCTATATTACCATGCATAGGTAATGATGTTAGTGAACAATTTTAAAAAACTTTTTAAGAATTTTAAAATTGCATGAAACTTAAATCTCAATATATTGTCAAAGTCGAAGATGTTTTAGTTGATTTCGATAATAAGCTGCTTTTTATCGTTTAGGAATACTGTTCTAATGGCAGCTTAACAGAATACATAAAAAAACTTGAAAAAACAGAAAATATTTTAAAATAAATTTTCATTTAAATATTGAAAGGAGTAATAGCAATCCATGAATAAAAAATTATTCATTCAGATTTAAAACCAGATAATATATTGGTCGATAAAAACCGTGTTATTAAAATAGCTGATTTTGGAGAAGCTAAACAACTTAGATAAGAAAAAGGTCATACACATACATAAGGTTAAGGATGTACTCCTTTTTTTGCTGCTCCAGAGGTAAATTTTAATAATTAAATCAGTAAAGAATCTGACTACTATTCAGTCGGTGCAATATTCTGCCTTCTCTGCGACTTGTCTCTTTAAGATATGTTAGGAATTTAAGCTGGAAAATTTCCTAAAATAACCAATCATAAATACAAAAATCTTTTAATTTTAGCATTTAATATGATGAAATATGAACCTAAATAAAGAGCTTGTTGCTAAGCAGTGCTAAATTTATTGCAGGATTTAGATGGCTCCAATAAAGGTGAAGTAATAAAAAAAATAGAATAAATGGGGACTGAGTTTAACGAAGAAACTTTATCGCTATTAAACAACAATAACAAATTACAAAGTTAACAAACCTAAAGTGAATTACAATTGCCTAAGAGAGAAAAAACTTTCTTTGAAAAGTTTATTCTATTATTTTAGGTTATATAGTCAATAGTTCCATTGGGTTTGACTGGAATTTCTATTTACTACATTACTTAAAGTTGCTTTATTTATTTATTAGTAGCTTAAATTGTGGTGGGTGTCTAGAGCTTTTACTTTTCTATTTTATCATTTAAGAAAGAATATGAAAAATTTTTTAAATTTCATATTTTTTTTTAAATTTTAGTAAATTTAATATATTCACTCCTTTTATTGATAACTTGTGCAAAGTTATTATTATCCTTTCCATGCGACGATTTGCATATTTGCACAAGCGATTTCGATGTTGGACTCTGGTCACAATAATTAAATGATACTAGTAGTAGTAGCTAATTATTAAACTTTTGTTCATAGGAAGAGCCCTAAAGAAGAGAAAATATATAAAACTATTTTCAATCTAAATACAACTAGAGTATGTCTATAAAGTATTATGAAGACTCTTAAGGTTTTCTTCCTTATTTTTATTTATCTGGTCCTGGTGTTTTTTTTCTCTTGCTTTTATTCAGATTGTTAAGATGGGCTTGTTGTTGTTGCAGTAAGAAATGAAATAATTTTTTTAATTCCAATAAATTAATTAATTAACAAACAAACAAAGTAATTTCTATTACTGTCTTAAAAAATATATTTACATTTTATATAATTCATACCTAACTAATCACATTATAAATACCTTCAATACTCCTTTACCATACTCCAGCTTCTTTCCTTAGTCAATTTTATGTAATTTTTAAAAAAATTATTATATTAATTCTAAAATTATATTTTAGATGTAAAATTTAAATAAATTACAGTCTTTAAATTTTGATAAATTAAAATGATAAATAGTACGTAACTAAAAAATTAATTTTATTAACCCTTTTAAATTCTGCTATTTAGCTAAAACTGAATAACATATTTGATTTCAGATATGCCATTAATTAAATTATTTATTTTGAAATTAAAAAGATCTTTTTAATTATAAAATCAAAATTTTCAACTTTATTTTAAGTGTTCGTTTGTTTGGATTAAAAAATAATAAATAAATAAATAAATTATTTATGTATTTTTTTGATTTAATTATTAGTAAGAATAGAAAAATACTTATTTTATAATAAATTAAATTTTTAACTATATTACATATACACCTTATATCAAAAATTTAATTGTTGTCTCCAAAATATTATTTATCAAATACTTATCAAATATAAATTTATTAATACAATAACTGAGTAAAATATTGAGCGTAATTGTTTAAGCAATATATCAACATAAATAATTTGTAATTTTAAAATAAATAATATTGAAAAAATGGTAGATGCTATTTCTAGAGTAGTTAAATTATAGGTAGAAAACGACGACAAACCAATATAAAATATTTAAATTGTCTATGCTGTGAGGTATCCATCATTTTTTGAGGTATTTTTGCTCTTCATTTATAACTTCATTAACTATATTAGCAAATATACAAATTTTTAATACATATTTATGAAAACAGCTGCAGATTAAATCAAAGAATCCTAAGGTAGATAAAAAGCTCATTATTGAAAAATCTGGAAAAATATATGAAACTGGTAATTTATTTATAAACATAATCTCTTGGAAGATATTTATTCAATTTTTATGCTTTATTAATTGTAGAACTCAATTGGAAAAGCTAAATAGAAAAACCAATTGAAACTTTGAATTTTTCGTTTTTCATGGGGGTATTATCAATCCTAGATATAAAATTCTTAATTTTTGCAGAAAATGTAGCTTAAACTTGTTCGATATAAAAACATGATATATTTGAAATATAATCTCTATGCTTCGTTTCGTTTATTGTATGATATATTTATTTATTTATTAATTATTCTACTTAAACTTTCTTAAATTTGATATAGAAAACTTTAAATACAAAATACTTTGCAAAAATTAATTTATTTATTTTTTAGAAAAGCAAAGATCTATTTTATGGAGAACAAGGAATTTAATTAGAACAACAAATTACTAATATAAGAAACGTAAGTAATTTTGCTATTAAATTATTCACATAATTTTTTTTTTGCGAACATAAATTAAATATCATCTAAATTATTTAATTATAGCTTTTCAAGCAAGGATATTACTTTTCCTATACATATAATCTAAGTTTATCAAAGCAGAAGTAAGCATTTAAAGCAGCAACAGAATGGAGATTCGCTTGGAACAGCCATATGTGCAAAGATTTAATTACAGCTAAAGTTAATCCTCTATGGACAATTCCTGTAGTCTAAGGGTTTGTTTCTAACTTTTAAGTTTATATGGTAAGCAAAAAGCTAGATTTCTATCTAATAGCTCGTCGCTCGTGTAAAAAAGCAGGGACTCGTTATAATGCAAGAGGTAGCTTTATCTTTCAATGTTTAAAATATATTATAAAAAAATTATTTCTCTCTTAAAGGTTTAGATGAAGAAGGAAACGTAGCCAATTACAATGAAATTGAATAAATTATTTATTTTAACCAATACTGCTGCTCTCATTTACAAATTAGAGGGTAAATAAATTATTATTTATTTGAAAATAAAATATAGTTTATTAAAAATTAATAAATTAATGTTTTAAAATGATTAGATCTGTACCTATTTTCTGGTAATAAACAGGGATAACTGCTAGCTGCCAAATTACTAAACCTTTTGAATTAACTAATAGCTCATTTTTAAAGCATTTTGAAGACATTAAGAAGAATTATAATTATGTAATATGTGTAAATTTGATGGCAAAGTATAAGCCATCTGAATAGTTGATAACTGAAGGTTATGAAGCTCATATCAAAAATAATAATTTAAGTAAAATATTTAAATTCAAAAATATAACTTCATTAAATAAATATTTAAACACTGCAAATAAATAGATTATGTAAAATATAAATACTTTGACTTTCACGATATTTGTAAGAATGAATAATACGAGTAAGTAAATCCTAAAATAAGAGAACTCCATTCATTTAACAGAAATTTCCTCTATTATATGGAGGATATCTCAACAAGAACTGTTTTCTTGGCATAGAAGGGTTTATTTCGCACTAACTGTCTTGATTGCCTAGATAGAACTAATGTATTCTAAAGTAAAATAGCACTTGATATATTAATCGTACAACTAGAAGGGCTAGGAGCAAATTTAGAAGGTACAAACTTACTTTATTTATTCATTTAATTGCATCTTTTATTTTTATAAAACATCTATTGTTTAATTTAGATGAATTTGGTGAAGACCCTTTAGACCACATAGATAAAAGTAAGAAAGGACAATGTGATGCCTTTACTTAAAAATTTAAAGAAATATGGGCTAACTGTGGCGATATGATATCAAAACATTATACAGGAACAGGCTCTACTCATACTGATGTAAGATAAAAAAATTTTTTTTGAATTAAGGCTTTTATTAATTAATTAAAATAAAGGTAACTAGAGATGGAACAAGAACTTTTGCTGGTCTAATTTAACATGGGTAAACAACTTTAAATAGATTTTATTTATATAACTTTGAAGACCATCTAAAATAGTAAACCATAGATTTGGTACTTGGATAAAAGACAGATTTCAGCTATATTTAAGAAGAAAATTAGTAAATTTATTAATGTAATGATGATAATTATAAATTTCCCTAAGAACAAAGCAAATAAATTAAATCTTGAATATTTTAAAAATAAATATGCTAACAACCAAATTAAGCTAGCTTCTAGATTAATATCAATATTTAAATTAAAATTTAACCAACTATAATCTTAAACTATTTTTAAACAATATTATTTTAATGCAAGTCATTAAAAATTTATATATTTATTTATAAATTATATACTAAAAATAATTATTTTAAAAATACTCTCTAACTTTTTAAATTTAATTTAGAATTCAAATTATAGTAATTTATTTTTATTAAGCTAGTATTTAACTGTCTATCTTGTTAAATAAAATAAACAACAATGAAATAAAAAATTCATAATGTATTATTTTGCTGTATATTAAATGAGAGGAAATGAATCTGAAATATTTGAGAATTTTTTTGTTTTTAAATACATAGAAAATAAATAAATAGATAAATTTTAATTAAGAGAAAAATTAAAATTGAAAATGTCAGAATTTGCAAATATTTTAATTTAGTGCATACTATTTCTGCATATTTTCTATTACAAAGTTGAATAAGTTTGATTGTAATGGTATAGATTATTTTTAAATTGATATTATGCTTTTTAAGCTAGTTATTGATGTATTTGTTTATTTATTTATTAATTAATTATTTATTGGTAATATTTTATTCCATTAACAGGCAAGCAAATATTTATCTCAATAAACATATCATCACATTTATGAAATTTGAATAATTGAAATTTATATAAAAAATTTATTAGCTGGCTTGGTTGCTTGATTAAAATAAATAATAATACTTATTAAATATATCATAATATTAATAAAAACAAATTAAGCTAGAAATATATATATATATATAAATCCACAAGTAGTTTATAGTATAGATTTTGACAAATTATAAGAAAGTTAGTAGTGAAAATGGTAGACGAAATAACAGATGCCATAATAATTAATGGTGATGGTACATAAAATAAGTTATTTTAGAATATTTAGGTTGTATGGCTCACTCGTTATAATAGTTGTTTCGAAGTAATTATTCAAACTTTTTAGGAATTAATTCAACCAAATAAATTAATAAACAATAAAAAAATTATTGTTGTTGAGTCTAATTCATCCATTTTAAACTAAAGCTTTAATTGAAGTCTAAAAACCCTAAAGTAGATAAAAAACTGATTATTGAAAAGACAGGAAGAATTTATGAAATAGGTATTAGTTTAAAATAGATTAGGAATGGCTTTAAGATAATTAATTTATTTTCAAATAGGCTTAGAAGATACAATAGAAGGAGAGAAAGCAATTGAATTCAAAAAGTTTTCTGCATTCCTTGGTATCCAATATTTAATGGATTAAGCATTTTTGGTATTTGCAGAGGATGCAGCTTTCACTTGTTCATTCTTAAATCATGATATCTTCGAAATAGGATCTCTTGGTTTTGTTCCATTTGAAGTAACTAAAATAATTAACTTATTGAGATAATATTTTCTACTAGCAAGACTTCTTAAATTTAGATAAAAAAATAAATGGAAAGCTATCTAGAAATATAAATGATCAATTTGATATTGTTATTAAAATAGCTGATAAATTATTTTATAAAATTAAAGAGGAACAAAGCAATATTAGAAGGAGAAAAGGGAAAGAAACTAAAAGGATACATCAAAAATATTAGAAAGGTAAGTAAATCAATAAATAAACTAATAAATAAATAAATCTATTTATTTATTATAAACAATATCTTTATTAATTATAATAAAAATCATTTATTTAAATAATCTTAGCTCTTTTCTGAAGGATATTACTTTTGTTACACATATGACTTGAGTTTATCAAGATAGAAATAGGCTTATTCATCTGAAAGAGATTGGAGATTCTGCTGGAATAGCTATCTCTGCAAAGACTTAATAGCATCAAAAATTCCATCTGTATGGACTATAGCAATTATTTAAGGCTATTGCTCTACTTTCTCAGTTTATATTTAGGGTAAGAAGTTAGATTTTTACCTATTTGCTCGTCGTTCATGCAAAAAGGCAGGCACAAGATATAATGCTAGAGGTATAATATACTTTATTTTTACAATGTCATTAATACAATTGGTTTTTTTAAAGGTATTAATGATGATGGTGATGTTGCTAATTACTGTGAACTGGAGTAGATCATTCTATTTAACTAATTTTGTTGCTCTCAATTGCAAATCAGAGGGTAAAATTATTGATATTTACTTAAATCTGTTGAAATAAGATTGATTTTTCTTGAAAGATCTGTGCCTATATTTTGGAGACAAAGAGGTATAACTGCTTAAACAAAGATAACAAGGTCATTTGAATTCACAAATCCTGCTTTCCTTAAGCATTTTGAAGACATTAAAAAGAACTACAACTACGTACTCTGTGTTAATTTAATGAAAAAGTCAAAGGAATAAGAATAAATGATTACAGAAGGGTTTGAAACTCATTTAAAGCATAATAATTTAGGTAGATTTTTAAATAAATTGAACAAAAAAGCATAAAATTTTAAATAAATAAATAAATAAAGATTTTGTGAGATATAAATTCTTCGATTTTCACACAGTTTGTAAAGATTAAAAATATGAAAAAGTAAATCCTATTATTAGAGAATTGAGTTAAATGAACAACAACTTCCATTTCTATGCTGAAGACCTCTCAAATAAAACATGTATTGTAACATAGAAAGGTATTGTTCGTACTAATTGCTTAGATTGTCTTGATAGAACTAATGTATTTTAGAGTAAAATTGCCCTTGACAGTCTCGTATAATAGCTAGATCAGTTAGGAGTTAGTTTAGCAGGTAAATTAGTTATTCTAATTATTTATATATAAAATCTATCTTCAATAAAAAAAGATTAATTCGGTGAAGACCCATTAGACCACGTAGACAATAATAATCTTAAATAGAACCACCCTTTTATCAGCAAATTTAAATGTATTTGGGCTGATTGTGGTGATGCAATATCCAAACACTACACTGGCACAGGTTCAACTCATACTGATGTAATAATAAATAAATAAATTAATTAATGAAATTAATTTACTATTAAGACAATTAAAAATATATAAAATGCATTTCAAAATAATAAAACTTGATTTAGAAATTAAAATGTATTTCTTAAAGTAGTTTTTTGATATATCTCTTTTGAAATAAAATAGGTTACGAAGAAAGGATAAAGAGATATTATGGGTCTTCTCCTTCATGGCTATAAATCAATTTCAAGATTTTATTTGTAAAACTTTGAAGACAATGTAAAGCAAGAAGCCATAGATTTAGTTGTAGGCTAACATACAGAAAGTATAAATATATTTAATGAAAGTGTAGAAAAAGCCTTAATTGCAAAATAAGATGAATATTGTAATTTTTCAAAGATAAAAGTGTTTGTAATTACATGGAATGTGAATGGTTTAGAAGCACCTTCTCAAATAGATTAGAATGGTTCTTTCTTTGCCTTCGATCCTAAAGACACTCCAGATGTAGTCTGTGTTGGTAAGAAATTTCTTATTTATTTGAAAAGAATCTAAATTATATTAAAATAAAATAATAGGGCTATAAGAAATTATAGAATTTAATGCCAAAAACTTTGTCTCAGCTAACAATGAATCTGAAATTAAAAAATGGAATTAACTAATATTAAAATCATTATAAAATTATGATTAATACTCTCTTACAAAACACAAAGACCTATATGGAATTCTTACTTTAGTTTATACTAAGTAATCTATCTAACATAGAATTTCTAAAATGAACGAAGACACTGTCAAGTTAGGTTATACCTCTTATATGGTAATTCATAGAAATTATACAAATATTTTAGCCTTTAATTTATCAAAAAACACATTTTTCAATTAAAAATATATTTTTTGTTTGAATCATCTCTCTCTCTTTTTTTTTTTATTGAAGAAATTTATATTTTTTACTAAATTTATCAAAAGAGAACAATAAATAAATGAAATTTATTTTATTTTGAATTTAAATTAATTTAACTTAAAAAGGGAGCAGTTTGTGTTAAGTTATACATTGATGATGCCTCAATAAACTTCTTAAATGTCAATTTGGACTATAATTCTAAGAGCAAAATGTATAGCCTTAATGACATTCATTAACGCTCTTACCAACAAGAAGGAGTAAATAATTTTTTAATTTATAAAAATAAATAAATTGATTCAACTAAAAATTAATAAATAAATAAATAAATAAATAGCCAGGAAAAACAAAAGATGAAAAATTAGAAAGCTTAGATTATAATATACTTTTTGGAGATTTAGGTTTCTCAAGTGTTATGCAAGGAGTTGAAGTTCGCCAGAATATAGATACTTATGAAAGAAACAAAAAGACTGATAAAGATAAAGCTTAAAAGGCTCTTCAAAACTTACTCAAAAATGAAGAGTTTGCAATATAAAAGTAAAATTCAGAATATATGATCAGGTATTAAGAAGAGAAAATAAATTTTATGCCAACATTTAAATACGAGCTTTACTCATCTAATTATACTCAAGTCACTGTCCCAGGCTGGTAATAAATATATTCAATTTCATTGATTTAATTTCGATTTTATAATATGAAAAGGCCTGATAGAATTATGATATGGTGCAAAGAAGGTGACTAACATGAATAATTGAACTATAATAGAAGGGATTTAAACTATACAAATCACAGGTTTAATTTTATTATTAAAAATATTAGTTTATCACTTTAATTTATTATAAATAAATAGACCTGTGTATGCCAACTACATATTAAATATCAAAAAAGTTAATTAAGAAAAGAAAGAGCAAGTTCTTCAAACTGTTTATTCAGTAATTATTTAAATATTTATTTTAAGATTGTAGAAGCCAGAAATAATCGATTAATTTTTAAAATAGGAACTAAATCAAACTGCATAAAAAATAGAAGAAGAAGACATAGGCGATGATGATGATTAAGAAGATAAATTAATCTAAAAAAACTGATAAATAATTAATTATATTTATTAAATACCTCACGTATCTTAGTGTTAATTAGTTAAATTTAATTTGTTATTAGTACATATATTTTCATATATTTTTATTTGTAAAATATAAATTTTAAGCTAAAAAATAATTTTGTGCTTTTAAATATAAAGCAATCAATATTTTAATTAAAATTCATCCTTTTAAAAAAAGATAAGTTTATTAAATATTAAATTATAAAAACTTTTTAAATTAAATTAGAAAATAAACATGAAAATTAAATAAATTTTTATAAAATGATATTTTACTGAAATTATATTTATCGATAAATGTAATTTTTTATACTTTTTTCAAATAAATATTACAATTAATTTTCATATTATTTTTCTAGTTATATTTGATAATAGTTAAATTAAGTAGTTAGTTTTAATTTATTTTTCTTTCTTTCTTACTTTATTTATATTATTTTATTTAACAAAACATTTATAAATCCTCTTATTCATTAGTATGGTATTTACCCATAAGGACCTTATTATCCGTTTGGATACTGTCCTTGAGGAGGTTATTGGCCATAAGGTTGTTGTTATCCGTATTGGTATTATCCTTAATTTTAATACTAGTATTAACCTTATTGTTATTATCCTTGAGGGAAATTTTAGGACTATTATTGATTCCACTAAGGATTTTATTCTTTGTATTAGACAAGCTTTAAGAAATTTGACATAGCTTTTTTAAAATAAATTTCAAAATAAATCAATAAAAATAATGAAAAAATAAATAGAAGTATTTTATTACATTATCTACAGATTGGACATTTGTTTGCTTTTGTTTTTAGGTCTTAGCAGCAATCATAACATAGACACATATGGCGACAGGGTAAGATTATGGTATCTATTTTTTCACTTAAGCAAATAGAGCAATCTTTATCAGAATTTTAGTTTAAACCTGACTCAGCGATTCCATATACCTCCTCTGTCCAGTATCCTTAATTATTGAGCTATTAAATATAAAAGTTAGCTAAATAAAAATTGGAAATTAGATGAATACCTCAAATTTAGACTTGATAATCATAATACCTAATCCTTGATTTCTATTTTCTTGGATTGTGCAATAAGTATATACGATCTTTAGCTCTTAAGATTTGTCAACTTTTTCCTAATAAAGATAATATTATCACATATTACTAATGAAAAAAAATAAAAAATTCTAAAAAAAGGAAATCAATTATTCTAATAATACATAATAAGTTAATTAATTAATCAATAATAATTGTTCTATAATTAGTCTTTGAATTTAGCTTTTATATTTATTCTATAAATTGTAATGTAAATTTACGCATTTGATAATCAAAGGGAATTAAAAGCACCCATCAAATTTAAGTAACTAACTTTTTGAAACTTTAGACAAATCAAGTGGGTATTTTGAGCCATCCCATATCTAATTCTTTCCAGGAGGAATTCTGAAGGTGTTATTGCCTAACTTCTCACCAGTTTTGTTTTCAATCCTAATAAATAATAAAACAAATTATAGTCTTATTGTATTTTATTCATTTCAGAAACCTTTATGTGGTATTTGTTTTATCATCTATATGATCAAGTCCTCCATAGAAAATAGAAACATCGGCTTCAACATCAAAGCTATATTCGAAATTTAAGTAATACAATTTATCACTCACTTTTTGCTATTTATGTTACAATTTTTATCAATCAAAACACAATAAATCAATTCAAAATTACTAATTTTAAAGAGTTCTTATTGATTATGAGCTCTGCTTTAATTGGTATTGTTTTTTAAACTTTAATTTCTGTATTAACTCCTCTTAACTGTCCTTATCTTGGACCCTAATAACCTTGGTTATGATAATATTAGTCAACATTTAGCTAATTTTATGAGTAGAGCTAATTTAATAAGTTTTGATTTCTAGAATTCTATGACAAATGAGCATACTAAGGTGGAATTTGCTATTCTGTCTATTATTTATTTATGATATTATATTATTAATGCCGCTTTTTTTATGATAACTTACAGAGTTTCTGCCTCCCATTATTGCTACTTTCTCTTTTTATAAAATGGCTATAGCTGCTTTCTTACTTATATTTTACTGTTTGCAAAAATGATAATATCAATTTATTTTTAATACTTACTTAATTAATTAATTAAAAACAAATAAACCTACCTACCTATTCGTTTTCTAATAAATCTATATTAATAGTTTGTCGCTCTATAAATCATCTATTTTATTTGTTTCTAAGTCCTCTATCTAAACAAGCATTAAAGATTAGCTCATTTTATAAAAGCAAATTTATTAACAATAAATCATATAGCAAACTAACTAAAAAATACAAATAACTCATTTTATTTAGACAATTTAAATATGGATTTTACACTTAAATAAATTAGGAAACAATTTAAATCATTTTGTATTTTATTTTTAACCAAATGAATAATACAAATGAATATATTTTACAATAAATTTCACATTTTAAAAATTTTAAATTATACCTTTTTTATTTTTTTTACAGATAGAAAACTTTTTTTCCTCATTTTTTATAAGATACTCAATCTACCTCTATTAAAAATTTTTAATTTTAAAAAAATAGCATAAAACTTTGTATAAAAATTAAAAAACTGAAATTAAAAACTTTGAAAAGCCATTAAGAATAAATTAAGCAAAACAAAACACACATCAAAGAGCAATATAAAGCAAACATTTAAAATAAAATTTATGTAGATAAGTTTGGTGAATTTAAAACAAAAATAATAAAGAAAATTCATAAAAATGCCATAAAAAGTTCCAAGTTAACACAAAATAAATGAAATTATATCAGAAAAAAATTAATTTAGATTAAATAAAAAAACTAAAATGGTTAAGAATATTAATAATAAATATTAAATAATATTGTTTTTTAAACAACCAAAAGAGTTTTTTTATTTAATCTAAATAATTAAAGAAACTAAACCACATTTTTATTTTTAAATTTCTATGTTTTATTTATAAATTATGTTGTTAAATTAGATTTCACTTGATAAATTATTAATTTGGTTGTAACTTTTTTTTTGTTTGGCTGTTAGAAATTTCTTGTTTCTTCAATTATTTTAAACTTTACTTCCTAAAGTTCAATTTAGTTTCACTGTTTTCAGTGTTTTTGCTCAAAGCTTGAGTTTCTCCGTTTTTATAATCAATTTTTTTAGCAATTTTTTTTGTTGTGTCAAACTTTTGGGATTTATTATTTGGACTTTAAATGTTGTTTGTACTTTCCATTGATTTTTAAATCAGAGGTTCTCTGTCTTTTTAATCAAATTAGGAAATAGTTTTCAATGTTTTTTATTAATTTATAGGTGAAGTTTTCTAAAAATGTATATCAGGTAGAGTTACTCTTTTGCCCTAATTAATTTTTTTTTTGTAAAGAGGATTTTGGGAAATATAAACGGAAGAGAATAACTATTGAGAGCTTTTTAATTATTTTTTGTCTGTCAAATTTAATGGTAAGAGCTTCTCTTTTTTCAAATTATTTGCAACTGTTTATCGAAAATCATCTTTTTTTGTTAAATCAATTGTTTGGAGTGATTTTTCTTACTATACTTTCTCTTAAAAGCTAGTGGATCCTAGAGTAGTTGTGGTTGACAAGCCATTGGAGTTAATATACTTTTAAATTGATTGCTTGGTTGAATTTTTATGAACACTAAAGAAGACAGCAGCCATATTAGTAGGCGAAGAATGAGAATTATCATCTTTGCCCTATGTTTTTAATTGTTTATTTGAAGCTATTTAATTCAATTTTTGGTTCTAAGAAACAGCTGTATTATTTTGTATATCTGATAAATCTTAATGAGTGTGAGTCCTCCTACTTTTCGAAATTAAAGTTTTCTAGTTCGATTATGGTTCATTTAATAATTTTTTTCTCTAATTTAATACATTCTTATTGCTTTCTTATATTTCATTTTCTTAGGATGAGAAATTTAATTTGTCTGTATTTTATTTTTGTGGGTTATCATTTAAAATTTATTATTAATTACCTGTAGATTTCGAGGGAGTCTTATCTAAAGCAACAAATGAACTTTGGGTTTGATGAAATTAATTGTTATTGTTGTTGCTGCTTGCATTTGTAGGAGACCCAGTATTTGAGGGAATTTATTTTAAAAAAGCACCGTTTCTTGAATTTCTTTTTTATTAACTTAAAGCGATAATAGGTATTTTATCACTAAAAACTTTACTGTCTTAGTTTAAAACATAGTCTATTTTATTATTATTGCTGCTAGAGTTAGTATTATTAACAATATTAGAAAGTATATTTTATTTATGAATAGCTGATAATCTTTTTTGCATTTTATTATCACCATACATGTCAATTGACTCTCTCTATTAGTGAATTCTTGTTTCTTTTAATAAAGATTCATTTTAGAATAAATCAATAACAAACAAATAAATAAATAATTAAATGAATGAATGAATGAAAATAATCTCATAAGCTTATGAAAATTATTTCATACTAAAATAATCTAAATCTTTTAAAGATGGTATTTAAAGTTAAATCTATAATTAATTTAAAACTGCTTTGGATAGAATTTATTGAAGACTTTTTATGCAATATTTTAATTTTTTTTTCTATTTTTCTATCACTTAGAAATCTAATATTAATTGTAATTACTTTATGAGTCTTTTATTCTTCTTGAAGGACTTTGGTCTTGGAAGAATTTATCTTGACCATGCTTGACAGGAGGTTTATAGTTAGGATGAAAGGGAGCAAGGTTATCAAGAGCAATTATTCTTTTATTTAAAAAGCCAAATTAGCTTCCTTCAGCACTTTTTCTTCTTTAAATATCTTGCTATTTTAAAAAGTTTAATAATTTTTCTTCTTCATAAATAGTGTATGTTCTTTCTTTGTTAGAACCTTTCTTTCCAATCTTCGCATCTATTCCATAAGTGTAAATGATATTTCCATCAATCGGGCCATATTTCAAAAATAAGCTCTTCTTATCATTTTTTTTGGAATGCTTGTTCATATCTTTTTCTGATTCAAATGAATCCAATCTTATCAAACTGCTATTGTAACCTATTTATTTAATCATATAATTTTATGACATGCTTCAAAGTAAAATAGCTTGGAATTATATGAACTAAATTATTACTTTCAGTAAATGGAACCTAGAATTATGATTAAAATTTATGGTTAATTATAGCTAATATGTATATATTTTACCTTGTCATCTACAAAATTATACATTTCATTTTTGTTAAATCCTTTGTTCATTTATCTTTATAATCTCTCTCTTTTTGTATTTGCTTTTATTTGAATTATGTATCTGTAATTTACTATTTAAATTTTCAGTATACAAAAAACCAAACAAACCCTTTAATGAAATAACTAACTAACTAACAAATTAAAAAACTAATTAACACCTATAAATATCTAAAGATTGATGTACATCACTCTTACCAATAAATAACTTATAACAACTTTACTAGTCAAATATCAAATTAAGTGTTCCCTATTTCAGTGTTCAAAATTTAATTTACCATCTTTCTATATCATTTCTAAATGATCTTGAAAAAAAAGAGAAGCTTTCTAAATAAATTTCCTTTTTGAGTAGCTATCTTAAAAATATCTAGAAATTAATTAATTTATCATTTAATTACTTAATTTTAAAATCAATAAAAGGATTTCAGTTAATTTAAAATAGAAAATAATAAGATTTTTCACCTTTTTAGCAAAATTAATGTCATTTTTATTAAAATAAATTTGATTCTCATTTATTTTTTTTATGTGATATATTCATAATATTTATTTTTTTATGAATGAATGAATGGATATTATTTATTTAAAACACATAATAACACCTAAATATTCTTTATAAGCATTTTCATAATAATCATATAATTAAATATTAATTTAAATAAGAAATTTCAAAAATCTATTTTTTTTACTGCTTTTATTACTATTCTATTTTTTTAATTAAAATTGATAAATTTTTAACATATAAAATAATTTAAGTAAAATAAATGTTATCAAAATCATTAAGAATAATTTAATTATTATTTTATTTGTTTTATTCTCTGCTGAAAAACTAATGCATACTTATTGTTAAAGAGGATCTATGCTATTTTACAGTATTAAAAAAAATTAAATGTAGATTCAGGATTTACTTGGGTACATCAGTAAGTATGTGTTATTATTAAATAAAATAAAGGGTAAATAAATTTAATGCATATATAAATCATATATGAATTGATAGAGCAAACAGAAATCTTTCAGAATCATTATCATTTACTATTTTATCAAACTTATCTTTTGAGATATTTAAAAAATAAATAGTAGATTTCATTTTTTGAAAATCGATTTTTTGGAATTTGAAAGTTTTATTGAATTTTTTTTATTCTTTAAAACAAAATTTTGTAGATTTTTTAGGAAGTAACTTAAAAGTCAGCAAATAAGGTTTTTATTTATTTTATTATAAAAAATAAAACTTTTTATATTAATTTATTTAATCAATATTAATAGTAGGTTGAGCTAATTAATTATTATTTTTTATCAAATATATTTTTTAATTAAATTAAATAAACTTAACAGCTAAAAATTAATTAATGTATTTCCTTTTTAAGATATTTGCTTTAATTCTATTGATTTTTAGTTTATTATTACAAATTTTCTTAGAATAATCAGTAAAGAAAATGTTTAAAAAAAAGATTCAAATTAGGTGATTTTGTTCTAAATTTGTTGACTTTTTAAGCATTTAAGAGAACAAATAATATTTCTTTTTTTAAATATTTTTAGACAACCAACTATTTTATTCGATGTAGGTTTGATAAATTAATTTGAATTTGATCCATATTTTTATAAAAGAATATATATTGTAAATATAATTTAGAACAAAAGAAAAAATCTTTTGCTAATTTAATATTTAATCAGATTCTAAAAATGTTAAATGTTTTTAATTGATTTAAAAATATTTTTGATCATATTTAAAAGATAATGAGTATATAGACATAATTAAAAATATATCTTCAAATAAAATTAAATTTATCTAGTTATTTATTTATTTATTTATTTATTTATTTTTTTGATACATTTTATTTATCTGTATACATAATTAAATCAATGAGAATGAACGTGACCATGAGCGGTTATGTTGGCAGCTTATTCTCTGAAGTATTGACATAAACCTCTAGGGCAAATATTGTTGACATCACAAACAGAAGGAACAGTGATGGGATAGAAATCATCTAATCTTCTAGTTTCAGCGAGGAAAACTTCATCATATGAACCTCTTTGGATTTTCAAAAGAGTTCTTTCAAGAGGATTTTCTTCAGTAGTTTCCCAAACAATATTTCTGATATTGGGTAATTCAACGATGAGCCATTGATAAGCTTCTTGACCGTATAATGTAGTCTTACCCTAGAAAATACTTGTTTAGAGCCAGTGAGGCTTGAGAGCACCACATCCTTATGCTTCATTGCAGCACCAACAGCAATCGTTATCATCTGGATAGAAAATAAATCTATTTTCACCAACAATAATTTATTCACAAACGTGGTTTGTTTCATTGTATTGTTTGTATCCATTGCAAGTTTAGTCATATTTACCATTAGATCTGACCAAACGAGTAGAGTAGGTAGTATAATCGTAGTAATAACCTCCAACACTAGTGTGATTTGTAGATCCATAAAAAGTTTCAATAAAATCTTAAGAGAATTTTAAGGGCCAGACAGGTTTGGCAGGTTCAGGTTCTTCTTGGGATAAAACGAAAGAAACCAAAAGGAATAAACAAATTACTGAAGTTTTCATTTATATTTTTGTTATTTGGGAAATTAATCTTTTTGATTGTTTTTTTAATTATATTTTTATTTAAATTAGGTTTATTTTTTTAAATATTTGAAGCAAACATAATTTATCCTTTAATCAATCATCCATTTATCAATCTAATTAGTTATTTTTAATTTCTTTTATTTTATTTAGATTTTGATTTTTCTGATATAGGAGCATCAATTTTAATAAAAAAGTAATCTTTCAGATCAGTCCTGAAATTTAAAATCTAATTAATATCTTTTATGAACGAATGAATAATTCTAAAATTAAAATCAGAATTCCAACTAAGAATAATTTATAAGTAAAATTGGTATTTTGAATTTACTATTTAAAAATCTTAAATCACTTTTTTTAATTAGTAATGTTTTTTTCTCGATTTTTTCTTTTAAATACATAAAACTGTAAAACTGTAAAATATTTATTTCTAAAATCTTTAAAATAAAATAAAATAAATAATGTGTTTGACAAAGAACTCCAATCAAATTTAGAATCTACATTAATATATATTATGACTTCTAAGTTTGGTCTTTCTTTTTGTTTCTTTCTAGTAAAAATTGATAATTTTCTTTTATAAATCGTATATTTGATCATAAATTTGTAAGCTAAAGAGAAAAATAATAATCAAAAAATAACTTTTATTTATTTAAATAAAATATTAATCCAGCCAGTTTATTTTTAAATTTTTTTCTTTATTTTATGTAACTTTAACTCACTTAAAAATTAAATAATTAACTGCTTTCATTTCTAATGTTTTATTGATGCTAAAGATACTAATTTTTTAATCCTTAAAATTTACTAAATAGCTATGGAATCAAAAGTAGTTAAAAATAATTTAACATTTTGAAATATCAAAGAGAGATAATAATATTTTTTTTATCTTAATATTTTTATAATTTATTTAGTTATTATCATTCTAAATATTTAAAGTGTTACCACAAACTACATTTTAATTACTTGATGTAGTAGTTGCAAAATATAAAGTATATTTGAGTAATAAAACAAAAAATACATTAAAATTTGAAAGATATTATTAAACTCTTTGATAGACTTGTTTGTTGCACAAATTCATTAGAACTGATAGTAAGTATTAGGTTTGCAAAATTTATTTATATGTAGAAAATACAATGTTAATTTAAATATTTAAAAGTTAGAGTGTATGATTAAAAATATACAGAAATTACTTTTGGAACTATGAAAATAAACAAAATTAGATTTTTTTTTGAAAGTAAAAATTTTTTAGAGATTTATTTTTGAATTAACTAATATCCATTTTAATTTATCTTCTAAAATTTGTTTGCAAAAAATTCTTTTATAGCATTTCAAATTAATAGTAAGCTGTAACTAAATGATTCGTTTTTGATAGGTAAGGCTTTATGTAAAATAATTCAACATAAATTGTTGAGAATTTAAGCGATAAAGTAAATAATTTAGATAAAAATTAATTTAGTATGTTATTTTTTAGATATATTTATTACAGATGAAGAAGAAATTTAAGATATATTGTCATTAATTTATCAATTACCTGCTCTTTAAGAAATTTGGTTCGATTTAATGTATTTATTTCTATTATTTAAATCTAAAACATTAATAAATTTATTTATTTATTTCTTAGTCTAAGTATATACTTAAAAATATCATTTAGATAATATTTTTTAGCCTTTTCAAATAGAATTATCCCTCATACCCATCAGATTATATTTAAAAATGTAAGGCAAAATTATAGATCCAAAAAAATAATTAATTTTTAAAAAATAAGACATATTAAAATGTAGAGTAACTAAAAAATTTAATCAATTTTCCAAAATATATATTAATTTTAAATTAAATTAATAAATTTAAGCCACCCAATCCATCCATCCATCAAGCCAATCTAATTAATTCTTCATCTACTAAATAAAGAGTAAAAACATCAAAAAAAATTTTGATAAATTATGCAAAGGCGAAATATTGAGAATATTCTTTACTTTCATAAATATTTAGCTTACTACAAAAAATTCATAAATAATTAAATATATTCTAAATTAATTAGGACTTAAAAAATATATAATAAAAAAGTATTTAAAACTTCATCCAAAGCGGCTTTTCATTAAAATACTTAAAAATAGACACTTCTATGTAGGTAGAATGAACAAACTAACATTTAATTTAATTATTTTTAAATAAAGATATCAGGAATTAATCAATATTCTTCCATAACATTAAGAGCCGAATACCAATTTAAAGGGGCTTTCTTTAAATTTATGGTAACTTATCATAAAAAAATTAATTTTAGAAATAATTTGAATTAATTTTTTAAATAAAATTAAATAAAAAATTTCATATTTTAAAATAGTTTGTAAATACTGTAAATCCTCATTATATTTATTTATACTTTTTTAATATAAAGGCTGATGTTTTAAATTTATTAGATTTGTATTAATTGAAGGAAGATAATTAAGTTATATTTTTAAAAAAGCTGAGGTTAGAATTTGGAAAAATATGACATTTTTTGCTTAAATCTCTCAAATATTAAATTTGAAGCTTGGTTTTACCTATCAACGAGATTTGTTGCTCATATATTTAGTTTGGTAGAGTGTCTCTGCTTTGTAAACTATTTTTTTGATAATATTTTAATCTCCAACTCTTTTTGGGCAATTTTTGAGTATGGATCTTCATTTCATCATCTAGTATAGCTTTAGACATATCTTCATCCTTGTGTGAGAGAATATTTCATCATTTATAGTTTATGGAATTGAGAAAGGTGAGGTATTTTCTCTATTTTATCAAAAACTATGATATTATTTTTAATCATCCATTTTCTGATGTTTTATAGGGATTATTTTATTTTAAGCTCGTTTTTGATAATTTAGCTATAAAATAATATGCAAAATCAATAAAAATCTTGATTTTTTTTGTCATATTGTTGAGTCCAGAACTTCATTTATGAGATCTTTTATTAAAAGTGAGATTCCTTTCTTAAGTTTTGAAACAACATATTATCCTGATCTTTGGGTGTAAGGTGTAGTAGCTTGTATTCTTCTGTGAATTTCTTTACAATTATTTATGTCACTCTGAAAAAGTACCAATATACGCTATTATTTAATTATTTGGGTGTCTTCATGCTTGGATTACTTCACCATTTTTATTGTAATGAAATTTGCAATTTTTAAATAATTAAAAAATGTACCTAAATTATTTCTAAATAAAAATAATTAAACAAGGTATCCAATTTTTTCTTCTTTGTATTATGGAAATAAATTGACCTTTAATTAAGTTAAATAATAAATTTTCCATAAATAATTACATGTAATATTAAAGTGAGGTCAGAGATCAAAAAAATTAAAATATTGGTTTTTTAGCAAGAAAAATAGTATCTAGAAAACATTAGGAGAATTATGTAAAATCACAATTAATGGATTTGAAAATAGTTAATTAAATGTTTACTCTTTATCAAAAAAATTTCTTAGTTCAAAAAATAGATAAATAAATGTCAAATCCTAATTTTAAAATTAAATAATTATTTGTTTTTTTATATGAATTTACAAAGTTAAATAAAAGCAAAATATAAGCTGAATAGTGTCTAAAAAAACATTAAAATATCGAAAGGAACTTCTTAAGAGCGAATATTTGTATAAGGATATAATTTAAGTAAAAAATGATTTATTTTCATTTGCTATATAGTTATATAATCCTTTAAGCCTCCCTAATTCCGGTATCTAATGCTCCATTTATTGTTGCAAAATATTTAGGATCAGTTGCTTCTCCTGCAAAGAATAATTAATTATTAACAGGCTAGGCTAAAACACTTCTATAAGAGCCCAAATTAAGAGATGGATAGGAATAAATACCCTCAATATACTTTGTTGTATTGTAATCTGTCCAAATATAATCTAACAACAAATCTTCAACATTTTTCTTTACTTTAAATATTTATTACAATTTATTGAATAATTCACTCATCATGTATTTGCGCTTATTTGGATCATTCATATCAATAGAAGTTTATCCAGAAATTAAGGCACACAAAACAAAACTAGCTTTACTGCGATGATAAGAACAATTCCATATTAATCCTATTTAAGTTCTTAGAATTAAAGAATAAGTGTCAGAAGGCCAGAATCTTTCTTTGAATTTCATATGCAACTTTCCTCCCTTTCCCATTTACAAAAGCTAAATTGCTTTTTGTTTCTCTTATGATAAAGGTGGAATGAAGTTTATAGAGTTATTTTTTAGTTAAGAAACTGGAATAGTAACTACAACATGGTCGGCTTTATATTCGTTACCAAATGAATCACATACAACTACTCCATTATTTTGAAGTTAATTTGTTTAAATTGCTATGTAATTAACTGGTGTGTTGTATTTTACTAAGGGAAGAACAGTAGCAAAAGCACGCTCAATCACATCAAAATGAGACATATTTGTAACTATAAAATTCTTTTCATCATACTCCCATCTTTACTCATGCTCAGCATAGCCCTTAATAGACAAATCTTTTAACGTAGATCCATACTCTGTTGCTAACTCCATTTCATAAAATTAAAACAATTTTTGATCAACATTCTTAATTTTAAAATATTCTAAGATTGGCATATCGTCACAAAGAAGATTTTTTTCTTCCTCTTTCATTATAGAGTTATAGAATTTTTCTAATTTGTATTTTTCATAAAAATCATCTTCTTCAATCAAAACTCCATTACCTTTTTAAATATCTTCTCCTTTTATTCCAATATCCTCAATAAATGAGTCAAAATTAGAGTCAGGTTCACAATTAGCGCCAACTTATTTTGCTAATTTGTAGTATTTAGTAGGGAGATGAATTTCTTCAGCTCCAGTTTCAATAGGAAAGTCAGCAAATGTTGTATTTTTAGAAATTCTTCCACCGTGGATATTACGAGCTTCTAAAATTAAAACAGAAAACCCATTTTTTTAAAGTTCATTAGCACAACCAAGGCCAGCTATTCCAGAGCCAACAATAATTACTTTCTTTTAATTTTAATCCATTTATTTATTTATTTTTTTATATGATTTATTATTTTAAAATTTGCAATTACATTAAATTAGAAATTCAATTGATTATCCTTTAAAGTTAGATTTTTTGATAACCACTCTTTATAAAAGATTTTTAGACGAGTTATGATTAATTTTTAAATCACATTCAAGTCTACAATATTATTAATTTATATTTTAGTAAATAGTAAATCTTAAAAATTATCATAAAACATTTTTATAATAAATAATATCACTGCTTATGAATTAAGGATCCCTAAATTTTGATGAAAAAAATAATAAAATTTAAAAAAATAAATTCGTTGATAAGTTAAAATTTTTTATATTTAAATAGGTATTTTTCAAACTTCAAATAATCCTTAAATTAAAATTAAAATTGTGTAAGTTTAATTATACATAAAGAAAAAAAATAGAATATAAATTATTTGTTTTTTTAATTTATAGACTTTGAAAAGGATATATTTCAAACAATATTTAATCTATTTTAATCAATAAATTAACATTTAGAAATTAAAAGGAATAAATTAATTGTTTTTATCAATTGTAAAATGGTTAATTTACTCAATTTCTACTGTAATCTAAATTTATAAATCAATTGATTAGTTGGCAAGATATATTATTCTTTATTAGAATAGATCAAAAAATATATAGACTTATACTTATCGTAAGCTTAATTTATTTAAATTATTCAAACATTCAAAATTTTTTTGTAACTCAAAAAAGTTTAAAAAATGATTTTATTTAGATTGTATCATAAATCATAATTCTCTCTAATCAAATTCCCAATTTTCAAAAATTAAGATTTAATTTTACTTACTTTTCTATTCGTTTCCTAAAAAATCCATCAATAGTTTTAAGTAATCTAAATATTTTTTGATTCTGTGAAAATCTTATTTGGTAAATTTACAATTTAGCTCAAATATCTTCTGATCAATTATGAACAAAAATATTAATTTTCCTAAAATTAGTTCCATTTTACAATAAATTAGGTTTTCTTAAATCATAAAGATAAGAATAGTTATCAATTTATATTTTATATATTTTTAACAGAATTTCATATTTATTCAAAAATTAAAGCAATAGTATGTATCTTAAATATTTCATAAAAAAATTGTTAAATATAAACTAATAAATTCAATAACAAATAACTAAGATAAAAATTTAATATGAATTCTTCAATTAAGATTAAAAAACTATAGATTGAATTATTGAGCATATCAAAAAAAATATTCTGTAAAAAATTGTTAGAATTTGAAATTATTTCTGAAAAGTTAAATGAAAACCACAAAAAAACAAAAATAAATATTTGTTTTCAAATAAAATTTTATTTAGAATTGTTACATTCATTTTTTATATAATGAAATTATTTTTTAGGCTTCTCTTACACCGCTGTCTAAGGCACCATTTATGGTTGCATAATACAAGGGCTCTGTTGCTTCTCCTGCAAAAAATATCTAATTATTTACGGGCTAAGCTAAAATATTTCTAAATAACCCTAAATTAAGAGATGGGTAGGTATAGGTTCCTTCAATATATTTCATTGTATTGAAATCAGTCCAAATATAATCTTCCAATAACTCCTCGACATTCTTTTTTAATTTGAATACTTACTGAAGTTTGACAAATAATTCACTCATCAATTATTTGCGCTTGTTAGGATCATTCATATCGATTGAAGCCTATCCAGATATCAAAGCACATAATACTAAACTCTTTTTACTACGATGGTAAGAACAGTTCCATACTAATCCTATTTATGTTCTTAGAACTACTGCATAGTAATCACTAGGCCAAAATTTTTCTTTAAATTTCATATGCAACTTTCCTCCTTTACCCATTTACAAAAGTTGAATTGCTCTCTACTTCTCCTATGACAAAGGTGGAACAAAGTTTATTGATCCATTTTTAAGCTGAGAAACTGGAACAGTCACAACAACATGATCAGCTTTGTATTCATTTCCATACGCATCAACTAAAGTAACTCCATTGCTTTGATTTTGAAGCTAATTAGTTTATATTGCTATATAATTGATTGGAGTGTTGTATTTTACAAATGGTAGAACAGTTGAGAAAGCACGATCGACGACATCAAAATGAGACATATTAGTTATTACATATCTTTTTTCTTCATATTCCCAATTCAATTCATGTTCTGCATAACCCTTTATAGACATTTCTTGAAGAGTTGAGCCATACTCATTTGCGAGTACTGTTTCATAAAATTATATCAATCTATCATCAATTTGCTTAAACTTAAAATATTCTAAGATAGACATATCATCTTTAAGAAATTTCTTTTCTTCTTCTTTTAATATAGATTTATAAAATTTTTCTATCTTATATTTATCATAAAAATCCTCTTCATCAATAAGAATTCCACTACCCATAGATAAGTCTTCTCCTTTTTTAGGAAGATCTTCAATGTAAGAATTAAAGTCTGAATCAGATTCACATTTAGCTCCTACTTCTTTTGCTATCTTGTAATACTTTGTTGGTAAATGAATTTCTTCAGCCCCAGTCTCTATTGGAAAATCAGCAAAAGTAGAATTTTTCGATATTCTTCCTCCATGAATATGACGAGCTTCTAAAATTTGAACTGTAAATCCATTTTTTAAAAGTTCATAAGCGCAACTAAGACCAGAAATACCTGAGCCTACTACAATTACTGTCTTTTAGATTCTTTCCATTTTAATTTAAAATAATTATTTATATTAAATATTAAAGTTGTTTGTTTTTGCAGGTTTAAAGAGTAAAAAATTGACTTTCCTTTATTTTTAATATATGAGTCTTATGTAATCTTAATTCGCTCACCAATCATTCCTGATATAAATAAATCTTAAAAAATGTATTAGGGTATGTATATAGAAATAAGTTTATAATAGAAAAAGTGAAAGTATTTCAAAAATTTAGCGTAATTATAATAATAAATTTACCATTTTGAAAATGCTTTATGAGTTATAAAATTGAGCTGAAAAATAAATAATAAATTATTAATAAAATCAATTTATTAAAGCATCTCTTAATAAATTTGTTTATTTTAATATTGAGTATTAAGTAAAATATTTCACTAACAATCTAATACCTGAAAAGTTATTTATAGTGATGAAAATCTTATAAGACAAGGTTATTTACGAATTTTACTTTTGATATCTAAAAATATATTAAAATGAGGTTACTCGATTTTCAATTAATTAAATTATAGTGAAAATTGATTTATTTAATTTATTTTTTAGAAGTAAAAGTGAGCCCCTAAAAAAAATATTTACAATTCTTTTAAATTATGTTCTATTTTTTAATTTCCAAAATTTATTTTTAGATTTTTCTTTTCTTTCAAATTCAATTTCAAAATGTAAGTTAAATATTTAATCTATAATTGGATAGATAGATAGATATATACACATTTTTATTATAATATTAATTTATGCACAAATTTTAAATTTTATAAAATCTATTTTTAATATTAAAAATTCTACATTTATTTTGATCTCAAAATATTTATATATTGATAATCCTCAATTTTGAATCTCAATTTTTCACATAAAAAATTTTCACTCTAAATTTACTAACAGAATTAAATAATTTTTAACATTCACGTAAATAAGTTTTAATAAAAAAAAACCTACAGTTAATGAATATGTATACACTAATGATACAAATTGAGTATTGAAAGCTTGAAATTTAATTTAATTTAATTTTATTTAAATTTCAACTAGGCTTAATGCTTTCAACATTTTCTAGTTAAACTAGAGTCAGTACATCAGTGCTTTATCTTTTATACTTTTCTTAAGTGTTGTTATTATCAGCTTATTATTATTTTTTTTTAAACAAACGGTATATATATATGCATGTGATAGCTATTATTATGCATATTGGAAAGAAAATTGCAACATATAGAGCATCGTTATTCTTTTGTAGAATTATCTATATTTCTTTTATAAATATTCATTAATTTAAAGAAAAAATATAAAATATCATTATTTAAAATCCCAAAAACAGCTTTTTAAAAATACTATTTATTTTTTATTAGCAGAAGATACTTTTTTGTATTAAAAATACTCCTCTTGATTTTTATATCTTAAAAAGATTAAAATTTATTGCATTTAGTAATTTTTTTGAAAAAAATAAAAATAATAGGACTCAAATAAAAAAAAAGAAAAAATATATTAATTTTTTACATTCCAAACAGTCTTCTAAATCAGGTCCAACACATCCTTTGGTACACTCTTACCTGCAAGGCTAACAGATTCTTTGTATGTCAGGATAGGTGTTAAGAGGACAAGAAAGGAGACATTAGTTTTATTCAAAAACATAGCTACTTTTTTCACATTTAGTACAATTAGAAGGACCATCTTTACACTCTTCACATTCTTTATCACATTTCAAGCATTTTAGCACTCCATTTAAATTTGTTGAGTAAAATCCTACAGAGCAAGTTTATATGCACTACCCTTGCTGCAAAAAAAATCCATTTTAGCATTTAGAACAATAAAAAATATGATTGCTACATGATTCACAGTTTTTATCAATACAATTTATACACTGATTTTTTGAAGTGTCTTAGAAATACCCAGCAGGACAGCTGCTTAGACATTTGTTTTGAAACAAAAAATAACCATTTAAACATTATATGCAAAAATCTTCTTTTTCAAGACACTAGCTACAATTATTAATACACTTTTAGCATTGAATTATATTGTCTAAATATGTTTCATAAAAGCCTTTTGGGCATTTAGCCTCACATTAACCTTTTACTAAAACTAAGGCAAGTTCACATTATATACATATGATATCTTTTGGATTTTCATCACTATTTTAACAGATTCTACAAGTATCAGGACATTTTCTGCATTGCAAATCATCAGCACTTTTATCAATAAAATACCCTTCCTATGGGCATTTCTAATAACAATTATGATCTATTAAGAATTCATTATTATTACAGCTCGTACATTTATATGGTGTTTAAACACAATTTTTGCACCTATATTAATCACAGGGAGAGCAGCCTCCTGAAGCATCTTAAAAGAACCCCTATTTGCACTCATCATAGCATTCCCCTTCAAATAGAATTTTTGAATAATCTGCACACTTAGTGCAAAATGCTTTTTAATCTTTACACTCCTTACAAATTGATTTGTCACATTCAAGACAATTCAAAATATCATTTACTTTTATTGAAAAAAACCCACTTGGGCATTCTTCTAAGCAAATATTGTTATGTAATATAGGATTAATTTAAGGACATGATGTACATTTATCCTTATTTTATTCACATTCTAAACAACTTTCACTACAAGACAAACACTCATTAGTTGAACTATGTTTAAAATACCCTGCTTTACATTTGTTGCATTGAAAGCTAGAAGGTCCAAAGCAACCTTTTTCTTGATCACAACTATTATCGCATTCTTCACATTTATTTAGCCTGTTAAAATGGCCTGGAGGGCATTTATCGCACTTCATAAATAAGATTTCACCGTTTTGATAGGACTATTAAGTGCAAGTGTTGCATACCATACCTTTACTTCCACGAACTATTGTTTAAGTTTCACATTCTAAACAATTTTCTTAACACTTTATACATTTATTTGAAGTTCCTTCATATCCGTATCCAGGTTAACATAGTTCATTTCTAGATAGCACATTATCTACAGCTTTTATACATAAATTCTTGAATAGACTATAATTTTCAGAACATGAAGTACAATCAAAAAAAGATTATCCTACACAAGTTTGGCACTCAGTTGAGCATTTTTAACAATTTCCTTAAAAACTTATTTCTCCATCAGTGCATTTTTTACCTACGCTGTCAATCTTATGTGATTGTAAAACATTACAGTTGTCTTATGAATCACAATTCTGGCAGCCCTCGAAGCATTGTTAGCACTGATTATTGCTATAGAATTCATTTTGGTTACAAGTGTCTACGCATTTACCACTATCCACTTTAAAAGTCTCATAACATTCCAAGCATGATTACTTATTTTCACATACCTTGCATCCATATCCGCATTAAATGTATTAATTTTATCCTCCATTCAATTGCTCTAGATAAAAGCTATAAGTATTTTGAAATTTATTTTTACAAACGAAGCCTAGCTTATTTTAATTGTCAGAACAAGATTAGACACATTCATTTGTAGATAAATTTAAAAATTAGCCAATATCGCAAAGCTCAAATGATATTTCTAATTGAGTTAGAGTATTAAGTTATTTCCATTCTATAGATATCAAATTTTAATTTGGAAATCTATTCAAACTAATTCCTTTTTTTGAAAAAGATTTTGAACCTTCTACAAAGCTGATAGTTTTTTCATTTGAATTATTTAGGATTGTGGCTGTTATTTTCTTAATTGCTTGGGATAAATTTTAAATGAAAAATCTGTATCTATTTGATTTCCTATTTTACTTTAAAGATGTAATTTACAATTACAGGTTTTAGACATCATAAATCACATTTTTGTCTTCAGCTGATCTGAAAGAAATTGTGTTATATTTATACCTAATAATTTGCATTTTAGAGTCACTAGCTTCAAAAATATAATCTTCATTGTTCGAAATATACATTTTATAGACCGGTTGCACTTCTTAAGCAAATTATACATTGATAACTTACAAATAAAATGGATTATAATCTAAGTGATATCCACTATTTAAATAATTAATCTGTTATATTTATAGAAATTCATTCCTCTAGTTATACTCTTCAATATAAAATAATTATTTAGTATCTACTATATTTAAATTTACTTAAATACTTTCTACATTAAATATAGGTTTCTTTTAGTTTAAATAAAAATTTTCATTTTCTAGAAAAGTTGATTTGTCTGCAATGAAATTATTGGCTTCTAACAAAAATGCAAAGGCCTCTGTTTCCGAACTTTGAGGATTTTATTTTTCAACATATTTATCTAAGAAATCAGGCTAACTCATAACACTATGAGTATACCCTATGAAAGTATTTTTAGATAGAAAAGAGGAAGATCCAAATTTTTAGTTTAAAATTCTTGATTAGAGAGATGGAACCAAAATAGGACTTTTAACAATTCCATTACAAAGAAAAGTATTCTCAGAGAGATAAAGCAACATAATATCAATACATTGAGAAGTATCAATAACTACCTATTCAAACTAAGAATTTTTGATTTTAAGCACTTTAGTTTTTGTAGGTATTTTTATGTTGTTCATCTAGGCAAAAATTGAGTTCTCTATTTAAATTATTTATATTTAATTTTCTTCATTAAATGTCATCAAAGAATTGTGCAGTTAAACATCTTACAATTCAATTTGTAATGGTATCTAAAAGGTAAGCTTAATATTTGAATTTATGAATAAGTTTTAACTCAAAGATGACTCTAATTTTAATTCCAAGCAGGTATTTGAGAAGAATAAATTGTTTTAAAAAGAGGAACTCTTCTCACTAATTTAAATAACCAAATCTTTAGTTTGAGCAAAGATATTCATAACACTGATGTTATGCAAAGAAATACTTCTTTTACTTTAATTTTATTTTAGTAGCTTTTCTTAATCGTATACAATATTATGAGTGAAAGTAGAATCTTATAAATTGATCGCCTTGATATCTATAAAAGCAACGCCTTTAAAAAGGCTTTCTTTGCCTAGAATGCACATACTTTATATGAATTATAAGGAAATAATAAAAAATAAATAACTTAATTAGAAAAGAAGTTAAATAATCTAAAATAGAATAAATATAAAAAGAATAATACTTTTTGAAGAAAACACCTAGATTTCTTTTGTGATAAATGATAATCCTTTGATGCTTAATGTAAAACTAATATTTGCTTGGATCATCTATAAAATCATTCTAAATTTGTTCATAAAATTAGATGTCTTTTTGATTGATAGACTTTACAGTATGATTTTCTGAGATCAAATTGCTTGTATTTACAATAAAGACTTCTTAGCTTATGTATAAATGAGAACTAAATTGAGATTGCCTGATTGTTGAAGAGCCTTAATAAACAGGAGCAGTCAAGTGGTTGTATTCGTAGTTAGCAGATTATATGATAAAAATACCCTGCGTATTTTAGTTATCACTGCATATTTTATCTCCTATTTCTTCTAAAATAACATAGTGATTTAAAATAGGAGAAGTGTTTCCAATTTGAAGAATTCCATTTTTTCCGAAAACTAATTATTCAAACTTGATGTGAATGTTTGCATGATCTAAAATCTTGAGCACTCCATCGATTTTTAGCTCAGTTATAACATGATTCATCCATATTTCTTTTTAAAAAATCTCACAAGACATACCATAAGGTACGTGATACATATGGCCATCATAAATACCACAAAGACAATTTACAGATATCAGAACGAGGATGTTTATTAGCTGAACTTTATTTATTTCAATAAAAATATGGAATAATAAAGATAAATACAAATTGGTTTTATTTAGAAGTATTACATTAATAAATGAGAGATAGTGCCTTCATCAAAGTAAAATTTTATTTATTTTATATTATTAAATTATAATTTTGGTAACCGAGAAATAGTCCAATTTATAAACAATTTATATAAATAAATAGAGTTATTAGAACAATTAAAAGACCATACAAATCTTTTTATTGAAGTTATTCTAGAACTGAAATATTTTTACTTAAAAATAGATAACTTTCAAAAAAGAAACAAACTAAATTAAAAACTATTTTAGAAAAACTGGTTTGAAGCCTCACTTTTTAGATTTTTTAAGATAGTATTTTAGATATGATCAGATAATATTTTATTTTTTCTAAATAAAATTTAAATAATACTTAGTAGAATTACATATTAAAATAAATCTTTATAGAAAAAGTTGAGTCCGTCCTTATTAGATTACAACTATTACCATTTTTCAATATTATTCACAATATTATTTGATGATTCTAAAATAAAAAATACTCCAAAAATAGGCATCAATTCATTTAAAAGATATCAAGTTAGATATTTTTAAAATGATATTTTTATAGAAGAAAAAGAAAATAGAATAATTTAAACATTAAATAAATTATTTAAAATTTCATTTTTTTACTTTTTTAATTACAAAAATTTTTTATTGATTTTAAACTAAATGATTTTTATAATTATTAAATAGCTAAGAATAAGTAGTCTTTTTAACATTTTTAAAAATAATATTTTTCATTAAATTCTATCTATTTTTGGAAGTAAAAAATAAATGCAAAACATTTTTTAGATAAAAATACTTCGCTTTAAGTAATAATTAATAGCTATTAAAAAAAAATTGTTAATTAATAGTAATTATTAGTCCAATTTTTAGTCTAATAAACTAATGATTATAAACAAGTGCTATTTAGTTTTAATCAAAGTCTCTAATAATAGTTAATTGAGTCTAGTTTAAATCATATCTTTAATAGCTATTTTTGTTTCATAAATGATGAAATTTTAATTTACTTTTTTTACAGACGAACAATATAGGTAATTAATTTTAGTTCATTTATTTTGTAAAAATTTCATATAATAGCTATAAAAAATAATAATTCAATTATAAAAATAAATAAATAAACTTATTTATAGCTTGCTTATAATCTATCTTAAATCTTCATTCATTCATTCATTTATTTATTTATTGATTTATAGTGCATAGTAGTATAGAATTAAAATTTTTCTAAAATTAGTTTAGTTAAGCAATGTATTTAAATGGATTGCTTTACTTTACTAGAGATAGCACCTGAACCCCTCCTCACTCTATTTTAGGATTAATTATTGTTAAATTAAATAAGTTTTATTTTCTTTAGATTAGGTAATAAAATATTGACTAAATAGGTTAATAGGTAGATAAATTATCTTAAAATTTACAAACATTTTTTAAAAACATTTATTTATTTTTAATAAAGAATTATAAATAAAATTACAATTATTTTATTCTCTTCTGGATACTCATGAATTTGAAAATAAATTGAATTTTGAGATAAAAAATATTAAATTATTGAAAAAATCTAATCTGTAGATACTGATTAATAAATTATCTTCTCTTAACCTATCTTCCTAAGGCTGAAATAGAAAAAAAAATGATTATTTTTTTTGTAATTTAATCTACCTTACCTTTTAATGAGGAGAAATTGGTATATCTTATTTAGCTTTATAATATATCCTATTCCACTAATAAGTGTTAATTTGAGAAAATAGTATTTAAATTTTAGAATCAAATTGTAAATTTTTTAAATAAATTACCTATGTATATTCTAGCTCTTTAATTAGGGTACAAACAAACAAACAAACAAATAAATTTTTAAAAATACAAGTGTTTATAATTAAATTCTATTTTGTTTAAAAAATGGTTACCCTTGATCCTTAATTAATAAGGATTGATTATATTTGCAGATTATAATCAAATGTTGGCATTTATTTATCTAAATAAGGTTCTTATAGTTTAACTTTATTTTGTGTACAAAAAAAATATTTTGATATTTAATATTTTTATAAAAAATTACATTTTAGTGGATAAATATTTTAAATTAAGGATTAAATTAGTAAGAAATAAATATATTTTATTTATAATAATTAATTCATCTATCACTAATAAAAATAATTTCTAAAGATAAAATAAATTCATTTATTCATTCATTCATAGATATAAATACTTTTTTTGTAAAAAGTTAAATTATTTTCTAAAAAGACTATAAAATTTAAACAAATACAAATAAAAGTAAATAATTATTTTAATATTTAATCAATTTTACTTTTAGTTTAAAAATTTAAAAAGGGCTGAATGAATACTTTACGGTTATTATTAATTTAATATAAGCAAATAGACTTGTAGCAAAATTAGATCTTCAGGATAATAAATTATAACTTTCAAGTTGTTTAGCCTTTTCAATAAATTAAAGCTACGAAACAAATAAAAATAATGTGTTCAAGCATTTAATTATGAGTTTAAAAATTTTTTAAATCAGAATTAAAATATTTTTAATTTTAGATTTTTATTTTTTAGTAGGATCTATCTAAATAATAAAAAGTAGCTAGTAGTTAATTATTAATAAATTAATGAGAATGTATGCAAATCTATTTATTTATTATTTTATTTGATTAAGGCTTATTGAAAAGAATATTGATTATTAGAATAAAGATACACTCAAAAAACACATGGGTGTAAAAATCAATATAGTGAGAGATAAATAGATAGATAGTTAATTAATTAATAAATTAAAATAAATAATATCTGCATTTATTATATCTTAGGTAAATAAAGCATTCTAAATCATTAAAACTATAAAGGAAGTTTAGTAGAATGTCAGATAAAGCTTAGAAATACATTAAAGCAGCATCAGAGCTTTTAAAAAAATAAGATTACTAAAATGCTCTACTAGAATTAGATGTTGGAAAAACATTTGCAAGTATGATTGGCTTTTAATTAGGGTTTTTGTTTTGTCAATCTAATTAATCAATTTGTATAATTAAAAAAATTATTAGGTAATAACCATATGATATATTTATTGATGAGTTCTTGCTATCTTAAGCTTAACTAAATTGATAAAATGTACGATATAATTTAGGAAGGTTTAAGTATCTGTTAGGAAAAAGACAAACATGTGTTTTTAGCCGCACTTAATAAATATTATGAAAAAAAAGGGATGATTAGAGAAAATGTAGACGTTTTAAGTTAACTTTGCAAATAGCAATTGAAGTAATAAATATATTCTTTTAATTTTTAAATGCAAATCTAGTATTTAAATTATGCTACTTAATTAACTAAATATATTATTAATTCATTAAAAGGGGTGATTTATAAAAATTAGATTAACTTGTTTCTGATTTCGCCAAAAATTAACTTTAATGGATGTCTGATTCATAGTTTATAGAATAAATAAACAGCAGGGAATCGATGAATGAAGAGAGAAACAGAGTCTACTCGGTAGCTATAGATAGCATAGCAACTAAAAAGCTTTCTCCACAAACTCTGGAACTTCTCTTCTTCTTATTTTCAAATATTCTTATCAAAGCAGGTGAACAAGAAAAGGAAATAAAAGAAGTAAATAAATAAATAAAATAAAATAAATAAATAAATACCAATATTGCAAATTTTTAAAATGTTATTCAAAAAAATAAATGAAAATATTTTATTTTAAGAAAAAGAAAAGATATCAAATAAAATACTTTTATTAATTTGTTTATTTTCCAAAAAATATCCAATTGTGTCTATTTTATTGGCTTTTACATAAATAAGTGACTAATAAATAAATATACTAACTAATTAATTTTCAAAAGAATTATTATTATTTGATTAAAGAGCCAAAAATAATTCTTATAATAAATAAAATTAATAGGTTGTTTCATAGTTCAAATAGATAGTCAATTAATATCCTACTGATCTAAACGGTACAATCTTAGAAGAGTCTATATTTTAACTAGTTAATTGGTTGCTGAAAAACAATTATGTACAAGAAAAGAATATAATTATTTATGAAATTATTGCTCACTTTAAAAATTCTACACTTGCATTATTCTACTAGCTCAAGTTCTTTTCTACAAACCAAGGCTATGTTAAGAAATATATGCCTAGATTTTTGCAATAAGTTTATGAAACTATAGTTTATCTTTACTATCCTGAGCAAACTCTCCGTAAACAAATCTAAAAATTTGAATTTTATAAATAATAATTTTAATTTATTTTTAAAAGCTGATTTTGATGAAGTGAATTCCTAATACAAAGTGTATTTAGGAGAGAAAGCCCCTAAAGAAGAGGAATCTCTAATAAATTTAGTGTTTTAGTTGTACGATAATTCATAAAAAAAACTCATTTGTGAGGAATTTAGAATCAGAGCAGAAATTTTCTTATTATATTCTTCCAAGTTTATAAACTAAACATATTTTAAGGCCAGCACTTTGTAGAATTTGAATATTTTTGAAAAAAGATTGGATTTCTTTGTTGAAATTTATACAAAATTACAAGAAAATGCAGATGCTAACACTGAAATAGATGACACTATATTTTGCAACCCTCTCTTTGAAGCATACATCCTAGCCAACTATAAAGCCATGAAATCAGCTGGCAGAAAGAGTTTATTATTTTAATTCAAAAAAACTATTGATAGATTAGAGCAACAACAAGAAAATGTTTCGTAAATATTTAAATAACTTATTTATTCATTTAAATTTAAATCACTTTGCCTATTTTTGTTATTTTTTTAATATCTCTAAAATATTTATTTAAACATATTTAAATATTTTTTATTTTTAAAAAAAAAAAATTCTTTAATTATTTAATAGATATTTGAAAGAGATTTACAATAGATGGGGTCTAAAGATTATTGATGATTAAGATGAACTAGTTATGATTAAAAATAATTTGAAATACTTAATTTAAGTCAAAAAAGACGATATATTAAATCTGAAAGTTTACTATGAATATTGCATTAAGCTTAACAAATTATATAGAATTTATGACGGTAGTATAAATTTACAGCAAATAATTGAGCAAATTATTAAGTAAGAACCTGATAATGTCTACTTTAAAGCAGAAAAATGGTGGGTTGACTTCTCTAATTCGACAAATAAAAAAGAATATTATGTCTAAAACATTTCAAGTCTTTAAAGTAAATATAAATTAATACATAAATTAATCATGATTTTGATAAAAATATTTTTGTAAATATAGACTTGAAGGAATCAGCTGTTTTGTAAAACCAAAAAGACGTAGCATCTAATCTCCAAAAGAGAATTTCTATATTGAATTATTTATTTACTAGTTAAAGTGATGAGGAAACAGTAAAATAACTTGAGGAAGCTCAAAAGCTTGATTCTAATGATTATCAAAACTATGTAGTTTTAGGTGTTGTGTATTATTTTAATGGAAATATTAAAGAAGCCCTAATTTAATTCCAAAATGCCTTCTTGTATCGCTAATATGACCTCTTTTTAAATAAGATGCTCTTCTTTTGTCTGCACAAACTAGGACAAAAGCAAGAAGCTATCGATTTCCTATTTCGTATCTACCCTGCCTTTAAACAAATATTCTGGATTAACAGAATACTTGGTGTTTACTTTTCTGTAAAATTAATTATAAAAACAATAAATAAATGATTATTAAAACATAATTTATTTGAATTTAATAGAATATAGGTGATTATAAGAGAGCAACATCATACTGTCAAAAAGCACTTGAATTGTATACATTTGATAAAGAAAGAAACTATCGTTTACATTATGAAAAGTTATCAGCTTTAGCCCCAGAAAAAAATGTTGATATCCCTCATATGATTGATTACAATGAATTAATTTATTTCGATGATTACATAATTTTTAATGACAAAATTTATGCAAAAGAAGCTGTAAATTTATCAAACAATTTAATCATAGATCCTTAACACAGACTCCACATCAAGCTTTGTATTTCTCTTGCCTAAGCGTATTTACTTTGCAATTTCTTTTTACTAAATAGTTTTTACTTAAAACATTTAGAATTTTATAAAATTTATTTATATTATAATAGAGATAAAATGCAAGGTAAGACATGCTCATCACTTTCAGCTATTGAGGAGGCAGAAAAAGTGTATCTTTTAGCAAGTAACACTTCAGAGCATAAATAAAAAGAAGAAATTAATGTTGATGAAGATGATAAATCTTTGAAGAGTGAGCTATCTAAAGAAGTCTATCATACATTAAGTGTGTTCTCAAGCGTATTTTTGGTTAGCAAGCATGGTGATTAAATAATAAAAGAATATAACTTGAATGACTCTGTAAGAAATTTTGTTGATGCCCTTACCATTAACTTCGAATTTGCATAAATTACTTCCTATCTTCAAGACAATCACAAAACATATTAAAGAATAAGAGTTTTCTTAGTAATTTGCTATAAAGTGCTTGAAAAAATATATGGTTAAGAACAATTCAAAGATCTAGAAAAGACAATTTTTAGTATTTATGAATAAATGACTGGTTTTATTCTTGAAATGAGCTTGAATTTTGTTTAATTCCACTGGAAAAAATACACACTGTCATCTGCTTAATATTTGATAGAAAAAGTTTTATAAATTAAAGCTCCTACCAGAAGAAGCATTCTTGTAAATGTTGCTTTCAGTGAATTTTATACACTTTCTGGCTTTATCAACAAAAACTAAGATTTAATAAAGAATTCTATTGTTTATTTGAAAGAAATATTATAGAGTCTATCTATTGACTTTGAATCTGACATCATAAACAATATAAATGCATAAAAAATAAATAGTCTTTAAGCCAATCAAAGTTCACTATTTAAATACACTCTTAAGAATATTTGCTTAAGCTACTTTTATTTATATAAAATTAATAACGAGAATAGCGAAGCATATTAAATTTCTCTGAAATTATGCACAGCTGGTATTCTTATTTTCAATCTCGATATAGACTTCTATAACTATTATGGTAATTTATTTATTTTAAATTCAAATTATTCTTTTTTTACTTAGATATATTAAATAAATTTCACAATTTCAATAAATCTTTTAATTAATTTATTTCAATTATTTATATAATTATAAATACTAATGAATAATAAATATATTTATTAACATTTTAAGTTGTTAACTTTTTTTTTTTACTATTTTAGAAATTTATTAATAAATTATTAAAAAATATTTTCAATAAATATTTGTATTAAATAAACATAAAATTAATTGAAATTTAATAAAGGTCTTATTGAAGCAAATGAAGAAATTAAAATAGGTGCATTTATAAAATCTAACAGAATTCAAAAGGTATGAATAATGAATAAAAAATGCTTATTTTTGATTTTATTTTTAAATTTGTTTAATATAGAACTCCTTGGCTTTAGACAGCTTGGCCTTCATTTACTTAAAGAAGGGAAGGTACGAGGAAGCTGCTAATATGCTCTTAAAATCAATTGAAGTTAATACTAATAATCCAACTGCTTACATAGGTTTGTTTATTATCTAATACAATATGGCTTTAGCTTTTAACACAATCGTTTAAACTGGTAATGATGATTCAACCCATTAATATGCTATGCTTCAAAAGCAAATGATAGAAAAATGCAGCTCTTATTTACATTTTGTAAAGTAAATAGAAATCAGTGTAATTAACTAATTAATAATTATAACTTTTAATTGATTGATTTGGATAAAAGGATTTTAATAAAGAAAATATTTTAATTTGATAAATAATAGGCTAGCTCAGTCTTGTTTGATGGTTTACTAGAATTTTTAAATTATCATAATGAAAGATCTCATATTTCTTATCAGTTTTCAACTGATTTGTTTGATAGAGCACCATATTTAGTTCATACTTAACTCGGATAGCTTTACAGTATCATGATCTTAAAGCAGTCATCTACAAGAGAAAAGAAATTAGAAATATTTAACTAAATTAGTGATACTATCCCCACCTAAAATTTAAGCAAACTATTTATTAGTAAATCAGCAGAGTTAAATGATGGCTTCATGTAACTAGTTCAAAATAGAATCTTATAAGAAATGGACAGCATAAAACTTTCCACAAATAAATGTGATCAGTTAGATTCACAGCAATTCGTTATTGTTTGCAGAGAATTCGATTATCTTGTTAAAAACTTAAAGTTATACCTCTCTCTTGCTCTATACACTCAATAATATGAAAAGGGATTAGATTTCTTCTATAAATAAGCTAAAAATATTTAATAAATTCAAAATATCTCCACCTTACTACAAATGCAGTCTCATTATTTTGATTTAACACCAATTTATATTTAAATGACAGAGATCGAATACCATTTGGTGCAAAACGTAATTAATACTTACATTTATTAACTTGCTATTATTTTTAATTGATTCATTAAATATTCCAATAATAAAATTTTATCTAATGTTAAAAACCCAAAAACTATTAAGCTGAAATTTAAAACAATGACTAAAATTATCATTTTTAAGATTCTATTTCCAATTAAAATCTGAAATAGAATTTAAAAAATTCACAAAAAACAAAAAATAAAATGTAAATAAACTAAATAAAGTTTAAACTTAAAGCATTTATTTGAAAATAAACTAAAAAGATTTATGATTAGATTGATTAAATATTGGTTTTTTGATTTTTTAAAAATATAATATATATTACTCTAGTTATTTTAATGTATTTACAAATTTAATTAAATTTAATAGAGTAAACCTGAAGAAATAGATTTAGTCATTAAGAGATTGGCAAACTTGAAAAATGTTAAGAATAGTAAAAAGAACATTCAGGAGTGGCCCTACTCAGAGAATTTTACAAATAAAATAGAATAAGTCTCTGAATACAAACACTTGCAAGGTATCCATAGCTACAAGAGAAAGGACTATCAGAAATCTAAAAAGCAATTTTATCAAGCTTTGCTTATGGATCCTTCTGTAAAGGAATACAGAAGTTCTTATATTGAATATCTAATTACTTAACAGAGATTCCCAATGCTTAATCCATATAATAATAGCAACATTTAAGAGCAAAGCTTAATAATTTAATTAAATAATCCCAACTTCAGTCTTAAAAAAAAAATTTCTCATATTACAAAGGCTGCAATTTACCTTGATAAACCTTATCTCTATTATTTATTAGTACATTTCTAGTTCGAAGAATCATCTAATTACACACCTTCTCGCTTAATAGTAAAAATATAAAAAAATACAAACACTTTTTAATGTTTTTAATTAAAATTAGAAATTATTATTGCTGTTGAAAACTAAAGTATTAAATGAAAAATATGATCCTGAAGGAGTTTGCAAGAAGAAAGGCATAAAATTATTTATGGAAATTTACATAGCTTTGGAAAAAATGAATTCAAACGATACCGAAATAAAAGCATAGCAAGAATAATTCAAATAATTTGTTTAAGAAGTATGTGAAGCTAATTCTAGATTCTAAGAATACATAGAAATTCTGAACGTATTCTATAAAGATTTAAGTTCTAACGAGTTTGTTTATGATTTATAAGCAATACTTGAAAAAGACAGAGTTTCTGCTTACATTTTAGCCTTCGTAATATTTATTTTATAGTTTTAAAATATCCATTTATTAATTTATAACAATTAATTATATAGAATATCATAAGAAGACTCATTAAAGAATAAAAAACTAATGGTATGATATAATTGCTAAGTGCATTAAGCCAGTGCATCTTCACTTCTGTTTAAGAAGGATTAATTTCTTAAGAAGTCTAAAAGAGCAACAAAGGAAAAATCTTAATGAATATGTTATAACACATTGATGGTTACCAATATATCATGGCATTACAAGAAGATTACCGCGAAGATACTCTGTACGAGAAAGAAGACATCCAAGAAATGATTCATAATGCTGCATCTTATGTAAATATTTATTTATTTATACATTCAAATCATTAGCAATATTTATTTCAAAAACTCCTACAAAAAAGTGTTATGAAAATTACCCTGCATCTATTAGCATGAAGTTCTTGTATATGTAACATTTATACAGATAAGAAAACATGGAAGACTTAAATAAATTGTTATCTTTCATGAATTCTACTCAATTTACATCTAAAGACGACGATTTAATTACAATATTCTTCTACACTTTATATTACTACTATAAGAGTTGCAAAGTAATATTATTATTTAAATATTTTATTTCATAAATTTATTATTTATATTATAAAATTATTCACTTGTTTGTGTTGAAAAGTAACATTTTTAACCATTTATTTTATTTTTTAAGTATCCATTAAACAAAATTACAAATAATTAATTAGGACTCTCAAGAAGAAAACATTTATAGATTTGTAGAATACGTGACATTGATTTAAGATTAATACAAATAAGTATTATCTTCAGATTTAAATACCTTGCTTCATTTCCTTTAAGGTGTCATTTATCTTAAAATTTACGAAAGAAGACCTGATTTAGATAAGAAGACAATTATTAAAGAGTTCAAACAAGCAATTTTATACAGTCCATAATTTGCACAGACTATTCTTAATTTTATACAATAGTGAAAGAAATCATTTAAATTGTTTAATATGAGATACTTTTGTGTTTATTTATAAACAGCCTTACCATTTTAACTAAATCTAAATTTATAACTGTTCGTTCTGTTTAAAATATAAATTTTTATTATATTTTGTTGTTTCTGACCAAATCTTTTATATAGAAAAATATTAAATTATCAAATTATTTCTGTGACTCTGCAATAATTATCAATCAAAAAATATTTATCAAAATTTTGTTAATTCAGAAATTAGATATGCTTCAAAATATTCAAGGTGGAACTGATTGTAGAGTCCTCCTTTGCGGACCACATTGTTCTGGCAAATCTTCAATAATGGATACTCTCTAAAATAATTTTAATTATAATGAGAAAGAATATTTTGAAAGTGCTGGAATTTTAGGATGTATTGTAAATGTATAGCTCCAAAATTTGGGTTTATTCTAATTTAAGATTACTGAAATTTCAGGAATATATTTCCAAGGAGATTAGATGAAGTTTTTGACTAAGGCAGCTAACAGGTTCGAATAGAATTAGTATATTATCTTTACCTACAACAGATAAAAAAGAGAGCAGTTCGATAAGGTAAAAAAAGCCTTATCGATTTTGAGCTAAATATTTAATGACAAGTTTATTTACATTTTAGGTACATTTAGTGATGTAGATTAATCTTTATTACAAATAACTGACTTAGAAGGAAAGAAATTAGCTGCTAAGTACAACGCTTAATACTTATCATATTCCTCTAAGTAAAAACCTATTATAAAATCTGTTTTTTATTCGATTGGATCCTGCTAAGAATTCATAAATAGACATCCAAACAACATCTAAGAACTAAAAAATTACATTAATTTAATATCTTAAATGAAAAGATAAAAAGAATCAGCTGTATATCAATACAAAACACTTTAAAATATATATGATCAAAAAATTCGCAAGGAAATAATTTATGAAACATTGCGCTTAATTTCTCCAATTAGCTCATAAATTTAGAAAATACTTGAAAATTAGCAAGTCTACTAATTTATATTTGTTTGATATTTCTATTAATATGCTCTATAATTCTAAAAACCTTTGAAGAAAAGGATAGTCAAATACCCAATAAAACTTGTATATCTGTCAATACTTATAAGATTTATGATCAATTAATTATTTATTTATTAAACATTTTTTATTTGTATTTTTAGGAATATTTTCTTTTAAAAATTGAACTAATTATTATTTTTTATTTTGAAATTTATTATTTTTTATACATTTTCTCTGAAAATTAATCTTAATTATTGAGAAGCTGCAGTTTTTTTATAGCAACCTTATATTAAATTTGAGATTCTTCCTAAAAAAGGTGTACTAATATTGACCCAAAGGGTTTAAAATACTTAGGAAGTGGGATTTCAATACTCAACAAACCTATATTAAATATAATAGTTGAACTAAAATTATTAAATAAATGCTTATATTCTTTGACTTAGTAAAATATGTTTTTAAAACTATAATACTTTAGAAAATAAATAACATAATGCATATTCCTAAAAAATTTGTATTTATTTTAAATTCTATTTTAAGTAAAATATAGTTAATCTTTTGATTTATGAGGCAATTTTATACCCTTAATTGATTACAATAGATTAATGGGTATTTAATGCAGTGGCGAAATTTTGGCATTAAGATATTATTTGAATATAATTTAGAACCTTTGATAATGATGAAATAAAGTATTAATTAAAAAATTAATTTTTATTTATTAATTAGATTTAATCAATAAACTAGATTAAATTTAACTCCAAAATATAAATTAGAGAACTCCAAATTAAAATCTAAATTAAATCGTTCAGCTTATTATTTTATTTGAAATTTATACAGCATTTAATTAATAGTAAGTGATTGAATAACTTTATTGATGATTTTTTGATCATTTTATTTTTAAACAAAAAATAGGAATTTATTGTTTATCAATTTTTTATTATGATAAACACTTTGATACTTATAAGTGTTATTTTTTCCTTACTAGTTTTTAATGATTTTTAAAGTTAAGATTTTTCTTGAATAGTTTATATATAGGTTATTGGGCTGAATTATTATAAGAAATAATACAAATAATAAATATGTACAAAGTAATTAATTAATATCATTTAGTTTTAACATTAAAATTAGGGCCATCTCCTGATTTAGCAAATGCTTTTTGGTATTCAGGAGACATTTAGAGTTATTTAACAAATTCTGAATACATTTTTTATGAAAGAAAAACCTAAGCTTAGAAGTGTTTGCTCAAACAATTTTCTATTTATTAAATTTAAGAATTAAAAATGTAATAATTATTTAAAATTGCTGAAAAAGTATCATTTTAAAAACTTATCAGATTAAATATATAAATTGATAATAATAAATTACTAGCACATAATTATTCCTTTTCATCTAATTAATTTTTAGTCATATCTCTTGCGCATATTTCAAAACATCTTTTTTTATTTATTAATTATTGGGTAAATTATTACATATTTAGAAAAATCTAAATTTATCAATTGAAATTTGCAATTTTATTAAATTAATCTACCTTTTATGTTCTAAGAATTATGAGCTATAAGGAGTTACTTTTATAGAAGGAATATTGTATCTACTTTCATCAAATTCTTGCATTTTATTGACTAATTTATTTACTTATTTACTTACTGATAACTATTAATTCTATTTGTTTATTTATTTATTTTTTAGTTAATAAATTAATTTTGTGTTTTAAGATTTATATTGAATATGCATATCTTAACTATCTATCAATCTATCTTTTAATCAACTAATTAATCAATTTGAAACATTCTAAAAGAATATTTTAGAAACTATTTAATCCTCAAGTCTAAATCCATTCAAAAATTAATTATATAATAAATTAGTTATTTGTATTTAAGCCAAAATAAATGCATTCAAAATCTTATTATTAATTTACATTAAACCTATTTTGTTAACAGCTAATTAAAATAAACAAAGAAGATTAATAGCAAAAATAATAAAATGTTATAAATATATCATTTTATGTTTTTCTTTTAAATTCAATAATAAAGCTATATGTTTAATTAAGATAAAGAAGATTTTCTTCTTTGATTTTCAAATAAATAATGAAATGACAGCAAAACAAAATTATAAAAGTATCTCAATATTTTAAATAAATATTATAGAAATTAATTTAATTTTTCTATTAAATACTTTTGCAAAATTAGTAAATTTAAAAAATTTTAATACCAGCTAAATTAATTTGCTGTTTTTCTATTTGTTTAATTAAAATAATACATTTTAAAACAAAAAACAAATCAATTAGCTCAATCATTATATGCAAATAAACAGATTGCTTATTAGAAAAAATTTGGAATACTAAATTAAAAAAATATTGAGAAAGAAGTACAATATTTAATAAAGTTAGGTTACTCAAACTAAATAAAGTAATTTTAATCAATTTATATTAAAAATTTAATTTTGATGTTTTATTTTAAACATATATTTCAATTGATACTATTTAAAATAAAATAAAATCTAAATTTAATTTTAAATTTAAATTTAAAACAAGGAATTTTCTTAATTTAAATGTATTAAATTAAAAATTGTGCTGATTAAAGTTGTTGAGATTTTATTAATTTATTACTTAAATATCTTAAGAAAAAAGAATTTATTTTGTATTATTTTAGAGTTTATTTGCTTAAAAGATGTTGATTAGAATATTTTTGATTTTTTAATTTAATCCTATGATTTGGATATTAATTTTAAGAAGTAAATAATTGATATTAAGTAGAAATTAAGATGGTCTGTTTTGAAAACGAATTCTACTATTGATTTATTTTTTTTCTCTACTATTTATTTTTTAGGGAATAAATTAGTAGAAATTAGAAATGAGTTTTCAAAAATTCAATATGAATTTTTTTCAGATAATATTAAATAATCTTATTTGAATTTTTCTACAATTTTGTAAGTTATTCAAACAATTAATATATTTATCAAAAAAGAAAAATGAATAATATAAAATGTATATTTTATTCAAAATTAGTTAATTAAATTATATATAATTGGGGAAGGAGAAATCAAAAATGCTTCTTTATTTATTTATTAATTAATTTAAAATGATAAATGATAATGAATGATATGAATAAATGTTAACTATATCAAACATAGATTTTTTTGAAAAATGAATGGAAAGAAACAAATGCATTGATAGATAGATAGATTGATAAATAAAAATAGGCAGATAAATAGATAGGAAGACAGTAAATAATTAAATTATAAAAATCGATTGAGTGATTTATCGAATATATAATTGATTATTTGACTGATTGAATTTTAATTCATTTTGAATTGATTTACCAAGTAGTAAACCTTAATAATTAAATTTGATATTATTAAAGAATTTCTTATAGAAGCAAGCAAGCAAGAAGGTAAACAAACAAAAGCAAAAAATTATAAGAAATAGAATAAATAACAACGTTAAATATGAACTCGCCTTTAGCTCAACAATATAGTAGTGGTGCCAAGGAGAATGCATAGTATTTGAATGGAAATTCCTAGAAGGGTAATTTAGGTCATTTATCCTCATATTCAAGCAATAATTCTTCTCATGTACAGTCAGCAAATTCCTCAAACCGTACCACCTATTTATTTATTTACTTTATCTTGCCTTTATTAAAAATTTAATTTCAAATGGTAGCGTTAAGCATTTTTTAAATTTAACAGGATTTTCAAGTCTGGCAGGACTCAAGTCAATAGTAAACCCTAGCCCAACTGTGTAAAATCCATAATTGCGTAAAGGATCTATGGCATCAAGTAATCAAGAATAGAGAGCCACAAATATGAATTTTTCTTAGGGGCATATTGGTAATTCTTAGTAATAATCATTGCCGTCTTCTCAATTAGGTAATCATTAACGATCTTTTAGCAATTCGAAGCTCCTCCAGCAAAAGTACGTCTCATAATCTAGCAAAAATAATAGTATTTAAAATTAAACGAATTCAAACGGAAATATTAGCAACTCAGAAAATATATACGTATCGAATCATTCATCAGCAAATGCAAATTATCCTAACGCACATATTTCTAATTAGTAAAGTGCATTACCTAATAATTAAAGCGTCAACAATTAATGTAGTTCAGTAAATAGCAACTAGAATAGCCATTTTTAAAGTGCAAATTTACATAATTTTTCGAATAATGAAAGCGGAGCTGCCTAATAATAGCAGAGTTTGCTTGGCCCAAAGAATAACTCTCCTCCTAAATAGAACTTTAGTTCATCAACTTAATCAGCAACAAATGCAGCTTTTAATTTGTTCAAAAATAACTATTTAAAGTAGAGCAGTACTACAGTAAATTTAAGTCTAAATTAAGCAACCAATAGCACAAATTAAGTATCAACAGTCAACCCTACTAGCAATAACTAAAATAATACAGCAAGTAAAATCTCTCAGCCTATTGGAAATAACTAGCAGAGCTCAACAACATAGTAATATTAGCATTCTAATAATACAGGAAAAGGTTAAATAAATATGAAGCAAAGATTAACTTACTCAAATTAGTCATCTACCCCAAAATAAGTTACACCTCCTTCCTCCAATCAAGTAAGTGGAAATACAAATAAATAATTTATATTTAATTGAAATAAAATAGAAAACAATATTATCTGGTTAGTTAGTTATGGATTCATATTAAGCATATAATTGTTAAAAAAGTAGAGTAGCTTTAAAGAGAACTAATATTTTAATTAAATTTACTTCTTAAAATAAAGGTTTTGAATGAAAAAAGGAACTTTAAACAAAAAAAGCTAATTTACATTTGAATAAATATCTTAATTTTACAATATCTTTTATTGATTAAGTAAGTTGTTAAATGTATAAAAGATAAACTGATAATTTATTAATTAGTAAGTTAGTATTTTATAATTAAAATCGATCGATCGATTGACACCAATAAAATTTAATCCAGTGGCTTAAAAAATGCTAAAAAATATCTGAAAAAAATCTATCTATTTATTTAAAAATTATTGGTCTAAACAAAATTAATTATGATTAAAATTTATATGATATCATTTTCTGAACTAACTGACAATTTTATTTTATTTTAATCTGCTGCTGTTTTAGCATCAATTTTTATTTTATTTTACTTATTCAAATTTATTTATTTTTAAATTTTAGGGACAACTTGCTTAATATTAAAGTATTGATAAACAAAGTCATTTGTAATCTATAGAAAAGATTAAAGAAGATATCAATAAAAAACTTATCCTTTAATAATAGCTTAATGCATAAATTGGTGTAAGCAATTAGAATTCAAATGGGAGCAAATCGTCAACTCCTTAGGGTTTGTCGAATAAAATGAGCAGTTCGAATTCAGAGCATAAAAATAATAGCACAGCTGCTACAAATAATATTCTACTTTCCATAAATAATTAATCCACCTCAGTTAGCAGGAAGGCAAGCAGTGGAACTATGTAAACAAATAAAAATAATATAAATAGCATAGTAAATAACCATAGCAATAACTTGAATAGTTTGATGTGTAATTCTAACAGCAACAATAGCAACCAAATTTTGATTAACTCTTGTTCTAAAAGTTAAAACATGAGTTCAAATAATTAAACTAATAATGTAACTCCAATCAGCAGCAATACAGTTTTGAGTAACGCTAACAACATTAACAGGATTATTAACGAAACAACTAGCTTGAATGCAACAACCAATAATCTAGCTTAAAACTCTCATACAAATCTGAACAATAATTCATTTACTAATATTAAAGGAGAAGATAATTCAAGCACAAATATAATTTTTGAAAAAGTAAAAAAACGTAAAATGAATAATTTCTCTATTGGTAACCAAAATTCCCCTAATTAAATATCAACTTCTTAACCTCAATCGCATCTTTCTTCATAAAAAAATCTATAATACATCATTTAAAATAAGACCCCAAATATTCAAACTCCATCATGTGGCAGCAGCTAAAAGGGATTATCTAAGACTATGAGCTTTTCTGGACACTCGAATAATTTTTATTCAACAAATTGCTACATAAAATCTCCACAAATTAATAACAATAATAATCAAGGAAATTATAGCCAAAATCACTCTATTGCTGCTACAAATTCTTTAAATTAAACTGGGAAAATAAAAAATAAAAAATTTAATAGTAATTATGATATTCCTTCTCAATAATTAGACAATATCAGTAGCAATAAAAGTCACATCAATTAAGGTATATCGAATATTATCCACAATCAAACTAATTTATCATCAACTCCCTTTTCAGTTGCTCATAGCTCAAATCCTCAACTCTAAAAAAATAATTTCTCTTTAGAAGGGCCAGGATCTACTTCAGGAAATATGACTAATCATGCTAGAAATAACTCTTCTAACAATCTCTCTCCAAAATTAAACAAAGAAAATTTGTTTATGGAATCTTAGTTTAATTCATTATAAGGTAATATTCACGGAATAGGTAATTTGAATACTATGAATGGGAATCAATTGTTGCTAAAAGACCCGAAAATGTTTTTCAAAAATTCAAATTAGCTTTAAAACATAAATAGCAGTAAAGCCTTTTTCTAACAAACAAGCTCATAAAATACAACTCCAACTCATTCTAATTAAGTAACTTATCCTACTTTGAATGGCTAGAGCTCATATAATCAAAAATACTCTGATAGCAATGTTCACCGTCAAAATAATAACTAAAACCTAAATCCTCTTCCTCTGCAATCTATACAAACATTTCCACAACAAAATTAAAGTTTGAATTCTTCATTTATTTAAAATAATGCTCATATAATTTAAAACTAGCCTTAAGTAGTAGGTAGTTTAAATAGCTCCTTCTGGTCTCAATAAACTGTAAACAATAAGATCATTTTAAATAAATTAGATAATTTCGATCTTGAGAATACATCAAACCCAATAGATCATATCTCAGAGATTACTTCTCTCCTCTTGATCTCTCTACAAGACACACCTTTAGCAGAAGCTATAAAGAAATTCGAAGAAAATGTCTTGAAAATAAATACAGAAAACAAATAAAAATAAAGATAAATCTAACATAAGCTGAACCAAAAGTTAAAAGAAATTGAAATTTTACAACAAGATCTGAATCTAGTATAAAATAAATTAAGCTAAAAGGAAAACGAACTATCAAAAGGCACCAGCACAGTCGGTTTAAATAAAAAGAAAATTGATTAATAAACACAAACCTCATCAAAAAAGAAACAGCAGAATAATAAAAATTCAGTAATTTAAATATGTGATCAAGACGGAAATGTGCAGGAAGTAGACACTGACAAAGAAAATGAAATGCTAAAAGATTACATCCTAGAACAAGAGAAAAAAGTTAATCAATTCAAAGAAAAAGAATCTAAAATGATCAAACTACTGCTTGCAGTCAAAAAGAGAGGTATAGACATAGATGATATTTACAACAATGATGTTCTAAACGAAGAGTCAAATGACGAAATTCTAAAAAATAATCCTCCCTAAATTTTCCCAGTCAAAAAGAAACGAAATCAAGTAGATACTGAATTCTTTAAAAAATTAGACAACGATTTCTAATATGCAGACAATTCAAGTAAATATTTTTGGAGTTTTATATTAAATTAAACATAAAATTTAAATTTAATTAGAGATGAATTTTAAAGTTTCGATTTTTTAAATATAAAAGAAAAATTAAAATAAACCTTTTAAATATGAGAATTTTATTCATTTTTAAAGAATTAATTAAAATTTTTTGCTTTATTTAATAAATTTAATCATCAAAGCAAATATTTAAAGAAATAAAAAAAAATAAAAATATGTTTTTATATAGATTTTTTTAATCTATTTTATTGGATTTGTTTAATAATATTTACTAATTAAAAAGTTGTCAATGACTCTGATGAAAGTAGCTTTGGATTTTTCGGTAAACCAAGTGATAGAGAAATTAGTCAATCAATTACAATTAAACCTTAAAAGAGCAAATTAAAACAACAAACTAAGGCACCACCAAAAATACCTTAAAAATTGCAAGAAAAATTCAAATAAAATCTTTAGAATATTTAAAAACAGGAGAGTGATGATGACGAAGAAGATGATGAAAACAACAAACTACACCAAAATATTTTAAAAACATTAAATATAAATTAATAATAATTAGATTAATTATAAGAATAAATATAAAAAGATCCTAATAATCTTACACCTGAGTAGATTAATTTGATTTAATAAATTCATCAAATTCAATAAATGCATGAAAAGTAATAAAAAGAAGCTGTTTAAAATAAAAATTAGAATTAAAATTAAGCTTATTAATAAAATTTTTAACAACAAGTTTAAACTATTAACACTGACTAACAGATTTTAAACTTTGACCAAGAATCTTCTTGTACTGATAGTTAGCTAGATGTGATGCAAAGTAATATTTTACCTTCTGATCTGAAAAAATAGCTAACTACTATTTCGAGGTAATCTGAAGATGACATCTAAGTTATTGATGAATAGTAACTAAATGTAGAAGAAGAATTTGCAAAATATTTTGTTCAAAAATGAAGCTAAGATTCCAGTCATCTAATAAAATAACAATAATGAAAATTGTATAAAACTTAAATCTAATCTAAAAAAGAATTATAGATTCAGCTCTTAAAATATATAATATAAAATAAATCAGATTCATAAGAAAAATAATTTATAGAAATTTAGAAGCATACTTTAATCTTAAAACATATAGATTAATAAATTGGCTTATAGAAAGAAAAACTAAATTGTAAATAAAATACATCTTATTTCATAAAAAATAAATTAATTAATTAAAAAAATAAATAAATAAAAAATTATATATAATATCAAGTTAATAAGTCAGAGTTTACTTAGTAAAACATCTTCATGCATTAAATTTTTCATATTTTTGAGTAAGTTGTTCATAAATGCTAACTAAAAATTAAAAAAGTTGGCATCTATAATAGTATTTAGTAAAAATATACTTATAAAATCAATGAATAAATATCAATAAGTAATTATTTTTTCCTTTATTTATTTATATTATTTGCTTTATATATATCAAATTATATACAAAATGACCAACTCATTCTTATTTCTTTCTTTCTATCTATCTAATTCTTTATATCAAAATTAGTCTTACACTTTATTAGTTAAGAAATTATTACATTTGTAAATATTATCTTATTTTCTTCAATTATAAAAAAATTAATTTCTTTCAAAATCCAAAAAATATTTAAAGATATTGAAATAAACGATGATTTATAATTTTATATTTAAATTAAGATATTTTATATAAATTAGATATTAATAAATATTTAAGGAAATAATTTTATAAGAAAAAACCACAGATTATTAATATTTTATATTTTAAAGATTTTTGAACTTTAAATTTAAAAAAAATTATTTTGATTTTTGTAATATTTTATTATTGTTAAATAAGCTATTATTTTGAAAATTAAATGTGCAAATATTCTAAATTTTTCTTGAAAACAAAAATGAAATTCAATAAGCAGTTAAAAATTAAATAAAAAATAAATAAATATTATTATGTATAATCTATTTCAAAATACTGCTTTTATTAACATATTAGCAATTATTGATACATGAAATTTAAAAAATATAAAGAAATACATTGAGTGTATCTTTAAATTAGAAAATAACTCAATATTAGGTAAAAATGTTAAATATAATGATGAAGGCAGCAGATCCTATTCTAAAAGTAAATATGTTGAATTTAAATTAGACAAAAACTTTTTGTATTTTTTCAATATAAAATACAATGAAAAAGCTAAGCCATCAATCAATCACATGAATCATTAGCTTTTGGTTGTATCAACTTTTTTTCTTCTTTCTTCTTAATACTTTTTATCATCTGCTAAAAACTCTTCTTGTTTTTTTTTCATTTCTTCTAATTCTTATTGCTTTCTTTTTTGCATTTCTTAAGTAATTTTATCTGAAACTTTCTTCTTTTATTCATATTCCTCTTGCTTTTCAGCTCTAACTCTTTCCTCTTCTTCTCTTCTTTCAGCTGCTCTTTCTTGTTCTTCCTTATTAATTTTATCCTATTCCTTGGTAATTTCTTCCAATAATCTCTTTTTTGTTGTTTGATATTTATTTTCTCCATAAGAGCTATATATCATAAATCCGATTATAAGCAATGAGAGAAGAGCTAAAGTGATAGCTACCAATAAAACTTGTGTTAATTTGAATTCATTTTAACCCTAAAAAAATATTTTATTAATAATGGTTGAAAATCTATTTTGAAAATAGTAATGCTGTTACAGTAAAGGGGAAAGCCCATGAGATATCGCCTAAATTTTTATAAATGAAAGTGCTTCTATCCTTTGAGTATTAATGCAAAAAGATCAAGGACTATGATAAAACTGTAGCTAATATTATATAAAGAGGAGCTATAAATACTAAAGACCAAACAGTGTTGATTATAGTACCAAAAGGAGTTAATCCTGACATTTTATCAATCTCTTTTAATATAATTAACTAACAATAAACAAATCTTTTCAGAATTAATTTTTTTAAATATTATATTTATTTAAAATTTAAAGCTTATTTGTCAGAAAAATAACATTATAATCCTCATATCTTTCTAAGTACCAGAAATACCTAATAATTAATCAATCACTATTTATTTTTACAAATTTTAACAAATAAATTAACATAATAAAAAATGTTTTATAATAAATTTATTTATTCTTTTTTATTAACTAAATTTATTTCAAAATAAATAATTTTAACTATTAAAAGTTTGAATTTATAAATGAGTTATAATTTTTACATAAAAATTCTGTTTTATTTTAAATAATTAATTCATAAATGAATATGAATTAAATTATAAAAGATTCATATAAAAATTAATTTTCTAATAACCTTTTAACTATTTAAAATAATAAAAATATTGTGTTGATATTCGAAAAAAAAAAATTGAAATTATACTATTTAAGAAAATTTAAAATGTTAATTTTTTTATCTTTAAGTAAATAATAAACACTAATTTCTTAATTTAAAACTATTTTAAATTCGTTTATGTATGTTTGTGAAAAATTAATATTTGGGTAAAATTTAGTACTAAAAACTAACCTGTTGATTGTTTTATCGTTTTAAATAAGTTAATTTCATAAAAGATATATTAATGTTTAAAATAATAAATTTTAAATACAGAAACATAAAACTCTTTTTAATTATTTGATTATGTACATTTTAATTAAGAACCTAATATATCAATTTAAATATAGTGATGGATTTTATGATATTTATTATTGCTATTGTTATTATGATTATACTTTAGACTGTATAATCGGAGCCATCTCACTTTAAGTCAAAGAGAAACTTGTAAATTTAGCTTATTTTTTTCTTTCTTGTAGTTTTTAGAGGTGGTTGTTAGTAGAGGATATATTTTAATTTATATTTGAACTTATAATTTACTATTTATTTGGATTATTTATATGGGTTTGGTCTTCAGTAAATTAAGATTACTTCTACTGATTCAAAATAAGAGAAACTAATTATTGCTGATTTGATTGTATTTGTTATTGAAATGCATTAAGACTAACGTTGCTAGTTATATTATTTGAATTACTATTACTGTTGGAGTTAGTATAAGAATTTTGTTAAACTTTTTAGCTGTTGTTTGTTTTTTCATTAGTGTTTATATTGCTACTTAATTAAGTAGATTGGTTTATTTATTAATTTTGTTGATTCTAAAAAAATAGGGCTTAAAATTTATTACTAGTAGGAGCATTGCTATTACTATTACTGTTATTATTATTTTAACTTAAAAGATGAATGCCAAAGTTCTTGTTAGAGTTTATTGTTGTAGTTTACAATTTCTTTGTTTAGTTTATTTATGATGAGCTGTTTTAATTCTATGGCTTTGCATTTTGATAAGAATTAACTTTCAAAAATTTAGATTAATTTTAACTCATCTATAATTGAATGATATTTTAAATATCTTGCTTTTGTACTTACTTGTTCTCTTCTGATGGAGATACTGAATCATTTTTTAAATTTTTTGATAAAGAATTGAATTGGCTCTGTGAATTGCTATTTAATTACAAAACGTTGTTTTAGCTATTTTGATGGACTTAATGGCTGGATTTAACCTAGCTTTAAAGCTATTATTTTTATTTTTGATCCATAGGAGATTAGTAGCCCCCATTTTGTATTAAATTTTATTTGCTTTGTTAGTTACTATTATTTTAAATTTTATATTAATTGTTTGATTAATACTATGATTATAACTAATAAGATGAAGGTATTGGTGATTAAGATTAACTTTATTGGATTTAATTTTGCTAAGCAGCTTTGTTCTAGTTAATTTACTGATTAACTCCACTAAAATTTTGCTAAGATTGAGAAGACTAAGGTTTTTGTAGTGATTAACTTGAGTGCTAATTATTATATTATTAAATTTAAAAAGTATGCGATTACTAACCGAGCTGACTTGAATTACCAGAAATGGTTAATGGATATTATTGTTACTGAACCTAGTTAGAAATACAGTTTATGCCTAACTTTGAGTTTTAGAAAAGTTAGTTCAAATTGTTATTTTGAATTTGGACTTAACCTGATTGAGTATACTGTTAAGGTAATTGGACTTGTTACTAATTATATTGAATTTTACTCTAAATTTAATTCTAAATTATGGCATTTTGATTAGAGGGCTAGTATTAATTTTATAAATTTTGGTTTTATGAAAGAGGGGGATTATTAAAGCTGGTTAAACTATTTTATTAACTAATTGATTTACTGATTTGGAGCATTTCGCTGTTATTGTTGCTATTACTGCTGTTGTTATTTTATTGATTATTTAAAATTTAAGTATATTATTCTCCTTGTGATGGTTGTTGCTATTACTATTACAGCTATTACTTGTTATTTTTAGTGTTGTTATTATGAAATTGAATACTAGAGATATTGTTGCTTGTGGTAGATTAGCTATTATTAGAGTAATTTCCATTTTTGTTGGCTGCTATGCATTAATTTTAAGGCAAATTTTAACTTTAGTTATTGTTATTACATAATGTAGCACTACTATTGTTGCTGCTACTATTTTTATTATTATTCTATATAGATTAATAGGCACTAACTTATATCATCTAAGAGCTATTTTGGACGTTTCCATTTAGTTTATTTTAATTAAAGGTATTTACATTTGTATGCTTAATTAAGTTAGAATTACTATTTTAATTTTACATAGAATTTTATTATTAACCAATATTATTAATATTATTATTACTTGCCTAGTTGATATGAGAAATATTATTAGCTTAGTTGCAATAAATATTGTTTCCTATCTGACTGATATGAGTACTATTTGTTTAATTATTACCTATATTGTTTGCCTAATTGATGTTACTGCTGCTGTTAATGTTGTTGGTTGTCTAGTTATTATTACTATTAATTATCTAATTATTATTGCCATTGTTTATCAAATTGTTATGATTATTGCTATATTGATTGTTAATGCTTGTTTGATTTGGTTGGTTAGGCTATTAAAATATAGATGGCATGTTTTGTTGCAGCTGTATTGATGAGTGTATCTAATTATTAGGAATAAATTAAACTTGAGTATTTACTTATTTACTTTGATTAGCTATTGAATACATGGACATTTATGAATAGGATTTCTGAATTTGTTAAGGAAATTGGTTTAAATTGTTTTGATCTTTACTTAATACTTATGCATTTGAGGTTTATTGGTTATAATTTTAAGAATGAATTCCATTTAGGATGGCTGATGTAAATGAACCAGCTTATATCTATTAGCTTTGAGGAGTATTTTATGAGTCAGGAGTATTTCCAAACATCGAATATGCATGCTTTCTTGATAGAATTACTTCTTCGTTTGAATGCATAGAATAAGATGGGTGCAATCTCTCTTAGGGAACAGTTAAGTCTTATAAGATTTATGACTATTAATTATTTTAATTCACTGTCTGGATATTGTTTGATACAGAAGAGTAGTTATGCTATTACTAATGCTACATTTTGTTGTAATTTTATTTGTAAATGTCCTTAATTTTTTCTATTTGGTTTGAGCTCAAACTTTAGTTCAGCTACAAATAATTAGAGTAGGTCATCTGATTTAAAGAATTTTAATTATTTTATGATGATGAAGTTAAATTACTAATTTGGCCATTTATATTACCATTGATATTGTTATTGTTGTTGTTATTTGAGCTTGTGTTTACAAGAGAATTAGCTGAGAGCTCTCTTTCAGGTCTCTATTTGAGTTTTGAGTTATTAAGGGTCAAATTTTAATTTGAAAGAGTGTTTTACTAGCTGTTTACAGAAGTGTTTAGTTGATTTAGGTTTGGTTTCATTTAAATGTAATCTGTTTCTAGCTTCTTTTTGATTTCTTCTTGTATCTTCAAGTGATCTTTGAAAAATCTGCCTGGATTGTAGCTTTCAGGTTCTTAACCACTAGCTTAGTTTTTAGTGTTTTATTTTAAGAATTTCAAATAATTAATATCTAACCCATCCTTCCCATTTCCTCTTGGTGTTAATGATTTTCCTCCATTTGGTTAACTTTCTCTATATGAAAGATTACCCTATGAAATAGCGTGTTCAATTAGCTATTTACTAGAGATTAAAGTAGACGATGCATTATTCTAATCAATTAATAAATTTTTATAAGAAGTTGACTCCACTTTAAAATGGTCACTTTACTCGTTACTGTTACTTTATTTCTTTTGAAAGTTTAAATCAGGCTGATTTTTTGCTGTAAAAAAGGAATTATTTTATTCTATTCTCTGCAGACTTGGAATGCTTTCTCTATGATTAGAAGGGTATTTCAGATTAACAGTAATTATTTGAGGTTATTTATTTTGCTATTTATTTTATTGAAGTGATGTATGGATATTTTATGATTAAGGAGTTAACTATTAATTTTAATTAGTTTTATGGTTGATAAATATGCTTTAGTTTGTGATACTACGGAATTCTTTAAAAGATTAGTGATTTAACTAAGAATCGAGTGGTTTATTAGTCTTTTCATCTTCACTTTCTGAGGTAGATGGTTAAAGAAGAGCTTACATCTTCAAATCCTAATTTCTATCATTCTCATTTGAGTCAAATTTTATACCATTTCTCCTTGTGTTATTTTACTCTGATATTTTTTATAATTCAATGTTTCTATAGCTGTCAATTCTCTAAATATCTTAGGCATTTTGATTTAAATAATTTTATTAGTAACTGTTTTCATAAATATCTCTACTGCTGTATTTTTTTAAAGTTAGGATTTAATTTGCTTTATTGTAGCTAATACTATCTGCATATGTAATTGAATGCTCTCTTTTCTAAGAAAGCTATTAATCTTAGCTTCTTTACCCACTTAAGTTAAGAAAAGAGCTATTGTTCGAATTCTTTTCTCTCCAACTCTTATTTATCAAATCTCTTGCACTATCTGTTGTAAAAATTCTTTCACGAGTACTTGGGAAGTAATTATTAGATTGAGCGCATCTTTTTTATCTAGTTTTGTGTTTAGTAGTGCTTACTGGAGAATTAGTACCAAAATTATTGAACCACTCAAGTGTTCCATGATGAGTTTTTATCAACTCAAATAAAGGAATTTAATTATTTTTGCATTTTTTGTATTTAATTCCACATTCATAAAGGAGCCTTCTTGTCACTTTGAATTTTTTAATTTCCCTCAAAAACAAGACCTTTAAATTAAAAAATATATTTAAATTATTTATAAAAATCATATTGATTACATGAGAAACTGGATACTCAGATATTTTTTCTTGGAGATATTCATAAATTTCTTCTTATGATTTTAGCTGTAAAATATTTTTTTTGTGGACAGACAAAAGGGCTATAACAGCTTTAATGATTATTTTAAATCCTTTAAATATGAAAAGATTTAATATTTTAATCATCAGTTACACATCCAAGTCATTAGCAAAGAAAGAAAGTACCCACCTTTGTATCGTAATTTCATATTAAACACTGAATATTTTCTTATTTTAATTTATTAAAATTATCTTTTTTGCCTTAAAAATCATATTTAAAATAATACCATGTGATTAAACAAATCTGGAATGAAATTCTTAAAAAAACAAGAAGCCTAAAAAGTGAATAACTCTAAGTTTTAAAATTAATCAAGAAAAAGAGACGCCAAGTTATATTTTTCAAGAATTTGTTTGGTAACCCAGTAAGTCTCTTCAGGTGGCATAATGCTGAGAAGGATAGCAGCTATATAATTAATTCCTTGAATGTATCCAAGCTATGAATTAGAGGAAGAAATAGCTTTTAGAATCTAATTCAAACAAATTTTGCTAATAATTTAAATAATGTAAGATTAGTTTGCAGAAATAATTAAATCAAATTTAAATCTACTGGATTAAAAATATGTAAAAAATAATAATAAGTATTTCCAAATTAGATAAGAAAAGCACTAACTTACTTGCGTACAGATTTAAAGAATTCTTGATCTTAAAATGTGCGTTCAACATCATTTTGAATAACTTCTTCATACTCATTTTTCAACTTACTGAAATGCTAAAATATAAAAGAGTAGGATGTTATTTATTGCAATAATTGTAAAAGTCAAATTATACCTGAAATTATTAGGTTAATAGCTTCCTATTTTAGTCGATTTGCATTGCATAATTGAACATGCTTTAATAATATATTATATTTTCCTAATTATATATAAATTTGAAAATTAATACCTCAACATTTTAACAGACAAAGTAATAAAAATAGATTGATTATTTTAATATGATATTGCCCTTTTAAGAAGTAACATAAAACTTCGTTACAGAGGCGAATGGATTATAAAGGAATAATATTAATTTTCTCAATACTAAATTTATTAAATTCTTCTTGGATGAATTGGGCATTCATAAGTTTAATATTTATTATATTTAGAATATTATTTACATTAGTAATGAGGAACTCCATTCTACTTTCTATAATAGGCTTAAATTTATTATCACGAAATTATCTTGAGACTTAGAGTAACTTAAAGATTTCTGTAGGTTAAAGGTAATTAAGCACTAGCTTGAAAAGCATTTCATAGAAAAGTTATTTGTTGTTCTAAGCAGCCATATAGGCCTTTGCTTTGAGATAAATCGATTTATTATAGAACTATTCAAGTATTTTCCAAGCTAATTTTGTATTTTTGCATTCATTTAGACCTTTCTCTTTTAAATTTGCTAGGTAGCTGTTACTTTATCATTTCAAAAAATAGTAAATTTTTAACGAATTTGCTAAAGCTAAATTGATTTTCATTAAAAGAATTTTGTCAAGAAGAAGTACTTAAATTTAGTTTTGATTATAAATTCAATAATTTGCTTACTTATTTAAAGATGGTTTTTCAAGAGAATAGCGTAGCTTCATTTACTAAAATTGGTGATTTGACTCATCAAAATTTTGATCATCGTAAATGCATTCTGTATTTTGGTTATAATTAGTAGAAATTAAACTTTTCATTGAAACGCTCATATAGGAACCTGCAGCTATATCCTCTTATTTTAAATTCCTACTACTATCATTTTGCATATTTATCATACCTGTTACTATATGTAAATATGTGAGCTAAAATCCTGCTGATGGTTATAACCTTTTAAACTTTGTGCTATAAAATAAACAGCTCCCTTTCTAACTAATTAATTTGCTATTTTTGATATTTGTAGTTATAAATTAAAGCTTTTTTAGGATTAATTAAAAATATTACATTCAAAATGCTATTGATACGAAAACTAAAACGAAATTAACAAAATAAATTTTTGCAAGTAATTAATTAGAGCCTTTATAAATTATTAAATTGAGGATTACATGAAAAATACAAATTATTAATTAAGCAAAAATACAATGAAAATTTAATTTAGTTCAACTTTTTTAATTGATTCTAATTTACAGAGAGCTGATCTTTTTTTCAAAATTGATAAACTTTTAAAATCCATGTTCCTTAAAAAATATTTTAATCTCAATTAAATCACACTCATTATTAAAAATTTAAAATTACTTTGATTTGAATTTAAAAAAAGCTTAATTTCCAATTTTATTTTTGTATTTTGGTATTTTTTGGTAAATTAATTTAAATTTAAAAAAAAAAAATACTTTTTAGAATTAATTCATAAAAATTAAACTTAAAATATTTTGCTCAATATTTGGAATTACTAATCAATAAATTAGCTTTTAAATTTGAAAATTTTAATTGAAAGTCGATTTGTAATAAAATTGTTGAATATATATTTTTTGTTTCTTCTTATTAAAATAACGTTAGATCAAATTAAAATGAAAGATAACCAAACATTATTTTTGAAAAATGGATTGATCACATTTAATTCCTATCTTCTCTCAAATTTTAAAAAAATTAAAAAATATAATTTTGCTTTAAATAATTTAACTTTTTATTTATTTATGAATGTAATTTTGTGCTATTTATTTCCTCATATATATCACTCATTTGGATATTTGGATGAGTAATTTATATTAATTAAATTGTAATTTAATAACTTGATTTATTTGTTTATTTATTTATTTAATTTTCGCTCTATGCTTATTTCCTTTTAATGATGACTATCCAAATCAGTGCTTAATAAAATCTTTTAAATCCTATTTCATAGCTTATGAAGAAGTTTAAAGGGTGAAATAGAACTTGCTATATACTATTTTTAAGCTCCATCTTCTAAATCTATATAGAATCACTCTCTTAAATGTTTTTGCTTGAAAAAAAACTATGAATGCTTTATAAAAAGATATGTTTTAATAAAGTAAAAATAATAATTATAATGCTATTTTGTGTGTTCAATGATTGATAGATATTTAGATAGTTATTTTAAGTATAAATTTGAGTGAATTGATTGATTGGTATCATGCATATTCAACAAGAGGAAAATAATAATCGAAATTGCAAAATATTTAGTAAGAGAAGAATAAGATAATATAAGATGATTTTGTTCCAATTAAGCTTAAGAATAACAATGAAGAATGAATATATTAGTTATCATTTTTATTTGCAATAATACATGAGTAAAAATGTGTTAGTAGTTAGATGCTAAGTAATTTATTTATAATAATGAATAGCTTTAAATTTGCTTGAAGTATATCTAATGAATATCATTACTATTTCCTAGATTTGCTTACTTGAGTCATACCCTAATGATGATTTTCCAAATTAATTTGTAATTAACCTATTTTTTGCTATGCTATTTTAGATTAATGCTAATAAAGATCACGACAACCATAATGATATTGCAATTAGCACTTCCTAATTATTCATTTTTGCTATATACTTCAACTACTATTGCTATAATTTTTTAAATTGTTAAATCAAATTTGCCATTCCTTGAGGCCAGCCTTTCTCTTCCAGTCAGAGGTAATTTTATCAGTGATGAAAACGGTAGTCCAAGCATAAAGGAAAGTACGAATGTAGAAGGCGTAGAAACCAACATAGAAACCGCTAATACCTTCGTGTTAGATTAATTTTTTGGCAGCATCAGCCCAACCAGAATAAGTTAATCTATTTTTAGTAGGGTCAGCGTTTTGAGCATAGAGACGAGTTCTAATATTATCGAAGGGAAGAGTGGCAACACTACCCCAGAAGGAGGCCCAGAGAAGTGCAGCATATTTATTCCAGGTCATATCACCAAAAGTAATCCAAATCTTTTCATTTAAATAATCAAAAGGACCAGTCAAACTGATGTTAAGGATGACGGCTCTAAGAACGTTGGCGTAGGAACCTCTGAAGAGGGCGGCATTACCACCTTCAGTGGCAGCAATCTTGTTGATACCGTCCATTAAACCTTTATATCCCCATCTCCATTCCTTGGGCTTACCACCTTCAGCGATGGTACGAGTATTGACTAAATCAGCAGGAGATGTTAAAAATGCAGCCAAACCACCTGCAAAACCAGCGATAACACCCTTTTCTCTATGAGAAAGATCATTATGGGCCTTGACTGGCTTGGTTCTATCGTAAATAATCTTATAGGTAAGATTTCTGATGAAGAGGTAGCTCAAACGACCAATTAAGTGGGACTCAAAACCTTGGTAGAAACCGCGTAATCCGTTACCAGTGGCATGAATCTCACGGAATACTTTGTTGGGATTGATACCCATGTATAAGTTCTTGCTACGAATACCAACTCCTTCAGTTCTAATTTGGGATCTTACCTTAACGAATTCGATAGGATAAGTAAGGGCAGCTGAAATAGTATTAACAGATAATGACAATCCGATTACTTCAGCTGTTGAGGGCTCCCAGTATCTTTTGTATGAGTAATTCATCTCTTTATATTGAAATTGCTTTTATTTTTCTGCTTTACCAAAATTTGGCTATTCTTCTTTTCCTTCTTCTTAATTTTTCTTTTTGAAATTCTTTCAAAATAATTAAGATATTTCATATAATTTATATCAATCTCCAATACAGTCATTATTATTTGCAATCTTTTTTTATTTATTTATAATTAATTGAAATCCTCATTATACTAAGATGTTTCTCTCTCCTCTATCAATCTATTTATCTATATATCATTCCCTTTATCTGTCTTTCACTCTAAGCCTATCTAATATTCCTTCTTATCTTCTTTATTATTTTATTTATTTATTTATTGCTAGTTATTTGCAAAAAATATTTGATAGCTACTACATACCTACTACCTACTTAATTTTCATTCATTTGTCGCGTTCTTTTCTTTATTTCTTTCATTCTTTTTTTTATTTATTTATTTTTTATTGATTTGATATTTCGCATCAATTGATTCATTATATAAAACATTAAATATCTCTTGCATATTTTATTTATGAATGACCTTTATTTATTTCATAGATCAAATGCAAATAAATCAATTTATAAAAAAGGATTGCTGAATTATTTATTATTTCTCATTTTATTTTTATTTTTCCCAATCTATTTTTTAACATTCACTTGTTTGTTCATATTATGTTTTTAGATAATATTTTTAAATAATCAGATCTTCATGATAAAAATGTAGATTTTATTTAATAATATACTTTGTTCTACATTAAATTTGTATTTCATTATATTCATTACATATAAGGACTTTGTTTACTTATATATTTACTTATAATAATAGTACAACAATTTTATAAAAAAGAGTATTTTTTATTTGGAAATATTATCCTTTATTACTTAAGTTAAAAATGTTGTTTTTATGAATTAAAATAAATTAAAGATATTGCATAATCTTTAAAATTAGTTGTAATAAACATTATTAAGTAAAAAATTGTTTCCTAATTTAGTTTCTATTAAATAATTACCTCATCATTTAATATAGACCAAGTAAAATAAAATTTATTTTTTTGATAATCATTTGAAAAATTTACTTAAACATAATATTACTGTTATTGACTTCATCAAAATGTTAAACTAAACTTATTTTGATGCGATTATACCAATTAAATTTAATTTATTTGGTTGATCTTTAGATAAAATTAACCATTAAATTATTTCAAAATAAAATTTAATTAAAATTTGAATTTTATTTTTAATGAAACTTTTTTAAAAGTTAAAATATTTATTGTTTAATTTGAATTAAATTTGTTAATTTAATTATCATTTGTTCAAATTTGAATAAAATCTTTTAGATACTTATTTTGAAATGATGAGCTATCTATATTGAGATTAAGCAAAATTAGATAATTTATTTACTTAGATTTCAAACTTAAAATATACTTTTGAAGAAAAATAATAATAATAAAATATGGTAGAAATACAAAAATTAAAAAATAGATTGATATACACTTAAAAATAGATGGATGAATAGATAATTGATTAATTATTTGCAAACAAAAGATTGGACATAATTAAATAAATAATTTTTTATTTAAAGATTTAACTATTATATTTTATTAATTAATAGATTAAAAGTTAATTATTAAAAAAATGTTCATTTTGCCTTTTTGTTAAGAGCTGAATTATATATTTTTTTGCATGATTCTAATAAATTTTTAATACCAAATATAACATTTGGGTCTCTTTAGGGTCCGCCCTCTGGGTGGTCGCCAACATAATTAAAATCAATATATTTGAAAGCATAAGAATTGTTGGTATTATCAACAATAGCCATAATTGAAGAAGCTATAAACTAACGAGTATTGACATTTTCATGGAAGTCAAGCAATTCTTCCAAAAATTTAATAAACTCTTAAAGTGGAACAATATTAATCTAATCAAAGTGTGATGTGTTTGAAGAAAAAAGCTTTTTAATATATTAATGGATTTCTTTCAATGACAAACAAAGTAGATAGGTTCCTTTCTTCAATATCTCAACAGGGATACCTAAGTCATTTTTTAAAAGTGCACCACTTAGGCGATATCCGTACTAGCGAGAAGTGCTCTTGGTATCTTTTTTATCTGCTTGCTTTTATTTTTCTGCACTATATGAACTATGAAGTGTTGTGCGACCTAATTTAAAATCAATAATTGAACCCTTTGATCTTCCAAAATTTAAATTTTCGAGTACAACATATTCATTGTTATTGTAATTTTCAATTCCAATTAATTTTGGTAAGAATTTCTTGAGTTTTTCATTTTCTTCTTTATATTTTGAATTAGGATTATTCAAGTCTTTATAGAATGCTATTTCATTTTTTTTACATTTTTTCCAAAGCTAATCACCTTTTATCATGAAGTTTAATTCATGTCCAGCTGATATTTATGATGTCTCAGTAACATTCCTTATCATTTATTTATCAAACTAATTTCCAAACTCTCCTAACATTTTCCAGTATTAGCCATATTCCTATAAGCATTACTTAACTGCATTAAATCCTACAATATTTGGCTAAATGCGATCCTTTAATTCCTAAATGCTGCATTTTCTTTATCCCTTTTCCAAAGGAAAAGCTTCTCCTGTTAGTGTTCTAAGAACAGACTCTGCAGCCCAGCTAATACTTTCTAAGTTATATCCTCCCTCTAATACTACTAATATATTTTTACCATTAGTTATATCCATTAATCTTCTAGTCAAATATCTATATTATTAAAATTTAAATTAAATATATAATATAATTTCTTATAAAAATAGATTCATTTTTATTTTTAAACTTTCTTGATTTCTTTTTAGTTAAAGTAATTAGTCTTAAAATAAATGAAAATAAAGTAGCTCTTTTAAATACAAAGATTTACAATAAGTAAATTCATTTGAAGTCTAATGTTTTTAATTTTAAGTTATAATTAAGATTTAGTCAGTATGTTCTATTTTACAACGCTTTAAATTAAAATTAAATTCTAAGATTAATAAAGATAGTATTATTAATCAAATTTTGCTGTTTATTTTAAATCCCTCTAAAAAATAGATTTTTGCCCAGCAAAATAATTAATTAGTAAAATTTAAAGGGCTGATTTAAAAGTACAAATTTGTATTTTATTTATTCTTTAGGGCTATTGAAAAAATTAATAGCTTTACAAAAAGATTATTTCATTATGATTTTAAAATGATTAATTAATGAATGAATGGAAAATTACGCATATCCTTCATAAGTGAGTTTGCACTGTCCTAATGGATCCCCTTCAGCAGAATCAAAGCCAGCAGATATCAAAATAAACTCTGGCTGAAACTCTTAAATAATAGGAAAAGCTATTCTTTCAAAAGCATATATATACTCATCAGTACCTGCAGTGAGTGCATTTTAACTATATCCTATATCCCATGGGATATTTATCTTGAAACCTTTGCCTTCTCCTGATCCGTTATTAGTTACTGAGCCACTTTGGGGATAGAATGATCCTGTTTTAAAATGATTAATTATTTTTTGTATTTATATGCAAATATCTATAAATAAAGACATATTTAGTTTTATTAAAAAGATAAAAATTATTTCTTAAAAGTGCCAAAATACAAGCTAAGATATCAAATCAATTTTAGGTAAAATTACCATCGTCATGCCTGTGCATGGATACAAATAGAACGTTAGGATCATCCTAGAAAATGTGCTAGGTACCATCTCCGTGATGAATATCCCAGTCAAATATAAGAACCTTTTTAACTCCATGATTCTTTTAAAGATATTTTGCTGCAATTGCTACGTTGTTGAAGAAACAAAATCCTGTACAAACTTTTGATTCACCTGAATGATGACCAGGAGGTCTAATTATGCAGAAAGCGTTTTTCCATTACTTGCTAATAATTCTATCTACTGATTCGATAACGCCTCCAACACCTAAATATGCTGCATCTTTACTACTCTAATTGAAGTATGTATCAAGCATGTAGATTTCTTTCTTTTTTGTTTTTTCTGGCCACATGCCTTCAATAAACTCTATATAATTATCATCGTGAGCATATTTTACTATAGATTTTTCGGCTGGTTTGAGTTTATCTACAATATGGACAAGAGGTGATTTCAGCAACCCTTGGGTTGTTAAATGATTAAATATGCTTTAAAGTCTGGCTGGACATTCAACATGTTATCTTACTGATTTGTGTTTTAACTGTTCTAAATCATAAACAACTCCTGTCTGTCCGTTTATATTCAATCCATTGAACTATTCTTCTATACCTTCTATATTATCCTGTTGCATAGTTTGTCTGTTTTGGAAATCTAAAAGTAAATAAATAAGTGACTGAGTCCTTTGATTAATCTTGCTTTTTTTTGGCTTTTTTTTTGAGTTTGAAAAATATCAAAATCTATCTAATTAATCTTATTATTTAAAGTAAATGAATTCAATCTTATCATATGAAATAAATTCTTCTGTAATTAAAAAAGATAAGTAAGTATTCAAAATTCAATGATGTTTTTAATTATTAATTGATTATGACTCATAATAGATAGAAAAAATGATAATGTTTTTGATTGACTGATTTATTGATTAATATCTTAATAGATAAAAAGCAATTAAAAGAACGCAATTTAAAATTACGTAAAAATTTAACATTTTTTATTTATTAATAAGAATAATATCATGTAAGCATTAGTTAATAAATAACGATGACAAACGCACTTTAATGATGATTTAAAAATTAATCGAGCTGCGAATTTACTCATTTACATTAATTGCTTCTACATTAAATTAAATGATTTATATAACACAAAAGGCAACTATTTCTCAGAGATTTCATATGAATACTTAAATAATTAAAAATAGTAGCACTAGAAATTTAGTGCTAAATTCTAATTTGGTTCCAGTATTTATATCTAGTTCTAAATCTATATTCATTAATTAAAAATATTTAATTTTCACATTTTTTCTTTAAAGTAAATTAAATTTACCTGAAGGTGAAGGAAGTGTTGTAAATTAAATTCTTACTATTTTGGATGCGTCCATTAAATCTGGGTATCCAGGCTGGACACTTCCTCCAATTATGTAAGCAAAATACTTTGAATTTGGTTTAAGGTTACGTAGAGTTAAGTTAAATTAAGTATATCCTTAGCTTACTTCTACATATCCGCTAGGTGCTTTAATGTTTGTATGGTCATAACCCCAATAAATTTAATCAGGATAAGGAGAGGGCTAGGTATTTGAGACATATAACTCTCCAGTCACATAAACAAATCCTGGTTAGTCTAAGACGACTGTGAAATTAGCAGTAGACCAGTCATTAGACAAAAATTAAGGAGGCTAAATAAAATTAGGATAGTAGGATACAAATGTGTTTGGGATTACTAAATACGAGCTATCATAAGTGGGCATTGCAGCTTTCAGCAATACAGTTTTATTGTTCAAAGAATTAGCTAAAGTTAATGGCGAAGGATAATACTCTACGAGTCTATTTGAAGATATTTAGATGTTCAGTAAAGTATAAATTGAAGTCGAAACATCTAATATTCTATTAGCCTTTTATCTTTTTTAATTACCTTGATTATCTGTAGTTTCTTAAATTTGGTTTATTTAATCAGCTAATTGTGTGCTTTACAGAATTCTACTTGAGCTAGTACTTGAGGAGGTATTATTAAAATAATATTTCTAGATGTACAAGCTATTTAATAAATTTGTAGTTATAAATTTAGTAAATTTTTTTTAATTAATAAGCGAAAACGAAAACAACCAATTCAAAAATAATATTAATAAAAATTGATGATATAAAATTAAAATTAAAATTAATTTATTTAAATTTCTATTTATTAATTTACGTATTCAAATCAATAGTTAAAATATTCGATAAATTAATAAGCACGCTCTTGATTTCAGTAGCTGATAGTTAAAGGACTTAGAATCTCAGACTAAATGTTGCGGCATTATATCGATCTTTTTGTTAATGATGTTAATTAGTGATAAAATTTACTTTAAATTAAATTTACTGCTTGTGACAAAAGTTAGAGTCTTATTTGCAACATTATTTCCTCTATCTTAGAAAAATAGATGGATGATATAAGGAGTTTGGGCAGTGAGGTTTGTTATGTTAAAGTAAAAGTTTGCATTAGCTTAATTTAAGACTAATTATCCATATTAGCTTTAAGTAGTATTGGCAGGAGGAGCAGTTTTATTAAAAACTTAAGAGAAGCTTGGATATGATGTTCCATTTAAACTACACATATAGTAAACTACAGTTGGTTCATTAGTCATAACGTTAATTTAAACACTATTTTTTAATATATTAACTGTCTGAAGCTAAATAATTTGAGGTGCTATGTTATCAGCCGCTATTAAATTGAAGTACATTTAAGTATATTGTAGTTAAAATATAGTTGAATCTATTCCCAATAATGAGAAAACTATAGAACCTCTTGAAACAGATGAACTAGTATTATTTGTAGGAGTAGAAATAACTCTAAAACTGAGCTAGTTTATTCCTTTGGTGAAATTTAGCATTTAAGTACTTAATGAAATTCCTGGATACTAAGAGGCTAAATTCATATGGACTTCAAAATAAATATCAGATGCATAAGTCACAGAAAGTATTGTGTCTAAAGAAGTTCCTCCATAAGGAATATCTAAGATAGAGTTCATGAGCACAGTTTAAACTATTGATTCAAACAAAAATTATATAATTTATTATAAAATTTTTTTTTTGGCTATTTAACAAAAATTAAAAAAGATAAAATAAAAAAAGAAAGAAAATTAGTTTCAAGCTATTTTCTTTTTTAAAATATAAAATTTAGTAAATGTTTAGTTAGTGAATTAATATATATTTTTCATTTTAATTAGTTTAATTAAAATTTATATTACTAATAAAACTATTCAAATCTTTGATTTTTAAAAGGAACATTTGTGTTAAATTTGTTTTATTAATTTAATTGTATTAAATAAAATATTAAAGATTTTTATAAAAATTTTATCTTTAAGTTTCAAAATTTATTTAAAAATTAATTTTTTTTCCTGTTTTTAATAAAAACTAAAAAATTTGACTTACTTTTTTAATTTGATATCATAATAATTTAATATCAACCTTAAAGTAAAAAATCAATAAATTTTAAATAATTTTAATAAGCTATAATTTTATTTTTTTTTTTTACTTGTAGGATTGAGGATAGTAATTTAAGAAGTTTATATTGGTGTGTAGATGGGAGGCACATTATCTCCTAGTGTTACCCATTAGAGTGTATAAGAACCAGAAAATATTTATTATGGGCAGGATATTCTGAAAGGGATGGATGTCTAACCTAGATGAATAGGAATGTCGAATGGGATTACTTTGAAACCTGGTAAGATATTTGGCTTTACACTTAACTCAAGTAATGAAGGGAAATCTAGTGTAATATATAGATCAACAGTTTATGTACCAGGGTAGAGTGAGATGCCTTAATCATTATTTACGTGAATCAGTGGACCAGGATAAACGTAGCTAAATGAAAATGGATCTAAATTTATGTAGCTTCTATCAATAATAATTTGGTTTATGCCATCAAATGAACTTACATAAAAGTTATCAGTAATTCCTTAGAAAGTAGGATTTAGAACCGACGCTATTGATACCTAAAGCTAACCAGAGAAATCTTGAGTATTACCTGTTACATTGTAACGATTTTGAATGGTGTAACAATCTATAACCTAAGCGAAAGAAGCTGTTGTAGTTGTACAAGAGCCTCTTCCGTCTGAGACTTAATCAAATTAAGGAGGAAAATCTATAAATATTGCTCCTTATGATAAAATCTTTGGAACATTCTTACTTAGAGTAAAAGAAAATTAATAACTAGCAGTGTACCTCACATTAAATTAACTAGCTGTTACAGTCTAAACAGATAACCATCCTGGATTTCCGTACATTTATAATTATCCTGCCTAAGATTATGAATTGATGAATTTGTTATCCCCTTTATATAGCAATGATATCGAGAACTAACCAGTATTAGTATAAGCTATATTAGGGTTTGTTACACCAAATATCTGAACAACTATAGGATTTGAGCTACTTGGTTGATAAGAATCAAAATTCTATAAATAAACTCCGCCATTTTACACATAACAACTATAAAAATTACCTAAAAAATATTTTAAAAAAAATCATCAATTTCATTTTTAGAAATAATCTCATTTGATTATTTGATAGATTGTTTATTTATTTACCTAATATACCAGAGACTATAATACACTTAACGTTTTTTCCTAATAGCTTATCATAGTCTGATGGGAACTAGAATAGAATTTACATTTAAGAAGTGATGATATCACTTGTAATAAATGAGAAGGTGTATGTACTTCTTTCGCTTATATTTTATGGACTAAAGGTAATAGAGTTTACAGTAATTTCAGGAGCTCTTTAGACTGTAGTTATTGTTCTACTACTCAAAGTGGTTTAATCTGTAATATCTAAAGTCTGACCGTCGTAAGTTGTTTCTATTATGAAGCCATCTGAAGTACCTTAATCTGGGTTTTTTATATTAGTTATGGATAAAGTGATACTTCCACTACCAGAATTATACTAATCTTAAATCACAATTGAGAAAGTAGAGCCACTAAGAGTACAACTACTAAAAGTTGTAACTGCTCCTCCCATACTACAGTTTGGAGGAGAGGGGAGAGACTAGTTTTTTTAAAACATTAAATTGATTGATCATTGAAATGTAAATTTAATTAAAATACTTTAAAATTATTTTAAGGAAAAGTAATTTAGATGACACCCTAAATAGGTATGTTAGTATATGGAGTGAACTGAATAGTATAAGTTGCAGTTTCGTCAGCATTGAGTGGAAAAGCTGTAATTGAATTGAAAACAATTGTCCCAGGTGTGAAAACTGGATCAAAAGCGAAGCTGTAAAAGTTTAGTTATTGCATAACTAAATTACTGATATCATTTACAGCATCGTACTATACTACTTGAATTCCCCATCCAGTAGATAGACCATTAGCAGGCATAGTTGAAGGATTCTTAACTCCTGAAACTGTTACTGTAAATGTAGAACCTGCTGGCAGATATTAATTATTTGAAATCTATTTTTTATATTAATTTTAAAAAATTTATGTTAAATCATTTATTAATCTACTGTAATCATTTAAATTGTTATTTAAATAGATAGTTGTTGTGAAGAACTATAGCTAGTCAACCCTGAGTATGTCACTGTTGGCAGTGGGGTAGATCCTAACAGGTTGTAATTATTGGGGAATATAACTTATATCAAGCTCAAGGCTGGAATATCAGCATTACCAGTGAAACTAAACTGGTAAGAGCAATCTACATATTGAATTCCCTATTAATAAAAAAAATTTATTTTATTTTATTTTTATTTTTATTTAAATTTAATACTTTTTTAGGGATAACAATCGATGCATTAGAAAATTAGTTTGGAAGGTTGTTAATTAATTAGTTATTTCTTTCAGCCTTATTTGTAACTCCTGTCGAAGATGTCCAATATACATCGAGAGTTGAAAAAGTTGCAACGAAGTTACTTTGATATTGAGGCCAGTTTATATTTGATATCAAAATTGATTATTATGGTGATGCAAAATTTTAAGAAATCATAATTAAGATCATATCAGCTTAATAGTATGGAATGCAATACATATTGATAGAGTTTACTGAGCATGAGATAGTTTAGTCTTGAACTATGAAACCGTTTGAGAACGTTGGTAGCTAAATAAGGAGTAAATCTCCTGCAGAGGGTGAGGTTTTTGTATTAAAACCTAAATTGAATGTTTATCCCACATAATTAGTTGAATAGCTGAGATTCAATACATTTTAAACAACAAAAGTACCAATAGCTAATTCATAATTAAATAAATAATATTTTTATAAACCTAAATGAGAGGAAATACTAAAATAATTTTCAAATATTTAAAAAATAAAATATAAAAAAAACTAAGTAGAAATATAAATTAAAATTTTACGTTTATCTGTAATTAAAATCGATTTTTAAGCTAAATATTAATAAACATTATTTGTGTTTGAAACAAGTCTTATTGATAAATCAGAAGTAGTTCCACCTCCTTAAGGATTAAGAAGGTTAGGAATATGAATTCTAACTAAAGTGTTTGCTGGAATTTGTCTAATTTTTATTAATTATATTAATTTTGTTTTTTAATTAGGTTTTTTTAATTAAGGAAGAAATTAAATATGTTGTCAAAATATGAGCATTAATTAACTTAGTATGAAATCCTTTACTCATAAAATAAATAATTGAATATTACACAAAATTTTTTATGAAGATCTAAGAAAATGTAGTAGTGGTTAAAGCAGTGTATGATGCCTATACATAAGTACAAATAATTGATGATCCTTAAATGGGTATGATTCCTTAAATACCTCTACATGGTATTTATGTCCCACTGGGTACATTAAGACCAAGTCCAAGCTACCATGCATCACCACCTGATAATTACCTAAAATCTAATTAAATAAATCCTTAAGTATCAGTTGATTTATATATTGGTTAGCCACTAGGGATAGTTATGTCTGTTGTTAATTAAATATCTAATATAGATTTTGAGATAGTAGCTACACTAGAAACGTAATTATTTATCAGATTGACTACTGGAGTTGTTGTAAGCTTTAATTGAGATATATTTAATTAAAGTTTTAAAAATAGTATTGATATTATTATAATTTACATCTTTTGGGTTTATTTAAAATGCATCTTTCCATGACTCTAAGATTGTATATTTGTCACTGTCATAAGACGTTAAGGCAAAAAAGTAAGTTCTAATTAAAAATAATTATGCTTTAATATAACAAATAAATAAATAAATAAACATACGCATTTCTTGCTGGAGTCATAACCCAATTTTTTAATACCAATATATGAATGAGTCCCTGGTTCCCAAAAAGCTAAAATTAAAAAAATGATAAATTTAAAGTATCATATGATTAGTTTAATTACTGTATTCTGAATGCCAGATATTGTCATTATATTTCCTGTAATTGAAGTTTAGCATGCAAAAGAATTAGAACCAGCAGTTCCAACAGGCTGATAAGTTTAAAAGAGAGTAGATCTTTATCTTTATGAAGGATATATGTTATTAAATTAAGGGGTATTTCCTGCAGTCATGGTAAACTAAGAATATCCATAATAAATACCACAGTCAGTCGCAGTTGTAGCTTTTGGCATTAAAATAAATATAATTAAAATTACAAAAATCTAATAAATTTTGATAAAATTAGAATTTTTATGAATGTAATTATTTATTTGTATTCTTAATTATTTGAATTTAATAAATTTTATAAATTGAAAAATATGAATTACGAAATGCAGGATTAAAGGTGAATTCTTTAGGAATTGCTATTTTGATTAACCCTCCAATAGGAATAGTTTTCAAAGGTTTAAACTCAAATTAAATTGAAGGAATTACAACTGGAGTTTAAGTTGCCTTAGGCCAAGCATTATTCCATAGATAGTAGTTGATACTTGCTAAAATCTAATCAGTTGAATGGTCACATGATGCTTTTTTTAAAAAAGCCAAATTATTTTCAACAATATTAAAAATGATATGTTACTATAAGGATCTATATTAGCAGTAGCAGAATTCACATCTTATGCTATTAAAGTAGACTAGGTAGTATCTTGGTATATGTATATCTTCAATGGAGTAGCTGTTCCAGCTGCATCTGGGTTTCTTGTCATGATAATAACTGATATTTCTTAAATGAACTGCTGTGTAGCAAAGTTCGAAATGATAATAGAATTTGAACTGACTGAGATTTAAACTTTATTATTTTCTGATAAATTATCAAGTCCATAATTTATATAATGCAATTAATACATATTTTCCTACAAGTACATTAATTACTAACTTACTAATACCTAAAAATAAGCAGGGAATGATATTACTATACAATTTCCTATTATTATTTAAATTCAAAAAAAATTTTGAGTAAATTGTGACTTTTGACAAACAAATGCAGGTTGTTTTTATTCATTTTTTATAATAAATAAATAAATATTCAAATCTAGTTCAATAATTAATAAAAAGAAATTTTTGGTTTTTTTGAAAGTTTAAATTTGACCAAAATTAAGTAAATAAAATGAGTAAATAAGTAAATTTTTTTAATAGACTATGTGTGGGTACAGCTAGCTAATTTGCTTGAAATTTTATATTATCATTAGAAAATAGATTAATTTATAATTAATTTACCATTTTCAAGCGCCAGAGTTGGTGTAAAGTTTAGCTTGTATTCGGCATAGATATATCTGTTATTTAAGTTTAATTAATCTGTAGGAGTTAAAGAGATATTATTTAATCCAGCAGCATTGATTGCAGGACCCTAAATGCCAGAGATACTTTCAAATAATATTTGAGTTCCTTGTTTGTAAATTTAGAAAGAGAAGACATAGTTACTACTAGCTGTGTTAGGATTAATAGTGTATGGAGGATTTTGCATTGAAATTTATAAGACATAATTGATACCTTAGGTGAGAACTCCTACTACTCCATCTATTCTAACCTAATTATTACTTTATAAAGTGCATATAAGCTGACCAGCTATAAAGTAACCATTTAAACTTGGTGATATGCATGTAGGATAGTCCTATTTTAAAAATAATTTATTAATTATTTCATTTATAATTTAAATTCATTTTATTTATTTATTTCAATAATATCTTCTCTTTAACTATTATTAATCAATCAACTAGTCAAAAGGTCTTTATAAATATTTTTTAATGTATGCTTTATAGACTTTGCTTTATATAAATATAAAATATATTATGTTTACTTCTAAGGTAAAATCTGTTGGGATCTATAGGATAAAATAACTTCCTGCAGGTATGTTACTAGCTGTTTAAAAGGTGAGCTAATATGAAGTGTAGTCTCCAGCTAGATCACTACCTGAAGGATTAACCTAAATGTTAGCAGAAATTAGATTTGTTGAGATATCAGCTATTCCAATAATTCCAAAAATTTTATTCTAATCTACGATATTCTATCCTTATAATGTTTGGAGTATAAAACTTCCTACTCCACCTTTAGTGGAAGGATTTAAAACTTGCTAAACAGTAACAGTTTGGGCTAATAGAAAATTTATTTATACAAAAAATATAAATAATTAATACATATTTTATAAAAAATGAAATATTTTTAAGCTTATTGTGAATTTAATGGTTATTATTTTATGTGGAAATATAAATTAAAAATTGGATACCTATTCCTGCTGCAAGATCATAAGGAAATGTGAAAGTTAGAGTTAATCCGCTAGCTTAACAAGTAACACTGCACACTAAATTATTTATCTAAAAAGCCTATGTAGCACTATATTGAGAAGGAAATATAATTTATAAGTTTCCTCCTGCAGGTAAAAATGTTTGTGGAATGAAAGAAAAAGTGTAGTCAGCTCTAACTCCCGCATTAGCCAATGTATTATAAATCGGAGGTGGTTGCGTTGTTGGAGTAATTGTACCTGCCTATGTAGTTCTTAATATTTAGTAGATTGTAGCTAACAGAAAAATAAGTTATTACATCTAAAATATTAGCTTAAAAATCTTAAAACAAATAATCTTTATATTTAAATTAGATTTTTTTCTATATTCCTCTCCTAAAAATAAAATGTTTTCTTAATTTTGTATTCCTTGAAAATGATTTTGCTTTGACTTTAGATTTTAGAATTCTCCTACTAAGAAATAAATATCAAGTAGCTTTAATTAATTAGTAAATAAACAAATGATTTTTATATTATATAAGATAAATAGATATATAAACTTATCTTTATTGAATAATGATTGCAAAATCTTATTATAAATCATGATTTATTAATAAATTAATTAATCTAAATGATTGTAAAATCTGTTATTTTTAAACCTGAATTTTTACATTTATAAAATTTATAATGCTATCCTAAAAATAAATCTTTTGATTAATTCACATTTTAGTCTATTTTTTCAAAATATATATGTACATATATATATATGCAACCAACAGCTTTAATTTAAATAAATTTAGAATTACCAATATTTATTATATCATTAAATATTTAATCTAGATGAAATTTTAGATCAACATAAATGAGAATTAAAATTTTGAATTCCTTTGATTTTATAATAATATTTTTCTACTTACTTAGTTCTTGAATTACAAAATTTTTAAGAAACAATAATAAAATAACTAAATTTAAATGGTTTTAAAATATAAAATTAAAAATTTTAAGATCAATATGATTTTTATTAAAGTATATTTAATATTTTTTTTCTTCTCTTCACTTTCAACATTTTCATCTTTAGTATATAAAGACAAATGGCAAGAAGGGAACAATATCTAATTCCTTTATGATTTTTTATTGATAGTTTTGTTGTGCAAATATCATAATTTCAGTAAATTTTCTTACTTATTTATTTTTTCTCTTAAACATAAGATCTTTTCTTTTCTGATGATGAAGGTTTCATTTTCAGTTCTAAAAATATAAAATATATCTTTCTTTACCTTAACATATATGAAACATGAGCTTAGTTAGTTTATCATCTAAAAATGTATGTACTTAACTCAGTAACTTCAGTCCCTTCCATTAATTGATTAAGAAATCCGATTAAGGTCTATCTGATTGTGTAAGGATGATACTTAGCAGAGACTTTTTGGAGGTATTTGAGAGAAAGTTTTCTTAATTGAAGATATATCTAATTATTATCCATTTCCAAAATTTAATTTCTGAATTTGAATCTGAATTTCTCTAACTCATCATATTCTAATTCAAATTCTAAAATTATCTGATAAAGTAGTGGTGAAGCTCTTTTATAAAATATTAAGTTGATCCATGGGAGTAATTTTAAAAATTAATTTCAGTAAGTATAATTTTTGTTGTACTAATAAGCCAAATAATTTTTATGAGGTTCTTTCTTCCTTGCGATTTTATAGAATATACTTATCTCCTAATTTTCTATCTGTACTCAATTCATATAGATTTTGACTATGGTAACTGGTAATATCACATTCATCATTATACAAACTATCACTAAACTTTCCCCTCTTTAATAAAAAAATAGTAGAGCCTATTCAGAAGGTATCTTTTTATTAACATAATGACGACATAGTTAAGTCTAACCTAAATTTCTTCTTTTTTTTCCAATATCTCTAATAATTTTTTTATTAAATTGGTTTCCATAAATTTTAAAAAATAATAAGTAAATTAAAAATTTATATGAAAATATTAAAAGGAATAAATGATTACTAATTTATATCTTGAAAAAATACCTCAAAATTTAATTGACATGATAAAAATAAACTCTAAAATACTTTAGGATAAATTAATTTTGTATTATGTGGAGGATTTGCAGTAATATTAAATTATATTGGCATAATTAAAAATATTCAAATCTTTACTTAAATTTATTGAAATATATTATAGTATATTTTATTTGCATGTTATTTGATTCGAGTAGAATATTTTAAATTTGTATAGAATCTAAAAATACTCATATTCGAATAGCTAAGTCATACTCGTTTACATCTCAAAAACAAATTAATAAAAATTCAAACACATTTAAGATAAAATAAATACTATATTCATTTAATCAACATTTTAACAAAAATGAAAAAACTAAAAATTTAAGATAATGCTAACTAATAAAATTAGAAAAAATTAAATACATCAGGAAATAAATACAAACATATAAAATACCTCCAAATATTTAATTATTCATATTTTATTTCGCTTTACTAATTTATTTCAGAACAAAAAAGCAAAAGTAGCAAGGATCAAAGCAGTTAAGCTTAATAAAGCACCATAAACACAAGAAACTTGTTCATCAATATAATTTTGAACCTTATCATTATCAGATTTGCATGATGAATTAAGACAACTAGCATAATCACCTAAGTTTTATGACTTTGAAGCACAGTTATAAGCAACGCAAATACCAAAAGAAAGATAAGCTTTAGCACAAGCACTATCTTAAGCTGCAACACCACAAGGCTTAGGAATACTAGCAATACAATTAGCAGCATCAGTATTAGTATCAGCTTTAACAGAGGTTAAAGCTAATAAAGCGATCAAAAAAATAGCAGTGAATTTCATTTTTTTTATATTTTAAAGAATTGCTTTTTTATTATTATTTAATTGTTTATATATTTCTAAATGAACGAAATTTGCATCTATTTAAAGTTTAAGTTTACATCATTAAATAATACAATCAATTAAATTGTAATACGAGAACTATTTATTAAAAAAAAATATTTATAAAATTCAAACAAAATATTAAATAATATTAAGCAATATTTAAAACATTGTTATACTTATATTTATAAATATACTTTCATATTTAATATCTAGTCAAATAATAAAATAACAAAATTTGTTCTTATTATATAAAGGCTTATATTTAATTCTACCTCAAAAAAGTTTTAAAATATCTTATTTATATATTGCCATGCATCAAATTTTACTTAAGGAATTCAAATTAATTTTTATCGAATTTAAAAAAAGCTTAAATTTTTGTTAATTTGTCTAAATAATCCAATTTAGATTTACATTTATTAATTTAAGTAAAATAAATAATTAAAACCATCAAATAAATTTAGAATCTTATCAGAAATATTTGTTATTTTAATTTTTATTATTTGTAATTAATTAAAGGATTTTCAATTTCGATGATAATAAACTTAACTAATAAAAATTACAATTTCAAAATTTTAAAATAAGTTTAGGTTTACAATTAATCCAATTAAAAAAAATTGATTGCAATGTAAATAGTATGTGTGGTATTAATATAAAATATTTGAAATTAAAATTGTAAATCAAAAATAGAAAGCAAATTATTATGATTTTACTGAATAATTTTTGTTTAATTAATAATACTTTGTAAATTTTCAATAAAAAATCAATTGTTGCACATATATATATTAGAAAAAACTAAATATTTTTATTAAATTAAAGCTAGATATTAAGTTTGTGGTAAATTTTAATTTCGAATTAGCAAAAAGCAATCATTTACTTAATCAATTAATAGTAAAAAAATAAAATTGCTGTATAAATATGTTTATATAATTTATATCTAATAAAAATAGATTTTACATTAGTTTACAATACGAAGTTGGAGTCTACATTTTATGGTACTCTTCAAATAAATTTTACTCTTTCTGGATTGATTTTTTATATTGCGCTGCTATTAAAAATACTGAATTCAATAAGCAAAAGAAACATTTTAGAAATAAATGAATTTTAAGTTAGAGAGAATATTATAAATCTACTCTAATATTCATTTAATACTTTTTAGAATATAGGGAAAAAAATTATTTTATTGATTTATTTGTTGAAGATATAAATTAATATTCATTTAAGCAATTTAAAAAAAATCAATTAATCTAAAATAAAAATATTATATATAAAATTCTTTTATATGTAATAAAATTAATAAATTAACATTGTTAAGAAAATGTTAATAAAATAATCTAAAATGATCTAAAGTTTAGGAAGATTAGCATTAAAATTAGAGGCATCAGTATTAGCATCAGCTTTAACAGAGGTTATTAAAATAAATAGCATTGAATATCGTACTTTAGATTTAAAGGAATTATTTTTAAATTGATTTTAAGAGCAAAAATTTTTAGAGTAAGAAAAAGCAAAAATGACAACATATTTTTTATTATTTAATAATTTCAAATAAGAAGACATTTAGTAGATATTTCATATTACTTATTGGTAGTAAAGATAAAATTTAGTCTAATTTGAACCATTTTAAATAAAATAATGTAATCTAAAATTATCCTTTAATTTCAAACAAATATTGCTCGAATTCATCAATAATCTAAATTATCTATCAAAAATATTGAATTATTATTATAATCATATTATAACACCCCTTCTCCACAATAAAACTTTTAACTTTTTTTTAGCATCACTTTAGATTTGACAAATGAGGGAGTAGGAGAGATGTTAATTAATGAGGATTTATGGTATTTTTAAACATAATAAGTTTTTGACTAATATTAATATAATATTTGATTATTAATTCAAATTTTTGATTATTTATATGTCTTTGATTAAAAATAATCATTTAATTTATCATTAGAAATGTGATAACAAAAATTCGAATACTTTTTATTTTATTTAAAAAAGATAAATCTAAATTATTTTTTTTAATTAAAATAAATATTTTAATATTAGAAAATGAATTTTATTTTATTATGTTCAACTTAAATTATAACCAATAAATACATCAGAATATATAAACTAATTCCTATATTTATTTAAAATTAAAAATTTTAATTAATTTAAGTTTATTCAGAACATAAAAGCAAAAATAGCTAAGAAGACGAAACTGTAGGCAATAATGCTTCCATTTAAGCAGTCAGCATAATCTTAAACAAAGTTTTAGACTTCGGTTTCTGAGTTTGGGGAACAACTTTTAACACATTTGCTAAAGTCAGAAAGGTTTTTTTCTTTTTAGTAACAAGAGTTAGAAACAAGGCAGGACTAAAAATACTTTAAAGCTGCGGCACAAGCGGGTTCAGGATTTGCACCACAAGGATAGGTTAATTATTTGATACAATCTTCATAATCAGCATTAACAGATACTGCAATCAAAGCGAGAAGAGCGATAGTAATAAATTTCATTTTAGATATTTTTGATGATTATTTTTTTATTTTTATTTTATTAATTATTAAAATTTTAAATTAAAAAATATTTTGTATTTAAATTAAAAATATTGTTCTAATTTGAATTATTTCTATACTGCTTGATTTTATTTATGATGAATGGGTTTACTTTTTACTAGTAAAAGTAAGCTAAAAACTATTTATAAATTTTTTATTAGTTTGTTAAAATTGAAAAACAGTAAACTAACATTTTTTAATAAAATAAAAACCTAGCATCCATTTTTTTATATAAAAAGTGTTTAAAACTTTGCTCGATAATAAACATAAAAAAATAATCTTTTTATGTAAAAATTTTTTGTTGATTTTAAAATATATATTTTGGATTTAGATCTAAATAATAACTTTTATTTTTATATTTAAAATAAGCATTTTAATAGCAAATTTTAATAAATTTAATACTGATAAATTCTCATAAAATTATTAATTTAGTCAACTTCCGCAAATAAATGGAAAATGTATGTCCTTATTTTAAACTGCAAGTAAATGAAAAAAAGCACTAAACTCTTATTTAAAAAAACAAACGAAAAAATTTTATTCAATAAAAATTACTTTATTCTAAATTGTTTTAAGTTTTGGTTTATTTAATTTTCAGCTTATAAAACATATACTTAATATTATAAACTAAAAAAAATATATTTAATTATTTTGAGTAACTTATATAAATAATTCTATGATTTAAAAAAGTATTTTGCTGCTTAGAAATGTGATGAAATAATTTGAATTTGTAAGTATATAATATATTACTTGTTTTTATTCATAAGTATCACAAAATAGAATAAAAGATAATCACATATTTTTAGTGTTTTTATTGAAAAAGTTTTATACTCTAAATTAATTAAATAATTGTAATCAAAAATTCTTAATACTAGATTTACCATAATATTTCAAATATAGTATAATTAAGCTCGAATTTAGAAAGCTCTAATTTCAAAATTTTATGATAAAATTCCCAAAACTAATTTTTAAAAAAATACCTATCTTATTCTATAGCATTAACAGTATATAACAAAAGATGAAAAAAATGAAAATTAGAGTTGTAAAATATTGTTTAGTTTTTCTTCAGTAAACATGTAAATAATATTCTGTTTGAATAAATTAATAATTTTTTTCGATTTTTATTTTTATAATTGATTAATAAAATCAATTTGTAGTTTTTTATCTAAATCATGTTTTTCGAATTACATTTTATTTATCATTAATTAATAGACAATTAATTAATATATAGATTTAATATAAAATTTGGTTTTGAAAAATACCAAATATAATATTGAAGTTTATGTACAAAATTAAATAGAAAATAGTTGTGTAATTATTCATTTTCAAAAAAGCTATTGATAGCTGCTTTATTTAGGATTTCTAAAATTTATTTTAATCCTTTATTTGAAAGCAATTACAAATAAGAAAATTAATAAAAAATTGTCTGTCTAAGATTATTTTAAAGTAATTTGTTTTGAAATATTAAATCCTTATTGAGCTTTAATCAAGATTAAATTCGAATAATATAGATTTAATGTTTTGAGAGATAAAAAGTTAAGATTATTAAATATGCTTTAGTTGGAATCAAAGTGTAAAAATTACTGATTAACTCATCAGCTGATATTTAATGAAAAAATTAAGAAAATAAAATATATTTTTTGTTTTAGAGTTATTAAAGAAATATTTTGTATTTAAAATATATTATAAAAATATTTTGCTTTTAAAAAAAAAAATTTTATTTAGTGAGATAATCAATAGTATACTAGAAACTTGTTGAAATGATTCTTTTTTTTATATACAAAAACATGAAAATCGCTAAAATAAATTTGATATTTCGATAAGATAGTTGACCATTCAAACATTTGTAATCTTAAATTTTAATTTAAGAAATACTCTAAAATATTAATTATCGATTTTGAATTTGAATAAATGAGAAAAAAATCTTACAATCGAAATTCACTCTTTTAATTAATTTCTGTCCATAATTATATTAGCATTAATGTTTATATGTGTAATAAGATATACAAATTCTGAAATTAATTTATTCTTTTATTAATTAAAGCAAATTCATGAAATAATACTTAAAAACTAATTAATTTTTTAATTTAAATAGTAAATAAAAACTAAATTTGAATTTCGAAGTAACTAAAGCCATAAATTCTTATGATCAAATTTTCAAATTGTAATTTTTTTAATAGATTTAAATAAGAAATTATCACAATTTAATATATTATAAAATTATACGTCTATCCCCATTTGAATTATTTTTATCATTTAATCGATTTTTAAAATTTTTTGATTTATTTGCGCACAGTACGAAGTGCACAATGTGCGCATCCAATACGGATAATTCATGATACTTTTATATTTATTGATAAGCTTTAAAAAGCTAATCTTTAATTGATCATCACCTAAAATCCAAGCTTTTGATTTGTATTTGTTATTGTAATCATCTTTGTGAAAATAAAAATATTTTACTTAAAGATTATCCTTCTACAATTAATAAAAGGCCATCTGTATGCCACTATGATATAATTGGAACTAAGATAAATAAAATTTTTAATACATCATCTATTTTTTATGAATAGTATGAGATCCCTAAATATACATTACACCCATAATAGAAGCAATTTAAAGCTTGTATCAATATTTTCAGCTGTTTTTAGTTTATCTCCTGTCAAAATCTAACTTGATTTCAAGAATTCTTAGCACTGTTGGAACATAATCTTATAAACTGTCTTCAACAGAAATAGCTCCGAACAAAATAAATTCATTCCATACAATCTCTACAATAGCCTTTATTTTTTTTCTTAATTTGACAAGTCAATTGTAGAGTTTATTTTGCTTAAAATGTCTTCCTTCATAATCTGATTAGGAAATTATTCTCATAACTAGACACAAAGTTCTAAAGCACTAAAGAATTGCTGTGAACAAAAAATACCAATTTGCATATTTTTTAAACCAGATCAAAATAATTTTGGGTAAAAAGGTAATAATAATATTATATTTAAATGTAATAAAAAAGTTAGAAAAAAATTTATTTTATGATTGAGCTGATAATTGTTTCCAAAAAATAATTTTTCCCTTTATTTCTGGAAGATTGCTTATTCTTTATTGAGAATTAACATTTTTACTCAATTAAACAATTATATTTACTAAAAATAGCTGCTTTTAGCGTATTTTTTAAATTTCAATAATATTTCGTTACTATGCATAAATCCCTCACATTTTTTTGCACTTGATGAAATAGTAGAATAAATTTAAATCCAATTTCCTACTCTTACACAAGTTTTAGCTTAATGTAATAGTTTGAAGACTGGTTTAATGTGTTTTGGTTTTTTATCATTATTTTTGCATAGAGGTTTATTAAGTAGGATGTTTTTTTGCTTATTTGTAAAACATTTTCTAAAATGAATATCTATAGCTTTTATAAACAAACAAGATTGGTTAGGAAAAAATAAATAAAAACTAAATTATTGAAAAAATCATTTTAAAAAGATGCCTAAAAGAATAAAAAATATAAGAAGATTTAAAAGAAAATAATTCTTCAATATTTTTGCCATCATTTTTTTAAAAATCCAAAGATGATATTTCATCTCCATATGCTAAAACAAAATAATCATCTCCAAATGCTAAAATAAAATAATGGTTTGAGCTAGATTAAGTCAAACAAAAAATTTTAATTAAGAAAAAATAGAAAATCCAGAATAAAATTTTTTACTTAGTGAAAATTTTTAAACAATAGAAACATCGTCCAATAAACAAAATGATAGTTAGAGATTATAATTTTTTTGAAAGAAAAGAAAGTTAAAAATAATCTAATTCTATTTAAATCAGTAATAAATTACTAATTGAAGAGAAAAAACTTCTTAAATATATTAACAAAAAATAAAATTCTAACATTTTAAGTATTAAATAAAGTGTCCATTCATAAGCTTCATTAATATAATTTAAAAAAATTAAATTAAATAATAAAAGATATGAGATTCCTAATATTTTTCTATTTATCTTTTATAATTAGTCAAATAATCATAACCAATTATTTTTATTTATTTATTTATTTATTTATTTATTTATTTATTTATTTTTGCTTTCGATAAAGGTATAGATATGAACATACATATTTAATATAGTTCTAAAGATAGAAAATTAAAAATTGGAGCATTTAGGGTATATTGGAAGAAAATTTTGGTCTGAGTTGGTGTACCCAGAATCATATTTTTTACATAGTTTATTTACTTTAATTAAATTAAAAATTTTGTATTCATTTGTATTTTTAAAAAGCAAATAAAAGTACAATATTTTAAAATAAGATTATTTAAAATGTGAAAAGAATAAAAAGTTTATTTTAATTATTTTCAAGTTTGTTTACTTTGTTTGTTGAAAATCAAATAAAATTATTTGTGAATTTAAGGTATTGTTAAGCAATCTTTAAAAAAAATAAAATTAAAAATAATATAATTAATAAGCCACAAATCACTGAAACACTAAGTATGGTCATAAAATAAGGAAATATATTTATTAAATATGCAAAACTCACAAATAATATTGAATTGTTTAAAAAGTTATATTTTAGGGGGGGAAAAAATAGAATGGAAATCATTAATAATTAAAATTATTTGATTGAATTCCTTTTTATTATACGTTACAAGGTTTTTAAAGTAAATTCAGTAATTTTTATATAAAAAAAGATTAATTTAAATGTATTAATAGCCTAAAAAAATGAACTACATTCAAAATATAACAAAGACTAAAAATATTTATAGTATTATAAATAGTTAAAAAATTTTTCATTAACTCATTTATGTTTGTCTTCTCAAATATATAAAAAGAACAAAGCCATAATAGCACCAATTAAAGAAAGTATGGTGGAGTCAAGGCAGTTTAGATAGGAGCTAATATATCCCTTAACAGCTGAGGTTTAAGCAGGACATGAATTGACACAATTGAGGTAATCAGAGTTTGATTAGTTTTAGACACTGCAGTTATTCTTTGTCCAACAAGCTTAAACAGCTTGATAGTCTGTTTAGCAAGCCTGATCTGAAGCCTAACAAGGTTATTGTGTTTAGCCATAACATTATAATGCCTTTGCTACATCAAAAGAAGCACGTACTGTAGATAAAGCTAAGATAGCTAATATTGCAAGGGTAATGAATTTCATTTTGTAAAAAGTTTTATATTATTTTTTATTTGAATTTATTTATTTTGATTTATTAATAAATATGATAACCGGATTGTAGTAATATTTATATTCACACATTGAGTATTCTGAATATGAAAATCTAATTGAATCCAAAGTTACAAATTTAATTTGAAAAAAAACAAAGCTAACTTTACAGTGAAAGCAAATTCGAATAATTTACCTTTAATTTAGTCATTTGATTGATACATATTCAAGATAATGATATTTTATTTATTAATGGGATTTTTATTGGTTTTTCTCTGATATAATAAAATGAAATAACTATTAAATTTTTAATAAATGTAGGGGTCAATCTAATCAGAGAATTTCGAATAGTGTGAAAATATTTTTTGTTAATTTTTTATTATAGTAAAATTTTGAGTCATTTACATAAGCAAACCCCTATTTAAATCCCTATTTAAATGCATCTTTTTTTGTAAAAAATATTAGAGTAGTTTTAGGATTAGAAAAAAATAAAATGTATAAATATTATTTTTAAATAAATAAAAACTAAAATAGCTGAATTCTTTAAAAGGAAACTACATTTTACTTTAAAATAGATTTAGTGATAGTTACAATTTAAAAATTTTAACTTTTGATAAAATTGTAAAGAAATGATTTGAATTAATTTCGATAACTTTTGTTAAATTTATATACTTATTGTTTGAATTTTTAGATAAAATAAAGAAATGTTACAGGATTTACATTTATAGCTAAAATAAAATAAAAATTAAAGCGAAAATTTTATAATAAATGCTTTTCTTATACTAAAAAATATAAGTAAAGTAGGGAATGAGAAAATTTACATATTAAATTTATGTTTGAGAAAATATATTTTCATTAAATTATAGAATATAAAATCAAATTATATATTTTATTTTGATTTGAGTTTTGTAAAGAAAAAATACTTTAATTTTTATTCATTTTCTTCTCGAAATTAATTAATTTTTATTAAAAATAAGGCAAATAATTGATAATTTTCCAAGTTCTTATAAAAAACAGTCTATTCTACTTCTTCCTATTTGTGCAATAAAAAACTAATATTTGAAATACGATTGATAGATATATTTATTTATTCAGCTCATACTAATTTAATAATGAAAGAATAGATTATTAAATAAATTAATTATCATTTAGATAAAAATCAAATATACGTTATTATTTAAATAATTAATTTGTTATTTATTTTGTTTTTATTGAGGGTTTTATTTAAAAAATGATATAAAATAAATCATCTTGATTAAAAAAGTTAACAAATAAATATAGAGTCTAATTAGTTTCAAAATATTTACTCTCTTAACTAAATTTCATTTAATTTTATAGCGCTTACAATTTTAAAATGCAAATAAAAATACAAAAAGCAAATGAATTATCAGAAATTGTTTGATTTTTATATTCATAATTAATTTCTCTGTTTCTTATTAATTTATACAAAATACGAAATAAATCATTGAAATTTTATTTTAAGTTATTTTTTTCTCAAAAATATTTATCATAATGGAAGTGAATTATTTATTATTTCAAAACATAAAATCATAAATACTCTTTTTGTTTTTAAAAATTATTAGTTTACTTCATTAATAAGCAGCAAAAATAGAATAAATTTATTTTAAATTAAAAAAATAAAGCATTTTGTATTTGGATAGAGAATTATTTATAAATTTTAGAGAGAGAATTGATTCAATATAGAAAAGAAAATACACTAAACAAATTATGGTTTAAAATGTTTGAAGTAGACAAAATTATTAATATTTGATTATAATTAACTATGTGGTAAAAAAATATTGTAACTCAAATAAGATTATCTAAATTCTATTTAGGAAACATGACTATAATTATTGGTTAACAAATAATATATTATTTAGAATAAACTTTTACTTTTAATCAACTTTTTCTTTTTGTTAAGAGGTAAAAATCATTTATTAATTTATGTATGTATGTATGTATGTATGTATGTATGTATTTATAAATTAATTAATGATATTGGTAAATAAACACATAATATTTTTATTAGTTAAATTAAATATTGTTTATCTTAAGGCATATTTGTTATGGTAATTATAGCTAGTTGTCATCTTTTTTACAATTTCTTATTATATGGTTAGGATTCTCAATTCAGGATTACATTTTTAAATTAATTAAAGTTATAAATTTAGCTTATTATTCGAAATTAATTTATTTTAATATAATCCCTTTAAAATTTAAATAAGTATTTAATTTACATTTAGACTTTACTTCTAATAACAAAAAACAATTAAATTTCTATGACTATAATCAATTCAAATATCAATTTATCAATCAATTTTATTAAAAATTTCTAATAAATCTTTTAAAATGATGCAATTATTTATCCCTTATTAAAATATGATTTTGTAAAAATTTTAAAAAACAATTCTACTAAGGTAAAGAATAAATTTAAAGTATCACATTTAAGATATTAAACTTAATATGAATTAAATATTGAGTTTATTATAATATATTTACCATTAAAAGTATTATTATAAAAATCATGCATATTTAAGTTTAAGTATAAATTTAAAAAAATTAAACATTCATTCATTCTTTTTCTAAATCTCATTTTTTTATTTTGGATTATTTCAAAAATTGTTTACTTTTATACATACACATATATTGATACTCACTTTATCACTATCTATTTATCATATATTGATAATTGATTTATTTTTTACCAAATTTGCTTTCAAAATTAGCTTGATAAAATAAAATAAGTATGAATAAATTTTTATGAACCTTATTTAGTCTAGCCATTTATTTAATATGTTTAATCTTACAAAAGTAATGTTTAAAAATATAGATATGGAAGAAATATTAATTTCTTATTTGATTTGGTTAAATTTAACTATTTTTTAAGCAATAAGCAATCAATGAATAAATAATTTTTGGTACCTTAGAAAAGAAAGAAAATATGTTTGTAATTAATAATAATTTAGAAAAATCATTTTTTTTTTTATTATCAAAAACTTTTTAATATTTTAATACTAAAAATAAAATTTTTTTTTACTAAGAATTCTTTTAATTAAAAGATTAATAGACATTATAAATTAAAAATATTATATTAATATTTTATTTTAATTATTAAGGCAAAAGATTTAATTTTAATAAAAATACATAATTTTAGATAAATTATTTTCATACAAAATAAAATGTATTTGAATATAAATTTACTTTGCTATTTAATATTAAAAATCAAATATAAACTATAAAAATAGCTAAAATGCCAGAAAATAGCATTAAATAAGAACTATTGATACAGTCTATGAAGCTAACGATATATTTTTATACCTTAGGATTAGAGGAATTACATTTTTAAATACATGAGACATACTCCGATTTTGATTATGAAATAGAAGAACAATTTTTGGTTCCCAAACAAGCTTAGTAACTTTAATAGTCAGTAAGACATTACCCATAATCAGAATCTAGAGCAT